TCGCCCACACCCAAGCCGTTGCTCACCACCAATCTCCTCTGTGCATCGCCCGCTGGCTGGTCATGATCACCACTTGACGGACCGCCTATGGCGCTTTGCGAAATTCATGCACTACTACGGGTCATTGATTGCTTGCCCACCTTCATACCGGGCCATTGGCCTCTGTGGTGTCCAAAAGGCACAACAGATAACTGATGGTTCGGGAACCCTGGGGGCCGAAACCAGGCCTTCTCAGTCGTTTTGGTGTTTGCGAGGCCCAGCCAGGGATCCCGCAGCGTTTCTCTTGGCCTGCTGTTGTCCATCTAAGCCCGTCTGCGGCCTGCATGTCGTACCAGCTTGCCATGCACGGCACGTTGCAACACACCAAAACCTGGCCACTGCGAAGGCGTATCCAATCCCATTACCTTCCCCGTGGGAATCCCCATTGACCAACTTCCCGCGGTGCTCCGGACATTATTTTTGACACGTCTCACTGGTGAACGGTGAACAAGCGCCCTTGCGCGGGGTTAGAGGAGCTGAGGGGCAGGCTCTCCGCGGTTTGAGTTGCCGGACCTGACGGATGCTGATCCTAACAGGGAATATCGCGATATGGTAGCCACTATCTTGGAAAAATGAGAGTTGCCCCCCCCCTGGTTAAATGCCCCCTATTTCTTGGTTAAACTAAAACTTTACTAGTAGGGTAGAAAACCCTATATTTTTAATAGAATACTATACTTAATATTATTTATATTTTAAAAAAGGAAAAAGAAAGGCTAATAATAGTAAGCTATTACTTATTAAACTATAAATTTTAGTAGTTAAAGTTTTATTTATATTTTAATTTATTCTTATTAAATAAATAGTTATAAATTAAGTTTAGAATTAATTATATTATAATTAAAAAATATTATTAAAGGGTTACTATTATTTATATAATTACTTTAAATATATTATTATTATTACTATTAAATATAATTAAATTAAAGTAATAAACTATAAAGGTTTATTAGTTTACTTTTTATAATAATATTATAAAGTATAATTAATATATAAATTATATAAACTAAAAGTTAAAAGATTTTCTACTTAATAAGCTAAATTTATATTTTAATAAAATATAATACTTTCTTACTAAGTAGTTATAAATTAATATTATTATAAAAATAATAAATAATACTTTTAAAGCTTATATATAAAATAATAAATAAATATATATATTAGCCTATTAGTATAATAAAGCTTTATAACTATTATTTTTAATAGATATATTAGTTAGGCTATATAATAAAAATATTTATTTTTATTAATAAGTTTAATTTTAATAAATAAAATAGTATAAAAGAATAGGTTAGGTATTTATTAAATATATCTTATAGGTTAAAAGTTTTTTAAGTAAGGGGTTTACTTTATATTCTTTTATAATTATATTAAATAGCTTATTTACTATTATAGTATATAAAGGTTATATAATAAAAGAGTTTTTTTAATAATTAAAGAAAAGTATTTTATTAAAAATAAACCTATATTTAGGCTTAAAGTTAATTTTTATAATAAATAATACTTTTAATATTATAAAGTAAAAATAATTAAGGTAATAAATATAAAAGGTATAAAGTATAAGTATCTATCTTTATACTTTCTTAATTTTAATCTTATTAAAATATATTTTAGTAATTTAAAGTACTATTTATATTATTAATATTAATATAAATTATTAAATTATAATTTAAATAAAAATTTTACTTAATTTCTATTTTTATATTTAAAAGATTAAATTTAAGGTTAAAGCTATTTAAAAATATTTCTACTATATATAAATATTAAAAGAAAATATAAAATAAAGTAAATATAATAGTCCTAATTAAAAGTTATAAAAATTAAAATTAATAAAGTTTTAATTAAGTAAAATTATATAAATAAAAGAATATTATTTATAAATTAAATAATTAAATTAATAATTAAAGGTTAAAATAAATAAATTAACTATAAATAAATCTATTTAATTAATTAGGTATTTAATATTAAGTATTTAATTTATTTTATTTATTTAAAATAAATAACTTTTTTTTAATTACTTTCTATTATTAACTATATCTTTTATATACTTAATTATTACTTCCTTTATTTAAAAGTTTTTAAAACTTATTATATAACTTCTTTATTTTATTAAATAAAAGGGACTACTTTAATAGGTTTTTAACTTTTTATTAAATAGCTAACCTAATTATAAAGTTTAATATTAAATAAAGTTAATTAATTAGTTAAATAACTTTTATAGGCTTTATAAAATATATATTTTTAATATTTATTTAATAATTTATTAAATAGCTATTTAATAGTTTTATTATAATAGTAAGTTCTTTTATTATTATTATTATTAAAGAAATTAGTAAAATTCTTCTTCCTTTTTAAGTATAGCTTAATTAGTATTTTAACTAATAAAATAGCTTTTAGGTTATATTTATTAAATTAAATATCCTCCTTTTTATAAAGCCTATAAAGGTTAAGCCCTTTATATTTTATAACTTTTATAAATTATTTAAGTTAAGCTTTTTTTAATAAATTTTTAAAGTACTTTTAAAATACTTTTATAATAAACTCTTAATATAAAACTATTTTATTTTCCTTTATTTATAATAATAATAATAAAAGGATAATTAATAGTTTTTATTTCTATTATAAACTTTTAAGTACTATTATTATTACTATTAGTAGTAATAAAATCCTATTAAACTTATAAGAAAAAGCTAGTAGTAATAATAGTAATAATAGCTTTATTAAGGCTATTTAATTATATTTAATTTTAGGTAAATTAATATTAAATAATAAATTAATAATTATATTAATATTACTTTTTTTTACTTTTATTTTTATTATTTCTTTCTAAAAGAAATAAGGCTAACTTATTATTATTAAACTCTTTTTATTAGGTTTTATTTAAGCTATCTAATAATTAAAGAGGACTTTTAATAAATATCTAATTATAATATTATTTATTATAATTATATTAAATTAATTCTTTAAATTTCTATTAAATAAGTTAATATATATACTATTTTATTTAATAAAATATTATTATTATAAAGAATTCTCTTTATTTTAATAATAATAATTAGCTTTATAATAATTACTTAAAGAATATAATTATATTTTTATTAGTTATTTATACTTCTCTATATAGAGTTTATTTTTATTTTTATTTTAACTTTTTATTTAATAGTTATTAATATAAATTAAAAGTTTTAAAATTTAAGTCTTTATTAAATATATTTATATTTATTATCTACTTAACTATTAATAAACTATTTCTTAAAGTAACTACCTATTAAATAGCTAGTAATAATTAAAAACTTTAATTAATAGTTATTTAATTAAATAATTATTTTATAATATAAATATTTATAACTCTTATACTAGTAATATAACCTTATAATTATATAAAATTAAAAAAAGGGTCCTTAAAACTTAAAAGTATATTTATAATATTATTATAATTAAATACTTTAATCCTTTTATTAATATTTTTCTTATAATTTTTAATTATAAAGTTAAAAACTTCTAGTTTATAAGTTAATTAATTTTAATAAAATATTCTTTAACTTAATAATTATATTTAAATAATCCTTATACTTTCTTTTAATTAAATTTTTAAATAAATTAATATAATTTAATAAAAGGCTTTAAATTCTTTAACCTTTATTCTTTTTTAATATAATAGTTTATTTTTAGGTTATATAATAAAAATAATATTAGTTTTAGGCTATAAATTTTAATAAATAAAATTAAAATTAATTTATTTAAATATACCTATATTAAAAGGTTAATTAGGTAACTTTTAAAATACTTAATATTATTATTATTATTATTTATTAAAAACTCTACTTTATTAATAAAAGGGTTTTTATTATTAGTACCTTTTAAAGCCTTTTTTTCCTTATTATTAAATATATCCTCTTTATTATTAACTTTAATAGTATTTTTTTATACCTTTTAAACCGCTTAATTTATTATAATAGCTTTATTTTAGGTAGTTTTTAAAAGTATTTATAAGTGTTTTTAAATAGTTTATTAGGCTTTAATTACCTTAATAGTTAGCTTTTAAATATATAACTATTTAAATAATATAATATTTTTATTAATAAACTATATAATTTAACTTTTTAAATAAATTTTATATAGTAAGTATTAAATAGTTTAGACTTAATAAATTAGTTTAATAATATTATTTATAAAGTTAGCTAAACTAATATTACCTTATATTAAAGTAAGTAGGTTATATATACCTTTATAAGTTAGGCTTAAATTAATTATATAAAATTAATATAGTATTACTTTTACCTAATTAGGTAATAAAGATAACTTGTTGTTAGTGTTAATAAGGTTAATGGGGGTGTTTTAGTGAGAATGTTGGAGTTTCCGCCCTACTAGTGAAGTTTTGGTTTAATTGAGGAACAGGGGGTATTTAACTGGGGGGGGGGTAACTCTCGTTTTTCCGAGATAGCAGAAGAGGAGTCTATGCTTTGCAACCACCAGCCATCGTCAGGACAAATGCTGGCTCAGCGTGGGGCGTACCTCCCTGCCGCAGCAGCATTGCAGCACCCCGACCGAGTTGCGAGTCCACAACGAATCCTCTCTCCTGCTGTTCCAAGACTACTGTATATTCGGAGACGGGGGGTTGCCATCGCTTTCTTAGGCTAATCTTTGTCAATCACAGACCGAAATGCCGTCTTCGGTCCGTCATCACTCAATCGGATCCGCATTGGGCCCTGCATGCGGGCCTGGCCCCCTAGGACTATTGGCTTGAACGACAGGCCGAAAAGATTGCGTAGCATCCATTGACGCCAGTGTGCTGATCCAGCTCTGGCACGGCATCTCACCACTCTCAGCCCAACATCCTTGAACACCTCTGCGTCCCTACCTCGTCTGCCCCGTGCGTTGGCCGGTTGGCTGGGATATCACGCATTTCGCTCACCGTGTTCCCTGTCCTGCACGTTGTGTGGCGTGTTACGCAGTATTCCAGCCCGTCTTGTACCTCCTAGTCGTCCTCTGCAACTGACCAGGCTCAACAGCGGAAAGGATGAGCTTCGTATGCTGGCCGGGGCGGCCTACGTGACCGAATATCAGTATCCGTACCTCAACAATACCCCCCCTCCCCGTGCACGCAGCCCCGAAATGACACCTCTCTGTTAGATTCACCGCAACATCATGGGGCGAGGAAACAGTGCGGGAAAGACCATAAGCTCACTCTCCACCTTTGTTCTGCTCGTGTCAAACACGTCCGAGATCGTGATTCCAGTGTGGCCGCCTTATTTTGTATGCGGCTGGACTCGCAGCCCTCCCTGAGCAAACATGCTTGTCACTTTAGTCTTTCGGACAGGAAATTGCCAGAAGTGACAGTGGAAACCGCCCATCAGGTCTTTCCATTGCAGACACTAGCCTCCGAAGATTCCCACTCACCTCTTCACTAGCGTCCCCTTGTCCATGTCACTCTCATGGACAAGGTCAATAGGGACCCACCCCCTTCCCATTCAACCCATCCATTCCCGTTTCGTCTCCAGACTGTCGGATCCATTCACTTGCTGTCAATACCACATGCCACAAACCTAGATAAGCGAGGCATGATTCCCTGCTCGAGACTACTTTCCCAGATCCTCGCTTAACCTCGATTACCCTACTCTCCTGCTGGCCTCCCATCTGTTTCCTTTGCCCACCTCTCCCACCGTACCATCGCCTTGCCGAGCGGTCTCTGCACCAGACTCAAGCCCAGCCTACCCTAGTGATGGCGGTGCTCGACCCTATCTTGTCCCATTCTGGGGGAATAATGGCGACTGCTTTCTCCCTCTCCAGCCTGGCTGTTCTCCTTGTCCTAGGCCTCCTCGGATTCTTGTCGGCCTCGACCTACTCCACATGGCGCCGTCTCAAACACATTCCTGGGCCACCGTCCGCTGGTCTCAGCAAGTGGTGGATGCTGCGTAACACCCTTGGTGGGAGCATGCATCTGGCTCTGAAGGCGGCCTGCGATACCCATGGTAAGAGGTGGTTGGTTGGCCACAGCCCAGGCCCCCAAGTTCTCGGATCTCTTTCTCGTCAACACCAAACGAGACATGCAGATGATGGTCCTTGCGCGCCAGCCTGAGACATCTGTGTAGGCCGAGCGCATCGCGGCAAGGGAGACAGACATGCTGTTGGTCAAATTCCGAGCATTGCTGACTGGCGGTTGTGTGTACAGGCCACATCGCCCGCGTCGGACCCAAGACGCTCGTGACGGACGATCCGGAAGTCGTGAAGCGTATGTGGGCCGTCCGCTCCAGATACAAGAAGGCTGATTTCTACGACGCCGTCCGGTTCGACCCCACCCGTGACAACATCATCTCCCAGAGGGACGATGACCTGCACAATGAGCTGCGGGCGAAAATGGCTGCAGGAGTAAGCAGTTGTGTACCCAGTCCCATTCCTGTTTTGACACTAGCCGCTAAGAATTTCCCATCTGCAGTATGCCGGGAAGGAGAACGAGGGACTGGAGCGCGGAATCGACAAGGGCATCATGGCGTTCATCGGTCTCATTGAGCGCGACTATGTTTCCGAGGGTGCCATATTCCGCCCTATGGATCTGGCTAGAAAGGCACAGTACCTGACCATGGACATCATCGGCGATATTGCCTTTGGTGCAGACTTCGGCCACCTCGCCCAAGATGCCGATGTTCACGAGTATATCGCTAGAACTGAGGCTAGCATGCCCGTGATGATGATTGTCAGCGTCCTGCCGATCCTGGCGAGGGTGATGCAGCTGCCGCTGCTCCGTCGCCTCATGCCTTCAGAGGAGGACCCTCATGGGTTTGGAAAATTCATTGGGTACGTCAAGACGGGGATCACTCGACATGTTGCACTAGCTTGCTTGACGCAGGGCGTGGCTGACTGGTTCGCGCACACAGCGTGGCCAAGCGTGTGGTAGCTGAGCGGCTCGGACCAAACGGAATTGACCGCAAGGACATGCTCGGGTCGTTCCTCAAGCACGGCCTGAGCCGGGAGGAAGCCGAGGGAGAAGCTCTGGTCAACATAATTGCGGGCTCTGACACAACCGCCACGGCTATCCGGACGACCATGCTCTACCTGATGAGTTCGCCCCAGGCCTACAGGAAGCTCGCACACGAGATCCGCACAGCAGCTGCAAATGGTCAAATCTCCAGCCCCATCACGGACGAGGAGGCACGTACCCTCCCGTACCTGCAGGCGGTCATCAAGGAGGGGATGCGCGTGTTCCCGCCCGTGACGGGCTTGATGCCGACAATCGTACCTCCCGGTGGCGACGTCATCCGTGGGATCCCTGTGCCCGAGGGCACGGAGATTGGTTGGTCGGCTTTTGGGGTGCAGCACAACAAGGGTGTGTATGGCCTCGATGCGGAGACATTCCGGCCAGAACGCTGGCTTGAGGTCAAGGACGAGCTGCTGCTCCAGGAGATGACCAGCACGTGGGAGCTTGTATTCAAGTACGGCAAATGGCAGTGCCTTGGAAGGTCTGTCGCCCTGCTGGAGCTGAACAAGATCTTTGTTGAGGTGAGGTCCCCAGTCCTCAGTCCCCAGTTCTTAGTCTCCGGATCGGCAGCTGGCCCATAGCCCATCAGCTATTGTCAGCCACGGGCCGCCGAAGCCCCGGTATCTTTGACGCCCAGCTCTGCCTCTATTTGTCTTGGGTACATGATGCTGACTGCGCTTCGATCACAGCTTCTACGTCGGTACGATTTCGGACTGCTCAACCCCCCTTCACCGTGGAACTCATTCAGTGCTGGAATCTTCATCCAGTCAGAGCTCTGGGTCAAGGTGACCCGGATCTGAGGATGATGGGACCAGCACTCGATATGGGTGACCCTCGCCAAGTTGGCCCTGAACGTGCACATGACCTTGTCTTTGTTTCCCAAAGTTTACTTTCACATACCCAGGGTGGCAAAGGAATTTTTTTATTCTTCTTCAAATGGCAAATTAAGCGGGCGTAATCGATGAATTATGGCTTGGCCAAGCAGTGCATCCGGCAAGGGTGGCCTGGGTTCACGAGGATGTGATGCCATTGCGTGTGAGTGGTCGGGGCAATGTCAGTAGAGATGGCAGCAGAAAAGAGTGGTTAGACTCGGTCTCGGGCAGAGGAATACCCCCAAAGAATTAAGCTGTGTATATTTCGTAAATGTCTTCGGAGTGCCGGCGACCCCTCCCAGCAAGCAGGCTTGAAGGTGGTGTGTGGGTGTATCCCTGCTTGTTGTCCCACCTGCTCCACGATGATGAACCGCTAGAGCCTCGCTTGCGCTCCTATCCGTCTCGCTTATGCCCGTCAGAACTTGGAGCTGGGGCCGTGGGCGGCAACCTTATTGCGTGGATGCTTGATCCCTGAAAGAAATGGGGAAGCAAAAATAAAAGACTGGGGCCCCTTCAGCTACTGGAATAATTCTCGAAGCTCGAGCAGCCACCTCCTACGTACATGGCGCGACATGTTCGACCACAAAGTACCTTCCCTTCCTTCGGGTCCCATTGAGTGAGTGCATTTGCGAATCGTGCAGCCAACACCCGACCGGGCTCGATTGGGCTCGACCGGGGAAGAAGCCGCATTGCATTTCTGAGACACACCACTTTTTTTCAGCTCGACACCCACAAGAGAGCAAGCAAGCAAGCTGGGCCCCACGGCAGCAGCCCGGGACAAGCAACAGTACTGTCTGTACAGATACTTGACATTGACGACGGGCACGGCACAGTCTCCCCAAACATCCACATTCACACCCACACCGCCCCCGCCTACCCCCCCTTTTATCCATGACCCGACACGGCAGCTCTCAAGGTTGTGATGCAGGCCACAGCAAAATTGTGGAACAAGTCCTGCAGTAAGCCGTCACGTAACAACACCCAGGCCCCTCGGCAGATATCGGTCCCGCCTCTTACCCCCGTCACACACGCACTTACTTGCACACAAACACACGTCTCCGCACTGCGAGCCCGAGGGGAGGGGACGACGTGGCCATGGCAGGCGCACATGCACATGCAGGCGCACATGCAGCTGTGAGGTTGCGCGCCCTCTGTGCCTCTGCGGCCGCGAGCATCAGCGAGGAGTGCGACCACATCCTCCGGATGGGAACAGCAGCAGCACTGGCCGCCGAGGGCAACAGCAGCCGGCAAGGGGAGAGGAGGGAGGATGGTGGATCCCCTGCTGCTGCCGGCGAGGAGGTACTGGTGGGTGGTATGGGCCACGGGCCCGCACGAGACGATCGCGACCATGTCATGACCGCTGCTGGGCTCGGCCTGGCCGACTGTGGTGAGCCGCTGGTGCATCTGCTGTCACGGCAGGCGTCACGACTAGCTGCTCTATACGAGGCTGCCATGCCTCTATCCCCTTCTCCCTCGTCGCCTGTAGCCGTCGGCCCGGACGGGTCTGCCGGGCAGCATGACGGGCGGCCTAATGCTCCCACGCGCCCGTCAGCACAAGGCATGCGGCAGTTACGCGGAGGCCTTGACGACGGTCTCGTGCTGAAGCGGCTCGACGACATCATATCGATTGCATATTCCAAGTTCTATGCATACCTGTACAAAGACCTCCCTCTCAGCTGGAGGCAGCTGTATACGGACGCCAGCATACTCAGGTTCGGCTACCTGTTCCTGTCCCCGTCCCAACAATTACGGGAACCGACCGGGGGCGGGGCTGATGTGACTGCGCCGTCAAGGCAGGCTGCGAGAGACGCAGCCGAGCAATCAATACAGGAGATGGTCAGGACCTTGGACTTGGCACTGATACTAGCCGGCGCCGGTGGTGTTGCGCGTGGCAGGAAATGGATCGACACAGCCTTCGACCTCTTGGAGAGTATCTGCGATGCCAACAGCGCCGGTAATGGCTTGCGCGCCATGACGGCCTCTGACGATATCACGCCACCGCCGGCGAAGAGGTCAAAGCTCGACCCGTCGACTGGCACAGCGGCGCCGGGGCGAGCATTGGCTTCCTTCTCCACGCTTGAGCCTTTTACACCACCGGTCAAGAATCCCATACGCCGCGTCTCTGCAGATGTGATGGACATGGCATCATTCCAGCAGTACCTCGACCGTGCAGACCCGCATCGAGGTCCCGAGCCGCTGATCCTGACGGGCCTGTTGGAAGGCTGGCCAGCCAGGGGTGCTCGGCCATGGGATAATCCAGATTACCTGCTGTCGCGCACCTTTGGCGGGCGGAGGCTGGTCCCCGTGGAGATCGGCAGGAGCTACGTGGACGAGGGCTGGGGCCAGAAGATAGTGACCTTTGGGGAGTTTCTGAGGGATCATATCGACCCGACCTCAGTGGCTCCTCCTCAGTGCCAGCCACCACCAGCAGCCCTGGTACCAACAGGCCCGGTCCACGAACAGCAACGCACGCCGCAGGCAGGTGATAGATCAGATCCGGTCCATCATCCTCCCGCGCCTCCCGCTCCCCCCTCCTATCCATCCAATATCGCAAGCCGCCCGGCAAAGGCAGCAGCAGCAGCAGCCGAACCACCACCACAACCACCACAACCACCACCACAACCGTCACAACAGCCAAGAAACACAGTAGCCTACCTAGCACAGCACCAGCTCTTCCTCCAGCTCCCGCAGCTGCGCAACGACGTCCTCGTCCCGGACCACTGCTACACGGCCGCGCCCCGCCACCCGACCGACCCCGCCCAAGACCAACCAGAGCTCGACGCCCCGCTCCTCAACGCCTGGCTCGGGCCCCCAGGCACCATCACGCCCCTCCACACCGACCCCTACCACAACCTGCTGGCCCAGGTCGTCGGGAGGAAATACGTGCGCCTGTACTCGCCTGCCGACGCCGCCGGTGTGATGTGCGCGCGGGACCGCGAGGGCGGCGTCGACATGGGCAACACGAGCGCCTGGGACGTGGGCGTCCTCGAGGGCTGGGATATCGACCCTGGCATGGGCGTCGACGCCTCGGCGGCCTCCCCCGCCGGCGGTGGCATCGCAGGGGACAGGGACCGCGACGGGGGCGGGGGCGGGGGTTTCGTCAACGGGCAGGGGCCTGCTGCTGGTGAGGGTGACGACGAGGGGGAGGCGGCCGCCAGGGCTCGCCAGCAGCAGCAGCGGTTCCGCGCTGTGCCCTTTGTCGACTGCATCCTCGAGCCTGGGGACACTCTCTACATCCCCATCGGGTGGTGGCACTACGTCAGGGGCCTCAGCGTCAGCTTCTCGGTGAGCCTCTGGTGGAACGGCGGGGAGGAGTAGTAGAGTAATATGGGTAATAATAATGGTAGTAGTAGTAGTAGTAGTAGTAGTAGTAGTAGTAGTAGTAGTAGTAGTAGTAGTAGTAGTAGTAGCCCGGGGTCATTCGTTGGTATGTAGGCAGGCAAGGCAGGCATAGACAGGGCTCTCACCCTGTCCGCACTTGCAGTCTTACTCGGCTCCGGTTTCCCTGGGAGGCAGTGATCCGGTCGAGCAAGCGCATATTCAAATCTCCGGGCCAAGCCTGGTTCCACGCCCCCGACATGCCCTCACATGCTTGGCCTCCCTGTCTCTGCATGCCTTCTCTGCAGGTCTAGTGGCTGGAACGCACATGTCAGCTCCAGGGGCAGGCAATCCTTCTCCTTCACACTCACTCTCTGTCCGGCTGGAGCTGTGCCATAATCTCCACCGGTAGTTCTCTTATTTCCAGTAAGTGAGCACAAGTCACTGCATCACAGCTCGGACTATCGTCTCGCGAGGCATAAGACAGGTCAAAAACCCTTGCTGGTGATGCATCGCATTTATAAGTATCTCTGCCTAGAGTGACTCGGGACCTAACATGCACCCGCAGTGTCACTTGTGTGCGCCGCCCAAGCATCATCATTCTGGCCCTACGTGTGCGCGCTTGGAATTCCCCTCTCAAAATCATCTGCTGGATATGCAAATCTGCCAACAAGTCAGATAGTAGACTTGCGGGCATAAGGATAGAAGCAAAGCAGGTAGAAGTCATGCGCCCGACGCCGGCTATTCACAATTGTGTTCACCTCCCAGTCTCGCCCTTTCCTGCGCGTACCAAAAAAGAAGAAGAAAAAGAGAGGCTCACCACCACAACGGATGTCTCCCTGTTATCCCATCACGTCGTGTGATGTGTAGGCGTGGCTACCCACACCTACTCCGAAACCGCCCATTTCCCACGAACCCCTCTTCGAAAATTTACAGCCGCCCGGTGACGACCTCCCTCTTGAAAATCCGTACACCCCAGACATCGTAAAAATGAATGTTGTCGATAGTCTCGAGTTTTGACCTGCCGTCCAGAGTCGTGACCCCCTCCTCGTCATCCTCGTCGCTCTCGCTACCCAGGTCGAGGTTGTCCGTTGTCAGGACAGGGAAGTGGTCACCGTTAAGAAAAGTCGTCAAAGGGACGGCCTTCTCTTTGCCCTTTGACTTGGCCGACTTGCCCTTCACTATCTCCTTTGATATCTCCTTCAACCTCAAGATGCGCTCAACGCGCTCACCGTCGTCAATAGCGAGCCACTCGAGCTTGAGTTCCGGGTAGTGCGACAGCGTGTCAATAACGAACCGCTTCGTTTCGCGCATAACCCAGACGCAGGTGTCGTCGTTGCGAAGGTTGATAATGTGCAGGGCACGCAGGCTCACGAGGCCGGATATATGCTGCAGAGTCGTGTGCTAGAAACCACGGTCAGTCATCACTGCCTGCAAAAGAGACGTGGGAAAAGGACTCACGATAGCACGAATCCCCATATTGACGGCCAGCTCTTCGAGTTTCTTGCCACGTCTGCAAATGAGCAACATAGCCTTGTCGTCAACATCCCACGTCGAGTCTTGCTGGTTCTTGACCATGAGTCGCTTCAATGTTGGCATGTGCCTCTTTAGCACCATGCGTCTGATTTGATCCATCGAGATGGCTGTCTTTGGCGCAAACGGCTCAGGTTTGTACTTGTCCGGCCGCTCAAGCATGAACAGCTCGTGGAGCTCCTCCAACTGGGAGGCGAACGTCAAAAACGGCACAGAAACATTGTCTGTGAAGATCTTGCGCAGCGCAATCGGTTGCTGTTTGTTCTCTTTGGCGAGCAAAGCCCATATGGGAGCCTGGTTGCCGACGTTGAGTAGCGTGATACGTCTCAGAACGCGAAGGTCTACGGCTTTCGATAGAACCGACGCCTTGACGGGGATAAGGTAGATACCGAGCGTCTGCAGGCTCAGTCCTCTGGTCGACCGTGCGTATTCAGTAATGCGGCTCGGAACGCCATGGCCACCTCTCAGCGCTGCGGCAGGATTCTGATTTTCCGCGTCTTCGATCTCAGCTGCTACGGTGGCCATCTCGCTCTGGATGTCTTTGATATTGGTGCTGAGCTCGGTCATACGCAAGCTAGCGTCCTTCATCCGGATCTCCGATTTATGACCTGGGGCAGTAGGGAGCTCCTGGATCTCCTTGTGTAGTTCTCCAGCCTCAACTTCGAACGTTTCTAGCTTTTCGGCCAGCGTCTTAAAGTTCTGCTTCTGGGCTGATAGGCTGGCCGTCGTGTTGGGATCGTTCGAGCCCAGAGCTAGAGGAGTATCACCATTTGCCGAGGCGTTGTTGGTTCCACTGCCATTAGAAGTGGATTCCTTGGTTGGGGCCACTTCAGTCCCGTTAGCAGGCTCAGGTGTGGCGATTTCCGAAGGTTCCTCAACAAAACTATCATCCACCGGCTCTTCAATGTTGATGTCATCCGGATCGGCGTCTTGCTCAAGCTCCTTGCCTTTTGGCGTCTTGGGCTCGAATAAACTGCTTTCGCCCGATTGAGAATCCTCAGCCTTTGACGCATCTGGCCCGGCCGTGCCATTGGTTTCAGATCCGCTGGCACTCGACTCTCCATTAACCCCGTTCTCCTTGGGAGCGGCTGCCCTGCCTTTCGATTCATCGACATAGGTTCTCGCCGCTGCCTCTATCGTGTCAAGAATCTCCTGCTGGACCGCACCGAAGTCGCCAGACCCGGTTAGATCGTTCATGAGTCTCTCTGACACGGCCTTGATAGAAGTGATGAAGCGATGGCCAGGGTCCGTCGACTTCCCCTCGCTCGCGGGCTCGTTCTCCGTATCCCGCGGCTTCTTGGTTGGCTTCTTAACCACATAAGGCTCCACGTCAAAGATTCGACCCAAAACCGACTCTTGAGTCTTTCGCTCCTCCTGGGCACGGAACGCCCTGGCAGGTCCACTAAGATCGTCGTACGGGGGGACGGGGGGTGGTGCTACCACTGGGACAACCTGGAACTCATCGTCGGGATCCGAATCATCGGGGTCGATGTCCGGTGGCGGTTTGCGCGCACGCATGGCCATGTTGTGCGAGAATGACAGCTTCAGCTTGGACAGGGTTGCGTGAGAGTTTCTGACGCAAGTCTTGAGCTCGGTAACCACGTCCAGGTCGTCAATGTCCAGGACGGACAGGGTCTTCAATTCCTTGAAACCTGACAAAGTCGGCGGGTTCTTGGACGATGGGGATTTCTTGAACGGCTTGATCCTAGCAGGTGGCTTCGGCGGCGGCTGCAAAGGCGGTAGCGACGAGGTAGGCGGAGGGATATAGAACGGCGGAGGTGGGGGCGGAAGCGCAGCAAAAGTCGGCGGTGGAGGCTGTGCATCAAGGAGTGGAAGATGATGCGAGGAAGCGTTCGGGGTCGCACCGGGTGGCGAAAGAGGTAACGGCGGGGGGTGCTCGTACAATGACGGGCCTGCCTGGAGACGAATGTGAAGATGCGACAGGGTATCGATACTGTGGAGCGCCTTGTATACCGGCCGACTGAGCTCGACGCGAATGTTCCATCTGCGGCAGAGCAACTCAGCACGTGCAACTTGGACCATGAAGGAGCGTGCGATGATACTGCGGCCTTACCTCAGAGTCTCCAGGGCTCTTGCCTTGCGCAAGGTCAGGAGGAGAAGAGTGTTCAGGAACTTGCCGCAGCTGACGCTGTACAGGTAGGGTTTGTACGCCGTCTCAGCCTTGTCGCCGGCACTCAGAGTATCAAGCGATATGTCTCTGAGGTGTTTCGCATAGTCATAATCGCTGGTGACGAATGTCTCCAGACCGCCCGCCAGCCCGTCTATTGGCGAATCGAAGGCGGGGTCGTCCTCATCGGGAAAGACAATGTGGAAATTCCGGTACAGCTCGGCTGCAGCCAGGGCTCTGAAGTGTTTGGAGACGAGAGACAGGCAGATAAGCTCTGGTTGATGGCACTGCGGCTGTGGTTCAGCTGGATGCCCTCGTCACGGCCGGCCAGATGGAGCTGGCGCATCAGGCACGGGGGAGGGGCCCACCCTGGGCGCGGGGCGCTTACATGACTGATGATTTCCTTCTGCAATTCCTGAGGCAGGTCTGTGAATTGGAGGCCAGCAGGCGGGGCAGCCTGGGCGACAGTGTCCGACGCCATCGCAGGAGGCTGGTGGGCGTTGCTGAGAAGTCAGAAGCGAGATCGGGCCTGATGCTGCGACGAGGTGATTCGGTTGTCGGCAGCTTGGTCTCTGGGTTGGTTGGCACCTTGGCAAGGTATGCGAAGCAGGCCGGCGGCGCGCCAAAAACTCGAGGGGGCTGCTGCAGACGATGCAATTACTCCTGGTCGGCGCAGAGGCAGTGAAGCAGCTGTAAGGTATTGATTTAAAGAAAACCGTACAAACAGAAGGAGTGAAGATGCTTGTCGAGTGAATCAGAACGTGGGTGAAAGGACGAATTCGACCTTGGAGAGTCAACAAGAAGCGGCCCACTCACTTTTGCCCGCTGAGATCGACGGGGCGCTAGGAGGACGGCGGGGGAGAAGCTGGGGCGAGCGCTTCAGGATTGGAGAAGGTCCCCGCGGCCAATCACCCTAGAACCGACAGGGGTCGTAGGGGTTTGCCAAGTCCACGTCAAGGCATGGGGAGCTTACTGCTCAAAGCAGAGGGAAAGTACCTCCCGTAGTGCTATCTCGCAACTGCTTTAGAAGAACTAGTCCTCCAGAGGACACTACCATAGGCTCTAGCCCCACCGGAAGTTCTCAAAATCAATATACCTCGAATTAATTCACGCTTCAGTCGTAAGTGTTTATACAGGAGGCCTTCCGATTGGAGGTTTTTTCATGGGGTACTGATCTCTTCTGAGCAGGATATCTATCATGCGGCAGCCCAATACAGGAGGCTGTTCAACAGCCATTCCTCCTAAAAAAAGGTTCATGTTCACAGGACCATCAGGTAGGAGCATTTGCAACAGTGATTTATCCTATAGGAGCTCATCATGCTAGGGACATGACTGGGTGCACCTGCCTACAAGGAAGCCCTGCGCCGTCAACTGTGAGCCACAACAGCGGAGAGCGGAAACCTCCAAAAGGAGGACAAGAAGCAGGCAACTGATTCATTTCAGACCGGCAGGCACGATGTGGCAACATGGACGGCCGTATGACACAAGCAGAAGGTTGGTTTCATCGGCGGCCAGCTCTTCAATGCTCCGGGGATGAAAGCAGTCGGGATCCATCGTAGCCATCCAGTCAAGCGTATGCCAGGTATAGGGTTGCTCCCTGCACCGCTGCCCCAACGCTCCATTCTCTCCTACCGGCAAGGCTGTCAGTGCTGTAGAGCCCCATCCCCCAAGACCTCAACGTGCAAGCACGCCCTGTGTCCAAATATGCATTGAGCCGTGCAAGGCCGGATTGCCCTGCAGTGTTTAGACCAGATCCCACTGGGCGAATATATCCCAGCCCATCCCGATCCTGCCCTTCTTTGACAAGAATTCTGCCTTCGTCACTCCTCTGCCGTCCGAATCACCGAATTTCGAGAGGGACATGAGCTGGATGCTTTGCCCAGGGCTTCCGAGGTCCCTACAAATTCAAGCATTAGTATATGGCGGCAGAGGTCTCGTGATGGGGGCAAGCACGCACCTGGCTGGTATGTCACACCACCACCAGAAACCATCATTATCACAGGGAACGAGATCATCTTTCCGCCCATCCACACCATGAATTTTGATCATTAGGAGTCTCGGCTTTCCTTGTCCGTGTCTCTCGCTCGTCCAGTGCTCGCACACCTTGGCGAACTGGAACCTCACAACCTCACCGCTGTAGACGGGTATCTTCTTGTCCGCCGGCGACGACAGCCACTCGTTAATCCCCTCTTCAGTAGCGTTGCCAAACCACTGAGTGCGTTCACCTGTCGAACCACCCAGGTAGTACTCCTCCCAAGTAGGGGTGCGCCCGTCATCGCGAAAGAAGTGTTGTGGGTTTTCGGGAAAGTGCTTCATCCTGCATACTATGTTAATCACAGCTGTCATTTTAGCAGCAACATGGGCTGGCACTGCTGCACGAGGCCAGGGGTTTGGGGACCCGCGAAAAGCTGACAAGCCATCTCCGCTGATGCATTGCGATCCATTGCAGATGTACAACGGCACCCCAACGTGCTAGGGGATGACATCATGCAAAGAAGATGGAAAATCTTACCCGAACTGCTCGTTGCTGGTTATGAACTCGTGTGGACTGAAACTCTTTTTATAACGCTGGTCCGAGAGATGCCCTGCTCCCCAGCAGGGATCCAGGAGCTTCCAGTAGCCGTTGTCGATCCTGACTGCATTCCAAGCGTGGCCTGTGGCATTGCGTGGAGGTGGCCTTTCCCCTTGCTTGAGAGGAGAATAGCCATAACCTTTACCATGGCCCCCGACCACGATACATTCCAGCCCAGCCCGCTTCGCAATGGCCTCGTAGACACGGGCATAGCCCTCGCAGACTGCCCTTCCCGAGAAAATGGTATCGCTCGCTGTACCCCTCGTGATACAACCGCCAAAGAAACCTTCGACGTCCTACTCTTTGTTAGTGATGTGTACACCGAAGTTAGAAGAACGAACAAAGTGCAGTTGGATCAGAATACGGACATATGCTATATTGTGATGACACCAGGTGAATATTGCACGAGCCTTGTCTGTGGGCGAAGGAAAAGGTCCGCACAGTACGCTGGCTAGGTAGCCCACTGGGTCACGACGATCCACGACCGACGACGGATACTGAGCTGCAACGCTGTCCGGCGCCGAAAAGTCTCGACAAACAAGACATGAGTTCCTCTGCTGTGCCGCACTATTCGCCGCTGACGCATCAATCTGCGCCGCACTAGGCCGCGACGCCATAGGAACCGGCGGGGGAGCATCGTTCACAGGGTCTGCTGGCGTCCCTCCCGACGTATCCCCACTGACCTCAGGGATCGTCCTGATAAACTTGTCAGGAGGCGGGGGCAGACGACGGGTGGGCTGCGCAGGAGGAGAAGACGCGTCTGCTCCGTTGAGGCCGGGCGACCTGGCCGGCCTGCTGGGGAGCCGAGGCGGCAGGGACGGTCTCGGAGTACTGCTTGCCTGAGGCAGGGCGGGCATCGATCGTTTGGGGAGCAGCGGCGGCCTCGCAATCTTTGCCGAGCTTGCTGCCCTGGCGTCCTCGGCCTCCTTAGCCATGGCTGCCTCCCTCTCACGTCTCGTTGGCGGGAGTGGGGGCAGATTGGCCTCTTCCAGAGGAGGCGGCAGCTTGCGGCCGTCATTCTGCCAGTGGTTGGTTGTCTGGCCCAGGGACAGTGCAGAAATACTCGAGGAATGAGACTTCACAGACTCGTTGGAGTTGCGGCGTGGGCCAAGTGACTGAGTTGAGGGCCTCCTGGGGGGCAGGGCGGGTGATATCTGATCAGATGGCCGTCGCTGGGGAGCGAGGCTGCGGGGGGGGGAGTTCCCATTTTGTGGTTCGGTGTTGCTCCTCTGTGGTAGGGCAGGCGGTGCCCTTTTCGTGGGCCTTGCTGGAACCACCGGTGTCGTGTTCTCGGTTGGCGAGGCAGTGTTCAAGCTGGGAGAGTTGATCTGGCTGGGGGGTTTTGATGGTGGCCTGTTTGGCGGGGGAGGTGGCGGTGGCCGCTTGGTGGGAGCAGTGAAGTTGCGTTGCTGGTTCAGCGCGGCAATCCTCTCGGCCAGGGAATTAAATTGAGGCTCCTCGGTGTCAGCCATCATATTCAAATCATTAAAATAGGTATGATCAAGGAAGCAAGTTGCAGCGAGAAAAATAATGATTAGATGAGAGAAGTCAGCAACGCGTGGGGTAAAACCAGACGGAACGAGCGACGGCCTAGGCTGCAAGTCGGCGGTGCAGGCTGGTGCTATGTGGTGCAGGCTGGTGCAAGACGAGATGGCAACTGATCAGCAAAAAGCGGGACACTGAGCCCCAATTCCACGCCCTAAATGCAAGAGATCGAAAAGAAGGAACCAGTCAATCTGGGAAGCGGTAGGTCGGTGGCAGAAGGTGAAGAGAACAATTTCAATGTTTGCTGCTGCCGTCAGCCGCAACGCGCCCAAGTGCAGGAGGAGTCGGAAGGAACAGGTGCCTGCACGGATCATGCTTGTGGGAGCACAGCCTCTTGGGTCAACTAATCAGAGCCCTCCTTCAAAGGCGGCGCAGCGAAAATCAACCATGTCCTCTACATATCGGTCGTGCCCCTCACCAGACGGTAATACGGCAACCTGATGCCATCTGCATGTCATATGTGGAATGCAGGAGCTTCAAACGTGACGCTAACAATTCCAGAATGACTTGGATACAATTCACGACACCATATCCATCTCCCTTGCCCTTTGATACAATGTTTGATTTCCCAGTTGGCGCATGTGTTGATACTGCTGCGGGTACTGTTGTCCGTAATTACTAAGTATTAATACCCTGTAGACCCCTCCTCCACTGTATCCACTCTACTATATAGTATCCTACCAGATTCTCAGTCTATCTATCTATACACGATGTGCCAACCGCCATAATTAGATGCCATAAGCCATTATTCCTAACTATTTAGCAGCCCTGCTGCTGCTCGACGGGCTCGTCCTGCCCTCCCCGGCCACTGCCAAATCGGCATCTTCTGGTGTCCTTGACTTTTCTGGGTCAACCTTCGCTGTCTCTACGGGAGCGCCCGCCCCGGGCTTCTTGATGCTCTTCCACTCCACGGCCAAGGCGCAAAGCAGTGCAGCGAAAGCAAGGCCCATGGCGGCCAAGAAGATCCTCGTCAGTGCGTGGTTGTACGCATCGAGCACAATGGTCAGGTCCTTGGCCGGTACCACATCGGCCAACTCCGTCGCACCGCTCTCCACGATCCGAGCCGGGTCAATACCAGAGACACCTGCCAGTCGCGAGACGAGCAGGTTGCTGAGAATTGCCTGCCCGACGGTCGTGAAGATGGCACCTCCGAGCTGCTGGGAGAAGAATATGCAGGCAATCCCCATCGACACGTCCGCCATGGGCAGGACAGTCTGCACGGCCAAGCTACCCGTTTGCATGCCCATGCCGAGGCCGAAACCAGACATGAATTGGTAGCCGACCCAGTGGCTCTGAGGGGCGCCACGGGTGAGGGTGCTCAGCAGACCTTCGCCAGCAGCCATGATGCATGGACACAGCAACATAGAGGGAACGTAGTACCCTATCTTTGCGGTTGCCACTCCATTGATCAAACTCGATGCCAAAAGGGACAGAACCAGTGGCAATGTGTAGATACCCGATTTGAAGGCACTCACTCGCTCCACAGTTTGGACTATACTTTGATCAGCAAACCCTACGAACAACCAAGAAACCAGGCGACAGCACTTACACCAAAGTGGGAGGTAGTATACCAGCATGAGCATAGAGCCTGCGATGAAGAACGTGAACCACACCGAGAACAGCACGGACCGCTGCTTAATGACCCTCGGTGGGATAGAGGCAGTATCGGGCATGATGATCTGTACAGCAGCAAATGCCAGTGCTAGGACGCCACAGAGAACAAGGAGCAAGATGATGCGCCAGTTGGCCCAGGCGTATGTCGCGCCACCCCACTGGAGTGCGAGAAGCAGGCAGACCACGGCCGGGACGCAGAAAAATGTACCCAGGGGGTCGAGACGCTTGATGTGAACCATCAATGGAGCTGGCTCGGTCTTCTTGGCTGGTGGGTTCCAAAAGAAAATCATGAAAATCCTTTTGCGCTCGTTAGAAAGGCTAACTCGACTGCAGTATGACATGTTGGAACTTACAGCGTGAAACCTCCGATGGGAAGGTTGATATAGAAACACCATCTGTTAAAGGCAGCTTAGCGTATGCCCAGCCGGATTTTCTGGCGGGATCGAGCTCACCTCCATGTAAGTGCGCTGCTGGTGAAGGCACCACCGAGTAATGGGCCCAAAACCGACGAAATCCCAAACACCATTCCAAACATGCTCTGGAACATGGGTCGCTTAGGCAAGGGGATCATGGGGATCATGATCATCATGGCTCCCGAGAAAATGCCTGCACTTCCAAAGCCGGCCACGGCTCGACCGAAAATAAAGACGGGGGAGGTGGGAGCAGCTCCGCATATAGCTGAACCAACCTCGAAGATAACCACAGAGGTCAAGAACGTCCTAAAGAGGCTCGTCAGCGGACAGGACAGGTCGACATGTTTGGTCAAACATACCATTTCGTGTTGTAGAACTTGAACAAACGACCAAAGAGAAGTTGAGATGCCGATGTCGTCAGCATATACGCGGAGCCATACCAGCCAATGTCACCCTGGCTGTGGTATTCGTCCGTAATTCGAGGGATCGCAGTTGCGACAATGGTACGGTCCAGGGCAACAAGGAAGAGAGCCAGGAAGTTGGCCAGCAACGTCAACCAGAACCGAAGAGTCTTGGGCTTGTATAACGTGTCGGGACCTGGAGCACCCGGGCCGCCCAGGCCACCAGGACCTTGTGGCACTGGAGGCCCCTGTGAGATGGTCTTTGGAGCCTCATTTTGAGCCGACGAGCTTTCTGCCGGGTCTCCCATCACATGGGGGCGATTTCGACCGTCTTTCTCGCGTTTCTCGAGGTCAAGAGCACTCTCATTGCATCGAGGCTTCAAGGAAGAGGCCACTTGGGTATGGCTACTAGCCAACGACGTGGTTGAACGATTCATTTTGTAGGCTTAAAAAGGTCTATCCTCTGGTATGGTGTGCAAATAGATTGGCTGGTGTCAGGTGGTCAATGGAAAAGTGAGAGACAAGTTACACAATGGCTTATGAAGACGAGGAAGAGAACCTATCGAGGAGACTGATAGGTTGGCTGGTCGAAAAGCAATAGCAGCAAGGGACAAAGGCAGAGACCTGCTGCCCTAGGACGTAATCAGAGACACCGGTGCATGATATGAGCTGTACCCGGCGGTTGAAGAGAAGAATCACTTAAGTACTATATGCCATGCCCGACCATCTTACCGCGGCTTACCTCGACGCCGTCGCCGCCTGGGCCCATTGCGGAAGCGGGCCAGCCAGTCTATTAATGTAGCCTGTGCGTTTCGGGGACTGAGCGAGAAGAATGCTAGCACAGCAGCCATCATGGATGTCGGTGGCACAATCAAAGGGCCGTGACTGGTAGATATTCAAGTTGAGGTAGGTGCACCTGTGGTCAGACCCTGGTGCTTCTGGAGTTTCCCCAAGGTCGGCTCCGGTGAGGTCGACTAGTCCCTGCGGATACGCCGAAGCTAATCTGGCGGACGGGCTTCGGTCCCGAGGTACAATGGAGTTTATCTAAGAATATGGGACGACGAATATGGATAAGTGATAGAGAGGTACATTACCAGCCACCAAGATTACTAACATATACAAGTCTAGTCCCATCTGCAGCGGCTCTCAGCGGTACATTCCCGAGATCCCCGACCGTCATACAAGCAAGCCAAAGATAGAAGGAGGGGGAAGAGAAACGGGCCAATCCTGCTGGCCGCTCGTGCAACGGTAGCAAAAGGTCTTCCATTTCCAGTCCCCCGTCTTATCCCATCTCTTGCGAGGCTGAAGACGGTCACCAACAGCCAAGCCAAGCCAGACCAAGCGAGGACAGAAGGAGAGGGCGTTGGCAGAGTGCCAGAAGTGCCAGAAGTGCCTAAAGTGCCTAGCAAGCAAAGCGGAGAGCGCCTCCGTCGACACGTGCCCGCTGCCGCCCTCAGCATTCCAGCCGCCCGCCTCGTCTCATCCCATCTCTTGTTCACGTCCATGTCCATGTCAAAGCTCGTCTCGTCTCTGTGCTCAGATGCAGCTTGAGCCTGTTGCTTACACGACCACGACGATCGACGCGAGCTTACCCAGGATATCGTGCCGTCACATTGGTTAATATAGCACACTGCACTGTGACGGGCACGCCACCACGGCATCTCCCTCTATCGGCTACAAAGACGGTGCCTCGTGGCCGGCAAGGAGGCCGAGACAAGACTGACTGACTGCCTGCTGCCCCAACGCTAAGCCTGCATTTGCCTGCTCGCTTAGTCGTTCGCCGTCGACGGACACTTGAGTACTCCATCGACACCATGACATAGTCGCCATCCGCGCGCCTACTCGACACGCCTTGCCCACTTCCCGACCGAAACGTGCAGGTACACGCACCTACCTAGCCACACACGCGCACTGGTCGGCCGTTGTAAGAATATCCTCCCCCGTCTGCGTTCGGCCCTTGGCCCTTGGCCCTTGGCCCTCTGCTGGCTCAACCTTCGGATCCGAGGCTCTGCTTCAGCTGACCGGAACCTTCAGTCTATGCTCATGCCACCCCGTCTGCGCCGTCCAAGACAGGAGACGCACAATGGCGGGCCCTTCCCCTGACATGCCCTCCTACCCCTTGCCCCAATCTAGCCATGTTGTACCCGAAGCCTCGGTCATGAAATTGACCAGAGGCCACTCATGCGTTCTCTGTCAACAACGTAAAGTCCGCTGCGACAAGAACAAGCCTTGCGCAAACTGTGTCAAGGCTGGTGTCGACTGCAAGGTCGTCCCGCCTCAGCCACCTCGACGTCGCAAGAAAAAGCCACAGGAGAGAGAACTCGTCGACCGCCTGAGGAAGTATGAGGCCCTGCTCTCTCAGCATGGTGTCGACTTTGAGCCGATTGGCCAGCATCTCAGGGCCTCCGATATAGCCACCGATGAGGTCGACGAGATCGAGCACGGTATCGAGGGCCTAAAGACATCTCCTTCCTCGACAGGACAGGATGGCGCCTCTGCCGACAAGTAAGGCCCGCATCTCTCTTGGTCACTCTATCTTACTGACCAGACCTCAAAAAGGGCGCTTTCCAAGTGGTTCCCACACTATAAAGACGTATGTTTGATATCTCTCACCTCAGATTCTTGTCCCTGCAAGACAACCCTATTCTTAAACCCCTGTCTCTGGACCATGACCCCCAGGGCCGATTTACACTACTTTCTATTACCCCCGTCGCTCTGTCACTCGATCATGGCATCTTTCAGCTTGTGGGCTATTTTAACATGTTCCTGCCAAAAATGCCGGTGGTGTGAGCCGGTCCCGAACATGGCAGCTTGCCATGTGGTCCTTGATTGTCTCCGCCTGTTGACAGAACAATCGTTAACGTTCTCCGTCAGCAGTTCAGAACACAAGATGCCCAGTTCAGGGATTCTTCAGACGATGGCTCCGATGGTCCAATGATCCATCATGCGTTCGACAAGATGTTTGATGGCCAAGATGGCTTTCCGTTCGTCATTGGAGGGTCAACTTCATCCGTCACCAACCTCCACCCTCCAGGCGTACAAATATTTCAACTCTGGCAGATCTATCTTGAGAACGTCAACCCGTTATTGAAAGTGACGCATACACCTACTATACAAGGCTCGTTGATCGAGGCAGCTGCCAATCCCGCAAAGATCGCGAAACCACTCGAGGCCCTCATGTTTAGCATCTATTTCATCGCTGTCATATCTATGACTGAGAACGAAGTGCAAGAGACCTTTCACGATGATAAGAATCGACTCCTCTCCAAATACCATCACGGTACCCAGCAGGCCCTGGTCAACGCTGGATTCATGCGGAGCCCCGATCTTGTCGTCCTACAGGCATATGTAATGTATTTGGTGTGTGGCCCTCTCTTATGTGTACTCCTAAAAATGGGGGCTTTCCTTGTCTAACGAAAATAGCTCTGTGTCCGCCAATACACGGACCCACGCTCTTTGTTTTGTCTAATAGGCATTGCTGTTCGCATTGCCCAACGGCTGGGGCTTCACCGAGACGCGGAGCAGTTCCATCTTGCCCCATTTGAAGTCGAGCTGAGGCGTCGGCTCTGGTGGCAGCTGGTTGTCTTCGACAAGAGGATCGCCGAGATCACAGGTTCGACAATCACTGCCCTGGCATCCAGCAAGGGTGATTGCAAGTGGCCCCTGAACATAAACGATACAGACCTACACGTCCACGCCAAGGATCGACCTGCGCCTCACATCGGACCCACCGAGATGCTATTTTGCCTGACAAGATTTGAATTAACAGCTGCTGTAGACGTTGAGGGCATCCGACCGGCACCGAACCTTTCAGCGACCGGTGGCAAGCCGAAGTTCCAGTACAGCGCGTCGCCACATTCCTCCGACGTCGTGACGAACGCCGCCAATCACAACCTACCGCTCGTAGATCTAGACAGCTATGTGGCCTGGATTGAGGACAAGTACCTGAAGCACTGCGATCCAAAGGTCCCCTTACACCTCTTCACCCTACTGATGACCCGGCAAGCTGTCTCTAAACTCCGCATCATCGACTACCTCTGTCACGGGCATCTACAACAACATCCGGACCCCAAAACCGTACCAGCAGGCTCCGAGCGCGCATTACGCGAATCTATATTTGAGGAAGGAGTGCGCGTGGTCGAGTATGATATCATGATCCAAGGGCATGAGGCCCTCCAGGGTTTCAAGTGGTTTACATTCATGCACTTCCCCCTGCCAGCATATATGTATCTGGTCGGGGAGTTGAAGTACATAACCAGTGGCGATATGTGCGAGCGAGCGTGGGCGGCGATACTCGAGGACTATGACAAAAGAGGATTGGTCAACAATCTGAGGAGCCCGATGCACACAGCCATGGGTGGAATGATGCTCAAGGCTTGGGATGCATACGAAGCAGCCAAGAAGCAAATGGGTAAACCCTTATCACCACCGCCAAAGATCATTGGGATTCTTCGAGACCGGACAAAATCTATGAACACGAGTAGCAAAGATGCCTCCTCCTCATCACAACATTCAGGACCAGAGTCGAGCGGCAGGGTCAATGTCAGTGCATCGAGTGGCCAGGGTGGCTACGTCGGGCGGCAGCAGCAGCAGCAGCAGCAGCATCAACAACAACAACAACCCGATATGAACATACATAGCGCAGGGAGTTCGCCGCCGATTGTGTCTGCGCCTGGCGCCGGTGGGATGGAGTCCATGGGCGGTGCGATGTTCCCTGGTGTCGGCTTTGAGGGGATCAATCCGCACATGTTCAACTCTGGGGTCATGCCTAGTGACATGGATTTTGGCGCCATGGATTGGAGCTCGGTCTCCACGTGGGGAGGTGCCTTCGCTACAGGATACGACCCGTTCACACAACCGGGAATGTCAGCACCATAGACCAGGCTCGCACTCTGAAAGGAACCAATGGGCCGGCGGCCATTTCGTCCGCGGCCGGCATAGCTTGAAGAGGTTATCACGGTGTAATTGACGACAATGATGTTGACGAACTTGCAAATTGTTATACCCTGCTATCTTGTATATATAGGCGCTATTGACAGCAACATACTACTCATTGAGGTAATACCACATACACGCCATCCGACTTCAAATCTTTGACCCTCCTAATCCTGCTTCCATCATGAATAGCTACAAGGAAGAAGAAAAAATGTTTTCAAAATGTTAGGCACGTCAGTAGCCACTGCTGCTGCGGCTTGTCTGTTCTGCAGTTTTTAATTCCCACTTCTGGCTCAAATTTCTCGCTGTAGCGAAAACCCATAAAGATGACCCCCAAAAAAGCCCGGTCCCCCCCCCCCCAAAAGCAAGCGGGCCGCGACAACGCAGGGATCAAGGATGGGCGGCCCGCCGCCTGGAATCGTGGGGGTGGTTTCTCGGGGTCAGGGGGTGTGGGTTTCTGTTCAGGACCCGAGGGACTGGACACAGGGGTGACCTTATACTTCAAACTAACCTAAGCACGGGCGGGCGTGGGGACCGAGCCCTGTCTCGAGACCAGGGGGCTTTGACAGGCTTTGACAGGCTTTGACGTTTTGGAGAAGCGCCGCGAAAAAAGCGCCTCGCAAGCCATCATTTGGCGTTCCTGGTTTCCTCATTGGTCTCCGAACAACGTGGTGTTCCACATTCTTTGTTTGATCGAGACGAGGTGCCAGCCATGTCAGCTTGTGCTGGGCGGGCGCGGAGATTCCCCATGCTTTGGACCGGTGGTGGGAGGGGGCTGGCTGTTTGTACATACTTAGTACCTAGGTAGGCAGGTACCGGTATGCAAGTACGTATATAAGTGTGTACCTAGGTAGGTAGGTACGTATGGCTTCGTCTGCGCCTTTTGTGGCAACACTATCTTTGCGCCCCAATTGAACCTGTAGCTTGTGTATCCACTTCCCATGTCATTCCCATGAATACAGAGACTGCCAGTGGGATAACAAAGCTATCTCACACAGTTTTGGGAGAGTCCTATACACCCGGCAGGACACGCAACGAAGCGTCTCAAAGGCCAGACCTAAGTTCACAGGCCAGACCTAAGTTCACACGTGGCCCACCGCGTCCAAGTGGCTCTCACTTACCGTCATGCAGTATATTAGGATGATGATAGGGTCAAACATGGGCCGACCCAGTGGTACTACTGTCTTCTACACAATCAGCACTAATCAACAACAAGACAAAGCCGCTACCGTTGACCACACCCGTGGGTTCAGACGTGTCGTGTGTGGCGGCACAGTCAGATATTTGAACATTCCGACATCTGACTGTGTGATGGAATACTTAAGTTACAAGTGAGAAGCCCAAACGACAAGGAATTCAATATGATTTGAGAATGGGAAGAGGCGAAACGCCAATGCTCCACGTGGCTATCCGTATATGTCAATGGCTTGGGATGATTCCATTGACCAGGCCATGAGTTGGTGATCGACCTAAGTTTTCCTTTTCTTTTCTTTTTTTTCTTTTTTTTTTTCTTTTTTGGGAGGGAGGGGGGTAAGCTGAAGCAATCCTCTACGCCCCTTTCCCATTATTGCACGGAGGCAATGCTTCTACGCCGGTGACATCACATCGACTCTTGACGGTAGGCCTGGAAATGGCTCTTGATAGAACAGGAACACTTCCGGAGGACAGACGGGGTGGCGAATGTGGTCTCATCAAGCCTTTCAACAGCCATGGGCGACAAGAGACGCTTCCCCAGAAAGTTGCCCACGTTTGCCAAACTGGGTCTAACAGATGCAACAGACCCAATAATTCCAACGAGGGCTGTGTCCATCTTGCAGAGCTCACAGATCAGGAACTTCAGGAACAAAAGCCGGCATTCAATGTTTCAAGCGCTGCTGTTTCTTCTTGGTGGGAGTGGTCTTGTTTTGTTAATACAGACATACAACATTATCATGACCCTGGCTTGCTTGCTGGCTCTCCTCCCCCTTTCACAGCCCCGTCTCAGAACGCCAGGGCGGTCACTTCCATGAACACCGCCCATGCAGAATATCCGTCTATCTAGGTATAAGGAGTAGATACAATCTCTGCTTTTTTGTTTGTACATATCATCAAACCAGACAATATGGAGAACGTGTGATATACAACCTCGACCCCTGGAGCTTACTCCTTCTTCTCGCTATCCTTCTTCTCACCATCCTTCTTGTTCGAGTCGTCGGTCTTGCCGTCAGACTCATTGTTCTGTCGGTGGGCGGGGTGGTTCGTCAGGTTATGCCATATTGACTTCAGAAATCCTTCATTCTGGTGGTCCTCGGCTGTTGTTGATGCATTACCGCCACTGCTGCTGCTGCTGTGATCTCAAGTATCAGTCCGCCCATTCTCTCATGCCGCCATTGAGCTCGCAACTTACGATGCTGTCCCCGACCCGCCGGAAGGCTTGACCATAACCCGCTTTGCCGTCTTGTCACCCACCTCATCCGCCAGCATCTCCACGAGCGTCCGTTGGTTTGCTGTGAGGTACTTGGGCATGTTCACCTTGAACTCCACCTTGAGATCTCCTGACCCTCCACGGCGGCCGTTAAGCTTCTTCATTCCCATACCGGCCAGGGTCATCTTGTCGCCCGTTGCCGTACCAGTTGCGACCTTGACATTAACCTGGCCGTCCAAGGTTGGCACGGTGACCTCTCCACCTAACAGAGCCGTCGTGAAGGGTATTGTGGCCGTGTAGAGAATGTCGGAGCCGGCTCTGCTGAACTTCTGGTCTGGCGCAACACGGACGAACACAAACAGGTCACCCTTGATACCCCTCGCGCCTGGGGCTGCCGCGGCACCCATGGCAGGAGCATCACCCTGGCCGTCCACCCGCAACCTCATGCCATCCTCGATACCGCCGGGAATGTCCACCGTCAGCGTCTTCCGCTCTCTTACCACACCATCACCCTTGCAGGGCTTGCATTGCGAGCCCTTGGGGACCGTCGTTCCTGACCCGCCGCAGGCGTTACACGTCGAAGCCATCTGGAAGCCGCCCGACATGAAATGTACCCGCGTGCCACTGCCCCCACAGCTATGACACGAGCTGCGCTTCGCACCTTCTTTAAGACCGCTGCCGCTACAGGTACTACACGATACCAGAGGCGTGACGGTGATGGTCTTGCTCGTCCCCTTGGCGGCCTCGACAAAGGATATGGTCGCCTGCACCTCGATGTTGTCGCCGACCACGGCCGTCTCCTGCTGGAAGGGGTTCCGCCCGCCTCTCCTTCCGCCGCCCCCAAAGGCCTGACTAAAGATGTCGTCGAAGTTAAAGCCCTGACCCCCGAAACCACCGCCTCCGCCGAAGCCCCCGAAACCCGAGAATGGACCGCCCGCGCCGCCGAATGGGTCGCCGCCTGGACCGCCAGGCCCAGCATTGGGGTCAAAGGCGGCGGCGCCAAACTGGTCGTACTGTTCCTTCTTCTTGGGGTCTGATAAGATCTCGTAGGCGGATTGTATCTCGGCGAACTGGTCTTTGGCTTTCGGATCTTTGTTGGTGTCGGGATGGAACTTCTTGGCGAGACCGTAGTACGCCTTTTTGATATCGGACGCCGAGGCACTCTTGCTGACTCCCAGGGCCTTGTATGGGTCCTTGATCGGGGCGCGTTGTATCCTCGTCGCGTGGAAAGCCTGTCGAGTTGGTCCTCGGTTAGCTCCCTGAACTCTGCGCGCAGAAGACGGCTTCGCCGTTGTAGAAGCCAAAGAGTCAACTGGTTCTGACCTACCCTTTTTGAAGCGGGCTGCAGACCGCACTTCCGTTGCAGCTGCCGCCTCGCCTGTGCCGGGCCAGGAGCGACAGTATGAAGCTTTCGTGCTTGCGCGGAGCAGGGCGAGATTGAGAGCCTCCGTCCGCAGATTTGCGCCGGCTTGAGCGGCCGGGCAGGAGCCGCGGCTCGAACTACAATGCTTGGTTGCATGTTTCAACGAGAAGCACCAGATGCATTGAAGGGGTAGGCGAGTTCCCAAAATTGGCGGCAATGTTGAAGTCGGAGGGGGGTTTGTCCTGTTCTGCAGAGAATATCTTGGAAAAATCTAGAACTTTACCACTGGTTGCAACGCCGACGGTGGCCGACCCACTACAGAGCCGGCGGGCTGGGAGCTTGTGCGACACCCCTGGACAGCAGGACGTCAATTGCACGAGCCGTCATTGGAAAAGCTTACGGAGCAAGTGACGGCGGAATACTGTGATCTTGGGACGAGTGGCTTGGACAGTCTACATTTACTTCCCTGAGAAATAATTCAAGTGCAATGTGCAATTCAAGATTGCACAAGTTATTCACCTTATTTGCTCCAGATTTCCTAAACACCAGCAATCCAGGACGTGATTCTTTGCTTGTAGAAGTCATGCACAAACTTTTTGGGACCCATGCAGGCTTACTATGTAGGTATCTACGATTAGCAGGCTGCCTGCCTGAGGCACAAGCCAGTGCGTCATCTGCACTAAAGCTTGTCTGCCGATAAGAGCCTTGGAAAGGGTGGAGTCGCGTCTTATCGCCGAGGTCGCGCGATTCCGCCTTTGGTCTCCTTGGTGGCACAAGGGGCAGCTGCCACTGAGAATGGTGGGTGGTGGCACAGAGCCAAAGACAAGGCCGTCAGGAGATGTAGTCTAGAGATTGATCCGTATGACGAACACTGGAAACCCAGTATAGGAGTATCTTTAAGTCATAATGCATGAATGCCCAACGCCAGTCTGGCCCTCCACCAGAATCTTTCTGCTTCCGTCCCAGAGCAGAGAACCGTAAAAAAAAAAATCAAGCCTAGGCCACCGGAAACCAATGCCTGTGAGTGCCACCTTGACCGCCCTCAACGCCAGCCGCGAGATACATATTTACCCATAAATACACTTTGTTGATGACGGACGAGCAGTCATATCCTGTCAGGCTCCGTCATTTTCTTCCCTGCCCTGGGCAGAATGCTCGTCTTGGTCAGCCGACCTCTTCTGACCCGGTGCACAAAGTCCACGACGGCGTCATTCTCCTGGACGGCCTGACTGCTGAAGTGCTTCCGCACCGTGTTCGCCAACTGGCCCTTGGTCTGGCGTCGGAAGGCTTGTTTTCTTGCTAGTGTTGGGGAGTGGAGGCCAATGCTGCCGGGCTTGGTCAGGACCCACGAGCGGTAGTCGCTTGCGTAGGCGGTCGGGGTTGCGAGGTGGTGCTCGCGGCGGTATCGGTGAAGAAAGTCACGGTCGAAGGTGGTCCACTGGATCTGCAGGTCACGGAACACGGTCAGCGGTTGCGTCTCGGAGCAAGCAGAGGGCTCTAGACCCAGGGGCGCGGGCGGGAAGACTCACGCTTGGGTTTGCAGCGGGTGCGTTTGTCGCGACCGCCTCTGTGGGAGGTGAGGGCATGTTTGCAGCGTTTGTGACCTCTTTCAAGTTCGACCCGGTGGAACTGGCGACACGGCGCATCTTCCCGTTGGCGTGGCCGTGGCCGTTCTTCTCTTTGGTATGGGTCGACTTGGGTTCCGAGTCGTCATGGGCCTTTTTGGGAGGCATGGTGGGCCGGAGGACGAGCGAGACTTGGGGGAGGGGGGGGGCAGTTGCAGCTTGGGCAATAATTGCTGTGAAGGAGAGAATCGCAGACGGTTCTTCGGTTCCGTACAAGTCCAGCAGCAGGTCGAGTCACCGTCAAATCGCAAAGGTGAGCCGGGGGTGTCGCAAAGGAGACTTCATTGTGAGATCAGTGCTCGCCCTCGGTCGGAACAAGTGCCAGCCAGCCAGCCTGCCAGGCTACCAGCCCCGGGTTGGCAACCAGCGAGCGCCCAGTACCGGCGGTCGGTTGCAAGTGTGGGGTTAGGTCACGAATCTGATTGTGCTCATGTGCAGGGGTCCAAATGCCCATCCCACCCTTAATTGGATTTCCCAGAGCGGCTAGCCGATCTCGCCAGCCAGCCGTCCACCGGCCGGCCATGTTCTGTGTACGGAGTACTCCGTATTGTAACGGACCTTGAGCCGTTGGAACCTCCGTGCCGTCCAGCAGCCTCTATTGAGAAGGTCGAAGGTCCTCGGCGCGTCGGGGCAAAATTGTTGCATGCATTCTGCACCTCGGTTTCGAACGCAATCGTCAAAGTCTCCGTACGGGAAGAGATCATCAGGTGTTGCAAGCCGAGCTTGACTATTTTGTTGGTACATATGTCACCCGTCTGTCTGTTGTACCCTGGTATGATGAAAATCCTGGTACGACTGCTCCCACGTCGCTCGGCTCCATCTTTGAGTGCCTCTTCCCCCACCGCTCCAAGGTTTGGGTCAACCCGCCCACTCGAGTCTCACCCACCGCAGCTCGATCTCATCACGTGGCCAAGATTCGCCGCATCGTGGGTCAATCCCGAAGTGTTCTTGCAGCCTGTAGTGTACAGACAGTTCTCACCCATCACGTCGCTTGAACCTCGTCGGTCTTCTGCTGCCCGAGGTGGCACCTGCGGCCGAGCGAGCGCCGAGGGCGAGCTGCCTCTTTTCTGCGCCGTCAACCTGCCAATGCGTGCATGGCCTGGACGCACTATTCCTTAGCTGCCTGCCTGTAATGCGAGTCGCCGGAGCTGTCGGACAATGCCATCGCCCAGTGAGCAGGAGGGCGTGCAGGCAATGTGCTGCCGTCAGCCTGCAACGCAGGGGCAATTCTGGCATTGCTGGCATTGCGGGCTACCTACTGTGGCCGCCGATCCCGCACCGAGCTTCCCAAAATTGCCAGCCACAGGTCACCATTGCTACACAAAGCTATGCGCTTCCAGAGGCCGGCATCATGCGCTACTTTGTGCGCGTCTTCTCGGACACTCGCACCGCCCCGATCGATGCCAGCCTGGCTGCCTGGCCAGCAAGGAGCACATAAACACACCACGTCACCAGTCACTAGCCGGGTCAGGTGAAGGGGCAGTGGGACTATGCCGGGCGTCACTTCATGGTACAGTACGGGAATTGTCGCCTTGCGAGCACGGATCATACCTGGGGGCGGCCATGTCTGTTGCGGCAAGGCTCACTAGCCCACGGCCGTCACCCGCGGCGTCCACGGACTAAACACCTGTATCCCACGCTGTTGCGACTCTCCAAAGCCTTGCAAGCGTCGTCGGGCAGAGAGGGTCCAGCGTCACGCGCGGCTGAACTCACCCCCACGCCCAAGCCGGCGAGGGCCCGCTGAATCATGCTCCCAGCTGGCTGGGTGGATGGATTCGTAAAACGCGCTTAGATGGTCTATCCGCCTCTAGCTCGACCAGCAACCAGGCATCCCGCGCACAGTCTCCGGTCAGGCAAGAGTAGTCAATCCATTGCCCCAGACAGTCGGGTTCAGTTTCATTGCCGTTCCGGGGTCTGGCCAGCTTGGCCTAAATAGATCACCGATCACGGCTGGAGCCCTGGGATCATGACGGGGCGCGCAGCTCTTGGGGCCCCTGGGCCAGCGCCCAAGGCAGTTCTGGCAGTGCTCCGTACGGGCCCAACCTTGGTTGCTCGACAGCACAACGTGATGGTCTGGCAGTCTGGATGGTCGACACGCCAATGGTCAGCTGCGGTCGTGAAACCAGGCCTTGGGGCATCTCCGCGCTGCACAAAAATGTGACAGCTCACGAGGCGTGTTGCCCAATTCGATCGAGTCCCCGAGACGTACCAGAACATGCTGATCCTGTAGCCCCGCGGGCAGGCAAGGCGGCCAAGCCATAGGGCCAACAAATCTCTGGCTAGAGACCGCGCGGGCAGGCTGGCAGGCTGGCAGGGTATCAGGGTCTACTCGGGTCGAGACAAGCCAGACCCTGCCTCAGGATGACAAGTTGGTAGCCCTGCAGACGGCGCTCGCAGCGACAACCGAACCTTCCATTTGGTTTCACCCCCCCCCTTGGGCCGCAGCAATTGTTCAATCGAGTTACACAGACGCTCCTGGAGAAGAGGAAACACTCAGGATCAGACTATGGGAACCACCAGGCAAGGAGGGCTGGGATGTCGTCGCGTACAATGGCGTATTGTGAGCGGCAACACGACACGTCCAGGCATGAAGGCCTGGAATGGTGCAAACCCCCACTGAACCCTCGCTATGCCTACCAACGAATGGGTGCCCAGTTCTGGCCTGCGAAGCACCGATCTTGCAGATGGTCGACAAACTGTATCGATGAGATCCACCAGTACTCAGCCGCGACTTCTCGAGCGAGCCATATCTCGAACATGCCATGCGCAAGGCCTAGCCACCTCGTCACGTCGTAACTTTGTGCACGCGCCTGCCACCTTCCATGTGTACAGTTTGCGTGTGCAGTCGCCGTCGCTGCAAGCTAGTGAGGAATTTCATGTGCCTCAAGTGCTGCTCTGCACCACCACCACCTTACCCCCCAACCATTTCCAAAAAGAGTCTCGGTAGGTGTGTTGCAGATCGGGCGGGCTACTGTGAGAAGAGGGTGGGCGTTCAAGGGGTACCCCCTGTTGGGCCGCGCCAGAACCTCCACGCCCCGAGGACAAGCTGAAATCGCTTGTCACCGGATTGCATTGCCATATGCGCCCTGCCCCGGGGCGATCTGAAAAAGCAAGCAATAATAAGGGCGGGATCAAATGGAAATAGACTGCGACGGACCCACGATATTTCGACCTGGCCCGCCCGGAATCAGAGATGAAGAAGCTCTGATCGCGAGGTGCCCCAATTTCAGCCGAGGATTCCACAGAGAGACAGGGGCAGGCATGGCAAGGGCGCATGCCCCAAATTGTGGGGTGCTTACTCTGGACGGGGTGGCACCGTGGAGGGTGCGCCATAGTCCATGGGGATGGATCAGCATCTGGGCAGGCAGGTCTGGACAGGACGCAGCAAGCCAGGACAAGCCTCAAAATGCATAGTTGGGCAGGGGTGTGTCGAGCAGCAAGAGCTGCATCGAAGTTAAAAAGCCAGCCCAGGCTGCCAGGATAGACGGCTCCTGTGTGCAGCTCTGGTCCCCCAACCACCCTTGCCCCCCACCACCCACCCGCAATGGCAGTGGTGGCTCGTCTTTCGGGACGGTGATTAAAGTACAAGTCGGGTCGGAAGCGAGTGGGCCCTGAGGAGAGTCGCAATGAGAGCTACTCCAGACGGGGTGGATGGACTCGGTGCAGCATCCGTCTTCTCTGCACCTGTTTGCGCTTGCGCAATATTGTAGCCTCGAGCTGCAGCACTCGTCTCCGCCGGAGGGGGGTGGGCGCCGTAAGATGACTCTCCGCCGGCAGTCGGCAGCATACCCTCTCCAGCTCCCACCTGATGGCTGCCCTTGAGCTGTCCGTCCAGGCTACTGCATGCTGGGATGCCATAGCGCCTACACAGTAAGTATTGTAGCAGCGCAGACCATGTACCTCTCCTGCCTGCCTCCCCAGAGCAGAGGCATGGCTTCCTGGGGCGGGACAGGAATCAGTGGGACCAACCGTGGTCTCTCATAAAACCCCCACACGCCCCCCGTCCCAGGTACTCGCTCTTCAATTCATCCCACTTCTAAGCTCCCAGCAAAGGACGACAAAACCCACAGAAGGGGCCCTGCCAACTTGAACTTCCGTGCGAGCCTAGATCAGCGAACAAGGCCGGGAAACCGTGGGCAGTCTCACCAAGCAAGCTCCCACAAAATCCGGGGTAGTGGCCAGAGCCGGCCCGTGTGTGTGTCCTTGGTTCTTTTTTTTTTTTTCCATCGTTGGTTTTTCTTGTCAAACGGCAGCCTCAATCTCGACGCCGCCCCTTGAACGACCATCCACTGCGGCAATCAAACGGCGAGCCCTCGTGCGACGGGCCATTCTCGACACATACGGGGTAGAGGTTGCACTCCTGGAGTCTTAGACCTAGTTCTCCTGCAAACCCCACGCCCGCTGCAGGGCCGCCATTGTCTCTTGTGGCCCACCAAGGCTTTGGGCCTCTGTTTTCTAGAAATCCACATCCCCCGCGCAAGCCTCCTCCCAGGTCAGTCAGATGTGCGTGTGTATGTGCCTGTGGTTTCTGGCCTGTCGTCTATCCCTTGGCGCCCATCCCTCCGCCCCTCAGCCCCTCCGCATGTGAGCTCTCGTCGATGCCGCTGCACGCTGCCCTCCACCCCGCGGATCTCCAGCCCGCCGGGCTGGATCTCCTCTTGTCATGCCCCTTCCCGCGACAGGGCCGTTCTTGACTCGGATACATGGTCTCTGTTGAATTGCCTCCTAATCCACCTTCATCTTGCGGGTTGTCCGTCTTCCTTGTCGATTATCACAGGATACTTGTTTGGGCAAGATACCACACCTCGCTGCACCACCCCATCGTCGACGCCTTCCGGGCCAAATCTGGCCCATCCTCGACCTTCTCGTTTCATACCCTCCTGCGTCTGTCAAGTCGTCGGCGCAAAAGTATTGGTTGTGATGGTCTGCCCCTGCCCTCGCTACCTCGCTGCCTCGCTTTAGTCCCGCCACTGCCCCCGTCTTTCCGGCCACACTTCCCCGTCCTGACCTTCTCATCTCTCTTTTCTCACATGCACAACCCAGCTTATCACCTGTCATACTGCCCTCAACAGACGACACACCTCTCTCTGTGCACCGAGCAGTCACGGCTGATTTTCTTACAGAGCTATCAGGCTGTGGATCGCCTGCTTGGCTGTGACGATCATTCAGTCGACCTATCCCGGCTCACCAAGGGCTTGCAGCGAACTTTAATACTCCGGGGCGTCGACCCATGGTGTCGCTGAAGCACCCTCGATCATGATATTTTGAACACCAGCACTACTGCTCGGGCGTTTTTTTTTCTAGCAGCGGGATTTAGCTCAATCTCACGCATTGGCGTTGAACAGGGAGCGAACCACGACCCGGACTGAGAGTGCCCTAGTGGAAACAGAAGCATTTGAGACGGGCGAACATACCAGCTTCTGAATCCTGAGCTGTGCTGAGCTGCAGTGCGACCGGGGTCTAGTCGACGATATCCGATTTGCCCGCAGCCAGCCGGTCCTCCGCAAAAAGGAGTGTCTGGTCACCTGCCGACGCCGTACCAGCCCCTCTCGTGCTGTGTGACGACCGGCACAGTTCCCATCGGCAGGTGTCAGCCACATGATACCAGCAGTCGAATGGTTCTCTGACTGAGAAAGAAAGCCATCCGAGGAGCAGCTACCGCAGGGAAATCCCACCAGACACGAGTCAATTGGCCAATAACAACCCGAAGCCATGACCTCGGTACTGGCCTCACATCCTGGCGACATTCAACTGGCTATGTCTCCGACCCAGGAGCCAACCCCGCCAGAGAACAATAGGATGGACGACGTTGGTCGTTCCCGGTCACTTAGCCAGGGTGACCTGAAGGCGGAGGCTCATGACCATGATATGGACGACGACCACGCCGATGACGGCGGAGACTCATCGGACGGTGAAGACGGGCCTGCCAGGAAACGACGGAGGAGCCGCAAGGGGCTTGACAAGAAGTTTGAATGCCCTCACGACGGCTGTGGAAAGAGTTACTCAAGAGCTGAGCACCTGTGAGCAGCTACCATGCTTCGCTCCTGAGCGTGTGTGCAGCCTACTGACATCTGTCGCAGATATCGACACCAACTTAATCACAACCCAAAGCAAATCTACAAGTGTGATTTTCCCGACTGCACTCGGCAGTTCGTCCGGTTGGACTTGTGCAACAGGCACAGAGACAGACACACGGCAAAAGGCTCAGCGCTCAATCGAAGAGACTCAATGATTGGACAAGTCTCACCGGCGGCTGACGGCCGCCACCCGTTTCCTCCTGGCTCACTCTCGCCCGAGGCCAACAGGCCTGGAAGTGGCTATATGGGGCCTCACTCGCATCCGCATTTTCAGGACCCTGCAGCGAGCCCGTATACTTCTGTGACAAACACGCCACCTGTTTTCCCACATCCAAACGGACAGCATCATAATACCGCTAACTACATGCGATCAAGCCCTGCATACGGCCCCCTTCCGGGCCAGCAGCCACAACACCAATCCCCGAATGGCCCACAGAGACCTTCCGTGCAGACGAATGTCGGCCCCTATGGAGTCATGTCCCCGGCGTCGCAACAGGGATTCCAGAGTCACCCCGGCGACACTCCTCAATCTGCAACACCATACTCTGGGCATGCAAATTTCCCTCCATTCACCCTGCCGCCATCTAATTTCGCCTCCACAGTATCGTCAGCGACCGTGCCGCGGGACAGCGGGCAACCTTATACACCACAACAGAGTGGGAATGAGTATTCCCAAGGCCAGCCACAGCCCGCTGGCGAGATGGTACTTCTGGAGAACATGAGCAGCCAGACTACTATACCTGTCTTTGGCAGCGACAGTGTCCTTAACAAATCCCCTTATGTTGGAATGCCCGAAGATTTCATGAATTACCTATTCAACACCCAGGGTCCTGATGGCAACCCCATGAGTCACATGGTACCCCAGTATAACAAGTAAGTCTCCAACTCGGGCGTGTTTCTGACACCCAACCGTGCGCGTCATTTGGATTCTGAAGCTGACTCTGAGAAGTTATGGCGACCCTGCTCAGTATAGTGTCCCTTACTACGGGACAGAGCCCAATCAGATGGGCTACTTCCCAAATACTGGGCCACAGCAGGTCATGGCGGTTAACAACTTACTGGATCAAAACCTCCCCGAGACGGTGCTTTCCGAAGAGAAGGCCAACGAGATCTTCGAATTCATCAAAGAACGCTTCCACGAGAACGGGCGCGCCCCAGTCGAGCACAAGAGAGAAAGCTTCATCGAAGGTGAACGGACCGATGAGCACATGCTTAGCCGCAAGATGATGCAAGCCTACATCGGCTCATACTGGTTGCATTTCAGCGACCAAATACCTATACTTCACAAGCCTACGTTTTCGCCTGACCGGACTCCTACCTTGCTGCTCATCTCGATGATGACAATTGGCGCCGCGAACCTTGACAAGGCTCACGGCCAAAAAGTCACGGATCTCGGGGCTGAACTGTCGAACTTCCTGGCCTGGCATCTCAGATGGGAGACCTTCATGGATACAAACTTTAGGCCACCGGCGAAGTTGTGGGTATTCCAGACGCTCATTCTCTTGGAGCTGTACGAGAAGATGTACTCGACCAGAGAACTGCACGAGCGGGCGCACATCCACCATGCAACGACGATTACCCTGATGCGGCGCGGCCGATCGTTGATTGGGAAGTCCGCTCTGGACTCCCCACCTAACCCAAGAGACGACAAGATGGGCTCCCGACACTCGTCCACTTCCGGGGTTGCACATACCCCGGACGAGTGGTGGAATCACTGGATCACCAACGAGGCCACCCGTCGCGCTGCTTTCGCGGCTTTCGTCATTGACTCGATTCATGCGACAATGTTCGGACATTCGACAGTCATGGTGGCTCACGAGATGCGTCTGCCCCTCCCATGCGATGAGAAACTCTGGAGGGCCCAGAGCGGAGCTGAAGTTGGCCGAATTGAGGCCAACTTTTACTCAAACGGAATCAAGCCCGTACCATTCCTCGAGGGCTTGAAACGGACTCTCAGCTCTCAGGAGGTCCAGACCAACTCTTTCGGAAGAATGATTCTCATGGCTGGACTGCTCAACGTCAGCTGGCATATGAACCAACGAGATCTTCAAGTGAATTCTTTGGGCGGAGGTGTCTCATCGGCCTTGGGCGGCCGTGACAAATGGCGCGGCACGCTCACTCGAGCCTTTGACTCCTGGAAGGGGGACTTCGACAAGTCACTAAAACGGGGTGACAATCCATCAGATCCGTACAGCAGCTTCGAGGCAGCCGATCGCAATGACGCCAACGCCGTGTTTGAGAGTCGCGTTGTCCTCCACAACCTGGCGCACCTGGCCATGCATGTCGACATTGTCGACTGCCAGATTTTTGCCCGGGCCAAGCGCCTCCTCGGCAGAGCCATCGGAGCACAGGACCTCAGCAGCGCCCAGAGGCGCATGAAGGACATCTGGGCGCCTTCGGTCCGCGCTAGGGATGCCACGTGGTACGCCTTGAAGTTCTTGAGCTCGGTCCTCCTGGAGCAGAGCGGGAACCAGCGCCCCAACGGCTACAACAGCCACCCGCACTCGTACTCGGACACGGACCTGCCCTACTGCGCACGTGAGGACGTCCTGCTGAACCGGCCGTGGGTCCTGTACTTTGCCGCGCTCGTGGTCTGGAGCTACGGGCACGCACTGGAGGGCCCGTGCCCGGACGCCGTGGTCCCGAGCTCCAAGTCGGAGCGCATCCGCGAGATGAGGGAGTACCTGATGGCGTACGGCGGCACGAGCTACCCGGAGGACCTGAGGACGATGAAGGGCCTGAACAAAAACAGCTCGCTGATGCTGGTGCTGAAGGACACGTTCCTCACGACGAGGTGGGAGCTGCTGCACGAGGGCGCGACGCTGCTGAACAACTGTGTGAACCTCAACGCGGGGACCATGGTTTGATGAATCTGACGACTGTTCATGAGAAGCGCAGCAGTCAAGGGGGCGACTGCGGCACAAAAGAAATTGGAGCCAAGGGAGAAGAAAGACAGGTTGTGTCTCTGGTCTGGACATTGGAGAGCGGATGTTGTGTGCATTATCAGGAAACGGGGACATGGTTGAAATTGGAGGTTTTGTACACTTATATACCCCGGTGCGTTGATGCTTAGGCTGTTATGTCTCTTGCTTTGATTCGGCCCTTATATGTTGAAAAATGGATCTATCTATGGTTGGGCGAATTCCAGCCCATGTACCTGACAGAACCGCCTTCTCGACGTGATGGTATTTCATGTGCTGTATACCCAACACTCGCTCCGTAACTCAGCTTGGTTCCGCAAAACCAACATCAAAAACGCAATTGCTCAGACCCGGTTGACAAGAAAAGTTATTACGACTGCATGATGAGGTGCTCCGTGCCTACACGGCTGGCCCCCTGCCCTTCCATTAGTACTTACTCCAGGCCCAGCCTAATCCTTTTTCTCGTCCGGGCCTTGCGGCCTCATCCCACTGAGGACAAATACATCCCCATCGCTATCCTCTCCCCCCTCGCTGTAAGAATCTTCTCCCGCGCCCTCAGCCGGGCCGGGACGTCCTTCCTCGCTCCCGTCGTCATCTTCCTCATCCTCATCCTCATCCTCTGGAAACTCGTATTCCTCATCATCAGAGTTTATCTAGAGCGTTGAGGCAGTCAGTCAGCCAGGTGCTGGAGCACAAATTTCAAGCTGAAATTCTCTCCTCCCCGGGTTGCTTGGATTACCTGGAACACGCTCAAAGGGCCGAGCTCTTCGTCGCCGTCGCCGTCTGCGGGCGTGAGGTAAACCTCCTCTTCTATCCCGTCGATAAGGGTGCGGTAGTCATTCTCGGTGATGCCTGTCTGACAAGTCAACGGGTTTGCGTGTAAGGTATGGGCTGCTAAGAAAGACAACGCATACGATCGTCGCGGCTGCCCGGGTGGCGGTCCGCGATTTTCCAGAATGCGGTTGGGCCGACGGGGCCGGACGGGTCGTAGTCCCTGCAGGGTGGTGGTTAGCACCTGGCAGGACATGAATGTCTAAATCGCCCGCGCTCACTTGTCAAACCAGTTCCCGACCACCTTGGCCGACCTGAGGCCGCCGACCTGGACGCTCTCGCTGCGCCACCTCTCCTCGCCGTTGAAAATGGAGTGGCTTGTCCAGCGCACCTCGCCCTCCCTGGTCAGGCGGACGGTCCCTGTCGTCGAACTGTCAGCACCACCCACCGCACAACCCAGCCACTGCTTCTTTGTTTCACAAAGTGTACGGGCCGAAGGGTCAAAGGGGGCAGGAAATAGAGGGCGGCTGGGGGTGGGCACGCCCGCGGAAAGAAACCAAGTACTCTTGGCGGAAATAACCTCACCTGTGAGGCCCGAGTTTGCGTTCTCGTCCAGGCTGGAGTCCAGGGATTTGGAGAGGCCCTCGAAGTGCACCACGGGGAGGGCCTGGCCGTCCTCGGGCCCGGGCGGCTCGATCTTTGTGACGCGGATCTTGACCACGATCAGCCGTGTTGCCTCAAGCTCGTCAAGGGCGTGCCGGGGCAGATAGTCCGGGAGATCGTCGTGGGGTGGGAAGTTGTATGCGAAGAAGTCGTTGTAGTCGAGGAAGCAGACGATCTGCGAAAATAGGATCAGTGCTTGCCCGTCATCCATGACGCTGGGCCAGGGCCCCCGGGGCGAGGGGAGTATTTCATTACCCTCAGCCAAGTCCCGGTCACATCGTAAGGATCTTGCAGGTCCAGGTCCGTGACATGCCTATTCGTCGGTTCAGGGACGTAGCTGTCCGGCCAGCAGCCGCCAAACGGCCTGCCCCAGAAGTGGTTAAAGACAGGCAGGCGGTCCAGACCTTTCAACTTCATGTTGTGCCAAAGGACAATCATGATCGCCTCGACCTTTTCCCAGTCGACCTTATAACCCGGCTGGTCCCGCGGGCCGTCATCGCCGACATGGCTGCCGTCGGGGCCCTCGTCCATAAACGGGCCCCAGCGCGTGCGGGCCGTGTACTCGCGGATGTCATAGACCTTGCTGATGGCAAAGGGGTGGGTCCTGCTGGACCGCAGGCGGCCATAGTTGAGCACGGGGGAGCCGTACAGGCAGTGCAGCTTGGCGGACATCTGGCGCTCCTCGGTGGGCGGCTGCTTGGGCGACGTGAACTTCTTTATGGGGGCGCGCGCCCGCTGGAAGAGAAAGGACCTGCACAGGAAGGCGTGGACGGCCGACTCGTGGGAGAAGCACTCGCGCAGGATGCTCGCGTTCCGGCTCTCCCCGTACGTGACGCTCGGCCTTGGGCGGGTGGCCTGCGATGTGACGTGCTGCAGGAGACGGGTGACGGTGTTGTAGACAAAAGGGAGGTCATCGTTCTGCCCTTCGTCTAGGACATCTCTCCCACATGCATCCCCCGAGAACAGCGGGTGAGAGCTCGCCCTCTCGGGCTGCTTGCTAGCACATATGCGTTTCAGCTTGACCAGATCTTGGATTTCTTGGATCCAATCGAGTTGTGCATCTGGTTGGGGTGGTGCATCCTAGATATTGCGGCCTAATTAGCAGTCATCCTATCCCGGGGATTCAGTGTTGTGAGGCAAACAAGTACCGAGACTCACAAGATGGCGCAGATACACAGCTCGAAACAGGGCGTTGTTATCCTTCACAGCATGATACAGGTACTGACAGGTCGTGTTGACCGTTGCCAGGTCCTCGGGGTCCACGAAGCTCAGGACATGGCTCACGATCTCTAGTGGTAGCTGTGTGAGGAGGACCATGATGCGAGCGATAGTTTGATGAAACACAGCCCGGCAGTTCCGATCAGAGGGGGGAAACACTTGTTCGCACAGCGAACAGTGGGTGAGGTGTGGGGGGGGGGGGGTGTAATTTTGAGGCTCTCAGAGATATTACTGCATTAAATAATTCAACGGTGGCTCACTCGCTAGGATGGAGTCAGTCTGTGCCGGTGGACAGATGACGGCGAGACGTTGCCAGTCGTCGGGGTACCAGGTGGACCTGTCTCGGAGTTGAGCTTGGTTTCCGGGGACTGGAGCATGCTTAGTACTTAGGCAGGTATCCTGGGGTTTGTAGCTCCCGGCCCAACGCCCAAAGCTTGAGATGTGCGCGCAATAAGATCCGAGCCCGCGAAATGGACGAGGAAATAAGCATAAGTCCGATTTGGCCGTCGCAGGTGCTCTGCCATGCGCTGCCGAGCAAATGCGGGGTGGGCCCTTCGTCTTCCTCGGGCCAACGCTATATTGCATGGGAGCTCTCGAGGCGGATAGTCCCGCGGAATAAAACAACGATTTGTTTATTCTGTTGGTTGACCAGGAGGGACGGTGACCAGTGAGGAGTGGTGTTGGTCTAGATATGCCGTTGCGTGTACTTGATGATGATTACTCTGCTCAAGTGTTAGTTACCTAGGTACCGAGGTACTTAATCCAGACACAACTTCAAGGCAATGTATGATCCTCATCTTCACTTTCTCGGAAGTAGGCTGGCTAAGCGGGCCACCAACGAACAATTCCAGACATCGTCCCCTTGTACAAACTAGGGGGGATTGGGTTCATTCCGTGATGTACCCCCTGTCTATGCACGCACATGACCTGTATGTCATGTTGTACCTCTGCGTGTATCTACACGTGTACACGCTGTGTAGAGTATATTTCCCTCTAGGTAAACGCCAACTCGGAAGACCCGAGTCGTGAACAAATCTCACACTGGGCTTGAGTTAAAGCTTGCTGCCGGCCTCGGGGTCAGCATTAACCTTTCCGTGTTCACACACGGTGAGCAGAGTCCCGTCGCTAGCCCTCCTCATCGTGCCCCGGATCGTAGCCAGCCTCCTTCCGATGCTCAGGATTTCCGCCTCGACCAAGATCTCCTCGCCGAGTGGTATTGGTTTGAGGTAGGTCACATTCAGCGTCCTGCTCACCCCCAGCCAGAACCAAAACCCGGGCTTGTTGACCAAGGTCAGCGGCATCGTTGTCACCCAGTCGAAGAGGCTGGCAATGTGGCCCCCATGGGCATTGCCCATCCTGTTGCAATTATTCTGCTGGATAGTATACTGTGTCATGCTGTATCAGAAATCGTCCCTGCACAACTCCAGGGAGCCCTCGGAAGACATGACGACCACGAAGGACAACTCGTCCTCACCTTGAATACGACCTTGGGGTGGTTTGGGTCATCCACAGACCATGAGTGGAGTTTCAGAAATGGTGAACATCTTGACATCCATTCCTGGCGTACAAGCGAGGGTCAGCATGAAGTGGAATGTGCGGACGGGAGGGAGCCCTGGAGAGGGCATCGTGTCGGTGTACCTGCAGCTCTGGGTCCTCGTCCTGCGCAACGGTGTATTCGAGCCATAGCTTGAGCCTGTCTGCACCTTGCACCTCATACAATCTCTTCCTTATGGACTTTAGGCGTTCGCCATCATTTCTGGGCGGGTTCGACATGGCACCGAGCAGTAAGGGAGGATCAATGATAGACCACAGTATCGTGGCCTCGAGTTTGTATAAATGACCAAAAGGTCGAATTGAAGTGAGAACCCAAAAAGTACTTATCTACTTGCTTTATGTGCCGGATGGTTTGTAGCAGATAAGTTCCTGTTCTGGATGGATGTCAGCGGCTCTTGGATTGGAGACATGGCAAAGTACCTCGGCATCGGCCGCATCGGTCAGGGATTCGCAGAGACAACCCCCCCCCCCCCGAGGTTCGCCCTCGACAGCGGCACACATCACACCCGTCGTCCATCCCAAGCCTTCACTTCAACCTTCAACCCTCGTTCTTTTCCAAACAAGCCGCCTCCCATGGCTGGTAATAGATAGCACACACACACACTCCCTCCCTCCCTCTCATCAGCAAGATGGAGTTCATAACTGCCCTGCGGGGCATGACCTTTGACGACCAGAAGCCGTCGCTGTTTGAGCTTCTCTCGGAGCAGCAACTCGCAGACCTGCTGCCGCCCACGCTGCGCTACCTCCTCGTCCACGCCACCCAGCGCTCCCCGCGCTACCTGCTGCCGGTGCTCAACTCGTTCGACGAGCTCTACGCCCTGCTGATGCTCGTGGTCGAGCGCCACTACCTGACCACCCGCGGCGGCTCCTTCACCGAGCACTTCTACGGGCTCAAGCGCGAGAAGGCCCTGGCCGCCGAGATCCCCCGCGCCTCCGCCCGCGCCCCGGCCGTCGTCAGGGACACCCTGCGCCTCGCCACCGCCGACGTCTGGAGGAACCTCGCCGTCATCGTCGGCCTGCCCTACCTCAAGAGGAAGCTGGACGACGCCTACGAGGTCAACGCCCCGCGCGCCCTGCTCGGCACCGCCTACACCACCCTGCCGCCCAACGCCACCTGGACGGACAAGCTGCTCCACTACTACCGGTGGTTCCTGAGGAACGTCTACCCGAGCCTCAATGCCGCCTACTACTTCTCGCTGCTGGCCTTCAACCTGGCCTACCTCTTCGACAACTCAAAGTACCACAACCCCTTCCTGTGGCTGATCGGCACCAGGATGCGCAGGATGACCGGCGCCGACTACGCCGCCATCGAGGCCCTCAACGACAAGGCCGCCGGCAAGGGCGCGGCCCCGGGGCCCTCCTCCTTCTTCTCCCCGCGCAACATGGGCTCCAAGCTCCTCTCGAGCCTGTCCGTCCTCCTGCCCACCAGCATCTTCGCCCTCAAGTTCCTCGAGTGGTGGTACGCCTCCGACTTTGCCAAGCAGCTGTCGCGCAGGGCCGCCGAGAGCCTGGACCTGCCCCCGCCCACCGTGTCCGGGGCCGCGCACACCACCCCGGCCGGCAAGCCCGCGCCCGCAAAGGAGGGCGCTGAGGCGGGTGATGAGGAGGGCGAGGAGGACGAGAACACCCTGGCGGAGCACGCGCCTATCGCAAAACCCTCGCTGCTGCCCATCTACACCGTCCGACCACCCAGGAACTCGGAGCTGTGTCCGATCTGCAGGGACGATATCACGACGCCCACGGCGTGCCAGACGGGCGTGGTGTACTGCTATACCTGCGTGCACAGGTGGGTCAGCGGTGTTCACCCGAGGCAGGAGGCCTTCATGGCCGACAAGAAGGGCAAGTGGGAGAGCGGCGAGTCGAGATGTGCCGTTACTGGGAGGAGGGTGCTCGGGGGGACCGAAGGGCTGAGGCGGATCATGGTCTAATCCGGTGTGTGGGGAGGGGGTAGGCCGGGTGGACGGTCTTTTTTTTCTCGAAATGCCCTTCTTGTCAACTTGTTCGCATAGCGTCTGGCGTTTTGTTCTTATAATTTTCAAGGGAACCGGCCCTCATACGCAATCACGATATCAAATTACCCGCTCAGACCCGCAAATCCAGCCCATAAAGGATAGTCGATACATTCACGTCGAATGTTGTGGTAAGGACTTCAACATGATCTCGGCCAATCGCCACACCGGCACGGCTCTGCCAGCACTTACTGGGTGGGCCCGAAACAGATCACAATAACGGTGCCACTCAGCATCAACCGTGGGCCAGGCGCCACGCCCGTTGGAAAACCACGAACCCGCCCGCCCGGTCGCGAGGCTGAGGAATGGAACTCAACGGGCGGCCCAGGCTCGGTGGCAGTGGCGGCACTACCCCAGAGGACGGGCGGGCATTGGCCCCATTCTAGGTATTTGTTGTCTCTTCGAGATTGAGATTCCCAAGAAAAGAAAGACGGTTTAAAATAACAACGGGCGCGTGCCTCTCCCGCGATCGGCTGTGCCCGCGCGTGTTCCTGGCGCGAGGAATGCGTGATGTCTCGGCTTCTGCGCATTCCACATTCTCTGGTACCGGGCTTGTATTTTATACAATCTACTGTTCACGACGAACAACACATATTTAAAAGCACGCTTCCTTAAACCCACCGTTTACCCTCTATACCTCTGCTGTTTCCACCTCTCGCTCCGGTTGCTCCAGTAGGGCATGTAGTTCTCACTCTAGTCACTCTTTGAGTCCCTTCTTGACGCTCGTTTCTTTTTCCCACATTGTGGCCGCTTGTGTGCCACGAGTTCGACACCTACAATGGCGTACAGCCTTGCAGTGTCCTATGCTGGACAGGGTCTAATAGATGGCTTCAATTTCGTGTCCATCCCGGACCCGAACGACGGCTTCGTGGCGTAAGTGTCCCAGCCCGAGAGGGTCATACATTCGCGCCTCCGTTTTGTGAAGACTGCAAGTCGCTAAAACAACCATGACCCAAACGTCAGCTACCAGAACCTCCCCAGCGCCCTGGCCTATGGCTACGTCTCCATCAACCCAAACACGAGCGCCGTCAAGCTCAGCCCCGACAGCACCAACAGGTACGACCCGGACGGCTCCCTGGGCGGCCGTCCCAGCATCCGGATCGAGAGCAAGCAGGTGGTGAACCAGGGGAGCATTGTCATCGGCGACTTTGCCCATATGCCGGGTTCACAGTGCGGGACGTGGCCAGCGTGTAAGTCGCCCTCCCCACCCACCCACAGAGACCCGAGAGGCGTGTATATTGCCGGCTGGTAGTTGACATGTGACGCCTGACCTTTTGCAGTCTGGATGTACGGCCCGGACTGGCCCTCAGGGGGAGAAATTGATATAATAGAGGGTGCCAACCAGGTATACCGCAACCTGATATCCGCCCACACGTGAGCAGCCTCCCATGTTTATCCCTCCTTTCCCTACTTAGCTCCCCCGACATTCTGACGAGCGAACAATTGCTGACGACGCGGTCGTCGTTGCAGCGGCGAGGTCTGCACACTACCCAGTTCAGGGCTCTATACCGGGACACAGCAGTTCAAAAACTGCACATACGACGTAAGTAGTGGCTCCAGGGCCGTCCGTTCTGTTCCTGGTGACCGTTGTAGGAGAGCGGAGGCTGAATTGAAGGACACCACAGGAGGATATCGGGCTCGTCGAGGGCTGTAACTATATTCCGCCGACAACGGACTCCTCCTCGTACGGTGACAATTTCAATGCCGTCGGAGGCGGTGGTAAGTAGTATCCGGAGGCCACACGGCCAAGCTGGTCCTTCCCCAATCCGATCCCTCAGTGCTCTGATGTCTGACCTTGAGCCGTTGCAGTATACGCCACGGAATGGACCAGCCAGTCCATCAAGATCTGGCACTGGCCCCGGAACAAGATCCCCCAGGACATCGTGAACAAGAAGCCCGACCCGAGTACATGGGGCGCGCCGCAGGCGCTGTTTGGCGACAGCGGCGACCCAGACTCATGTGACATAGGCATGAGCTTCTACAACATGAGCATTGTGCTGAACGTCGTGAGTCGAAGCCCGTGGCTTTTCTTTCTCGCTCCCTCGCTCGCTCATTTTCTCTTGCAAGGCGACGATGGTATTTAGGCTGTGGCATCCGCTGACCTTGACCGAACCAGGATTTCTGCGGCTCATACGCGGCTGGCAACCAGTGGGGAAGCAGCTCGTGCTACTACTACTCGTCGTCCTGCGAGATTTGGGTTGGCAACACTCCTTCAGCATTCCAGAACTCGTACTGGGAGGTGAACTACATCGACGTGTATAGCCAAGGCTTCGTTTTGCCATCCTCCACGCCCGGTCTCCCAGCGACGAGCGGCGGCCCAGGTCTGCCAACTTCTGCAGTGGTGCCCACAACGATCGCGACACCGCCCGCTTCCGGTGCCAGCTCTGGCTCTGGTCCGGTAGATACTCTGGTGCCGCCGCCGGGATCAAGCGGTGGTTCCGAAGGCGGCTCAGCACCTACTCTGGTGCCTTCAGGACCAGGTCTCTCCGTTGCCCCCTCTGGAAACACCTTGCCTCCCAACAGCCCATCTGGCGGCGTCTTCCCGACCACTCCTGTGTCATCCTCGCCCTTGCCGACAGATAGCTTGGTCCCCGAGAGAGACCCAGCTACCATCGGCAGTTTCGCCCTGCTGGGCTGCTTCGCGTCGACCACCCGGTTCAGCACGTTCACCTTGTCCGGTGACGATGGCTCCATGACACCGGAGGTCTGCGTGGCACTGTGCCGGAGCAGAGTATATGCGGGAGTGCACGATAGAACATGCTATTGTGCTGACGCCCTCGATGCCAGCACGTCTGCGATTCCAGACCGCAGCCTCTGCAACATACCGTGCCCTGGAAACCCGGGCCAGTTCTGCGGTGGCAACAATCCTCTCGCGGTTGGGAAACGTGACGCACCAAACAGTTTCCTTCTTACTGTCTATGTCAACCTCGCGGGCCCACCCGCTGTGATCCCGCCGCCAGCACCGGGTCTGGGCGGCGTCCCCGGCCTGACGCAGACCATCACCACCACGATCACGTATACAGCGGTCTGCCCTACGAACCCAGCTTTGCTGGTCACGCAGGAGTACTGCACCACGCTCAAGGACTGCGCTCGGTGCGCCAAACCGAGTGTCCCCATGACCGCAGTAACTCAGACCTGCAACAAATGCGGCAAGAAGGGGGAGTCTTCTGTGACGCTGACTGTACCGTGTGGGGTCGCATCTGGATGGGCGAATGGAGGCGATCTTGGCTGGCAGAAGCCTGGTTGGCAGAAGCCTGGTCCAAAACCAGGTGACGTTGGTCCTCCAACACCAGGAGGAGGTCCTGGCCAACTGCCTGTGCCCAAGCCTCCAATGCCCGGTGCCCCGCCTGTCGGGCCCGTGGGGCCTGTCGGCCCAGTTCCTCCAGTTCCTCCAGTTGCTCCTATTGTCCCAGTGGTTCCTGGTGCTCCTCAGGCTCCTCAGGCTCCTGCCGCCCCAGGCGCCCCGGGTGGTGGTGGACAGGCACCAGGTCCGCAACCCGGTGCCAAGGTCGGCAATGCGACAGTGCCTGCACCCACGCAAGGTATTGTGCCGACAGGACCGGGCGGGTTCAAGCCCGTGCAGGCGGGTGCGGAGAGAAGCGGTAGGACGAGTGCTGGCGTGTTGTTCGGTACGGTTCTCATTGGTTTACTGTTCTGATGAAGTCGGATATTCCTCCACCGGCTTGTCTATCTGATGATATTTTGCTGGACTCACTTGCTCCCGCTTGTTCCATTTAGTGATGATAATATTCTGGCCGGGCTGAGATTCGTATCATAGCTCAACGACCTGCGCCGGGCTCTTACATAATTTGCCCGACTTTCCTTGCATACAGCTAGCGTTGACCATGAGGCTCGCGTTGTTGGAGCCAGGTCCGAGCATGAGGTACTTGAAGGCAACGGCGTTGACACCGTAATAAATGACCTTGAGAGCATCGAACCAGCTGCTGTTGGGGATCATGTCAAAAAGCGCGCCGCGCGGAGGGCCTGACATGAGCCTCTCGTAGGCGCTCTGACACTCGTCAAAGTAGAGGCTTTCCTGTCCACGGCCACAGTGAACGTGTCCATAGACATGCAGCCTTGGCTTGACCCTCCACAACTCCTCGAGCAGTCCTGGGCAGCCTAGGCCCAAGTCCTGATGAGAGCGTGGCGGAGTGTGGGTGACCAAGACTTGTGTGTCGGTGGGAATCCTACCTCTCCACGGGCTCCTGTCGGCGGGGTATTGGAAGGCAAAGCTGCTGCGTCCACACGAGGGGATGTCGGCAGCACCATACACGTTCAACTTCCTGCCGGCTTGGAAGTGGAGGGTGACGGAGCTGTCCTGTAGGTAATGCAGGCCTCTGAAGTCGACCCTATTCCCCTCGCGCTTGTCCTGGACCAGTCTTGCCCTGACATCGCACCAGCTGTCATGGTTTCCCGCAATGACAATCTTGTGACGGTGGGGCAGAGAGGCCAGCCAGTCGACCTGCTTCTGGATGTCTTTGGCGGAGCCGGAGTTGGTCAGGTCTCCGGCGTGGATCAAGAGATCGCCGTCCGGGACGTCGCGGACGATCTGATCATGGGTGTCAGATAGACAGACAACCCTGATGGGTGGCTTTTCGCTGGGGGGGCGGAAGGGCTTGCCACGCAGGAGGAGGAGGAGATGGTAGATGCAGGTAACCAGAAAGTGTAATGGGGAGGAGAGCATGTGGTCCAGGAGGGTCTGTTTCTCCCATTTGCTAGAGCGGCGGAGCTTAAGCCGCTGGAGAAGTCCCATCGTACGGGGTGGTGGGGAGCTGTGGTGGTGATTTGGGTTTCCGTTCGGAGGAGAGCTCGGGAGGGGTGAGCTGGGCAGACCTTGTTCGGTCAAACCAGCCTCCAACGCCGGGTGGGCACGTGTGGGCACTGGGCATCTGGCAAGCAGGCAAGCTGGCGACCTGGCGAGGGGTCTGGGCTGGCTGGGCTGGCTGGCTGCCCTGGGTGCCTGCAGCTTTGGAGTTGAGGTGAGGGGAGCTAAGCAGGAATGCCAGGGTGCCAGGTGCCAGGGTGACAGGGTGCCAGGACGCAAGGAAAGGACGCAAGGACGCACCGTATTTGACAAAACAATCATCACGGTGTGGCGTGCGTGTCTGGTCCCGGCAGCCTGGCAGGATGGGGAGCTCAAAGACTGTGCGACGCACGGTATGCGAGGTGGTGCTATACATAGCACACAGGCCCTGAGGCCCACTGGCAGTGGGCGGACTGGCGAAATGCAATTTGGTCTCATGCGAGGGAAATCGGCCGGATTTGCCATGGCACGCCCACACCAGGCATTGCCAGCATCGCGCGACTGTCGAGGGCAGGGTCGGCAGCAGGGTCAGACCAAGCGGCCTCTCGCCATTGGAGGGCCGTGCAGAGCCCAAAACCTTAGACTGGCTGGCCGAGCCAGGGCTCCCTCGTCTGCTCGTCCGGCCAAGTCGCCAAGTCCATCGCATTGCAGTGCACGGCTCGGGCATGGCTGGCATGGCGAGCAGCGTTCAAGGGTCTGCAGCTTGTCAAAAGGCTGCCGTATCGCGACGTAACTCAGTACCGTTTTGGTTCTCGTTCAACAAAGACAGTCAACCGTTTGTTTGATGTTGGAGCCTTGGAAATGCTGTGCCATGGTCGTACTAGGTAGGTCTACACTCCGTACTCCGTACTGTGCCGTGCGTTACACTGACGCAACTGGCGCTCGAAAGCCGGGTCCAGAGGCAGGCAAGGGCACAGTCCTTGACCTGAACAGTGTCAGAGTGGTGTGAGCCTCGTGACTCGGTCCTACGCACTCTGCGTCGTCCCTCGGTGATGCAGTCGGTGTTGGGCAGTGGCCCAGTGGGACGACGAGCAACAGGGAAGCGAGGCCTGGCCTGGCAGCCTGGGCTGCCCGGGCCCCCCCTGGGTGGCACACGACAACTGACCTCATCCCGGCAGCCCGCCTTTGCCCACCCAGGAATTCCAACCTGCAACAACTCTGATGCCGCTCCATGCCCGTTTCTCTCTCCTTCTCCCTCCCCCACCCCAGCCATTCCCACACCCGCCTCCCGCCTCCCGCCTCCCACTCAACCCTTCCTTCCAGGTTGGTACAGTACCATTCACGGCCCTCCCCTCACACTCATCGTTTGTGCCCAGTCAGTCTGTTGTCGCACCGACTGCTGCCACTGCCACTGCCACTGCCACTGGCCCTGGCCTGGCCTGGAGGAGATCCCCAAAGGTCCCTCACCGGCCGGGCTTTGACGGCTTCATTCGGCAGCGCCCTTCTATCACTTCTTCATCCATCAGTCGCTCCTTCATTCTTTTCATTTCCCTTGCCCACACCATCAGCCCACCCCGGGGCCTTGTCATCAATCTCTTCATCGCATCATCATTCCAACACCCTCGCTTCATCATACCTCACCGTTATATACCTAGCCCGTGAAAGCTTCATCCTGCCGTCCTTTCCCCTTGCCCTGCGAAGACCCCCCACCACACAACTCCATCACACGTATTGCCTTGGGTTTGTCGTCGTGCTCGCGCACATACAACACACAAGCCTGGGCACTGGCACCGATGCTCACTTTGCATTCACTGCACCACATGTTACGCAACACCCCGTCGGGAGGGCAGCCATACATCGCGAGTTGTCCTTGTTCCGGAACAGAACTCATGTCAGTTGCGGCGTTGACATTGAGTTGGGCAGCCCCCCTTTCTCTTTTCCCTGCTGTTTCTCCCGTTGAAGAAGTCCTTTGCTTTCACTTCACGTTGCGACGATGCCGTGCTGGTGACGGATGCGTTGACCCTGCATCAAAGTTTCCCCTTAACAGCTACCCATTACCCGTACCGGCAGCCTGCGCTAGTGGGATACGCGACCCGTTCCAAACCACTTTCAGCCAAGCTCCCAACCAAGCACCTCACTACTCCCTACCATGCCCAGCCGTACGCAGGCGCCGCGAACGGGGTCTCATTTTTGCTTAGTACCCAGGTAAGTGAGAGAGGGAGGTGGTCCTGCGATTTCTGCCCCCGAGGCCGCGCAGGGCTTGTCCTGTCTGCGCTGCGCTGCCCTCTGCAAGGCAAGCCCTTCGCCAGGCCAGCACGGCAGCACGGCAGCACGCACCAGGGCACCCGCTGGTCCCTCGCTACCTGTTGCTAGCAGGTCCAGTGGCACCCGCAGCCGGCCAGCCGCCTCTTATTGGCCGCCCGGCCCAACAATAGCACTGGGCCACTGGCACTGGCACCGACTGGCCTCCACCGACGAAATGGGTGCGCACCTCTGTCTGTCTTGGGGCCTCTGCTCTCCTGCACTCCCTGCCCACCTGTCTGGCTGGTCTGGGGTCCGGCAGTCCAACGCCCACGCCCACGCCCACGCACCGCTGCTTGCTGCTGCACCCGCTCGGCTGCACGCGCAGTCGCTCCCTCACTCTCACCCTCTCTTACTCTCACACTCTCGGTCGGCCGCTCAGGCCTGTCTTTCTTCCTCTGCTGTCGCCCCCTCTCTTCACTCTCTTTCTTCCTCCTCCCAACCTGCCTTCCTTCCACGTCCTCGACATTCACACCCTTCCCTCGCGAGATCGCCCTCTCTTGTCCCTCGAGTCCGCATGAATCTGCCGCATTCATGGTCTGTTTCGTCTTCTCTCCCTTACCCGCCTCCTTTGAATCTCCTTGTCCCTCGAGGCGCATCCTCTCCTCGCCCTAGAGTCGACTCCTCGGTTCTGTCTTCGTGATCCCACTGCCCACCCACCCAACCAAACACTTGGACCAACGCTCAAGACAACAAACCCACTCGAAATCGAAGCGAATCGAACCCGATCCCAAGCCAGCCAAATCCACCCCAAACGACGACACGCAACTCATCCTCTCAGGCTCCCGTCCGTCTCGTTCGCTTCGCGACAACACCAACACCCCTTCGCACCCAGCGTCCTCGGTCCTCGGCCTTCTTCGATCTGCCTCTTGTCAGCAACGCCCCGGCAGTCCTCCCAGTCGCGTTGGCCACCGATCCCATTTGAGTCGCGGACGCTGACGACTTCTCGACTACGGCTGTTCGAGTCCTCCCTTCGAATGGTCAACCCCGTGATCCTCGTCTGCCGTGCCCACAGTGTCTTATTCCCCAGGCTCCTTTCTTGAGTCGCGCTCCGTCATGCCCTCCAGAACGCGGAGATAAACAGTCCATCCAAACCACTCTGATCCTCACGTTCCCCCCGCGAGGCTCACAGATTATGACAGAAAATCTCCCGCCGTTGTTGACTGTCGCTTCGGACAAGCCTGAAAAGGCGAGGCCGCAAGAGGATGAGGGCATAATCAAGTGCATCTGCAATTTTGCCCATGATGATGGAGCCACAGTCTTCTGCGAGAAGTGCAACACATGGCAACACATTGACTGCTACTACCACCCCCTTGGCGAGGCCGAAAAGGTCAAACAGGAGGACTTTGATCACAGTTGTGCCGACTGCAATCCTCGCATCCTCGACAAACACCAGGCCATGGAGCGACAACGAAAACGTCTCGGCCTCCAGCCCGACGAAGACAATCCCCACGACAAACGGCCAAAGAAAGCTCCCGCAAAAGCCCCGAAGAAGAAGATCAAGCCCATCGATCTCCAGCTGAATGGACACGCCGCCGGTGCGGACGCCTCCAAGCATGGCAGCCCACCAGACCACCCGCCAGCGAAGAAACCCAAAACCTCGCACAAGTCTAGCCAGTCCGTCAGCTCTCACGCGCCCAAGCGAAGTCCTTCTCACAGCGTACAGAGGGCCACCCACAGCCATCCTATAAGCCCCGCCAACACGCCCCCCGACACAAATAACATGGCCAATGACTTTGAACTGCCCCTCTTCACGGAGCAGTTCATTCACCTTTACGACGACTCCGATGTCCAGATCGTAGACACGAACACTTACGCGACCTTGGACACACAGACGAAAATCTCGGAGTGGCTGAAAGAAGGCCACGATTCCTTCCGCAGAGACACGGCACGCGACTTCAAAGATCTGGTCACACAACCAAAACAGCCTCCGCTCGAACACCCTATGAAGGTGGAGAGCGAACCGCTGAAGGACGGTGTGCACCGGCAGTACGTCACGACACCCTCTGCTATCGACAAGGATGTTCCCATGATGGAGCTCAACGGAATCGTCGGCCTACAAAAGGACTACCCAGCCCGCTTTGGCAGCCAGTGGAGTGACCTCAGTGCACCCCTACCATTCGTGTTCTTCACCCCTTTGGTTCCGCTTTTCATCGACACAAGGAAAGAAGGATCAATTGCTCGCTATGTTCGTCTATCTTGCAAACCCAACGCTACGATCGATACGTACTACTTGTCTGATGGCGCGGTGTTCCATTTCTGGCTCGTAAGTGAAAGGCCTATAGCCGCCAAAGAAGAGATCACGCTGCCATGGGAGTTCAGGTTCCCCCCTGAAACCCAAACGCGGTTTGTCAAGCTGCTTGGGCTTGGCGACGAGGAGCCGGCCGCCAATATCGACCCAACCGACTACAACTTTCTTTCAGATTGGATTAACCGCATGTTGTCCCTCTACGGTGGTTGTGCCTGCGACCTTGGCAACGACTGTGCCTTTAAGCGCTTCCACCGCAATTATCGCGACAAGTCTCAGTTACGCCCCAACCCACAAAAGAGAAAGCGCGCGAAAACCAAGACGCACACCATCTCACCGACAAGCACTGGACAGGCCACCAACAGCCGCGCCGCCAGCGAGGGCCATCTGGACGAGATGACAGAGACCGACGTCAATGTAGCTGCCGGCTCTCGCAGTAAGCCGCCTAGTCGAGATCGAACCCCAGCGCGGCTCGGCTCGTTTGACCACATTGGGATACTCACTGAGCCAACCAACCGAGATAAGAGAAAAGTCCAAATGGCCGAGGATCTTTTTCAGAAGTCGGCACAGGAGCAGCATCAACCACCACGGAAGAAGAAAAAGGCATCTACTGATGCAAACGCGCATCCCACCACCAACTCGGGCACAGTGAAGCCAAAAGCCCGGACTGGCATCAGCGAGGTGCCTGACAAACCCAACGGAGAAGAGCCCCGCTACGTCGACGCGGGTACTTCGGGAAGCAAGCCAGTATCGCCTACCAGCGCGACATCGCACCATTCGGCCAGGTCCGTCAAGCCGCCACCGTCATCTACATCGGGGTCGCGCAAGGGCTCGTCCGAGGCACCCAGAAGCTACAGCGACGCCGCGGTACAGACCGAACCGGAGCACGGCCACTGTGCACAGCCAAGGCCGAAGAGGAGGATCATGTCCCTCACGATGCGGCTCATGGCTCAGAGACGTAGGGACGTCTTTCCACAACGCCCATCCAGCGCCATGGACCTAGACTCGCCAACGACGACCAAGAGCTCTCTTGGATCGCCTTCGACTGCGCCCAAACAGTGCCCCCTGTCTTCGCCTACTTCCGCCGCAGATGTCGACGCTCCGATGCCCGACGCCCCTCTTGCGCCCGGCCACGTCGTCACCTCCAGCCCCCCTCTGACCAATGGTAACGTGCCTGTTATCAATTCTAAAGAAGCCAAGTCGCCAGAGTTACGCGTGTCAATGCCCCCTCCTGCATTTACGAGTCCCACGTCTGCAACATCGGTGACTGCTGTCACCACTCCAATATCAACCAATGGGTCCGTCGCGCAGTCGCCTTTGTCGAACGCCAACCTGCCCAGTCCTTTCGGACCCGTTACAAATGGGAACACGGCCGCACCCAGCCCAATTAAGAAGAAAATGAGTCTGAGTGAATACAAGAACAAAGCCAACAAGGCGGCTGCGTCAGCGAAGTCGATAACGGATACCACTCACCCACTAAAGACCGCTTCATCGACCACGGACCCGCTGAAAGCTACGAGTAACGGTGATAATGGGGCAATGGATTTGGACCGGGCGACAGCTGACTCTGGGGCAGGGGAGGCGACTGGTAGCATATCAGCGGCCCAGGCGAACACTGTTTCTTGAGACTTGCTGCTTGAGTACATCCGGTGGGCAGCGAGACAACGCCTCCATACAAAGTTTTCTTTTCTTTTTGCGATAGCCCAAGGCGTCTGGCTTGACCTGGCTTTTATAATGATTCCACTCTGAGTATCAACCTATCACGATGATATTAGGACCAAAACGGCTTTGGGGACGGGGGGTCGGGTACTTCTCTGGGTCAAGGTACACTGGCGTTATTTTGGGTTGGGATTAAAACCCAGGAGAAGCGTTTGCGGATGTCTCTACGATCTTTAGCACCCTTTGTACGTTTTATTTTCTTGCTATTTTTTTTTGGCCCGGACGACGACGACGAATTGGACGAATCGGGCGTGGCTGGAGGGAGCCAGTTGAAAGTTCTCGGGAGAAACTATCAGAACTCCCGGGGGCGTTGTCAGATCTGACTTGGACCAGCTCTGTTGTAACTCTATACTTATGGTGAGACAATGAGATCTCCCGAAAAGCAATTTCTGCTTTCTATACATCCAGAATCCCAGAATCTGGTTTTCCTGCCTGCCAGAGAGTGACATTGTTGGAAGAGTACGGTGCCAGAGCCTACTCAGTGGCCTATGTTGGAGAAACGTCTTGAGCGGGCGTGACTTGACTGATGCGAGGTAAGTTACATGGCAGGTGTACGTGTGATGTCTGTCGCCTGCATCTACCAAATACAAGCACTGATCGTTGTGCGAAACTGTCTCGGTAGGAGGGGCGAAGCAGGCTGTGCGAGTTTTAATAGGCCACTGGATGATATGAGAAACTCGAGAATCGGTCCGAAACTTTTGTTGCATATCCTTGCCTATCTGCGTGTCTGCGCAATATGCCGCCACCTGGTATCATGTATGCATAAACGCCCAAAATCCCTTATATACATCTTAAGCTTTTGATGGTGGGAGATAAACTGCCCAAACGCGAAGCAAGAGAAACAAGAAAAGGAACAATGGGTTTTTCCAAACGGAAAGCGAAAATAGACAATATATAGCTTCGAGGGCTTGGGAACGCTCTCGATCCTTCTGGTGCCAAGCCCGGATTTACTCACAACAGCAAGCTCCAGTTGTCCTCCTTAAAGACGAGCAGCGCGAGCTTGTGGCGGACAAAGAGTCCGAACAGCCCGCACGCGACCTGGAAGGCGGTAAGCTCCCAGGCGAGGCGGTCCTCGCGGAGGGGCCCGCGCCAGACCAGCCACAGGTTCAGAATGGTCAGGTTGCTCGTCTCCTCGAAGCGCTCCTGGCCCGTCTCCTTGTCGGTGGCGGTGACGACCTTGAGCAGGCGCAGGCGGCCCAGCAGGCGGATGACGGCGGCGACGGGGGCCGCGGGCTGCCTCTCGGGGGTCCAGGGGGTGACGGAGGGCTCGAGCAGGCCGGTGCGGGAGTTGAACCTGGGCAGGCGGTGGCGCGGGCAGGGGATGATGTGGAAGAGCTGGGGCGCCGAGTAGAGGAAGTTGGCGACCTGGGGGATCAGGAGCAGCATCAGGGTCTTGCTGAAGTGGCCCAGGACGCTGACAACCACGAAGACCATGCCTGCGAAGTAGCAATAGGTGTCGCCGACGAAGACGCGGGCCGGGTACTTGTTGTGGGCGAAGAGGGCGAGGCTCACGCCCAGGAAGGGCAGGAGGAAGTATAAGCTGAAGAGATGGCTGTCCACGGCCGGGTGGGGGTAGGCGGTGGTGAGATAGAGGGCGTCGTTGAGGACCAGCAGCAGCGCGATGACGATGGACTGCATGACCTCGATCCCGTTGATGCCGGCAAGGATGTTGATCGAGTTTGGGCAGAAGATGGCACATGCTGCCATGTAGATGTAGTAGAAGACGCCGAGGTCGATCAGCTCCTTGCCCACCAGGGACTGGAGCGGGATGGGGAGGACGATGGAGGTGACGCCGAAGTCGACAAAGTAGACGATCAGGAGGGGGATCGAGGCGAAGGCCGGGATGAAGAACTTGTGCCGCCAGCGAATGTCGAAGAGGTCGTCGCCAATGCCGAGGATGGTTATGGCCTGAAGCGAGAGTATCGCGGAGAGGAAGGACGCGAGCTAACACACAGCGCATGGTCAGTTCCCACCCAATCGGGTCTGTGGGAAGAATAAGAAGGGGGCGGTGGTGGTCTACTCACTTTGCTATGAGGGAACTTGTGTAAGAAGCGACCCTCATGAACATGCTCGACGTGTAGGACGACATCCCTGTTGCCACCGCCGCTGGTAGCAGCCACGATGTCCTTGTAGAAAGGGAACGGGGCGAAGACTATGATGGCGAGCAGGTAGACGACGGCGCAGATTGCGCCGGCGCACTCGGGGATCTCTCTCCTGTTGGTCTTGGACATGTCGACGCCCTTGAGCCCGGCCTTGATGAAGGTCGGGCCCAGCCAGCGGATCATGGCATATGCGGCGGCGTAGGCCATGCCGCTCAGGGCGAGCGAGGCGATCAGGGGCTCGCCCTCGCCGCGGAAGGTGTTGGCCAGGATGGTGCCACATGCGGCAGAGAGGGCGGCGAGGCTGACCGTCTCGGTCCGGGTGAGGTCGGGGGTCGTCGCCATGGCTGGCGGAGGAGTGTGAGGAGCTGAGGTTCAAGGGCCGGCCCTAGCCCAGGGAGGGGATGGAATGGGGTTGTCAGGACCAGTAGTGCGAGGAAATTGAGTGAGTGTGTTCTCGAGACGGGTGACGGGATCGTCGGCCACGAGATGTGGAGTTTTGTTGCTGCGACGGGGACCAAAAAGGCGACGTCTCCAAAGGGCCAAGGTGACGCAGCTTGCTGGAGCTTTCCGGCGTGGACCCCACCACCCCCGAAGCTGCTGGGGCCGGTTGGGCCAATTGGGGCAGCCGATTGGAGCAAGATAAATAAGGGTGCTTTAGCGACCTCCCAGTGGGTCCTGGGCGCATCCAGGGCTGCCAGGGTCCTCGAGGAGGACCTGACATGTGAGAGACGACCCATCAGAACTTGCCACGAGGCAACGCAATCAACAGCCGTGCGTCCACAGACTGGTGTCTACATGGTAGAGTATCTTTCACAAGCGAGGGGTACCTACAGCATGGGGCTGCTTCTGTTGGGTCTGGTGTTGTGCGAGTTGTTGCAACCTTGCTCATGCTGTGCATGGATGCATATCTGTAACTTTCCCGCGTAAACATACCTTTTACTTGAGCCAAGGTGATGGTGGCAAGTTTCCTGAGGTTATTCTGGTTCAAGAAAAAAGGCAATTCCGGATCAGACAATGTCTCACCTCAGTAGCCACTCAACAGCCTGGCCATTCCAAAGTTCTGATTGTCTACAAATACAAGCCAGCACAACTGCCAGAAAAGAAACCGTACACTGTTAGATATTTGACCCATGCACAATGAAATTAACTACAGGGAATCTCACAGAAGGACAGTTGCAGTGGAGTGACCTCATATAGGATAGCATACCATGTGGCTATCTCCAATTTCACGGCTAACAAGTCCACCATCTGCCTAATATAGAGATGGCTTTGTGTGTCCCTCAGCACCCTCCCCGGTCCAAGTTCTGGCTGCCGACAGTCTGTCCTCCTCCCAAGCTGCACACTGTCCAGGAACTTGATTGTCCTATGCCCTCTTTTCAACTGTTTCTATTTGTTCACATTGAATTTCCTTAATCCAGACTTCTACTAGCTTGAATAAAACAGTCAGTCCTGCCTGTATGTGTCTTACATATAAAGCTTACAACTGTCACTTGCAGTGCCTTCGAGGGCCGCGCACGGGCCACCATTGACAGCACCCACTCCCTCAAGCGCTTGTGGGTTGGCTGGCTGTTGATCTTCAACGATGAATCAACCAGCCCGATCCCACCTCTGCGAAATGTAATAATATCTCAGCCACCACTGACTTTGGATATACAAGTATGGCACCAGCTTTGGGGGAGCCTCCCGTAACGGAGGAACGGGCCCAGTTTGAGCTCATCATGAAGCACGGCCATCACGACCTGGTCCAGGCAGTGGCATTCAACGCCTACGGCGACCGCTGCGCCACAGGCTCCGTTGATGGCAAGATCAGGGTCTTCAACCGCCACAAGGACAGCATCTGGAGGTTATGTGATACCTGGACAGCTCATGGCGGCGAGATACTTGAGGTGAGCTCGCCTCGGCCCGGCCGGTCACGTCGCAGCTGCTGAAACTCACCACAGTTGCAATGGCTCCCGCCAACCGTCTATCCCAATGTCGTCGCATCACTCGGCATAGAGGGCCGCTTCAAGCTCTGGGCAGAAGACCCTTCCGCCGCCCCGGGCCGCCGCTTTGGCAGCCGTTCCAAGGATAACGCCAAAGCTGCCTTCGAGCATCGCTCTCCTCGCGCCCCATACCGCTCATTCTCCATCAAGCACAACGAGGAGACGCGCCAGACTCATCTTGCCCTCCTGGCCGCCGACGGCAGGCTGACTGTCCACGAGAACGAGATGTCCGAGAACCTGTCCGACTGGACCCAGATGGACGAGCTGTCGACCTGTGACAAGCCTGCCCGCGGCGAGGAGACCTCCTTCCGCGTGCGCTTCGACCCCAACATTGACCCTTGCTACAACGCCCTGCGCGCCGGCATGCCCACCGACACGCTGAGCCTGGTTGTCGCCGCCATGGACAAGGTCAAGATCTACCGCACCCGCGACGTCGTCATCCACTCCTACGGCGTCCCGTCCACCAAGAAGGAGTTCTACGAGGCCGCCGTGGTGTCGGCGCACCGCGGGCTGGTCCGGGATGTCGCATGGGCGCCGGGGAACATCAGGGGCTACGATATCATTGCGTCGGCTTGTATGGATGGCTACGTGAGGGTCATACGCGTCGATACTCCGCACGACAGCAACGACGGTAGGTCGTGGTCCTCGAGCGACCTGGTCAAGGGCGGCTCTCGCCCTGAGGCCTCGTCCAGGGCCGCCGGCAACGGATCAGGTGGGGGCCAGGCGCAGCACCCCTCGGGCATCAGCCAGGGTGTACACCATCCCACGGCAGACGGCGACAGGAGGAAGAACCAGGCTGGCCACATCTACCACACCATGCAGTCGCTCTCCATGCTGGAGAACCACAGGACTCCGATGTGGAGGGTCGGGTTCGACGACGACGGGCAGATCCTGGGGTGTGTTGGGGACGACGGCAAGCTCCTCTGCTTCCGGCAACAGGCCGATGGGCAGTGGCGCAAGAGCTCAGAAATCGGCATTATGAAGATGAAAATGGCAGTCCCTTCATGAAGGCGGTGAAACAAATCTCGAGCTTGCCGGCATGCGCACTCGGACTGCACTCTGCCGAGTGTGATCGCTCGGCGTCGAGGTGGTTGGCGCGGCTGCCCCGCATTTGACACACGAGCTTAAGGAGTGGGGAGAATATGCCGACGGGGACGAGTCGAGCCTAGTCTGCCCACCGCTACGGCTCTTGGTACTCAGCGCGTCATGGCTACCACATTCCTGTGCGCGTTTTGCACTGGTGTGTTCGAGGGGTACCAGATCGGTCAACCGGCTCAGAGATCATTGTACATATGTACTGTGTGCACATACATGACAGTGGAGCAGGGCCAGGGGGAGCACGTCGCCCGCAATGAGCTTAGGCTGAAGGTTGCACAGATATACCCGCGATATGCTTGGCATGCCACCATGCGCGTGTCGGCAAGCGCTTGATAATAAAAAAAAGACCACGAGTCGACTGATTCCTTCTCAAATACCTGGTCTATAAAGCACCTGCTCCTCCGACCGCATAGTCTCCTTCCGAGGTCGGTACTTGTAAAGCCTCAATGCTTCGAAACACCATCAGACAGTTCTCAAAGTCCTCAGCAACCATGTCGAAAGCTCTCAAGCTGTCCTCCGGCTATGTAAGTAGCTCCTAGCTTTTGCAAACGCATGTGACCATCAATCAGCTCGTGAGCGCCTCAGCGACTGACTTGCGCCCTCAATTCCAGAACATGCCATTGATTGGCTATGGTATCTGGAAAGTCCCCAAGGAGAACGCAGCCGACTCGGTCTACAATGCCATCAAGCTCGGATACCGCCACATCGACGGCGCCCATGACTACCAGAACTCGGCCGAGGCCGGGCAGGGAGTTCGCAGAGCTCTCGAGGAGGGTATTGTGAAGCGCGAGGAGCTCTTGTGAGTACTTTAAACGCAGACTTCCCAGACGCCTGTACTAACCAAGGCCGCCTCAGCATTGTTTCCAAGCTCTGGAACAACTACCACGCCCGCGAGCATGTCCACGAGATGGCCAACTTCGAGAACAAGAACTGGGGGGTTGGATACCTTGACCTGTACCTGATTCACTTCCCAATCGCACAGCGCCACATCCCCATGTCAGAGCTCAAATATGTAAGCACCAACAAGTCTTGTCCCTATCCTGGCCCCCATCTCTTCACGGGTTTGGGAGTGTTCCAGAATGGCAACACTTTTAGGAACTGTGGCAGCTTGACTTACTGACAATCCATCAGCCCTGTTTCTGGGCGGATGCCGCCCAAAGCAAGGTGACGGAGCAGGTCCCCGTGCCCATCCAGGAGACGTGGCAGGCCCTCGAGGAGCTCGTCATCTCCAAGGACAACCCCAACGGCATCCTGCGGTCCATCGGCGTGGCCAACTTCAACGCCATGCTGCTGTACGACGTCCTGCGCTACGCCAAGATCAAGCCCGCCGTCAACCAGGTCGAGCACCACCCGTACCTCGTGCAGCCGGGCCTGATCTCGATGTGCCAGGAGAACGGCATCGCCGTGACAGCATACAGCTCCTTCGGCCCTCAGAGCTTCATCGAGCTTAGCAACAAGCGCGCCCTGGGCGCCGGCCCGCTGTTTGAGAACGAGGCCGTCCTGGCTGCTGCCAAGAAGCACGGCAAGACGCCCGCTCAGGTCCTCCTGCGGTGGGCGACGCAGCGGGATATTATTGTCATTCCCAAGAGCAACAACCAGGAGAGGCTGGCGCAGAACCTGGACTCGACGGGCTTCGACCTGTCTGAGGACGAGATCGCGGCCATCTCGGCGCTGGACAGGGGCCTGCGGTTCAATGACCCTGCTGACTTTGGTCTGAGGATATTTGCTTAGAGCTGGTTTCAGGGCTGTTAGTAGATCGCGGCAGATCGCCAACATAGCAAATACAGCAAGTGGACCAAGTAGCCGGCCATCACGATATTCCGTGGGGAGCCGTGGTGTAAAAATGTCGTAGTTCGGATTAGACTCTTGGAGGTATCTCTCTACTTCCTCCTCTTGCCGCCACCACCGCCCTCCTCCCCAGACCTCCTCTTCTTGCCCTCCTTGCCCCAGAACTCCTTGGTCTCTCTCTTCTCCCTCGCGGCCTTCTTCTCCGCCATCTCGGCCATCTTCTTCTTGAACCCGGCCCTGTTCTCGTCCTTCTTGGCCTTCCTCTTCTCCGCGACGTCCTTGCGGATCGTCGTCAGCTTCTGCATGAGGTCGCGCGCCTTCTTCTCCTCGCCGCCGAGCACGACCGCCCGCTTCTGCATGTACGTCGGCTTCTTCTGCGCCTTGGTCTGCACGATCTGGCTCTTGTAGGGCAGCTCGGCCGCGAGCTTCCTCGGCACGCGCAGCGGGTTGAAGTGCCTTTCGGCGCGCTCGATCTTGCGGTACTGGCTGTCCTTGTTCTGCGGCGTCGGGAGGGCCTCCTCGGCGCGGATCTCGCCCGTCAGCCGCGCCCGCTGCCACCCGACCAGGTTGGTCACCGGGTTGTAGAAGCGGTGCGGCTTGATGGGGTACCACGCCCGCAGGAACACAATGTCGCTGAGCAGGATCTTGTCCTCAAAGGTCGCACGGAAGTGGCCTTCTGGCTTGGACAGGGCGCGCTTGATTTGACCCCGGATGCCAGAGACTGTCTTGATGGAGGCGCCCTCGAACTTGGCAATCTCGAGCGAGCTGTTGAACATGTCCTTGATGAAGGCCGTGTTCTTGAAGATCTTGTAGGGAGTACCCGTCAGCTTGAGCTTCTTGACGATCTCCGTGGACTCGTCCACGCTCAGCACGGTGCCCGTTGCCGCTATCCTAAAGCCAGGGTTGGAGCTGGCGAAGTTGTTGAAGCTGACGAAGCCTGTGTTCGGCGCGATCAGTGGCCCGTAGAAGGTGGCGAAGCAGTGCATATGCTCCGGCGTGTACTTGAGCATCCTGTTCCGTACTCGGGAGTCGGAGATGCTGTAAATAGGCATCGACTGGAATCTTCTCCAGCCCAGTGAGAAGATGAGCGGGTCGCCAGTCTTCAAGATCTTCTTGTGCCATCTGTGTCGTTTTATCCGCACCTGAACGAATCCGAATCTGTCTTCGGTGGCGGACAGACCTCCCACGATAATCGGCATCTTGGCGTTGAATTGCTTGACGAACTCGGCTGGCACACCCTCAATGACCAGTTTGGCGTATTTGCCTGCCTTGTGGCCCTCCACCAGCGCTCGTTGTCTCTCGTCCAGATTCTCAAACTCGGCCTTGTTGATGTCCAGCTGTTTCTGTATCATGGCCTTTTGGGCGTCGTACCAGTCGTCCTCGCCGAACTCGTCCTCACCTCCGCCCTCCCGACGAGCGTTGGCCTTTTCGTTATTGAAGCCTTCGCGATCCTCTTCTTCAAATCGCAGTTTGAGCTCCTCTTTCCGGCGAGCATTCTTCTCCCGCTCCGCTTCCAGATCCATCTCGGGGCCATGCTTCTCGCCTGTCTCAAGATCTTCGAAAGCGCCGTCACCCTCGTCATCGTCGTCATCACCACCCTCGCCTTCTTCATCTCCGGAGCCGAAACCGTCGAAGTCATCTTCTCCGTCCCCATCTTCATCTTCCTCGTCGTCCAAAAGCGTAGCGGTAGTGAACTTTTGCCTCAAAGCTTCAATGCTCTGCTCGTTCGACCAGTACGATGCCAATTTGTCGTCGTCAAATATTGGTATGGACCGATCGTCCGCCTGGTCCTCCTTCTCATTCTTGGATTTTTTGAAGAAAGTCTCGTCTCCAGAATCCTCTTCAATGTTTTCCTCCTCCTCCTCCTCTTCCTCGTCACCTCGCCACCTCCTGAGAATTTCGGGTATGCTTAGCGAGTCATTGTACAGCATTCGTGCCAAATTTGCCGCCTGGAACGGGGCCTTCTTGCCATGGCGCTGCTTGGCGCGCTCCTCCATGTTTTCCTTCCACCTGAGGGCAGCCTCCTCGTCGCCAGAGTCGACATCTTCCTCATCACTCAGGTCTTCCTCGTCTGTGCCCTCCTCACCTGATATCGAGCCCAAATCCGAATCACTATCCGCGAAAGCAACTTCGTCATCTCCGTCCTTTTCGGCGTCCTTTCGAAACATCTTGCCAAGCTTTTTCTCATTGAATTCGGCCTCGACGTCGGAAGCGTCCGCCTCTGGGTCAGAATCGTCGTCGTCGTATTGTATATCGTCCTCAGCGTCATCCTCGGCCTGGTCAGCGACTCTGCCCTGCCTTTGGGTCTTGCGGCCAGTATCGTCATCGCCAGCCGATTTGAGTTCCTCGCCGCCGGCGAACAGTTGAACTCCGTCCTCGGTCTGACCAAGGAGACGCCTCTCGGACTGGAGGTTGATGATGAGTTCCTCACCCTCGCCTCGCTCGACGTCCTTGGCGTCCTTATCGAATGTGAACCCCTTATCACGGTAAATGTAAATGGCGTCTCCATCCACCTGCAGGCCACTTCGGTCCGACATTGGAGCGTACAGCTTCTTGTCCTTGTCATCGAGGCGCCGCCTGCCGGTCTTGCCAGTGATTTTGGCAAGCGCCTGCTCCATGGCCGGTGTTGGACACGGATCGGGCAGAACCTCCACATCTGCAAGAGTATAATCGCCCAGGCCAGGTATATGTACTCTTTGCCCCTGTGATGCGAAATTCGTGCCACGCAAATAGCCAGAGAGTACTATTGACCGGTCACACTTTTCGTTCTCCTCGATCTTGGTCGGGTGTGTGATGTCGCGCCAACTGTCGATGATCGTGTAGGGGTGCGAGTTCCTCCAAATCAATGGCCTCGGGTTCTTCATGATGGAAAGAAATCGGGACAGGTTGTGTATCTCACGATCGGGATAGCGCCCATTGATGACTCCCGAAAGGTAGAACAAGTGTGCGCCTTGGTAGAGCTCGCTCCATAACCTATGCTTTAACCTCTTCTTTGCATCCCTTAGAGTATGTGGTTTTTTGAACAGGTCAAGATGCGTGAGAATACCAAAGACATTACCCGGCATACCTGTCGCAGCCAGGATGTTCAGGAACTCCATTGTCTCCATTTCGAAGCCAAAGTTACCATCGATCATCAGCAAGATGATATCAGCTACTTTGGCGACGTCGACCATAGCCTCGAGCTCGTTGGGACATTCGAGGAAGGTCAAGCGCTGCTTCTTGGAAGTAACAACGGTTACAGGCCCCTGAGGATTCGATATCGTCTCCTTTGAGTATCGACGGATCATACTCTTGAGGAGCGTCGTCTTGCCCACGCCGGGCGGGCCAACGATGGCCACGAGCCGAGGTGGCGGTTCATCGGGGAATCTGTCGACGAGAGGAACATGGAGACGCTTTTCTTTTATATCGGACGATCGTGCAGCTTGTGCTTGAAGTTTCCCGGGTCTGTGTACGGCAAAAGCCTTTGGGTTATCTGGAGGCAAATTCTGTCAATCAAGAGTCCGGCGCATGGCGCACGAAAAAGAGGTAGAGCTTTGATTTAAGTTAGAATTCTGGCAGAGGAACATACCTCCGGTGTGCTTCTTCTTCTCCTTCCCCTTCCGGTGAGGCTTGTTGCTTTGCGCCTCCATGGTTGCAGAACCTTGGACTGAAAATCCTCACAACAGCAGAAAGAAACCAGGCCGGGATGCAGTCTATGGAAAGGCAAGTCAGTCCTCTAGAAATTTTGAGAGAGGTTGTTATCTTATCGTCTATCGATAAGATTACAGGGGTTGATTGCAGGGATTGTATTGCTGGGTGGATTTCAGCAACCGACTTATACGTCCTAGCCCACACCAGGCCAAACCATTAAAGGCAAATGAGGTGGCCAGGAAAACATCACTCGTTGTCTTTCATCAGCGACAACTGCAGCCACCTCACAAACCTGAATTGGACTGCAATAACTAAAGAGAGGTGGCCGCAGTAAGTCCCTGCACTCGGCTTAGCTAATCAGCCAGGTAGTCTCTCACGATGGAGGATAAAGGTAACTATAACTTAGGTGGTTTCGTTCCTAATCTCCATACATATAAAATATATGCGGCACCTTCATTACAGTGGCAAACACTCAAGACCCAGTGATTCTTTTTTTAAAAAAATACAGAGCAAATAACAGTACAGAGAGAATACAGTGCTGCTTCCTAGAGTATGTCGCGGTCAATATGCCCATCCGTAAGATGCTGACCTGCGAGCTGGCCGAAATTGCAGTCGGGCTCCGCCCGGCCATCTCGAAGGCGAATAAGAACTGGACGGATGACATTGTCACACTGATGGACGGGCTCGAAGATGTTGATCGGCTGGTAGTAAAGGCGTTCACGGATGTGCCAGGTTTCAGCTGTGTACAGACCTCCTGGGTCAACTTCAGACTTTATAATTTGGACTGGGGCCAGGCTCTGGGTGGCAGGATCCAGGCGGTCAGATCTCCAAGCGTGGGTGTCATCAATGGGCTTCAGGTGATACTACCTGTGCTTTAGGACAGAGGGATAGAGGTTTTGGTAGGTGTTGAATAGAGTTGTTCGAAAAAGCTGCTAGTCGAGCCGCTTTGGAACAAATTTGTCATTGAGAGGTAACAAAACTTATCTAGTTGGGCAGTGATCACTGCACAACCTCTTGCGGAATGCCCATTTCTAGATAGCCTGTAGGACGATGTACTGTAGGATAGCATATCATGTTCATATCATGCGGGTAATTGGGTAGAAGGAATTCAGCTACAACAGCTCGATGATAGCTATTAAATTTTAGGCAATGTGGCTCTATTACTGCAATAACAAAAGTGATGTGTCCTGTGTAATTCTGAGAAAAGATGAGGGATGGGCAGAGTGTTGCCCGTTCATGCAATCGACGGCAGCCTCATGGGGGTTCGACCCACTCCGATGATCCCAAGGGACGAAATCTGGCAGTCGAAAACATCCAGTCGTCTTCAGGGCCAAGATTAGGGTCGAACTGGTAGTTGAGCCAGTGACCGATGATCTCGCCGTCTTCCCAGATGGGCGATTCCCAGGAGCCAGATGGTGTGTCATCCGGAAAGCCCATTAGCTCACGCCTGGGGCGCCTCTTGGAGATCTTGAACAGGCGTGGCTCCCTATTCTTGTTGGGCGTTCGTTGGAGGAGACGTTCTTGCCTGTGATATGTCAGCATGTTCGAATATGGCAGACCAGGTACAGAGCAAGTGATCCATACTCCTCATCAAACAGCTTCTTGCCCTGTTTAAGAAGCTCGTGCTCACGTAGCCCTCTCTCATGCAAGCCCGCCAGCATAGCGTGCTTGCGGCTGGCGAGCATGAGAACACCCTCGTGGGAGTAGGAACGTCCTGGATGAGAGGGATAATTCTTGTTCTCAAACTCCCAGTGGGGGAGGGTGTCCATCTCGGCAGCCTTCAGTCGGTAGAATTTCATTGCTGGGAGCAGGTCAGCCGGGTCGCGTGTACGTCTCCCGGGGGCGGCAAAGAGACAAACCGTCAGAACGATGGATCTCAAAGGTGTTGACCTTCTGGCGGTAGCTGCCATCCTTTTCCCAGAAGGAAGCCCGGACGTATTCGTCCCAACCCGCCTTCCACTCCTTCTTCTTCCTGGCCTCGGCCTTGGCCAAGGCCGATTTGGAGGGTGTCTGGGGGTTCGCTTTCGCCCTCTTCCGGGCCGACTCCGAGGCGGAAGCGGGCTGAACAGCATCGCCAGAGGAGCCACGACGCTTGCGCTTTGGGGTGACGGGTGGTGACTGCATGTTCACGATGGAATTGGTTTCTCAGGCACGGATTTCAGATGTGCTGAAACTTCGCAACCACAGCAGGTCCAGTAAGATATTGACAATTGGACTCGTGGAGATCCCAAGATTATATAGACAGAGCTTCAGGTGGGCTGAGTGGGTCTCCGCTGTTTGCTCGGGCAACGCAGCGCGGGAGTGGACTCGGATGCATGCATATCATCCGAGTTCAAGGCGTACCCCGCGTCGTCTGAACCCGCTCGCACATGAGATCAGCCTCTTGGAGGACATTCTGGGTCTCTGTCATTCGATCCCGAAGGATGTGAATTCAACCATCGTGCAACTTTCCGGAATACCAGTCGTTGGAATGAATGGCCGCTCGTGAGGAGATGAGCCAGGGTAAACAGTGTTGCCATACACTACACTACACGCACTGGGCTCCATAGTGTAATGGGAACGTGAATGCTTTAGCCTTAGTGTAAATGTAATGTAGTATAAATGCCTTCAGTGTAAGTGTATGTAGTGTAGTGGGTGAGACGGACCCGTCGGATGCTGCGCGACAGACGCCCCGGCTAAAAGACCACAATTCCAAGTTACCTCAATTCGGAATCCAACACTTGTAAGCCCGTACCGTCACAAGGGGCTTGGTTATTCTCTACATACTTGAGCACCAAGTCACAGGCTCAGCAATTTTTTGACAAGACTACTACCATTATGGCATATTGTACTTCTCCTCTGGCCCCCAGAATCTTCAATTTCCTTCCCCCCTCTCTCCCGAGCCCTTTGAAGAGAACTTAGGTAGACTAAGCTCTCAGCTTTGGATATCCGTTTCTTGCTTTTTCTCCACTTACTACTAATAGACGGGGCTAATGTAAGAGATATTGTCAATGTGCGAATCCCACTGAGAGTCTTTGGTCAGCCTGTCAGATTCTGAACTAGGTATTTGACAACAAGATGCTTTGCATCGGCGAGGTTTAGACCACATGAGGACGGACTCTTGATCGGGCATTGCTACCTAGGCCGATGTGGTGTAAAATTATGTCGGTGGGAGATTTCGACTGATCAGATCACCGTGTTTCCTAGCTGAGTGGCCAGACACGGCTGCGATGGCTTGGTTTCTAGGGCTTGCTACTGGAACATATCCTCCGAGGTAACTGGCCAGCTGGGTAGGAGACAAATCAGCCACATGGACTCTGCAATGACGTTGCGAATTTCTTGAGCATGTGGCAGCAAAGGTGGGAGTAGCGTAGATAATGTCATCTCGATAAGGATGGCAAAGCAGCACAGAGCGAGCACTCTGAGACACTCAAAACTTGGCCAGGGCAGGTAGGCTGGTAGGCAGGCACGACTTAGTAGAGGATACGCTGCAGCAGCTTCGAGGCGAAATAGTGGGGTCTGGCCGCGTCTATCCGATGGCTGCACCCACGAGCAGCCTGACAGCGAAGCAGTGCCCGCCTTGGTGCCCACCTACCTAGGGAGATAGCATGACGTATATGCCCACATGGTGCCGCGTGGTCATGCTGTTGCCGGTGCTTGTTTGCTCCAGAATCCTTTCTGTGTCCAGGTTTTCTATAAGAATAAGCCACATCCTCTCCTGAGCAACATCAGCCACAGCCATACCAACACCCTCTACACATCAACATTGCGTCCTAGATCCAGCCCATCACCCAAACACACAGAAACATCCACCAAAATGCCTACCTACATTGTAAGTCTGAAGAACTCAAGAACCCTGGGCATCACCAGCCGTGTCTGACAAATGCGTTCCGCAGGTTACTTGCAAGGAGGATGCGACCCCTGAGCAGGTCGACGCGTAAGATCAACCACCAACCACATCTTACAATACCACCTTGGGCCCAATAATCAGACTAATTGGACATGTATAGCGCAAAGAAGCATGCCGAGGACCAGGGAGGCAAGATCGGCCACTCTTACAACCTGATCAAGGGGTTCTCGTACGTTCACACACCGCCCGGGCTGCCAGGATGCCAGACTGCCGGGCTGCATGTTCCCGAACCAGCATTTCGCACTGACACCACGCCTCATCTACAGTGTTGATTTCCCCGAAGACTCCATCAGCACGCTGGAGAGCCACGAGCATATCAAGGCCGTCGAGAAGGACGCCCCGGTCAAGACCCAGTAGAGACGAGTGGGAGAGGTCGACTGTTCCATACTTCCATAGATGGGTCCAGCATACGGCGTCCTGCACCAAGGGGCCATGACTTTTCAGACAGGGCATCCGTCATAACGTTACGAGCAATGATTTGATAAATCCATACCTCACGGCTCTCCCTTGAGCCGCTACATGCCCACTGTCCCACCAGACAGACTCGTTAGGTCTCGCCGTGCTCTTTGTTCTCGTCCCCCACGCTTCCTGTCATCGCGGGGTAAACGGCGCCATGCCCCCACCACCGCACCGTCACCTCACGGACCGTTATCTTATCTATCAGGGTCCAGTCAGAGCCCGCCTTCCCGCAGAAATGGGCCCACTCACCCTGGACTTGGCTGCTATATCCCAGTGCACTGTTAATAAATGCCCGCACTGATCAGCTGGGCTGCTGGGTACGGTGCCGCCCGGGTGCACCTGCCCGTCAAGCTTTGATCGCTAAGCAGTGTAGCCAAGAGGCTCGACACCCTGACACCCTACACCCCAGGACCCCAGGCTCTTGCCCACCGCTGTCAACCACCTGCAAGCAGCTCCCAATGAGGTCACATACCTTGCTCGCGATTCAGATGACTCCCCCTAATAGTTGCAACAACTCCAAGAGAGCCCACCACCCTCCTCTGTCGTCTGCAATGCCGCCATGAATTTTCTCATGAGGCCAGTGAGGTGCTCTCACTCATCACGAGCCTCAAGCCAGCTCATCTACTTACGGACCCCTACAAAATGCACGCGACACTTGTCGTCCACCCCTCGGCCGAGGAGGCACACGAGCTTTCCCCATCACGATGACCAGGTGCCTCGACTCGCAAAACAGCCTCTTCACCAGCTGAGCCTGGCAGACCTCGTTAAGTAAATATCCCTCCTCGTCCTCCATGGACCCGAGTGACTAGTCGAGACTCAGCCTAATAAGAGAGCAGGCACGGCCGGCCACCTCTGTCGGCAGAGGCCCTCCTCTCTTCTGCCCGTTTCACGCTGTCGCTGCTCCCAATTCGTCTCGCACACCGCATACAGGCCCTGCGCAACCTGCCCTACATTGTGGTGTCCAACAGCCACATCACCAAGATTTACAACAATTACGAGCACTCGCTCTCCACCCTGCTTCCATGGCTCGAGGACTCCCCCAACAGCAAACACACCCTCTCCACGCTCGAGGATGAGATCCGCTTCACCGAGGTCCTCGCCGAGCTGGTCCAGACCCACACCGACACCATCCCGATCCTCGCCCAGGGTTTCCTCGAGTGCAGGCGGTACATAAGCCCGGCCGAGGTCACGCGCTTCCTGGACGAGCACCTGCGCGCGCGCATCGGCACGAGGCTGATCGCCGAGCAGCACATCGCGCTGCACTTCTCGTCAAAGCCGCACTTCGACCCCGGCGCCTCGCCCACGCCGTGCACCGACCACCCGTCCTTCATCGGCGTCATCGACACGGCCCTGCGGCCAGCGGGCGTCATCGACTCGTGCGGCGAGTTCGTCGCCGACATCTGCGAGCTCAAGTACGGCGTCCGCCCGCGCTGGGAGATAGACGGCGACCCGGACACGACCTTCGCCTTCGTGCCCAACCACCTCGAGTACATCGTCACCGAGCTGCTCAAGAACGCCTTCCGCGCCACCGTCGAGAGCGGCATGACCAGGGAGCCCGTCGTCATCACCATCGCCCCCGAGCCGCCCACCGGCGACAATGACAAGTCGTCGCCCCCGGCCCAGACCCCGCCGGCAAGGCACTCGCCCACCACAACCAGCGACGCCATACGGCCCCTCGATGACAACGCCCCGGGCGTGACCATCCGCATCCGTGACCGTGGCGGCGGCATCGGGCCGGAGATCCTGCCCAACATATGGTCTTACTCATTCACCACCATGGCGGAGGATAACGATGTGCCCGGCGTGGGAGGCGGCAGCGGCATCATCAACAACAACCTACATACCAGCTCCGGCATCGACGCGCTGAGCGTCATCTCTAACTCCGGCAACGGCGGCAGCTCCATCGCGGGGCTGGGGTACGGCCTGCCGCTGGGGCGGGCCTATGCCGAGTACTTTGGCGGGGGTGTCGCCGTGCAGAGCTTGTACGGCTGGGGCACGGATGTGTACCTGAGGCTCAAGGGCGTCGGGCGGATAGAGTGAGTGAGGGGGCTAGCTGGCGAGGCTTCCTTCTGCCACGGCCTAGAATCGGCCTGCTCGTGTTTGCCAGCAGTGCCATAAGCCAAGAAGTGGGCGGCCGCCACGGCACAGAACATGTTGCATGCATGTATAGACGAAGGAGGGCGTCGTTCAAATAGGACCTGTACAGAGTGACAATACATAGTAGCAAACTAGTTGCGAGCCACCATAGCACACAATCTTTGTCAGAAAAAGCCTTTCACGTTTGTAAAGGGATAATATGATTTCCCAAGTCGAACTATAGACACTCAATTATTAAAAGCGCCCGAGATTCCTGACCCATCAAGCTCCATACAGAAGATGTTGAAAGACCGTGTAATAAAAAAAATGATATGCTGACGCCGCTAGATAATAACCCAAAGATTCTGTCAGAGGACCCTCTCTCTCATGCTCAAAAATGGTTACCATCATTAACCCCCACATTTGCTCCGTGTATTAATAGTACTTTTTGCGTTTTCCAAGTCGCATTCCAAAGATCTGGAGCTGTTCCTTTCCCCCCAAATCATTTTCTTCCCAGCTTCACCCATTACATGTTCGCCAGCTCGTTGTCGATCTGGCGGTCCATGAACGTCCTCCGCTCACCCGCAAGCTCGGTCTGCAACCTCTGCTCCACCAGGGCGCGCACTTGCTTCTTGGTGACGGTGTCGAGGTCGACCTCCCGCAGGACGGCCTGGATACACTCAGTGATGACCACGTCGTCGGGTCCGCTCGCCCCAGGGCCGCGAGTGAAGTCTACAGACAGGGTGGACTGGTTCTGCTGCATGTATCCGCTCATGGCTGTGCCAGCGCGGGACTGCCCAGCGCCCATGCCCAAGTGAGACTGTGCGCGATCCTGGTATGGCGAGTTGCCCCGGTCAAGACCTGCGCCAACGCTGAATGTGGAATGTCTCTGCGCAAGGCCCGGGTGATCCGTGTACGGGGCCGTGAACGTCGAATTCCGGCTCATGTGCTGCTGGAACGGCGCAGGAGATTGTGGTGGGGCCATGTAGGCTCCACGGCCGAGAGCGCCGGTCAGGACTGAAGGCTGGCGTACGGACGAGTACACGGACTTCATGTCGTCGAGCTCGTACTCAACACCGCCCGCGTCGTAAGGGTTGTTCATATCATGAATTCCACCCTTCTCGGTGTAGCCGCGCCGCCCAGGCAAGTTGTTTTGCAACGCATGGTCGTCCCAACGCTGCAAAGGAATGCTGCGCGGGTCGAAGCCTTCGTCATCAACGGCGACGATCTGCTTCTGGCCCTTCTCACCGATGACGATACGGGTGTTACCCCACGAGAAGTTATCCTGGTTCCAGAAGGAATAGATGGGCAGGATGAAAGAATAGACCGGGTAGGCCATGATGTAGATGATCATCCAGCCAATGTGCTGCCACTGCCTCTTCAGGATGAAGATGAGCGCCTGAAGACCGTACACGGCTGCTATCATGATGATTGAAATCATCGGGAACTGACCCGAGTGGCTGGCAACTCTGTAGATGAGGTAGCCAAGGTAGATGGTCGTTGCCGGCAGGATGATAGTACCAAGGAGATCGATCAGCACGACAAATCTCATGCTGAAACAGCAGAATCCGCACATGTCCTTGAGCCACATCAACTCGACCAGGTTGTGAATCGTCGAGTTAATCCATCGACGACGCTGAGACAACAGGACACTCCATGTCTCGGGAGCAGCAGTTTGGCAGTAAGCATCTCCGGTGAACTTGTATGACATGTAGGGAAAGTGCTTGGTCATGAGTGTGGTCAAGAAACGATCCTCTCCCAGAGAAAGCAGGTTCTTCTTGTGAAGGGTGTCAACACGGCAGTCACTGTACTCTCGAATGATTTCATCTGCGATGATGAGAGGCTTGCCCCGATCGGAAGTTCGAAGTCGATACATGGTGAAACTAGTATTTTGTTAGCTGTCGCACAATCAGGGTTTTCAAGATCAGGAAGGGTCTCGACTTACCATCCAGGCAGACAAGTGACGCTACCAAACAACGACTCAAATGCCTTGGCCAAGTTGTGAGAGATGAAGTACTCGTAGACCTGGATCATCGTCCACCATGACCTTTCCTCGTTCTGTAAGCTAGTCTCACCACAGATACCAGCGATCTTGGCGTTGTGGGCACAAGCGGCGACCAATCTGTTGAGCGAATCCTCCCGGACGCAGGTATCGGCGTCTACCATAAGCAAGTACTCGTAAAGCTCAGGATCGACACCGATAATGTTGTTGATCTGATGGAACATCTCCAGCTCAAGAGGGCTCATGGGGGCACGGTGGTGCACACGGTTCAAGAAGCTCATAAGCAGGATTTGAGAATCACGCTTGCCACGGTTACCTGGCTTTGACTTCTTCTGCTCAGACTCCTTGCCGACCTTGACGACCACTATGTATGGGACGACGTTGCCCTCATACTCGTAAAGACCAGAGTAAACCTTGCCATAATTGAGCTGCTCGCTTCCAGTGCCAACGGATTTGAAGGGTAGCGCTGGCGGGTCGAGTTTAGGATCAACCCCGAGAATGTCGAGCACGATCTTGGGCGTCGGGCGGTCGTTGCCAGCACCGACGAGGACACCATCGCAGATAACGCAGATAAGCTTGCGCTTGTTGTCGTACTGCAGAGCTGTGAGAGAGTCCAGAGCCTTGCGGAGCGAGTCCTCGCCCTCGGTGTAAGCCGGAACCTGGCAGATGACGAACTTGTCCTGTGGGGCGGGGCGTCGCTTGGAACCGAACTGCAAGGCTGCCAAGAATTTGACTCCGATCACCATACAGATGATAATGGTAAAAGCGAGTAGAATGTAATTGTTGACTTGGCACCTGGCGCTGAACCGAAACTCCGGGATGCCGACGTAGAAGGTGTTCTTGATGCAGTTGAGACTGTTTGCCAGACTGGTGGACTTGGTAACGTTGTGCGAAGCGTCTTTCAATAGACTGTTCCACTGAGTCGTGATGTCTTCGCCTAGGTTGTCCGAGACAACATCTGTTAGATCGGAGTCAAGAAACCTATACTGAGCCAAATTGTTCTGAACGTCCAGCGTATGGAAATAGTCAGTCAGGTCGTAGATTCCGCCATCGTAGATGACCCAGTTGTTGAATCCAGCCTGGCCTTGGGAATAAACCTTCTTTTTGTCGAAGACGAGGTCACCCTTGTAATACTCCTTGATCTTGGGGACGAATGTGGCGTAGTACCAGTTTGGGTCGGCCAGAGCCGTATTCGGGTCTGGCTGGTAGAATCCTGAGGTGTGCTTTCCGTTCGGGTTGGTAACAGTAGTGTTCTGAACCAACTGGATCATCTTGTCTGTCACAATTCCAGGACATGTAGTGATGAGGGGCCGCACGAAGTATCCGTCGAGGTTTGCGCCAGCGAACGGTTCCATAATGGCCGAGGTTGTCTTGATGTTGGTGTCGCTGTGTTGTGTCTTCCAGAACTTGGAGATATCGTAAACGTGGCCGTGTACACTGACCCAGAAGTCGTTGTCTGCAGTATGCCCGGCGACTTCTTTCGATGTCCAGGCTTTGTCGAAGTTGGGACAGAGCAGCAGACCGAACCAGATGATCCAGAAGACCACGAGGGCATTGGCGAGGACAATAAAGAAACACAAGACAAACTTCTCTCGCCAGGCCATGCGTACATCCGGTCGCTTCATCCGACCGATGAAGCTCAGTAGGAAAGAGGGAATCCAGAACGTAAGCGCCCAGACAACAGCGACCCAGATACGCCGGCTCTTGTCCACAGGTTCCTCCTCGATTTTCTTGCCGTCAGCAAGTTCGGGATCCATCATGCCAACGAATTCGCCCTCTTTGTTGTAGTAGTACTGCTCCTCGTGTCGGTGGGTGTCGCCTTTTGTTCCAAGGCCATAGTCACCCTTGGGCGGTGCACGCATGCTCTGGGCCTGCTGTGAAGGAGCGATGGATGGTGCCCGGGAACCACCTGGACCCAGCCCGAGAGCAGCCGGACCAAGCAAGGTGGCCTGACTACGGTTTCTCGAGTGAACGAGACCCTCGTTGCTCTCGTTTGCATGGGCATCGCCAAACGGAGACTGGCCGAAATACCCACTGCCGTTGGTGTTGGCGGAATATCCTGTTTCGAGGCCGGTGGATGCCATGAAACCACCCATTCCTAGGCCCATTCCCATTCCCATACCTGCGCCTGCGATTTGCCTGTTGTCGATCATACCCTCGGCCTCCCACCATGCGTTCTCGTGCATCCAGACGCGCTCGTTACCAACAGCTACCTCGCCATTGCTCCAGCCCCTCTCGAGGAGCCAGCCTTCGATGCCATCTTTTCCATCCCTGCACCCGAGGATGGAATAACGCTGCACGAATTCATCATGGTCAAAGTCTGCGGTGAAGTCCAAGTTCTTGTTTCGGCGGTTGGCCCACTCAGGCAGCCTCCAGGCGCGCAGCTGGCGCGAGACACATCCTGCAGACCAAGCAGAGGTGATGGACGGTAGTCCAGCGATGCTGGCCGGCGAGTCATCCGTCGGGTGGATGGAGAGGTGATGCCACGCGCGGCTACTACTCAGGAGATTCTGTAGGTCCACTCGCGCATTCCGGCCGAGGTTGATGCCCTCGCCCTCGACAGGAAACAGCAGCTTCTTGAGGAAACCATCTTGGTCGGCAGCAAGAGCGAGCTTTTCCAGCACTTCCTCGCGCTTCTCGAGCTCGTGCTCTCTCTCCCGTCCAGCCGGGCCCGACATGATGCCCAGATCCGGGGCAACGGTATTCACGGCATTTTGCATCTCGCGGAGAACCGAGCTCCCCGCGGCGGGAATGTCAATGCCGTCTTGCTTCATCTCGGCGTTAATGCCGGTGGTGTCGTCGAAGATACCGCGCAGGGCCAACGCCTTGCCTAAGTCTGGGTCGGGGATTTCCAAAACGGTGATGCAGACCGTATCCTCATTGTCGTTGTCGGTGTTGTTTGTGCGCGCCCCACTGTCACTGCCAGAGGCGCTCCCGCTACGAGGTGCACGACCCATCTCGGCAGCGATGGCATTGTTTGCCTTGGTAATGACCCAGTCCACAAGAGCCTCGTAGAGACCCCCAATAAACGTCGACCTATCTTCGGTACTGCACTGGGTCGCAAGCACCTCGGGCTCGACCCCGAGCAGACCGCTAGCATCCTCGATGATATCATCGAATGCATCCTCATCGATCTGATAGTCAAGGGTGTTTCCAAGCTTCAACAGCCCAGCAAGCGTCGAGATGAGGTTCCTGTGGGCGGAGCCCTTGATGCCGATCTGCTTCAGGGCGTCGCGGAAGTCATCAGCGGCAGCAGCGTCGTCGCCATTGATCAGGTACGAAGGTGGCTGGTACGTGTTGGATCGTGCCAGGAGGGTGTAGCTCTCGGGGCTCTTAAGGCCAAGGAACTCACGCTCTGCCGGGGTAGCACTCGCGCTGAGGAGGTAGTAGAACACGTCGAAAGCACGGTTTCCGGCCTCGGCCGGGATGTTCAACAGCCCCTTTTTCGTGTCGATGCCGCCCTGAGAGAGTGCCAGGGACGCCCCATGGAGGTCACCGGCGAGGTTGAGTGTCAAAGTCACGGCGAGGCCAGCCTGGCGAGGGGTCGATGGGTTGTGTGGGGTCACACAGCGGATGAAGGGGAGGACTGCTTCGAGGGCCTTGAACAGCATAGGGGTCATCTGCAAGGGCAGACCATGCTGGAGGAACGGCACGAGGACGGACGGCGTCGACGTGTGTAGAGAACTAGAAGGGTTTGGAAGGTCAGCATTGGGGAGGGAGGATGTAGTGCGTGTCGAGCATCTCGCGGCCCACGATCAGGCAGAGCTAGACCCAACATACCTCAGAATTATGCAACCATCCTCTGCCCTTCGCCTGGCGTGTTCCCACGCGCGAGCGCCAAGGGCTGTGTCGATGGTGCCTCCGGACGAGTGGTTTGGAGGAGGGGGATTGGCCGTGAGCCAGGTGTTGACGACGACACTAGAGCTTGCATCGAGAGCGTAGGGCTTGCCCTCGACGTAAATGTTGTGGATGGAGTTGAGCAGCGTTGTAGTGCTGACCTGAACCGACTGCTGCCCAGTCCCCCGGGGGGCACCAGGCAAGTCTGATGCCACCGAGTACATGGACATTCGGCTCGCCATGTTGGGCGAAGAAACGCCTTCTCCTACGTGACGGCCACCAGCTCAGATGACGGATGCTCGAGGCCTGTGGTTACTGGTGTGAATGCACGCCTGGGTTGGTTGTGCCCTGCAGGTCGAGATGATGGTCGACGACGCAGGTCGAAACAATCGAGCGAATGTGGTGAGGTTGGGGGAAGTGCGGGTTCGTTCGCTGGGCAACGCTGGAGAAGTCCAACGGCGAGTCGACTCGCTTCTGCTTGGTTCAATTAAAACAATTGCAACGCAGGTCACCAAAAGTACACAAGAAACAAAGCGAGCAAGAGGTAGAAACTTAGTATCAACGACAGGAAACCAACCACCAAAGCGAGTGAGGGGGTTGATTGATTCGGGTCGCAGGTAGAGTTGACGACGAGCCAGAGATGGAGAGAAAATGTGCCTCCCATACGCGAGCGGCAAGGCTAACAAGGTACCTAGGCAGGGCAGGGCCGCTGGGTCGGTGGTGGTGGGTGTTTGGGAGGAGGCTCTGGCAGTACTCCGTAATGCCTGGGCACGCTACGGAGATGTGTGGTACAGACAGCCCTGGCAGCGTCCTGCTGGCTGACTGTGGCCGGCCGAGTGGTGTAGATTTCAGGGCCTCGAACAAGATGATCCCACCCGCACAGCAGATCCACCTGCCCGGCACAGAGCGAGAGACTACGGCAGGCGATTAGGACCCCAGGTGCAGAATACGAGGCCAAGTTGGCGAGGGTGCATGATTTTGGCTGGCTGGCTGGCTGGCTGGCTGGCTGGCTAACTGGGCCAAGCAACAAGGTGAAGTGAACTGGGTGAGTGGGACCCCGTACTCCATCCTCCGTACTCTGTAGCAGGGCCTGGAGGACCATCGACGGGCTCTCAGGACTGGCTAACTTGAAGGGGTCCGGGAGGGCGTGTGGACGGGGCACAGCTGGCACTGTCCCAGTCGGCGGCGCCGGCTGGTTGGTACTGTGACGCAGAGGGACAGGCACGGTATGGTCAGGGGAGACTGGTAGGGGGGTACGGACTACGGAGTACGGGGGTTGCCCCCTCTGCCCACCTCTGGCCCCCCCCTTTGTGGTGTGCCCGCTCCCGTATCCATCCTGCCCTCCTGCTGCGCGCCTGCCCGCTGCCACTCTAAAAATATATGCATGCGATGGGCGATGGCAAAAAAACAGTGGAGGCCTGGCAGGGAATACGAGAGGCTAAAAACTCTTGATCGAACAAACCCGAACCGGCTGCAACACGACAGGCCGATCGACAGAGAACCAGACTGACTGATGACGGACTGACTGGCTGGCAAGCTGGCTGATGAGTTGTCTGGTTGTTCGTCTCTGCTGCCGTTCTCGTGCAGTGCAGTTGCAGTGCAGAGCAGTGACACAGGAAGGTGCAAGCCCTTTTTTTCCTGATTCTTTCAAGTACACAGTAGACTTTACTGGTCCTGTATCCGCTACAACGGGCGCTCCACTTACTAACATACCTAGTCTACTATGTAGTAGGTACCTAGTAAGCATACTATGACCCCCTGCCCCGTCGAGTCGGAATGGATCAGGGCAATCAATTCCAGTGGCTTGGGGACGAGATATGAAGTCCTCAGGTGTTCTCTCCTTTTCTCATGTCTTACCGGGACGACTCACGCTTGTACTCCGTACACAGCACTCGGTACGTACGGCAGCACGACTGCCACAGGACTCGCAGACTCGCTGCACGCAGCCCTCGCCCTCCAGCCCTCCAGCCCTCCCGGGCCTCCCTCGCCTCGCACAAGTACCGCTGTGAGCAGGCCAGGCTAGCCCCAACGAGGAATTTTGTGAGAAAAGTCTCCGAACGCGCCTCAAATCCAATTTCTTTTTCCTCGTTCCCGTCCGCTTGCTTACTCGGCCCACGATCCTCAACCCTGGCCCCTGCCAGTCAGGCATGGCCTGCCCAGGAGATGCTAGCTGGCTGCCTTACCGCTTCCGTCTGTGGGCAATGGGCATCATCGCCAGATGGATATACTGACAGCCATGAGCATCAACAGTCTTCCTTGGTTGCGATACGGCAAGATCGTGCAAAACCCAGGGACGAGCACGATGCCCATGATGCATTGCTCGGTCCATTGCGCCCCATCCGGCCCATCTGCATTGCTACCGGCCGGTTGATGTGCATTGGATCTACCTCCAGGGGATCTGCATACCTTGTTTTTAGCGGCCCGGACGACAGAACAGGCGTCAAGAGGCGTGTCTGCTTGCTCTGTCGGTCTGTCTTCACGTCGTGGGGACCGGGCATTGTTCCAAGTTTCGGCGCAGAATCACATTCTTGCCTTGCCTGAAGGCCAAGTGCGGTCGGTCTGTGGCTTCCAAGTTGTCCGCGTCTGCTGCTGGACAAGACTGCACTTACATTACACAGTACGGAGTACATGCAATAATAATAGGGGCCTAGGGCATGCTGCACCGCGCCGGAGTTGCACGGCATGGTTTCCGGGGGACCGGCATGACGCGCACCCTTGAGCCAATGTTCCCCTTCGATTCGCTGCCCTCCCCACGCTATGGGCACAACATAATAATAATAAAGCACCCTACGGAGCACCGCGTCTGCGGAGACTATCCTACTACTGTACCACACTATGTACGTACCTGGCTTACTACGTGCGCGCCGTGGCAACGGCAACCAAGTGCAAGCCCCCAACTCCTGCAAGTTGGAAAAGGGGTGGATGGCCGATCACACAGGACCCCGTAAATTAGAGTTGGCTCGTTGACGAATCTGAGAGTTGATACTGCAAGTACGTGCACATCCGACGCGGCTTATTACCAACGAACTGCGAGTAGTGGGCAGCGCACAGGCTGGCTGGCTGGCAGTTCTCGGGACTCACACTTGATACAGTCCCGTGGTGTAAGCAAGTCTTGGTTGGCCGGACGAGGAGCACGCGCCGTCCAAACACAGAATCCAAAATCCTCAGCAACATCACAAGGACCAAGACCTCGGGATGCCCAACAAAGGACTGAGACATGTGCTCATGACCGCCGCAGCCCTAGACGGCAGGACGGCAGGACGGCCGTCCCGCTCACAACTGCACAAGCAACACGACAAACCACTGGGATGGATGGGTGAGCTCGTAACTGGCAGCAGTGCCGACTGATATGACAGGGTTTCCAGAAGCTTGTCATGGTCGAGTGACGTGACCTACCTGACGTCTTCTCCCTCCTGCACGGCAAACCACATGCCAGCATGCCTCACTCAGACCAACAAGAGAAAGCGGCAGAGGAGGAAGAAGAAGAAGAAGAAAGTACCACAGTACTGTAGACAAGAACAATGGCAAACCAATTGAATCGGTTGCAACCGGCTTGGGTCTCCTGGTCTCTGGGTCTCGGAGTGCCGTGGTCCACGCCGGCCCAAGAGTGGCCCCAGGGGTGGGGTTGTCTGGGTGTTCTGGGTCTGTTCTGGGTGTTTCTGGGTGCGCCCCAGGGAGCCTGGACTTCGTATAGGAGTCGACCTGCACAAGTGGCCCCATCGGCATGCCGTACAAAAATATACTTGCCCCAGAAATCGTCCCTTACACTGCCCAGCTGTCCGTGGCCGTCGCCCCCTTTAACCCGGGAGTCATTGGAAAGACCTGGACGAGCCACGGCTCCAACCCGAGCGCCACCTCATGCTTGCCTGCACCGTACTGTTCGTAAGGATTGCTTCCTGCTGCTGCCCACTGTGTTGTACCGCCCGCGCCTCGGACTCTTAGACCTGGGCTGGGCGTGATCCGTCCTGAAGCATCCCGTTGCTTGCATATCGTTGTTGCCTTTGCACCCTGATCCCAATCCTCCCACCTAGACATTCGTTTTTTTGTCATTGTCATTGTCATTGTCTTGTTTGACGCTCGCTCGCTTGTAATCGAGTTGTAGTGGTTGTTGAGCCGTTCGTTGGTCTCGAGACTTTGCTGCCCGCAGTCTCGGATTTCACCACCTTCACGTCCTTGTTGTGGCGGAAAAGAGCTCCCGGCAAGGCATCTCCTACGACGGGAGTCGCAGACGAAATATTCTTCCTCGCCGTTTCCCAGTTTGGGCCTAAGAGCGTAGCAGTGCTCGATTCTGCACGATCTCCAGCCCGGCCCCGAACCACAACGGCCACTGAGGGGACGCTTGGGCTAGGTATTTCCCAGACGCCATCTCTGGCTGTCTCGGACGACCCTCAACGTCCACCATGGCGTCCAACGTCCACGGCGGCAACGGTGGTGCTCACACGCAACCATCCTTGCCCTCGTTGCCCGCCCATCTCCAGTCCGACACACAGATCACGGCACACCTGGCCAGTCGATTCCATGTCAACATACCCACGGCACAGCTGTCCTCTCACGCGCTCATCTCCCTGAATACCTATACCTCCTCCACCAAGGGTCACGATGGCGGCAAGGAGGGGAGTGCCATGGCTGGTGCCGAGGACATGGCCGGCAGGGCCTTCATCAGGCTTGGCCATCGTTCCGAGAACCAGGCCATTCTGTTCCTGTACGCGTCTTCTTCCCTTTTTGTCTCCGTGTCTATATAGTCTCGAAGAAGCTGACGCGAAGACAGTGGTGAATCCGGCTCTGGCAAGACTACCGTACGATCACACATCCTGACCGCTCTCCTGAACAAGACATCTACGCCTCTCTCTAATAAGGTCTCCTTGGCTGCGTACGTCTTCGACACCCTGACCACCACCAAAACCGCGACCACGCCAACTGCCTCGAAGGCTGGCTTGTTTTACGAGCTACAGTACGACACATCCTCCTCGACGCATCCGGAGCTGATCGGTGGCAAGCTTCTTGACCACCGTCTCGAACGGAGCAGGATCGCAGAAGTACCAACCGGAGAGCGGAACTTTCACGTCCTCTACTACCTTCTCGCCGGAACCAGCGGTGCTGAAAAGCAGCATCTTGGCCTCGACCAACCTGGCGGGGCTAGTCAGAAGAGGTGGAGATATCTTGGCCATCCCACACAGCTCAAGGTCGGCATCAATGACGCTGAGGGCTTCCAGCTGTTCAAGACGGCTCTGAGGAAGCTCGAATTCGCGAGGGGCGAGATCGCAGAGATTTGCCAGATCCTTGCAACTATCCTGCACATTGGTCAGCTAGAGTTCGAGACGTCCAACAGTACCACGGCCCAGGGAGACGACAGCGGTGGTTTCTCTCATGAGGGTGGTCAGACCTCTACCACAGTCAAGAACAAAGATGTCCTTAGCATCGTGGCAGCTTTCCTTGGGGTGGGTCAGCAAGATCTACAGACAACTCTGGGTTACAAGACCAAGATCATTCACAAGGAGAGGGTCACGGTCATGCTGGACCCTGCGGGTGCCCGGTCCAACGCCAATGAGCTCGCCAGGACCCTATATTCTCTGCTCGTTGCCTACGTCATTGAGAACATCAACCAGAAGATATGTGCCCCCGAGGAGTCCATTGCCAACACCGTCTCCATCGTGGACTTCCCCGGTTTTATCCAGCAGTCCCCCACCCACTGCACGATTGATCAGCTTCTGAACAACGCTGCCACGGAAGCCCTTTACAACTTGACATTGAAGAACTTCTTTGACAACAAGGCGGAGCTGCTTGAGAGCGAGGAAGTGTCTGTTGCGGCAACCAGTTACTTCGACAACTCAGACGCCACCAAGGGTCTTCTCAAGACTGGAAATGGCTTGCTGAGTATCCTTGATGACCAGACTCGGCGTCACCGCACCGATATCCAGCTGCTGGAGAGTCTGAGGAAACGATTCGACGGCAAGAACCCAGCCATTTCTGTCAGCTCTGCTACCGCCAGACTTCCAGGCAGCAACTTCCTGTCCGAGAATTCCGCTGCATCATTCACTGTCAGGCATTTTGCTGGGGAGGTTGAATACCATGTCAAGGGTTTGGTTGAAGAGAACGGTGAGGTTATTTCGGGCGACCTGCTTAACCTCATCAACTCGACCAAGAGCGACTTCGTGGCCCGTCTCTTTGGTCAGGAGGCTCTGCAAACCGTGGTACACCCGCAAGAGCGAACTGCTGTTATGCAGGCCACCGTCAGCTCGAAGCCTACGCGTGCTCCCAGCGTCATGTCGAGGAAGAACAGGTACCGCCCTGGCACAGTGAAGCGCCCTGGGACTGCCTACACCGCGGCTCAAGAGTCCGAGAAGGTGGAAGAGGAGGAGTCCAGCGAGCCAAAGCGAAGCATCCGCCACAGTGAGCAAGGAGCATCTGGTCAGTTTTTGTCTGCTTTAGACAATGTGACCAAATCTGTAACTGCGCCTGGCACCAACGCGTACTTCGTATTCTGTCTCAAGCCCAACGACAGGAGGATCGCAAACCAGTTCGACAGTAAATGTGTCCGGACACAGGTCCAGACCTTTGGTATTGCGGAGATTAGCCAGCGCCTTCGCTCGGCAGACTTCACCATTTTCCTACCTTTTGCCGAATTCCTCGGCCTCGCTGACGCGGACACGATCCTTGTTGGCAGTGAACGCGAGAAGGTCGAGCTTGTTGTTGAGGAGAAGCGGTGGCCGAGCAATGAAGTGCAAGTAGGCTCAACCGGTGTCTTCCTCAGTGAACGCTGCTGGATGGAGATGAACAACTTTGCCGAGATCGACTCGAACCGATATCGACTACCATCCGATGCGGGCGACAACCTGACACCAAGCGGCACTCCAGGCGACCCATTTGCTGCTTCCAAGGAACGCCTGCTTTCAGCAAGCAACACGCCTGGCTACAACGACAAGTCCAAATCCGGGTACTTTGGCAGCGACGATGTTGACGCCCGCTCAGATGCCGGCATGACCGCGATAGGCGGCGGTGACATGTTCAAAAACCTCGAGACTCGCGAGGAGATGGCTCAGAAGAGCAACGAGAAGACCATGGAGGAAGTTGAGGAATTCAGGGATACCGGTACTCGAAAGCGCTGGGTCTTCTTCGTGTACCTCCTGACCTGGTGGGTGCCGGACTTCCTCATCCGCAAGTTGGGCAAGATGCCTAGAAAGGATGTGCGCATGGCCTGGCGAGAAAAGTTGGCAATCAACATGATCATCTGGCTCAGCTGCTTGATCGCCATCTTCTTCACTATCGCCTTGCCTCAGATTATCTGCCCCAAGCAGAACGTCTACAGCTCTGCCGAACTCACGGACTACAACGGCAAGAACGGCAAGGGGATGTATGTCGCAATCCGTGGTATCGTCTTCGACTTGGAGGCATTCATGCCGACTCACTACCCCTCTTACATTTCCGATAACCTCATGGAGAGATTTGCCGGCCAGGATGTCACCGACCTGTTCCCAGTTCAAGTTTCAGCACTGTGCCAGGGCGTTGATGGCAAAGTCGACCCATCTGTGTCTCTAGACTACACGTCGACCAATTTCACAGGAGATGCGAGAACTACCAGCATCACTTCTCTGTACGCCAAGTACCATGACTTCAATTACTACCAGAATGACAGCCGTCCAGACTGGTTCACGGAGCAAATGATCAGGCTCAAGCAAGGTGGCTACAAGAAGGGCAACATCGGCTACACGCCTGAGTACATCAAGAAGCAGGGCCAGAAAGGCAAGTCTGTCGGCATCATCGGCTCTCGTATCTATGACATGACCAAGTATGTCGCTGGCGGCCGGCGCTTGAGAGCCCCTGCTGGCGAGGACCCACCGTCGGATGGTGAGCTCGGCAACTTCATGGACCAACTTGTTGTGGACCTCTTCCAGCAGAAGGCCGGCTCAGATGTCTCTAAACTGTGGGATGCTCTGGCTCTCGACGTGGCCAAGAAGCAACGGATGAAGCTTTGCCTGGACAACCTCTTCTACATCGCAGACGTCGACACTAGGAACTCCGTCAAGTGTCAGTTCGCCAATTACCTGATTCTGGCTGTGTCAATCCTTCTCTGCGCCATCATTGGAGTCAAGTTCCTCGCTGCCTTGCAATTCGGCGGGAACAACGTGCCAGAGAACCTGGACAAATTCATCATGTGTCAAATTCCAGCCTATACAGAAGACGAAGATTCTCTTCGACGTGCTATCGACTCAGCTGCTCGTATGCGCTACGACGACAAGCGCAAACTGCTCATTGTCATTTGCGACGGAATGATTATTGGACAAGGCAATGACCGGCCCACGCCTCGTATTGTTTTGGACATTCTTGGTGTCTCTGAGACTGTCGACCCCGAGCCGCTCAGCTTCGAGTCCCTCGGTGAAGGTATGAAGCAACACAACATGGGCAAGGTCTACTCTGGTCTGTATGAGGTCCAGGGTCACATCGTTCCCTTCCTGGTCGTGGTCAAAGTCGGCAAGCCTTCAGAGGTCTCCCGTCCTGGTAACCGTGGCAAGCGAGACTCGCAGATGGTCATCATGCGCTTCCTCAACCGCGTCCACTACAACCTGGCCATGAGCCCCTTGGAACTGGAAATGTACCACCAAATACGGAACATCATTGGCGTCAACCCAACTTTCTACGAATTCCTCTTGCAAATGGACGCAGATACTGTTGTTGCCCAGGACTCTGCTACCCGCTTCGTCTCGGCCTTCTTGGACGACACTCGCCTCATCGCTGTTTGCGGTGAGACCGCCCTCACCAACGCCAAGAGCTCCTTCGTCACCATGATCCAGGTCTACGAATACTACATCTCGCATAACTTGGTCAAGGCCTTTGAAAGTCTTTTCGGCTCTGTCACCTGTCTTCCTGGTTGTTTCACCATGTACCGCATCCGCGCCGCTGATTCAGGCAAGCCACTCTTCGTCAGCCGAGAAGTTGTCGAGCAGTACGCGACGATTCGTGTCGACACCCTCCACATGAAGAACCTGCTCCACCTTGGTGAGGATCGATACCTGACAACGCTGCTCCTGAGGCACCACCAGCAGTACAAGACCAAGTACATGATGAAGGCACACGCATGGACCATCGCACCCGATTCCTGGACTGTTTTCCTCTCGCAAAGACGTCGTTGGATCAACTCCACCGTGCACAACCTGATGGAACTCATGCCCATGAACCAGCTCTGTGGTTTCTGCTGCTTCAGCATGCGTTTCATCGTGTTCATGGACCTGCTGACCACTGTTGTGCAACCTGTCACAATTGCGTACATCGTCTACCTGATTGTTCTCCTCTCCATCGACGCTACCGTCGTGCCCATGACAGCCTTCATCATGCTTGGTGCTATCTACGGTCTGCAGGGTATCATCTTCATCGTTCGTCGCAAGTGGGAAATGATCGGATGGATGCTGCTCTACATCTGCGCCGTCCCCGTTTACTCGTTTGCCCTCCCTCTGTACGCTTTCTGGCACATGGACGACTTCAACTGGGGTAACACTCGTGTCATTGCCGGTGAGAAGGGCAAGAAGGTGGTCATCTCCGACGAGGGCAAGTTCGACCCGGCCTCCATCCCCCGCAAGAAGTGGGAGGAGTACCAGGCCGAGCTCTGGGACGCCCAGACTGCGCGCGACGACGTACGCTCCGAGGTCTCCGGCTTCAGCTACGCAACCAAGGCGGGCCCCAACGTCGGCGTGTCAGAGTACGGCTGGGGCGGCTACACCCCCTCGCGGCCTGGCTCTGTGGTCAACTACGGCCATGGCCCGTACAACAACAGCTCTGGTGACCTCAAGGTGCCCCTGGCCGGCTCCCAGAGCCGCCTGAGCTTCGCGGCGAGCGAGATGATGGGCGGTGGCCACACCCCTGTCAACCGCGCGAGCCAGTTCGGCGGCAGCCAGTTCTTCGGCGGCAGCCAGAACGACCTCGAGATGAGCAACCTCGCCGGCCTGCCCGGCGACGACGCGCTGCTGGCCGAGATCCGTGAGATCCTGCGCACCGCGGACCTCATGACCGTGACCAAGAAGGGCGTCAAGCAGGAGCTTGAGAGGAGGTTCGGCGTCCCGCTCGATGCCAGGAGGGCGTACATCAACTCAGGTAAGTCTGCTCCCAAGCCATGTCCCTACCTACCGCGACCGTCACTAACTTTTGGGCCACAGCCACCGAAGCATGCCTTTCCGGGCAGCTGTAGATTCCGTTCTTGGATATACACCACATCATCAGCACTTGATACATGTTTTGACCTGCATACCATTTACATAATTAACTAATGGCCCGTTTTGATAATGCGTACCACCATCTTGAGGAAGGGGAAAGTTTGTAGAGTTATCCTTTGACAGACCTAACTGGGCCTTTGTCGCAATATCATCTTGGATCTTGGTAAAGGGGACGAGCAACCACCAAAAAAGGGAAAGAAGAAATCGCATTTTAATGACGGCGGCTGGTGTTGGGAATGATGTCTTTGCAAATGGCCTGCGTGGAGTTGTGACGTTGATTTTCTAGTTTTTTGACTAGCTACTCACGTAGTTCACACATTTTGGTATATGGGATCGGCAAGCAATTGGATTTTAAATTGAACATTGAATTATGGCCCTCTCTAGTCCGTGATCTTGGAGTGAGAAGCACTTTGTATGGTCTTGAAAGTGACGCGCTCTGCTCGGGCGTCGCTACCCACGGTATCTCCCCTTATCCTCCCTATACAGCTCCCTCCTATGGGACACCCTCTTATGAGATGCCTTCTTTGGGACAACATCATATGGAATAACGATCTATAGAGGAACCTCCTATACAGGATAATCACATACCTACCTAGGTACCTAGTCAGTTCGATAGGAAGTAGTTCAGCTGTAGGGACTTCGGTCTCATTAGTGAAGGTGTGACGGCGATACGACGGCGGCACGGTAGCGGTAATGGTAATGAATATATGATAAGGCCAGGCAAGGTCAGGACAAATCTCAAAGTAAGTTTCAGGCGCAGAAGCGAGCAGGGACACTTGGTTCACCATCTCTCAGGTTCAACTGGCAAGGTCTTTCTAGAACACATCCCTACCTAATAGGTAAACAGGTGTTGTGACCGCCAATCCTTGTTCACCATGCTCACATTTACGATTATTCTGAATACTGCTATACTCTCAACACAATCACATCATGCTACACTAATCTCAGTAGTAGTCCATGTACATGGTACTTTAGGGCTCGCTATAGGCGGCCCTTACTCCCTGCCTTCCTTGGATCAGACCAGCCTCGGCACTACGCGAGTATGACCTCGAGTTCCCCAAGCAATCTCTTCCCTCACTGCTTACCAGCTTGCTTGACCACGGTGACCTCCTCGCCCAGGGGCAGTATGTCAGGAAGGGGGCCGACGGGGGTGATGGAGAAGGGGTTGATCTGCTTGTGCGAGCGGGTGTAGTGGTACTTGATGTGCAGGAAGTTGGTCGTGTCCTTGAAGGCCTCGTGGTTCCAGTACAGGTTGCGCATCCAGTTGTGCAGGTGTGGATACCCCGACCGGATGTCTTTGATGTTGCACTTGAAGTGCTGGACGTAGACAGGCTAAAGTGGGCAGGTTGTTAGACAAAGAAAGTAGCGTTTTTCCGTTTTCCCTGGTATGGGGGTTCTGATGGGATGGGATGGCAAGGAAAGGAACCGGGTGAATGTGTAATCTCGTAAACTTACGTCAAATCTGATAATAGTGACAAACCTGATCAAGTCCCTCAGTCAGCTTTCCATCCCATCCAGTCACAAACACAAAGATACATATCACTTACAGCCTGACATCGGTTTCAGTCAGCTCCTTGCCAAAGTAGTAAGGCCCCTCACCCGCGGCAAGGTGCGCCTCAGCCTTGTCGAGGGCCTCGAACAGCGCGCGGACATTGCGTTCGTAGGCCTCCTGGGTGGTCGCAAACCCAGACTTGTACACGCCGTTGTTGATCAGGTCGTAGTGCCACTCATTGGCCTCGTCTATCTTGGACCGTAGCGCCTCCGGGTAGAGGTGAACACTGCGGTACTTGTCGTCGAGTTGGTCGTCGAACTAAAAGAAACCGTCAGGACTCGGGTTACATCACCAGCATGTTGAGAATAGGGGGGTGGGGGTTGAGAGGACTGGGGCCAAGGGTCACTCACCGCGTTGTCGAGCATGCGCAGAATCTCGCTGCTCTCGTTGCTCACGATGCGCTTCTGCTTCTTGTCGTACAGGACCGGCACGGTGAAGCGGCCCGAGTAATCCTGGTCCGACTCGAAGTAGATCTGCCGCAGGTGCGTGAAGTCGTCGTGCAGCGGGTCCGGGACCACGTTCTCGCCCTCGGCGTCCTTGTCTTCGGCGGTCGGGAAGCGCCATCCTGTCTCACATTTTCAGCCACATGCTCCTCACCCCCGCCGTTGTCGTTTTCCTCCGTCGCCTGCGACTCACCTTTCTCTCCCAGGTGCCAGTGCACCGCGGACACGGTGATGAAGTCATCCAGCCCCTTCAGCTTCCTCGCGATGAGCGTACGGTTCGCCTGCGGACGTGATCAGTTGGTCTGGTTGGTCATTACCCGGGTTTCAGGCACAGATAACTCACCCAAGGGCATGCGTAGCTGATATACAGGTGATACCTCCCCTTCTCGGCCGGGAACTTGGCCCCGGCCTCGTTGGAGATCCAGTCCCGGAACGAGCTGACCTGCCTCTTGAACTCGCCGCTCTTGTCCGAGGGGTCAACCCAGTCCGTGACCTTTCCCGTGGTCGACTGCGCGGCTAATGTTAGCGTCTCCGCTCATGTCGCAGAACCACAGCCTGGGGCATTCACCATTCTTGTCTGCGTCAGGTAGGGGGCGTTGTGGTGGGAAAAGAACGGTGGTGAGCCGAGTCTCGCAGGACACTGTTTGTGAACGAGGGGCGCTCCGACTGCCGAGTACACAAAATTGAGGGGTCGCTTTGACGACAGCCCGCGGGAAGTCTGTTGGATGAGAACGCTTGAGATCCTATGCTTTGCCAATTTTGAGAGAGGAGGACTGAGTGACATGGACTCGATAATCACAGGTTGGTCTTCCACAAGTGGTCAGTGAGCGCTCACGAACGAAGAAGCCGAGAAGTGAGGGCAGGGCGAGGTATATGTATATTGCGCTTGACTGGTGACGACTGCCATTATCACCAAGCGAGGAGTTAGTTACATGCAATGGATCAACGACTAGCTAGTCTCATATCCCAAGATTCCAAACCCCCCGCAAGTGCACCTAGCCTAGTCTACTTGGGCAGTGGGGACCGATTGCTAACGGCTTACACTGATTCAGCCGACCTGCTGTAAGCTACCAGTTCCAGCTGTGCCTACACAGTAACTGGGCGGACGGGTCGTCACAGTAATGCTCGTCTAATCATGACGTGGACACCAAAACGGGTCCACAACAGCGGGGCACCCGGGACTTAGTCATGCAGCCGCTACTCCGTACAAAGCAACGAAGCAGGTGGCTTGATATGGTGTTGATGTGGATAGCATGTACGGGGTACAGAATAGAAACTCAGACTAGCTTAATTGTTCAAGACGTGGATTGTTCTGGTTAATCTTCTAAGTTCTTTGTTCTGTCGACTAGGTCAAAACTTGCGCACACACGCACTCACTCACACCTCTGATAGAACCCATCAATGAAAACCGTCGCAACCATTCTATCTTGATATGCTCTCCTAATTGTATGTTTCCCATGGCAGCCTGCTACTCCCGGCCACTCCAACAGCACGTGCTTGTTCACTCCCGCGTAACCATCACGTATGGCACCTCAACGTCCTCTCCGTCCGCGTCCTCGGTGACGACCTCGAATATGGCGGACTTCTGATGCGCTGGGACTGGCTTCTTGGACACGAACTCGATGAGGTCGAAGAGCTTCATCGCGAGACGCTCGTTCTTCTTGGCCGGGGGGAAGAATATCGCATAGAGCAGGCTCACGCCTGAGCTCACCATGGATATTTCGAGGCCCCGCGCCTCGAAAACCTCAATGAGCTCCTTCAGTGTAATATTCTTGACCTCGAATCGGTCCCAGATCTTGTCCATCTTTTGCTCCTCGCCATTGCGCCCCTTCCAGGTGACCTTGGGGCTGCCTATGGGCTCGCTGAAGCCAAAGAAAGGAAGGGCCAGGTTGGCAAATCCATTCTTGTACTGCTCCACGTCCGTCTTCCCATCCACGATCTTGTACAACTCCAAGACAACCAGGCCAGTCACCAACGCAGTGGTGGTCGCGATTGCCGGAATGATCTTGCCAGCAATGAACTTGGTCTTGTGGCGATCTGCCGTCTCGATCTTGTAGTTCATCGCCCGCAGGTTGCTTGCTGCCGTGATGAAATCGATGTGGTAGTTGGTATCATCGTCCTTCTCAAACTCGACTGGCGTGAGCTTGAACCCTGCCAGCGACTTGGGGTCAGGGATCTCGGCTGCGATCTTCTCAAGTTCTGCATCGTCCCCAAAGGCCCCTGATGCGTCCTTGTTGGGGTCCTATAAATGGTCAGATCATGTGCTATGCAGCGAACATTCTTGGTTTTACTTACTGGCTCCTTGTCGTCGGCCTGAATCTTGACACCGGGGTCTGGAGTGAAGTCTGGGACGATCATCGACTCCAACGCAGCCTCATATGCAGCGCGGTCCTTGTCCCGCACATTGATATTGTAGTTGAAAGCATGCAGGTTGGTTGCCGCGACGAGGAATTGGTAGTGGGTTGGGTCGTTGATATCGAACTTCAGCGCATCCGGAGCTCGCTTAGGGCCAGACCAGAAAGGCTGCCCACTGGACGACACGGAGTCCTTGGGGAAGTTGTAAAGCAATTGTTGGATGGCGTTATTGTACTGCTTCTCAAATACCATGCGGGCCCAGCTCACGCAGTCCTCAAACGTGAGAGCGCGCTCGTTCTTCAGATAGTCGCGGAGCACCGTCAGGGTGGTCTTCTGATCGCCACCTTGTGCCAGCGTGGTCTTGAGGTAATCCGGTTTTGTGAGGTATAAGTTCGCCGTCTCAGCCGGTTTGACGAAGTTGGTCTCGAAAAGCTCGCGCGCCCAGGCGATCGTGTGCTCGATCTTGTTGGGGAAACTTCGCAGTGTACACATCGGGAATGACTGCTCAGGTGGGTCGACCGAAGATGAGTACGACTCCGTAATACCGGGCAGGACAACTTGTGTGTTGCCCTTCGTACCCAGTGTGCCACTCTCGAGGAGGGGCTTCTTGAAGAAGACACAACGACGGTCAACGTATGTTCTTGCCTCGACGTTGTCCAGAGCATTGGTGACGCCATCCAGGCCGTTCCAGAAGTCCTCGTTGAAGATCTCCTCGGTTTCTGGGCTGACACGGTCTTTCAAACAGACTGTGTGATCTCTCAGGTCCGGATTCATAAGCTGAACGGCGGCAGCTGCACAGTCGCTCTTCATCTTGCCCACATCCTTTGGTCGGAACAAGAACTGCCGGTTCAGGTTACTCTTCTCGATCGAGTCCATATCAGTGATAGTGATCTGGCCCTTGGGTCCAGTACCCAGACCAATCATAGCCCAGTTCTTGAGCATCTCACAACCGATGGCTCCGGCGCCAACGAGGAACTGCTTGATGTTCGATATCTTTTCCTGGTACTCCTTGCCAAAGACTGCTATCTGTCCATCGTAGCGGCTGCCGGTGGGCGCACACAGTTCCTCAGACCTCTTAAAGCCTTGAGGAAGCGATTCCAAGGAGTCGAAGTACATCCACTGCTGCACCGGGTGGAATTTGCCCGAGACTGCTTTAAGAACCTCCTGAGCAGCAAGTCCGCCAAAGAAAGCAGCCATGGGATTCAGGTCTCCCGTGGCCTGGTAGCTGAGCTCGGTCAAAAGCTTCTCGTCAAGCTCGACATCGACACCCGTCTTCTTGGCAAAGGCTTCTGCGGACTTGACCACCACGGCAGCATCGTCCTTGTTCATCGGCCTCGGCAGGTGGCCTTGAGTTTGGACAAACGCATGCAGGGCTTGGAATCCAATGTGAAGTTGCTGTGGGCGATCAAACTTGGCGTAGTCAGACACAAGGAATTCGGGTTCTGCCAGCGACTGTGTGATGCTCTTGAAATTCAGGATCTTGGGCATCTTGACTTGTTGGAACAGACCTCCCCGCTTGTACTGGCCCAGACCCGAGACATCGCCAATAGAGAAAGTATATGGGCCCTTCACTGTGATCTTTCGTGGCTCAGAGTTGTTTAGACCCTCCATGCCCTCGATTTCGGAAAATGTCACATAGTCTCCGTCCTCAAGGCCGTGGCGGGTCTCGTCGAGGGCGGACACAACACCCTCATCGTCGACACCAGCTATGATGCCGTTCTGGGGGTTCTCGCCGGTCGCATCGATAACCGAGAACTTGTCTCCGAAATCGCAGAAGATGTTGCCGAATAGGCCAAAGGTGTCCGCGGTGATGAAGTAGATGCCTTTCGAGTGACAGTAGTCGCCGATCGCAAGCTGTTCTGTGAGGGGAGCGCCGGTTAGGACAACGACCTGGTACTTGTCGAGCTCGGAGAGGCTTTCGGCAAGCCTGGAGAAGAGACTGACGTCAGTGACTGATCCACATCTAGGTCCCTAATAAGGATAGGAGAGGGCGAGGCTTACCCGGAAGACTTGTGTACGCTGACTGGGGTGTATGCGTTCAGCTCGGCAACCCGGGGCGCGGTGACTGCATCCCGGGGCTTGCCGACATCATCAGGGCGTAGGAAGAACTGGGAGGACAGATCTGCGATAGCCACAGGGGCAGGATCGTGGAGGGTCAAGCTCTTGACGCCAGCGAGGGCGACGTTCTTGGCTATCTCGACACCGAGGCCCTTGAGTCCGACGATGAGCACGTTGGAAGCGCCCATGCGCTTCATGGCCTCGTGTCCCAAGACATAGAGCTGTCGGCTGTAGAGAGACTCATCGATGTCGTTGTTCCCAACCACGGACTCGTCGACCTGCATCCTGGTGACCAGGTCGACTTCGGGGAGCCTCTGTTCCTACAAACATGGGAGACCGGTCAGTATGTCAACAGCAGGTCACTCGTCGCAGCTGTTTGGAGCTACAAGCCCATGCCCTGGGTGTGCTGCCCCGATGGCGTGTTCGATGGGGAAAACGGGCGGGTCGGCTATGGACGGACGGGTTGAGGATGCTCACAGTCATCTTCTTGCACTGAGGAGGCAGGGAGTCCCCGTCGCAGGAAAGTTTGCGCTTCCCCAGTTTGCCGGACTCGTCACAAGCGAATGGATCTATCTTTCGTTGAGAAGGAGAAGGCAGTTAGAGATGGGTGTGGGTCCTTGTGGTATGGATGGAATGATGCTTTGGGAAGATGTGAGACTGACTGGCTGGTCGGTTGGATTTGGAGGGGGGTGGTCACTTAGGCAGGTGGGGTCAGCTGTAGCTTGTGGTAGGTACTGGAGGCAGCGGGTCCGTCGCACAGACGAGCTTTCCCCGGTCGTGGATGGACTAGTGGGCTTTGCAAGAAGGAGCACTTGAGAAGCTTCAACACAGGTAAATGCCTCGGTTCTTGGGTTCTTGGGTTCTTGAGCCGTGGAAAGAGAAGCTATGAATGTATCCTGGTGGCCGAGATCAGTCCTGTCTCACTGGAGGCTATGATTTATGGGAGGCGAAACCATGACTTATGCATGCTTCTGATTTGTAAAGCAGTGAGGGAAGCTACAACTGCCTGTCATCTAGACCTGAGGGGGAATCTTCTTCCACGGACTTCTAAACAGATGGCCAGATACTAAGTACCTACCTACCTCTGTAGGCAGACAGATAGGCAGACATCTTTGTGAAATATGGAAGCGACCTCCCTCTTCTCTTGAACGCCCGTCGTCGGTCAGAATCCCTCCCCACCTGTACTGAGATAGCTCACCAGCCGATCCGCCATCAATACCGACACAATAGCCAGCCCCAACTACCGGCAAACCTATGAATAGCTCCTGGAGCTGACGTACTTGCAAGCGTCAAACTCTCCCTACAGTGTTTACCGAGGGATAGGAATAGCTCGGGAAATTATGTAACCTACGGTCGTGCGATGCAGTTCAAACTCACCCATGGCCGCGAGGCTGGGGAGGCATGTGCTGGGCAAGACGAGCATGTACCACCCAGCTTCGAAAGCCCTCGCGCAGGTGACCCAGTCGCCGTCCTATGGTGGTCCCAACCCGTCCGGGGAGTCCGGTTATCAAAACCATCTGCTCACGTTGCGTCATGTTCCACTGGGTGAGTCAAATGGAACATCATCTCAAAAGATGGCTCGCCCCCCCACTCCGGGTGTTGCGACAGCCGCCTCCGCCATCTCAACCTCCAAAGGGAGCTCCAACGTGGTGTGTCGCCAGAATAGGCTATTGAGCTCGTACGTATGTATCCCGCCGGCCCATTTGGACCTGCCTACAGCCGGCCCTGGCCCGGGGAAGCGAGCGAATCTCGGGCGGTGAGTTCCTGGGCGTGCGACAGCTTGTGGCGGGACAGCTTATGAGAGATGTTGCGCGATCTCAGTTGTCCTCCTGGCCATTTGCCGTCTGGTCGTCAGGCAAGATCATGCACAGTTCCGCTTCGCGAAACATCACCGAACCGATGGTGATAATGTTAGACAGTCCTTTCTTCGGCCTTATGGCTGGTTGGAGAGTGAGGTGGGTGGGTGGTCGAGCCTACGTGCGACCCATTTCAAGTTATGACGGCAAACAAGCTTGAGAAAGACGTCTCCGCCGCAGGATCAGAGACATGCATATTCCTTAGGTGTGGTTCGTTCGCTCCTTGCTGCCTCGCCAAATCACAGTGGTCACTCACTATGCCAGGTGCAACCTTCGGCTCTCTCACAAACGGACTTTCGTGAAGGAGCGCAAGCAAGGGGCACATCACAAAGTGATCGGAACGTGCAGTGCAGTGGGTGTCAAGCTCCCATGGGGGCCTTTATTCTCAGCCTTTCCGCTAGGGATCAAGCGAATGTCTAACTACGGTTCCTTTTTTCGTCTGCTCCTCCCACATCTACTGGACGTTCTTCAGGTGGACGTCGCTACACACGTGCAGGTTAGTTTCCGTACTTGATGATGCTAGGTTATCTAACGAGCCCAACTTACAAGATGAGGTCCGAGTTGGGGGGGATGTGGCCGGGGAAGCCACTGGTCAAGGTGTTAGCATGCACGTTCCCACAAAAGTAGACTGGGTGAATCTCGGGGGGGGGGGGGGTTGGTGGATCGGCGAAAGTGAGCATGTTGCTACTCCTCGGGTCATTGAGACTGAACTGAGAACTGAGGGGATTCTTACCGGGCACCATAGCCGTAGTCACTGTGCCAACGTCAGTTAGCGTTGCTAAACGTCGGCCCGGGAGGGCACAGGGCAGGGTGGACTTTACCTGGTGATGTTGAGAGTGGCCTTGCCGCCAACCTTCATCTGGACGACGCCCTCATCCCATCCTGAAAGGCTGTCAGTGCGCATCCACCTGGCATGAGTACAGGAATTTAGTCTGGTGTGTATTTACCCTTAATGACCTGGCCAACGCCGATCTTGGTGACGAAGTCGCCGCGGCCAATGGAGCTGTCAAACCTTGAGAGAGGGGGAAGGGACGGGTCAGTACTCGGTACCAGCTGTATGTGCCTCGTATGTCCGTCCTGCGTAAAGGTGGCGCCGTTCAGGGAAGGAGACTCACTTGTTGCCCTTGTTGTCGGGCTTGGACTCGTCCTTCAGGTATCCGGTGTAGTCAATGGTGACAGTCTGGCCGGGGGTTGGCTGTGCGCCAGTGCCCTCCTCGTGATGTTGAACGGTGACACCCATCTTGGCTGGTTTTGCTTGTATCTTGAGCCGGTGAGTAAACCAGGTTGGACTCGGTAGGGGGTTGCAAGATGGGGGAGGACTCGGGTTGGGTTGCTGACCTGGGGTTGTGTTGGCTGTGGTGATGACGTCGGTCGGTGTCGAGTACGTGTCGGCTAGTGACGAGTAAGTCGAAGGAGAGCTTGCCGGAGTTGGCTACCTTTTTGTGCGAGGGGTTGGAAGAGCTTGAGGGTATTTGCTGTGGAGGCCCAGGAGGCCGGAGGGGTGGATTGTGGGTCGTGTGGAGGGTTTTTATATCGCGAGGGGTTCCGGCCCAAGGTGAGTTCGAATGCGGCAGGACAAGCGCAGCTGGAATGGGACGGAAGCCGATCTAATTGACCTGGAGCCAAGATGATGTGATGTGAGCCCAAGTACCGTCTTGCGCCGTCCAAGGCCCCCTCCGTGGGACGAGTGAGGGTTGACTCGGTAAAGTTGAGCCTCGATCTATGGTTGACATGTCCCGCAGGCGCAGGTACCCAGGTACCCAGCTGCCCAGGTACTTTGGCCCTCACAAAGGCCTGCAGGCGCTGCAGGTACCTGGGTAGGGTACCTCGGCCTCGCCCCCTTTTGTTACCAAGCCACAGTCAGTGTATGTCCCTCGTCAGGTGCCGATGACGCCGGCGGTGCTGGGGAAACTGGGATCAGCACCCCTCGCACCGCATCCACAGTTCCGCCCACCGAGGACGAGTCGCATCACAGCAAGCAAGGCTATTAGCAGAGGGGCTTCCAGGCTTCTCGTGTGAAGAAGCATTCTGGGTGTACTCTGCCTGTCTGCCAGGACTGCCTGCCTTGCCTGCCTGCCTGCCCGTCCTGTCCTGGTCTTACCCTGTGCGTGCCTCCTCCGTGCCCACTTACGCACGCCAGCAGCGTTCACATGCGCGGCTCCTGCAGTGCTGTGGACAAGCAGTAGCACAAGTCGTCATTCCCCAGCCCAGGGAGCTATGGCAGCTCACCCGGGAGACTGGCTGCGCAGCAGCTGCCAAGGAGCGCCTGTTGCCAGGGTGGCTGCCACAGACTCACAGCTTGTCCCCTGCCAACCTGCCTCCGATCCCAACTACCCCTCAGCCCCTCCAGCAAGCAGATCGCGGGGCGGGGGTTGGCCGCGGGGCACTTCTCACACCGTCCCCCTAACCCAACCCGACCCAACCCAACCGAACGAACCTGCCAACCCAAGAGGAAGGATTCGGCGTGCGGGTGGGCTGGCAGGCAAGCACAGCTCCTGATCCCCTCAGAACACACAAGCCTGAAGGTGTGGCCGACCCCAGCTTCCCAGCTTGCCATATTCCCAGCTTGCCCATTGACCGGGCCCTCGTCGGCGCAAAGCTGAGCCCGGGACAGATACCTCTTTGTGCGGTAGCGACCGCGCGCGAGCCCCGGTGGTGAAGCCTGTGATAGGCTATGTAATGTGATGCCCTCCGCAATGCATCTCAGGCCCCCTGATCAAATGGGTAATCTGCCCGCAGCGGCCCGTCCTACACCGGCGAGAGATATTGCGTGCTGCGATAGTCGGCCGGCTCTTGCTCGGTCTGACGGTGACGGTCTGACCTGGCAACCCATCTTCGCTTGCCCTGGCCGAGGGCTGCTTCAGGCCGCCAGGTCGACGGCCATCACCCCCTGCGCTTCGTGCAGCTCAGGGTCCCTGGAGATGACCTGCGTCCCTGGATGCATCTCCAGGGACAGCTGGGCAAGCTGGGATGACGCCTACCAGGGATCGGTCCGCAAGTGTTGCCTTTTCCCATCAACACGCGTGTGGGACTTCAGCACTCCGAGGTAACGATGACGGCACGCCACACTCTCCCAGGAGAACAAGCAGTTGGCACGATAGGAAACTGTATCCACCCCATGCACAGTTGAAACGAGCCATCTTTGCTTCTTTCCTTCCGAATTTTGACTCGATTTACTGCGTTGAACGGCCTGCCCGAAGAAAAGCATGGAATCAGTTCGAAGACCCTCAATACCACCTACCACAGCAGCACAGTACGTCGGTTCCTTTAGTCGGACACTTCGGCCCCGCGGCCGGGGGCCGCCGTGTGGCAGGCTTCCCTCGCTTGTTCTTGCAAGTTCGGGGCGTTATCATGGGGGAACGACAATCCACCCATACCACCCATATCACCCCATGGACCAAGTCGTGTGAGGCCCTACGGAAGGCATTCCGAGAACAGCTTTTAGGGGTCGTGGATCAGATGCACAGCCAACGTGCGTGCTGGCCCTCTGGCTGTCGTCATTGCACATGAAGAGCTAGCCGATGCATTGTGTGGCGCTCGCGTCCTGACCTGAGGCGACCACGATATCTCTGGCCAACCTGCCCGACGGGACTGAGGTCGAATGACCTACGTCGCATATATTGGCTGCTGCATTTTTCAGACAACAAACACGTCAGTCAGCCTCTCCCCCCGGCGCCACGGAGGCATCGTGCACCCAGAGTACTGGTTATGTACGTTGGAGTCCTCCATCTTCTCACATCAGCCCAATCCGAGGTCAGCGCTTCCAACGTATTGTCATTCTTGGTGAGGCATCTCACCGTCATCTTATGCCCAGAAATAAGCAGACTCTGTTGACTCCACGATCCCTGTTCCCACTGATGAGGCAGGAACAGACCAAGGGCGATAGCCCCGTATCTGGCAATACTACGTGGTCCGCCCGAATCGACTCGTCACCTACATGAAGAGAGGGCGGCGGGATGCACGCGGGCCCTTGCCTGCGGGAGAGTTGTTCTACTTTGGTACGAACCTGCCTTGGATCTCTCTCGCATCTCGACTAACCGACGCAGGTAGCCTCAAATCTGAGAGCCCCCGGGGCCCTCAATCGCGGCGGGTGGCATCCGAATGGTGCCAATTAGCGACAGGAGCCAAGCATGATGCAAGTCGTGCCCTCTGGCTTGCTGCGATCTCCCAGTGCAGTCCGGTTGTCCATGATCGAGCCCAGATAGGCGAGCCGCCTACAGATTTCAGCGCACATGTTCCGTGGAGTGACTGTCAGCCACAAGAGTCCCCTGGTGAGGCCCGCGCGTTGGTGATCGTCCGACCTGCTGTCATATGTGACAGGAACCCCCCTGGATGGCTCTGGCTTGTGTCAAACCAGAGAAATCAGGCGGCCGCTAATGCACCGCGAGGAAGAGGCGCTTTTGTCAGCACTGTAATTCGCAAGCATATACAGAAGCGGATGAGAAGCCTGAGATGACCCTGGTACTGCCCAGGATCTCGAAAGGGGACGGGGACGCATGCGGTCCTCTGGTAAGGTTCCAGTATGCCTCAACATGGCGTACGTTCCGAATACCTCTGAATTGACCCAGACTTTATCATCCCCTCACGCTCTACCCTGAAGGCTTGAGAACTTTTCAATCACCTTCCAGATCCCCTAGGGAGGCGCCTAGCTCCGGCTCTTGGGCCGTCCACACAGGCTCATGTATTGTAATAGAAACACCGCGAGACTATAGCAAGTATGGCGTCACTTTTGTAGTAATCACGCAGTGGTGCAATTCGTTATACTATGGCCATTTCCCTCGTCAAACCGGAGCATTGGCAGACACGCAGCCCTACTTGGGATCTATGGGGGTATTGGCATCAAGTCGATGCCATTTCTATGCAAGTTGACGCTCGGAGCAGCACTCAATGAGTTGCAACAAACCATTTCATAAACTGTGACCGTGATATCTTCAAGTGGTGTCAAATGCCAGCCACAAGGTCAGAAGCTTGCATTTCTAGGTATGCCAGAGATGGTCGTGGTATATCCGGTCTTCATTGGGTTCAACATATCCCAGGTCGTAAGTACCTAGGTACCTGACAGTACGCAATAATATAGTGCAACTACATTTATATATCTAGCATCAATCTCCCAGCAAGAAAACGAGCTTTGCTGACCTAAGTACTTAGCTATCTACTACACAGCAACGGCATCTTTGGTAGGTCAAATGGTGACTATGCAACATCAAGCCTCCTGAGGTCCTCGGGGCAAGCCCTTCTATGAGCATCCCCTTTATGATAACAACTCGTGCAATAGTCTCTTATAGGAATGACTTGCGTGGATTGTTTCCTATGGTACACACAGACGGAAGATGAGCTATGGAAACCCTGTAGTCAAATCTAGACAGTACTATGCTTTTCTCTTCCAACGTGGCTGTTACTGTGATGGTGTGTATGCGGGTTTCGTATCATTGAAGAACGCTTCTGGATTGTGTATGGTCTTAGACTCTGGATTAGGATTAGGACAAAATATACTTGAATATTTTGAGGCCGGATTATGACACCTGGACCTTCTTCACTGCATCATAACACTCGATTTCATGTACTTTCAAGAAGACTTAATACCCGAGACAATGCCGAAGTTTCTATTCTTATGATCTCGGACTTGTATCGGCATTCAGAGCCCGGTACATAAACAATTCAGTCTCTGGTATTAAGTCACTGGGGCAAGTTGTGCCATTCAACTTCTATTACGTTGCGAAGAACTATTACGTCTAGTACATGGTGTAGACCTGTTATCAGTTACACTGTGTTCGTACAACTCTGGACTCTATAACAGGAGACTCGAGATTTCTTGGGCTTGGCTCAACAAAAGTTCGGCAGCCCCGTGGCAGCCGCGCCGGCGAGGCTACTTAAGTAGTCTAGACCGGCTTCCAGCGGCACCACACTACTAGCACCCTTGGAAAGTATAGGGGAACCACAATTGACATATCATTCTGGTCAACATGGCCGGCTTGCTTGGTGGTATTGAACCTACTCATGGTAAAAACCTACTAAGACAGTGGCGCATCTAGCCTGGCCATAGCGTCTTGGATTTGTGCACAAAGTACATGTGATTCTAAACTTCGAATTCTGATTCCCAAAAACTTCTATACACCCACCCTTTTTGTCGTCAATCTCCTTCAGGACGTGAGCCGGCCAGTCTTTTGTGTTATCCCGAAGAGAAACAGTTCAGACATCTTCGATGGCGTCTTGGGCCGATTTTCCACCGGAGATCCGACTCCTCATCCTGGAGGCTCTGCTTCAGGACGGCTGCACGGTCGCCGAACTCGCTACGGTGTCACGGGAGTGGCAAGCCATCATCGAACAGCACAATTTCGCTCGGATCAAAATAACGAAAACAAAGCTCCCCGGTTTCTTTCTCAACACTCGCCGCAGCCGACATCTCGTGAAGTATATATGGCTCTCCCTGGATCTGGACGTGTACTCATGCTGCATCTGTAATTTTCATAACCCTTACAATCCATTCTTGTCAAATTCCGATGCCGGTAATGTTCTCGGGCCAATCCTAAAGCTACTCACTTGGCTCAAAGAGTGGGAGCCGACTGGCGAACTGGTGCTCGATATCAGTGTCCATTCTCCCAGTGATTCAAAACACTGGCTCAAGTACCTGACCTTCGAGCCTGATATCATTCCAGAGAATGGCCGCAGTCCAGGCAGTACCACTGGCAGTGCAGACATTCATGTGCCGGAAGCGCACGATTGGAATGTCTACCAAAGGTTCGAGGAGAAAAAGGCTATTCTTAAGACCTTGGACATAATACACATCGTTGATCATGACCACGAGATCGACGGTTCCCCATGCATGTGGCGCTTGCCGGAGAAGATGCCAACGGTTCCAGCGGTGACAGGTGTGCTTCTGCGCCAGCAAACACGCCGGCAATGGCATCCTAGAACACTCCAGAGGATCCTTGAGTGCTTTCCAAACTTACAGGATTTCGTTTACGAACCGTGGAAAAGAATAGGTCCTGAGCGCCAGAAGACTGCAAATGAAGGCAAGTGAGGCCCAGATTCATCCCTTGAGCTTTTCTCCGACTGGATTGATAACAATGGAACACAGAATATGCGAGCCTGTTCGAATCGCTTGCTCTCACAAAATTACGGAAACTGGTAATCTTCGAGGCCTCTAACTGGTATTATAAACGCCTGATCCGTGGTCTCAGGGGCCGCTCCTGGTCTTCAAGAGAATCTTTGAGCATGACGCTGGCTGCAAACAGTCACGGGCTCAGGGAAATCTCGGCATCTTTTCTGATCGAAGCAGCTTCCTATTTCTCCTATAGCACCACTGGCCGCGAGTGGTATCATCTCCAATCGCTTACACTTACGTCGGATTTACTGTCACCGAGAGAGCACCCGAGACAAATCGACCAGTTACTCACAAATGCAGCGAAGGCAGCAAGAAATATGCCAGCACTACGGACCATGGAGTTATGGAACGGACGACCAGGCTTGGCAGCTCTGTTTAGGTATCAGCGGATCTACGCCGCGGTCATCTGGAGAGGAACATGGAATTTTACCCTGCGCCCGGCGGTAGTCCAGGCCTGGAAAGACATCGCAATTAAACAAGGCGCCAGAGGCCTCGTTGTGCACACGGAAAGGCTTGACTGTGGCCCTGATATTAAGTCACATGGTGATGCCATCCATAAGCTAAGACTTTCGAAGCCTGTGGTTCGACCCATTTCGTTGCATCAGATCCGCACAGAGCATAATGTCCACTGCGCTTGGCAAGAATCGCGAAAGGAGCAAATGCGGTTACTCGAAGTGGAGTATGAGGATGACGATGATTGGGATGACGATGATTGGGAAGACGAGGATACGAATGACGAGGATTGGGACGAGGTGGATTGGGACGACATGGATTGGTACCACGAGTATATGGATGACGAGGATTGGTCCCACGAGGACATGGACGATGAGGACATGGACGACGAGGATTGGGACGACGAGGAGAGAGAGGGTGATGAATCAGAGCCCGAGGGCTGACAGGACGAGATATTTTGAGGCTCTCCCTATCTGAGATCGATGAAATTGGAGACTTTAGGTCTTGAGCGTTTACCACCGTACGAAGGCGCCATGTATGTCCTCGGACGTATGCGGAATAGAAGCGAAGCCAGATATGACAAGCACGAGCGAGAAAAACTCCCAGTCTCAACCAGACCCTCAGGAACCAAGACAAACAGTTGAACGCAGAGGTTAGTTCCCATATATCCCGGAACTCTGATATGCATCACAGTATCTACGAAGGTCGTTTATGTTGCCGAGCCTTATTCTATGGACTGTGTCCTTTTTTATCTTGTCCCCTGTGGAGAGGGGAAAGTAATCGTGGTGAAGCGGTCCCTACTCCTACGCTCATAGATTCTAATTAGGGTTGATTTGCCCTCAAATGTGTGAGCCCTGTTCTATACTCTTAACTCTCCTGAACAATTGAGCACCGGGTACCAGTTTTGAGTCTGATGATATGCGTCTATACCACAGTCTTGTTGAGTGACAGTCCACATTGACACAGTTGCTTGGAAGACGCTCCCTGTAGGGTAGGAAGGGGAATTTGGCCTGCCGCCCCTTAGTTCACACCACGCAATTTCGTAAGTAGAATTTGTTGTCGAGGGTGATATTACACATCAGCTACAAGGACTAGAGAATCCGAGATAAAGCTGCCTGTTGCTGTGACCTTGCCGGCTTCCAAGATAGGTCGAAGCTACACACTGATGAGAATCCAGTTACGTGGGTTACTGGGCCGTCATTGCCTCTCACTAAGAGGTAGGCATGGGAGGTGGGCGAAGAGCCGGACGAGAATCCGACTCGACGGGCTGAAGCGTGAAGCAATTCAAGTGTGCTAGGGAAGACCGCCTCTTGATGATACGAATTCACTAATCCATTTGAGAACCATGTCAAGGCCCAGTAGCATCATGGCAACCTCGGAAGTGCTTTGATGCTGTGATATGAGGTGTAGGGGTGTTGCATGCCCTTGCTAGTTCGCCTATCCCTTATCGAGACAACCTCACGACACCAGGGGTCAGGTTGACAAGAATCTTTACTGCATAGTATCACAGGTTTAGTCTAGAACAGAGCAAGCATAATGTGGTCCAATAGAAAAGAAGTAAAAGGTAGAAAATATGACTCGAATGAGAGAATTGAGGCCACCGATGTGAGAGCGCACAATTCAATTTCTCCCAAATCCGATATTCTCAGACGCGGTGACCAGGGTTGCAGACGAGGGCATTCCCCTTTCAGGTGTTAGCGAGGCCGTGTTTCAGGTGAAGCAGAGCTCTAGCTTCTGCCACCCCCTCCAGGAGGCAGAAAGAGGAAAAAAACACATCGAAATACGAGGTTCCATCGTATCTTCCCCTAGGCATTCCTGGGGTTTTGGGCGGAACTCCTGCAGACTGGCAGGCAGGTCAGGTGTGAAGGAGATGGCGATCAGGAGCCGATCTCAACAGAAGCCCTCTGAAGGTGTGGGCATGTGAGAGAGTCGGGTGCTACCACACACTCACACGACGCATATACGCGAGTGTGGAAAACAGCAACAATCAGCAGTATTGAGCGGCGGCGAGCGCGCCGACGTAATGAAGGCGGCCTCGCCCTTTCTTTCTTCATTCCATGTGGGCGCGGTGAAACACAAGCCATGATGGGAGCTCCCGCGTTTCTTCGCACGAACCAGGTGGGTGTGGAATGGTGGCTGTCACGTCTTGTCTCGGGGGATTCTTGGGGTTCCCTGGGGTTTCGACAGAAACACGAGCCCTGCAGGTGCCCTGCCTGCCCTGCCCTACCAGGCAATACTCTGACTCTGGCCGCTCAGCCCGCTGCGTCGAACCTGCTTACGGTTCATCTCATGTCCCTGCGCCTGTCGCATCAAGACATTTTGGCGTTTGGACATGACAAAGTCAATCGCCCTACCATGCATTCTCGAAGCTTGTTCCCATAACGCTACGTGGCAGAACGTCGTGTTTGAGGAAACATTTCTGATTTTGAGATTTGCTTGGGCTCGCTGTCAATGCTACTTGGGCTCGTGTTGGGGATCTTTGCATACGGAGCCCCTGGATGGCGCTCACAGCGTGGGTGTTTTAGCGTCGTACTTTGTAGATACGGATACCTGGACCTGAATGAGATTGACCGAGGGGTCCACCGATGGGTGCTGCGAGACCAGGCCATCATGTCGTGACTAATCGTCTGGCCTGCTGTGGAATCGTAGGATAGCCCGCAGCGTGGTCCTGCTCTAATAGTACTACTGCCTGTCCGGCAGTCCGTATGTAGCGCGCAATGGCCCGAACTTATTGCCTAGCTCCCAGCCCGCCAGCCCGGTCGGTGATGGTGAGGCATTAGTCTGATATCGCTAGCACCCGGGCTAGGCGAAACGAAGTGCGGGATGGGGATGTCAGGATGGGTGCAATGCCCAGACGCCCGTTGACTAAAGCCATCTTCGGGTCGATCAAATTTTGCACTCAACACCAGTGGCATTTACGGCGTGGGTGGTCCCTGGCGCTGCGGGCGTGCTCAACCGGCAGAACCGGTCAGGCGACACATCCTTCTACTACGTAAGTTCTGTGCGTGCGGCTCGTTCCTGAGGCACGGACATTGTTTTTGTTGACCGGACTCTGTGAGGCGTTCCGGGGGCGTGTGTGTGGTTGGCTAGACCATCCAAGCTCGCCGGGGACGAGAAATGAAATGCAGGTGATGCAGGTCAAGGTCAAAGTTCGAGGCCCCGATAAAGAAAGTTGGCCAGACCTGCCAGGCACGCCTGGCAAGCCTGGCAAGCCTGGCCTGCCCGTTTCTTCGGCGTGCTGCGAGGCGTTCAGGCGTTCAGGCGTTCAGGCGTTCAGGCGTTCAGGCGTTCAGGCGTTGCGGCGCGTGGGCCCTGTCATTGACGTTTGGAAACGCGGCCCAGGCGTCGGGGGGAGTCATGGCCGTTGCATGATGGATCGTGGATTAATCAAGTGACAATAGTGGCATGGAGAGAGACGTGTGCTTCAGTGCCCACGGGCTGCGACGGTTGGTGGTGGTCCTGGCTGGCGCTTGGCAGTGGAGCTGCGGCGTTGCTCAGCGATGCAGTGGATCCCCATATTCAATCTCACGATGCAGGGTCGAGATTGAGACTATCGATCAGTTGGCTGTTGGCCTGTCAGCGCTAGAGCGACTCTGGAGCTGGTGTTGGTCGCGTTGGTCGCGTTGGTAGCACTGCCGGACGAAGTGCTGTGGACACAGTAGCAGTCAGTGCCTGGGGGCGGGAGCTTTTCCTGGCATCATCGCCTCACCTCACCTCAGCCGTGGTCCAGCCGTGGTCCAGCATCGGTAATTGTCGAATATCGTGCCATCGGTGGCGGCGCACACTGGTGCCAGACTGTCTGCCTTTTAGCATGCCGTGCCGCACACCTGCGTGGTGGCTTAACACCACATCCTCCTGGGGCCGTTGTTCCCATCTTCTTTATTATTAGCATGCGGGTGGGTAGAGGATCCCTGGAGCCCTTCCTTCCGTCCAGTTGCTCGTGGCCTCAAAGGAGATCTGCCGTGTCTCTGGCGCAGGCTGTGGTTGTGTGGTACCATCTGCTGACTGCTCGCTTGCAGGAGCAGCACACGCAACGCACGCACAATAAGGTAGGACGCTACAGCAGGCCGGACCAAGCCACCACGGCGGCAACATTAATTTTAGCATCCTTGTCTGGGTGGGGCTCGGCACGGCAGTCTGGCCACTCACACATCAGCCGGCTGGCGATCCCCAGCTCGCCCGCCTGACAGGCAGACAGGAAGGGGAAGGCGAGCCGCGGACGGAAGACGGACTAGTGCGCAGGGTGGGCTCTGGCCCTCTGGCCCTCTGGGACCCCCAAGCCCCCCTCTCTCTCCACCTGCCTGCACTGGGCCCTGGCATGCCTGGCTGCCAACACTCAATCCGCTCAGTCCAGAACCCTGACAGTTCTGACAAAGACGGCCGAGAACGTGGCCGTTTTGTTTCTTTGCACATCATCCTGTTCTGGTTCTGGAAGTGGACATCGTTGGCAGGCTGGCAGGCTAGGTTGGTGGGACTTTGCGTCTACACCATTGGCCAGTGGTCAGGTCCATCTGCCGGCAGAGTGTCGATCTGCCATTCCATCTATGTGTCCGTCGTTTTGCCCTCAGACAAACGGTGCCTGGCGCTGGGACGGGGCCAACAGTGGGGACCTGTGCCTGGGCCTACTGTTAGTGTGAAAGCACGCCCTGAGCCCTGGGTCTCAGGTCGACGACTACATGCCAGCACGCCGACAAACCGGCGCCGGCGAGCCGGCCCTCGACATCATCAACGACGTCAACCAACAGCACGCATCGCGAGACCAACAGCCACCGGCTACGACGGGGCTCTGCGGAGCGCAATCTTGCAATTCCTGGCCCCTCCTGCGAGGCTGCGGCGAAGCGGCTGAACGATGGTTGGGCCGGCCCACGATGGGATTGCTCGCCGTGTCATTCCATCGCTTCTGAGGCTTGTGAACACAAGTTCCCACTCTAGGCCAAATCAAGCCTCCAAGGATGGTTATGGATGGACTACGGCATGAGGATTTTTCCGTCCTTGGCTCGCTGTATCCCAACTGGGGAAACACCATCGCGTCAGGAATCATGGCGGATGCGCCGGTGGGGCCGGCCGTGACATGATGCCTCATCGCAGGTGGCGTGTCTGTCTGTCTGTCTGTCTGGCTGTCTGGCTGTGTTGCTCTACAGAACTATTGTCTGCTATGCACAGCACATGCTGCGTCCATGTTGCATTTTGCAACATGACACAGCAGAGCACACAACCCAGAACACCGGCCATTCGTCGGCATCGGCACCGGCATCCCATGCTGGCGGGCACGGGCCCCAGAAGACCCCGGAGGCGCCAGTGTGCGGTGGTGATGTCTACGCTGCTACGATAGCCTGCTTGCCTGCTGCTACGGCCCCTACAACCCTAGTCATGGTGTGCCAAGGTGAGGTATGGCCCTTTCCCAATCTGTCTCTCGTGATCTCTTCCTCATCTCTGCCGCTGGGACGCCGAATGGGTGGGCGCACAAATTGGGACGCGGATGCGGATTTGGGATGCATCGCTGGGCCTGCATCATTGCAACCCAGCTGGGCGCAGACTTCGGACGGTGACCTGTCGGGGGATCACTACCAAAGCTACCTGGCTACATGCATCATCAGCAAGGTTTGCTGCAAGATTCGCCGTATCTGAGCATAGGGAGCGGCCCCCTCCTTCCGTGCCAACCAGACATGGGCAGGCTGGCAGGAAGGAAGGAGGGACGGGGGGGTGTGTGGGTGGGTGAGAGGAGACACACACACACACGCAGGAAGGAGGCAAAGAAGGCGCGCTAGGTTCTTTTGGCAAGCAAAGCCACCCCCGGCCCTGCTCCCAGCTCCTTGCAGCATGCACAGCTTTTTTGGCCTGGGCGCTGCTGGGGGCGGATGGCGGATGGGGTCCCTCTTCTGTTTCCTCCCTTCCGTTTCCCTGCATTCCTCCAATCCTGATTATCCCTCGCCCGCCTGGCTCCTCTTTTTACTGCTCGACCGCGCGTGGTGCCCCTGCCCCTGCCCCCCCTCCTCGCCCTCCACCACGCTACCACCCCCATCCCATTCCTCAATCTCCCAGATCCCCGGTCCCTGTCTGTGCCCGCGTGCCTGTCCTGCCTTGTCCTCGTCTATATCGTATCCTCGTCCTGGGCTGACTGGACTGACTGGACTGACTCTGGTTGACATTTCATTTACTTGTCACCACCACCACCGCGCCTGTCCCTTGTCCCATTCTTCCATTCTCCCCCTCCCCCCTCTCTCTATTCCCGTCGACGTCGACCGGTTCTCTTTTTTCTCGAAAGGCGACGTCTTGTTCCCTTTGGTGAAATCATTGTCTTGTTTCCCAGCGGCCTTCCCCCAGCGGTCCGAGGGCAATCGATAGATAGACAAAAGAAAGGGCCCGTCCTGCATTCCCGCGGCCGATCTCCACCAGGGATTAGCCCGCCCAACTCCACGGCCCCCTTTTCCCGAAATTGCGCTGCCAATGTCTGTCCTGGCTTAATCTCGACCTTTTCCCACAACAATTCCTAAACCACCACGGCCACCGTTCTGCTGTGAACCTTCACCTCCGTTCTGACGAGTCTCTCGTCAAGTCGCTCTTTAATCCCAAACGCAAAACACTCCTTCTTTTTTGGCCCACGCCAGAAAATGTCAGTAGCCTCGGCCCTTTCTATTTTCTGTATTGTGCCGCCCAGGAGGTGGAGCCCCCCGACGCTTGGGACAGTTCCCTCGTTTCCTGGTTCCCTGTCCCAACTGCGAGCAGCCACTGGCGGATCATTCATGCGCGCAGCACATATGGGAGTTGCATGGGCTAGACACTGACGACTCATATAGATTACACACTCCTTGACCCATTGTCAAGTACATTCGTTTATTGCCTCATTCCTGACAGTGAGTCGTCAGCACTCCTCGACACCAACTCGCCGGCTCTACGCGTGCTGACTGTCGTCGAGTCCACCTGCATAGGCCCTCGCCAACTTTTGGTATTCGAAACCTAGCAGACTCTCCTTCGAACACTCGGTACGGATGAATTGTTAGTAGGTTGAGAGGATGCAGACCAAGTCGCTTCTGGTCTCTGCGCTGGTGGCTGCTTCGGCCTTGGCCAGCGCAGAACCAGTGGCCAAGCGGAAGATATACTTTCCTCGGGAGGTCAAGAGACAGTTCACCAACGCGACCTCCACGGATGTCGCCACCCCGCTGCCTTCGACAACGACCGAGACGACAACGACCGAGACGACCACCGCCGAATCCTCGTCAACTCAGGGTCTCTCGTTATCGGACATCCTGACGAGCCTGCTGGGACCATCCGGCCCCGTCTTGATCCCAACGCCGTCTGATGCGCAGTCTGACACCAACAGCGCCACCACGGTGACATCGGTGACATCGGAGACATTAGTGACATCGGTGACATCCACCACAGTCGAGTCCCCGGCTTCGAGTACGAGCACCACCGAGGACGACGTTCCGACCACTACTAGCACTGCTGAGGACGCGCCGACTCCGACCACTACCGAAGACGAGGTTCCGACCACCACTGCCACTTCTGACGACGCGCCGGCACCGACCACTACCGACAGCAGCACGGTCTCGGACACTACCGTGCTCACTCCGTCCGCGTCATCAGTGGCCGAAACGACTACTGGTATTTCAACAGATGACACCCCAAGTGCGACCGCAACGACTGTGACCAGCGCGACCCAGCAGTCATCAACCGGCCTTCCCCTCACCTCCGACCTGGGCAGTATTGTGTCCGAAATTACTTCTGATCTCAGCAGCGTTGTCTCTGATGTCACCGCCACGGGCTCTGCCTCGACTGGTCCTGTCCCTAGCGACCCTATCCAGCCAACAAGCCGTGTATCGGACACTACTACGGATGCCACGACTGTGACTGGGTCGGGCACAGGGTCTGCCACCGACACGGCGTTGCTTCCAACTGGACTTCCCATCACCTCTGACTTGAGCAGTGTTGTGTCCGAAGTTACCTCCGACCTGAGCAGCGTGGTCTCTGAAGTCACTGGTACAGGCTCGACGGGTCCTGTCCCCAGCGAGATCGTACAGCCGACGAGCCGTACGTCAGAAGCTACGGATGCCACAACGGATGCTTCTGCAGCTCCGACTGTTACGACCACCTCGGATGTCAACCAACCTCAGCCAACAGGCAGCAGCACCCAGTCCGGCGATGACAGCGTGCCCACGTCCGCAGCCGACACGACCAATGCGACCTCGATTGAGACCGTGGAAACCAACACCGCCACCACTGGCCCGATCCCGACCGGGCCCAGCTCGGCTGTCAGCTCCGGAACAGGCTCCGGCATCGTGATTGCACCAACCGGAATCGTCACACCATCATCATCAATCGTTCTCCCCTCCTTGAGCAGCTTCGTGTCCGACCTCACTAGTGGCCTCGCGAACCCGACCGCCAATGGAACTGAGACCGAACTTGTCCCCACCGAGACCACCGCTCAAAGTGTCGACCCCTCGGTCACTGGTCCGGGCACGGGTGTCACCACTCCTACTACGACTGCTGAATCGACAATTGACGCCTCTGTTACGGGTCCAGGAACGGGTATCACAACCTCCTCCGAATCTACGATCGATGCGTCGGCCACTGGATCTGGGACGGGTGCCACCACCCTCACCTCCGCCACCGAGACTTCTTCTATACAGACTATAGACCCCTCGGCAACTGGACCAGGAACTGGCATCTCAACCGTCACCTCGCCTTTGCCGACCCCCACGGACATCAACAACGGTACCACGATTATCAGCACCGGCGGGCAATCCACCACCGCCGAGGTTCCAATCACTGCCAACACTACCATCACGGACCTGCCAACAAGCGGGCTGACCACTTCGATCCTGCCGCCGACAACGACAGATGGGACGACCATATCTCAGAATTCCACTACGGAGGAGGTCCCCACGACCACAGCTGAGTTGCCGACCACCGTCACTCTGCCGCCCAATGCTACGATCTCTACGACGGATAGTGGAACTACTACCGAGATCACCTCGGGGGAGTCGACCACAACTTCAGCCACGCTTCCCAGCATCACAACCGTGTCCTCCGAGAGCCTAGGCAGCAGCTTGGTCCCCATTTCCACGATCACCGACTCCTCTGAGTCCTGGCTGCCCACTACCATTATCGTTGCGCCGTCGACGAGCACTGTGACTGGCAGTGAAACTGCCACAACCGCCACTTCCTTGCCATCCAACCTGCCAAAGGCTATCACACCTGACACAGGCACCTTGCCCATCCCCGATGGCACTGTCGAAATCCAGCTTGGCTTCAAGTTCCCCTTGAACTACGCGTTCATTGCCAGCCATCCCAAGGCGGCTGCTCAAGTTCTGTCAGGAATTCCCAAGGCGCTGCTTCACGCAGGTGGCATCAGCAACGGTGAACTTGTTCAGATGAGAAGGCTACAGCCGCTCCAAGGATACGACCAGAAGAAGGGCTACACCCCGACCATTGCCATTGCAACCTACCCTGAGGATCTGGTGAGCACGCTCGCCCTGCAGGTCAAGCAGCCGGCTTCGGCGCTGTACCAACAGCAGGACACGCTGGTCAGGAACATCACGCAGCAGATCGACTCCACCATCAGCATCATCATCGGTGGTGGTGCTGATGGATCTGGCTCTACCGGCACCGACAGTGGCGGTGGCTCATCCAGCCCGTCCTCCCCCAGTGGCAACGGCGGCGACGTATTTGGGAACTCGGGATCTGGCGATTCCTCCGCAAGCCAGAGAGGACAGACCGCCGGTATTGCCGTGGGTGCTGTAGTTGTCTCGGCTGCTTACGGTACTGCCATGTTCATCATTGCGCGGCGATACAAGCGGAGGAAGCAGGCACACGCCCGCACCAGTTCCGTCTCACACGGCTCCCCGATGCGTCAGACTGGTAGCCCGGCCCTGATGGGCGGTGCTCTGCTGAGCCGCGACATGTCCAGCTACGGTGCAGCAGGCGGGCGTGACAGTCATGGCAGTGGCAGGACCGGCCAAAGTGGCATGAGCAACTCGGCCCGCACAGCCTACATCTCCCCGCCCGTCGCGGCAGCCAACTCGTTGGGCTGGAACTGAAATGGGCAAACCTCGACATCAGATCTGACTGGACATCTACCCAACACATCCTTTTTCTGCATCTCGCACAGCCTTTTGTTTCTGATTCACCATTACGATACCCTTCTGGTCCGCTTCGTGCATTTACCACCGCGGGTGGGGACTTGTTGAGCCGGCGAAGCAGAGACCGCGCCACCACGGCGCGGTCGGCTACACGTGTGTCGTTCCATGTCTTATTAGCCTTCAATCAGGCGGGCCCTGGACACTCCTCCAGGGCCCGCTGTTATCTTTGATATCCCCTCGTTGCTTTAGAGGACCAGGGCCAATTTTTCAGGCCCTGGTCTGGCCACGAGGTACTTTTTTTTTAATGCATTATTCTTACTGGAGGTGACGAGCGTGCACGAAGACGAAGCAAAAGGGAATGACGACCGTCACGCGTGGGGATGAAAACAAAAAGGGGACGAGGAGAGGCATGGGAGGGGGGAGGCTTTGGAGCTGAAGAAGCTCCTATATCCTACTCGTCACTTGTACAAGGTCGAATCGAGGACAAGGATGGATGCACAAGTCAAGTTGGGAACTGCAGTCCGAGTGGACAGGGACACATATGCCTGATCTACGGAATTCCCTTTCTCTTTGTATCGCTGTTACATACCACCTCGAAAAGACAATTTAGACGAATAAATTGGCCTTTTGGCCCAAGAGAAATACGTGTCGATGCCTTCAGTGAACCAGTGGTGAGAGCCTGATGCAAATTCCATACAGGTGAAGACGCCTGTCACATTCATTGCAATGAATCAGCCAGTGTAGTATACGCCACATGACTCGATGCGTCGGTTGTGAGAACAAGCGAACGCAGTCTTGCTGTCCAGGACGACTTGGTGATGGGAAAAGGAAAACAACAACAACAAAGGTACCAGGTGAAACGAGTGTCAGCTGACGGCGCTCAGTCGGATGCTGGCTCAGATGTTGTTTTAGCGCAACCGAGAAGAAAGCCACACCGCGTAGCCGGGCCAGAACGCCCTAACAGTACCTGGTGTGGAGGCGTGGATCTACCGCTCATTTCATCATCCCGGGCACCCCTGTGACCGTTGACGTCGGCTCGTTGACCTCGCAGCTCTGGGGTCGGCCATGCCATGGCGGCCATCACCTTCAGAGTCTCCCTCCATCCCCATTGAACACACACTCGTTTCTTGTCCGTTTGTATGATGTCTGACTACGCGACGGAGACGACAGCTGCAGAGGAACCCCCGCCCGGGGGCGGCTCGTCCGGGCTCGTCCGCCTCACCCCTGAGGGCCGCAGTAGCAGCGGTGACGACGACCTGGGCGAAAAGGAGGAGCAGGGCCCGGCTCTGGTTCACCACCCTCTCCTCCTCGGCGGCGGCGGCGATGACGACGGCAGCAGCAGCAGCGACGGCTCTAGCGACGGCGACGGATCACACGAGCTGCGGGGGCGGGTGCCGCGAGAAACCGATGGCCGCCGCAGGAATGGCCTCGCTTACACGGCCGAGGAGGAGCGCGCGGTCGTCAACAAGTTGGACCGGCGGCTGGTCCTGTTCGTGGCATTCCTGTACATGCTGAGCTTCCTCGACCGGTCAAGTCCGTCTCGCTTTTCTGTCTTCTGTTTTTCGATTGATTCATTTCCCACGTGTTCCTTTCAATCTTCCCTTGTGCCCTATTCTGGCGGAATGTGGCTTTTTGCCCCCGTTCCTGTGTTCCTGCGCCCAGCCCCCACGAAGCAAGAAGTGCCGTTCCCCAATGGGGTGTCATTCTTCATCTGATGTCCTCGTTGGGGATGGATGGGAGGGGGGCGTATCAAGCAGGGTTGGAAAAAAAAGTCAATTATTGACATTCTAAGAATAGACATCGGCAACGCCTATACCGCAGGCATGGATGATGATCTCCTCGGGCGCACCACTTCTGCGAAGGATGATGGTGTTGGGGGGGAGGCCGGCCGCGGCAAGGCCTACTTCGAGTGGGGGCTTGCATCTTTTTATATCGCCTACATCGCCTTCGAGTGGATGTCCCTGCTGTGGAGCCGCGTTCCGGCGCACGTCTATGTGGCGAGCCTCGTGCTGTCGTGGGGTGTCGTCGCCTCGCTGCAGGCTGTGGCCACGTCGTACCCCGTCCTGATCGCGCTGCGGTTCCTCCTGGGCGTCGGCGAGGCTGGCTTCACCGGGATCCCGATCTACCTGAGCTTCTTCTTCCGGAGGGAGGAGCTGGCGCTGCGGACGGCGGTCTTCATTTCCGGTAAGGCTTTGGCCCTGATGAGGAGCGAGCGAGTGCTAATAGTCGGATCCTTCCAACCACAGCTGCGCCGCTTGCCACCACGTTTGCCTCATCCCTCGCGTGGCTGATCACCAAGTTTGGCGAGGACGGGCCCATCGCGCCGTGGAGGCTGCTGTTTCTCGTCGAGGGCTTCCCGGCCGTGGTGGTGGCCACCGTGGCCTTCAGGGTCATCCCCGACTCGCCCGAGGAGGCAGACTACCTCACCAGGCGCGAGAAGAAGATCGCCAGGCTGCGCCTCTCGGACCCGTGCGACGTGGGAGGGAGTCGGCGGCGAGGTGGCCGGTATGCCGAGTTCTGGGCCGTGCTCCGCGACCCGGTCCCGTGGACGACGGCATGCATATTCCTGCTCACCAACATAGCATACTCGTCGCTCCCGGTCTTCCTGCCCTCGATCCTCACACAGATGGGCCACACCCCCGTCGCGTCACAGGCCCTCTCCGTGCCCCCCTACCTCATCTCCTTCATCGCCGTCCTGGCCGTGGCAAAGGCCTCAGACGCCCTCCGGTCACGAGCCTACCTCATAGCAGCATGCGCGCTGTCCTCGGCGCTGGGGTACGCCTTCCTCGCGCTGAGCCACCGCCTGAGCGACCTCCTCGGCGGCGAGGCCCTCAACATGGCGCGGTACCTGGCCGTCTTCCCGGCCGCCGCGGGGTTCTTCTCCGTAGTCGTCCTGGCCATCGCGTGGAACATCAACAACTCCCGCGGCCGCGACCACAAGGGCGCCGGGTTCGCGCTGATGCAGGTCATCGGCCAGACGGGCCCGCTCGTCGGCACCAGGCTGTACCCCAAGGAGGACGGGCCGTGGTTCACCGGCGGCATGGGCGTCTGTGCCGCGGCCATGTTTGGCGTCGCGGGCCTCGCCCTGGGGCTGAGGGCGTACCTGGCGAGGGCGAACCGGCGCGCGGACGGGGACGGGGTCGGCGCCGGTGGGAACTTGGAGGAGGAGGAGGAGCGGCTGTTCGCGGGGGAGAAGAGCCATGGGGATGGGGATGGGTTTAGGTATATGCTTTAGAGGCATTAGTACATATATGTAGCCCTATTCAAATATTGGCCCTATGTCCCGTGCTATGTTTGCTACGCTGTGAGAGCACTTGGTCCCCGCCAGATCGGAACGCCGACTTCCTCGCAGCAACTCATACCACCTCATCCCTCCACGGGATACTAGCAGCCGCGCCCTTCCTCTGCACCGTGATGGCACCGGCCTTGTTGGCCTTGCGCACAGCAGCCTCGAGGTCGAACGCGCCGCCCCTGGAGCCCACCACCTCGAGCGCGTACTGCCCCACGAACGTGTCCCCCGCGGCGGTGGTGTCGACGACCTCGCGCACCTTCTCGGCGGGGAGCAGGCCCTCGGCCGCCGCGGACTTGTAGTAGACGCCGCGCCCGCCGAGCGTGATGATGGTCGTCTGCACCCCCTTGCCCAGGAACCACGCCGCGGCCTCGGCACACCCGGCCGCCGTGTCGAGCCTCTCCGCCGGCAGCCCGGAGAGGATGGACGCCTCCGTCTCGTTGACGACCAGGTGCGCGAGGCCGGCGTACGCCTCGGCGGGGAGCTCGACGGCGGGCGCCGGGTTCAGCAGCACGGGGACGCCCTGCCCCCGCGCGCGCGCCAGCGCCAGCAGCACCGTCCGCAGCGGGACCTCGAGCTGCATGACGAGCAGGTCCGGCGTGCCGGCGCGGGGCGCGATCGAGGCCTCAAAGTCCGCGGGCGCCATGCCCTGGTGGTTGGCCTCGGCGCTGAGCACGATGCGGTTCTGGCCCGTCGGCTCGTCGACGATGATGATGGCGATGCCCGTCTTGAGGTCCCGCGGCGCCGTCACCCCGCCCACGCCGACCCCGTGCGACCGCAGGCTGTCCAGGAGCATCTCGCCGTACGTGTCGGCGCCCACGGACCCGACCATCGACACCCGCGCCGCCGCCTGCGTGTCGTCTGCGTGCCTGCCGCCCTCGGGCCGCGGCCGCGAGAGCTTGGCGCATGCTACTGCCTGGTTGGCTCCCTGCGGGGCTTGTCAGGAGATGGGGTTGAGAACAGGGCAAGGGGCACGCTCACCTTGCCGCCTGGGGACACGTGGAACGAGTTGGCAGTGAGCGTCTCACCCGGGGCAGGATGGTGGGGGACATACGACACGAGGTCTATGTTGAGCGAGCCGAGGACGCAGATGTGCGGGAGGTCTGAGTTGCTGCCCGCCATGTTGGGTGATGTTGGGTGATGTTGCTGGCAGGTGTGCTTCTATGTTGCTGGTGAGGCGGAGTAGGTCGTGTGATGTCTCAGCTCGCTGGGCTGTGATGACTGTGACTTTTGTTTGTCCAATTTCACTCACTCCAGAGCACACTCAAGCCCAGATCAGAGGCGGCCAAAAGAATACCTGGTTCGTATCTGGAAATTCAAGCAACAAGTAGGGGATTCTGTCGCGGTCTACCTCGATCTGGTGTAAGTTCTTCGCGACGCTAAGATTACATACTTAAGTACTCAGGCAAGTAGACCCACCCAAGCAGTTGTCGTCGGCTCGGCTCGGCAGTGAAGGCGCGGCACGCTGCGACTTCCTCTGCCTCCTATGCTGAATGTGTAATTGGCTGGTCACTGTGGCTCTGGGCCATGAGATAATCTTCGTGGTTCGTTGTGTTTTCCATAGTTCGAGGTCTTCGAATGTCTGGCTTGATTATTTGCAGTCCGGGTGCCACCGAGGTACTTCGTGGTATTCCCTGGCCCACCCGAGGCCGTTGGAATTTACTTCGACCACAATCAGCTATAAAACCAACCCCGTCCCATGAAACGCCAATGGTTATGTACAAATGCAGCAGTGGTATCTCGCAGATGAAAACAAGTCATCAAACACATATATACATCAGGGAAACGACGCCCGGGCCGCCAACACATCGCCCGAGGCAGGCAATTGCACCTCCCGACTGTTTCTCATTATGCCATCTTCTTCCTCTTGCTCGGCCTCCTGCTGGTCCCGTCGTGCCCATCCACGAAGTGATTCTTCTCTATCTGGTGTTGCCTCAGGTTGTCCGGCCGGTTCTTGTACGCGCTCTTGCATCCCGGGTACGGGCAGCTGTAGATCTTGGGCGGCCCCATCGCGTGCTGCGTCTTCTTGTGCTTGGCCATGGAGCCGTGGAACCACTTGGGATCTCCCTTTGGACGGTAGCCACACAGGTCGCAGCACGCGTCCGCCAGTTCTTGCTTCTGCGCCGGAGGCGAGGTGGGCGAGATCGGCGTCTGCAGGGCATTCTTGACAGCGAAGGTGGACCCGGACGGGCTTGCTGTGTTGGACGGCGCTGTGTTTTCTCCGGGGGGCGTGGAGCTGCACGCAGGCCCCTTCACATCTGCCGCCTTCGACGTTCCTTCTTGTTCGACGCTCAACAGTGGCTGCGTCTCAATGTCCACGTCCATGTCCACAATGAAGTCATCCGTCAGACTCGGTGTAAGGGAGCCGAAAATACAGTCGAACAGGGCGTCGTCGTCGGTTTCTGGTTCGGAAAGTTCCACAGTGTCAGGCGGGGCAGCATCCAGCTCCACGATGAGCGCCTCGCTGAGTGCCATGCTCAGATTGTAATAGTGCTGCCGTCGCGGCGCCTCCGGGCTGCTGTCAAGCTCGTAGATAGGATCACAAAGGCTGCGGACCAGGGGAACATAGTCGTCAAAATACTGGACGGGGACGATGCAACTCTGTTGTCTTGATGTCAGAAACCTTCCTCGTCGACGAGATCGGGATGGGAGACAAGAACAACTCACCTGTCCAGCTTGAAGGGCCTCTAGCTCAAACCGACGGGTTGAGAGTATTAGGCCACCGCTGATATTCTGGTTCACATTGCTCAACTCAGCAATCAGCCCATCCACATTGTGAAACTCGTTAACAAGGATGCTCAATGCGTTGATCAGGCCAGCGATGTTCTCGGCAACTGGGGTGCCCGTTTGCGAATTGGCGGATCCATCCTGTAGATGCTTTGCGCAAAGATCAGCGGCTAACGCCTCGGGCGAGGCGCTCAGTACCGCAGAGATCTCCAGTTCTACTCGACATTCAATCATCAGCCACTGTCTTTACAGCTTTCGTTGCGCCGAGAAGAAATTGTGCCGCTTAAGGATTCCAATACATACCATCCAAAAAGTGCAGTGCCGTCGTCACCAGAGGATCAGGAACTTCGGCGTGACTGGCAAACGAGTTTGTTGCACGCTCCTTGCCCTTCAGACTGCGAGGCCATGCCGTGCGTCCGACCTGAGCGGCCTTGAGCGACTGGCATTGCTCCAGAGTCATGTCACCTGGCTGCCAAATCGTCTGTACCACTTGCCGATAAAACGATTGGTTCTCGGGCGTGAACCACGTCGAGTAAAGTAAAGATTGCGTGTAAAAGTCGCCGGATCGTCGCGTCGCGTCGTCTCCATAGACCACAAGGGCGAAACTGTAGATAACATGAACCAAGCATAGAGTGTCCAATGGTGACGCTGATGGGCGGGACTCAAGAATGCCGCGGAGACTCGAGAAGCCTCTTTGTGCGATTGTCTTAGCTGACAATAATTTGAGTTGATCGGCTAAGGGGTTGTTCTGGACGTGCCGAATCTTGTCCGCGGAGGAGACTATGTGCTCCTGCAGAGCATCCCACGCGGAAGCAACAAGGCACTTTGTCCCGGACTCGACGGCACCTGGACCTTGGGCCTCTGTCGAGTGTGGAGCTGGTTGTTCTGTGTTATCCTCCTCGAGCACAAAATCTTGCGGGTAGGACAATTTGGCGGGATCGGTGTCGAATGAGAAGAATTCACCAGAAGAGAGCTCAGGCATGACAGGCATGTCTGCCTCAAGTTCTGGCAGCTCGGGAAGCATGCCCAGTGGGTCAGAGGGGCATTGCTTTGGGAAACCGTTGAAGTCATGTTCCGGGCACATGTCGACGGGGCTGATGAGACCCGTTGACGGCGTGGTCAAGTTCGTCTCGAAGCCAGACCACGCGGTGGACGGTGTACTCCATAACGAGGAAGCCGTTGTGATGGAGCTGATGTTGCTGACATTGCTCATCGTGCTTGTTGTGGACCTAACCGAGGAGCTGGGTGAGAGATGCTTGCTTCTCGAAGCCGAAACCGGGCGCAGACCCTGTTGGCTGTAAGGGGGGTCTTGTGGAGGCCCTTGTGAAGCCGGCTGTCCTGTAGGTACGCCTTCGTAAGTTGGATCGGGAGCGCGGGCTTCGTTCCTCGTTTGCGAGACATCCCAGACCGCGGGTTGCCACTGCATCGGCGCCTGCGACGGTACCATGGTGGAGTCCAGTTCCGGGAGCATCAAGGCCTGAGGGTCGACGATAGGGACGGCATCCGCCGGGGCAGGCAGGGCCACTACCTCAGTGGAATCTATTTCCAGGATCTCTGTAGACGATAGTTCTGGCTCAGCCGGCGGATCGAAGCTCAGTGACTCGAGATAGCTCGGTGGCGCCAACGCCGTGGTGTCGTCGATATCGAACTCGAGCTCCGGGCCGCGTTTCGACTTGTGGCCCAGGGTCGAGAAGAAGCCTTTGGCCATTGAGAGCATCCTCCGTCTCCTGGAAGGGTGGCTGATACACCGTCTACATGTCGCATCGTCGAAGTGTTCGACCCGCATGTGATCATAGCACCAGTACTCGCGGGTGGGCAGCTGAGGGCATGAGGCGAGGTGCTTCAGCATGCTCTCGTGGTCGGGCAGCTGTTTCCTGCATCTTATCAGAGGGCAGGACAGCCTGTCGCTAGAGCTCATGAAGCGTGAGGCGTTGCGCTGCACAGCAGCCCATGCCAGGAACCGTGAGTAGGAACAATCGTCGCGGGAGGTTCCGCGGGTGACACAGGACAATGACACATCGGACGATGCATTCTTTGCCGTCGAGGTCGGGTCCGGGGATGAGGTCTGCGAGTGCTGAGATCGTGGGGATCGGGCCCATCGCAGGCGGTCCACGGCGGCAAGCGAAGGCAGACGTGCATCGGATGGGCCTACGAAGGGCCCGTCCTTCTTTTCCGACCCCATGGTCGAGCGTTGAACAATGCGAGCGATGCTTCTATACTCTGTCCCGTACGCAGGCCGGAGGCGGGTGCGGAGGCGGAGGCGGAAGAGCAGTGAACCTTTTTCGCGGTATCTCGTATAGCTGCCCGGCTCAGAACGAGTCTTCTGAGAGCGTGAAGACGGGTCAAAGAGGCACTTCACGTCTAGGCCATGTTTGTGAGATGGGGGTGAAGGTCAAATGGATGAGGCTCCAGAAGTCGGGGGCCAGGCGAGGAGCCGACAGAGCAGGCAAGCGTGTGCGGTTCCTGTACCTGTTCCTGTGGGTGTGGGTGTGTGTGTGTGTGCGCGCGTGAGTGTACCTGTGGGTGTATGCGTGTGTCCTGTCCTACAGTAGCCTACTAATTCCTAGGTAGGACTTCGGAGTGCGGGCAGCAATGTAGGACACGAGACTACGGTCCAGGACAGTACCACCCCAGCTGCACCCTAGCGCGTGGTAGGGCGCCCGTCCTTCTTTGCAAAGACTCTCCAGCAGGAGGATTCTGTCTTTTGCAAGTCACCAGCCTGCCTTACTGCGACCACAGGCGTGCAATGGCTGCTGTTTGGCTGAGAGGGGACTACTGTCCGGCTGCCTCGTCTGCTCGTGAGCTGGCCCAGTGCGGACAGGCGGACAGGCAGGATGCAGGTCTCATTCATCAGCCAGTGGAGGATGGCGGGGTTTAGTCGGCAAGGCAGATTCGACCGGCAGCGTCTGAAGAGCCGGAGAGCCCAATTGCTGGAGCCAAGCTAGACTACTTCCTCTCGCGTAGCACAAGGTGGTCTTACTCGTCTGCAGACAGCTCAGACAGCAGTTGGGCAAGGTTGCAGCACGGAAGCTCGGCGTGGCAGGCGTGGGCAGCACAGTACCCATACAACACTTGGCTGGACACCACCTTTACTGCAGGTAAGACGGTAAGTAACGTTGTTGTTGCTGTCGTCGTCAAGAGAGGCAGCATGGCTGACCGGCCGGTAGGGCTGATGGGCAGCTTTGACTCTGAACTGTGCGCGTACCATACGGGACTGCGCGGGGGTAGGGCACACAGATGTGAGGACTTCCGGTAGGACTTGAAGACCCGGCTCCCATTCCACACTGTGTAAGCAGAGCCACTGCATTGCGCGAAGCCGAGAAAGAAGGGTTGGTCGGCTTCGGCCTCAACTTTCGTCAGCCTCTGTCTCATGCAAGGGACCGGGTCAAGGCGTCTCACCAGCCGTACCAAGGCCCTGCGTGGCAACAGTCGACCTCGAAAATACACGAGAGCCCAGGAGATCCGAAGGTGGTTCTCTGGACCAAGATGTCGCCATCTCTCGGCCAAGAGCCGTGGCACTGACAACTGCAGTAACACCCTGGTCGCGGACTCGTTGTCGTCCCGTAAACAGCCACGACCCGGAACAGTAGCTGGCCATGTAAGATGTTCGTCCAGACTCATTTGTCCGTTCATCAGGCTGTGACGGTTGCCGCGACATACAGTACCACTGACCTCATTGACGATCGCCACATCATGACACCGGCCCTGCTGCGGCTCAATGCGAATACGCGCCTGGCGGGCGGTTGAGGTGGCGTCGAACATCATCCCCTGAAGCCTCCGGCCGGCCGAGTGCTGGCGGACCTCTCTACCTGGCACGGCCCCGTCATGCTTTCTCGATCGACGACAGCCAAATTATTCCATCCACGGCGTTTCTGGCAAGCAGCTCCACGAGACCGCGGCCCGGGACTAGAAAACTCTAGTCCATCCCCACAAACCTCCACAACCTCAAGACAGCCCGTGGGTGCAGCCTAACCAATTCTGCACAAGGCGGGCCAGAGGCCGCAGGCATCATCATTGCCAGTATGTCGGTGCGATATAGGCACGCTGGTCGGCTGGTCCCCGTACCCCGGGCCATTGCACGCAGAGCCGCAGCGGTGGGGCACAGAGGCCTCGCCCGAGACGGCCTCTTGCGTTTCGTCTTGAGGAGCCCACCAGCCTGCAAGCTCGAGGGCAATCAATCAATTTGTTTGTCCCCGCGCCTACTCAGTCTCCCGTAGAGATAGATACACCGGCAGAGTTTGTCCAGCCGATGGCCCACGGACGTGCCAGGATAAGCCCCGGCCGGCCGGATGGGTCTCACCTCTTGCCTTCCCAAACGGCTCAAAGTTGCTACAGTGGTTGGAGTTTCCATTGCGGTAGACTACTTTGTGTAAATTGGCACATCAGACGGCACATGACCGGCAGTTGGTTCATCTGGGAGCTGTCTGGCCAGCCACGGTCGGGTTGAACCATGGGCTCCGATAGCCTTGCTGGCGTCATTGGCGGCCTCGTTCTAATTTGCTGCATCTGGTATCCGAACGACAGATGGATTTACCAAGCTTTGCATGAGAGAGGCCCATGATCGCTGCTTCGGGCAGTGCTTGCACAAATATACTGCCTTTAGCCCAGCTGAAGGTGAGGGACGTTTGATTGATGACATCCGATTAATGACATGTGCGAGTCTGGTACATCGGCTCAAAGGCAGCACAGGTGGGATTCCGAAGTCCGTAGCCCCGTGGCATCCGCCTCGAAGTCAGTAAGAGAGGTGAGAATCATAATTTGACTCTGCGGTTGAAATTACCGCTGATGGAATGACCCCGGGCTGATCGCAGCAAGCGGGGTCTCCCACGAGCGATTGACGACGGCGATCACATGAGCGGCACGACGGGGTCCGGCTGGCTGGGGGGCCGTCGAGTCCTTGTTGTGATGCGATAGCTGTCACGAGAGCATTCGAGCTATCAGCAGCAGCAATCAACATGGTGATGCCCCGTATTTGTGCACTACACCGCCGGTGTCCACCCTATGAGTGCCGGTTTCTTTACTAGATCTGCAGCCCAGGCCCCAAAGAGTTCTGGGGATCTGCAAACGGCTTTATGCGAAACAGGCGAGAAGTCTGAGTGGGTGGTTCCGGGTTAGCAGCGGCGGGAGGAGTTGTTTCAACCTTATGCAACCCCCGTTCCGCCAGTTCTGCAGTGGGTGGCATGGTTGGACCGCTGGGGACTTGGCTTGTCGCGCTTCTTGGGAATCCCAGCCAGCCAGCCCGCCAGCGTGTGGGCCGGAGAATCCAGCACGACTACCCAACTACCTAGGTAGACGGCATCGGCTGTCACCGTCGCCGGCCGAGGCCCCACGGCACGAGCAGGCAGCCCGTGATGGACTCGTTCATGGCCCACGACGCCCGCATGCTTCGTGCTTGAACTCTGGCGGCGCACAGGAGGAGCCCGGCGGGTGGGCTGAACGCATGATAAGCTTTGGAGAGCGTCGTAGTCGGGACACTGGGCAACGTCATGGCCGCGTGGGGCAGAGCAGAGGTGGACGAACAGTCGTTGGGGGATCCGTCCGATGAGGGCAACTCTGAAATCTGCCGCAGGAAACGACCCCGAAGTGGATATTTTGCTGCACACTCTGACACTAGCGGCTGGTGGCTGCAACAAGTCGATGGGCGAGACCCAGGCCGGCGGCACCCCGAGGCGTCGACACAGCAGCAAGTCACGCCAGTCGTGGTGTCAGTCCAAGCCGGCGCCTGCCATTTGAGCAGGTTCTCGGGCATGTACGGAGTAGCGTCAGAATCAGCCGCATCTGCCAGTTGGAAAAACCTTCACATGATGCTTTCATCGCGGATGCCGGGATCCAGCCAGCCAGCCAGCCAGCCAGCCAGCCAGTCCGCCTTCCGGGCAACAGCAGCTGGCTGCACCAGAGCCAGGCCCACGCCATTGACTCCTTGGTGCGAGCGAGGCCTGCAAGCTAGAAGGGGCTGGGAAGGCTAATAGACAAGAGGCGAGAGAAAAGACATGGTCATGTTTGAGCATGGCGTCGACGCTGAGGGTTAATAGCAGCTGTCATGATGAAGCTGGGTTGCCAGACAAGCCAGGGTCTGGGGTAAGGGTGTGTGGGAGGTGTGGGAGGTGTGGGGGCGTGTGGGGGGGTGTGGATGCAGGGAGCAGCTTGGTAGGGCCGGAGTCAGCACAAACAACGATCTGCCTGTGCTCTGGGGGGCCAGTCCCAGACGACGGATTGTAATGGGACAGGCTTGGGTCCACCGAGCCGATCTCAGATGACCGACAAAACGGAATGGCTGGACTGGGCTCGCCTGGGTTGGACCGGGGTGAGGGACTGGACAGGCGAATGGCTGCGCAGCTCCCACTCGCCCAGCATCGTCGAGTCGGGCCCGTCGAGCAGTTTTTTCCTTGCATTCTTGCATTCTTGCAAGACGGCTGCATCGTGTTGGCCGTGTTGGTCGTCGTGGGTGCCACCAGATGGGGGACACTACGGAGCCCCCTGGTCAGCAGCCGCCGGGCATTGGCTCGAGCCTGACAGGCCACAATGCGTGACCGTCTTATCAGAATCCATCTTGGGAAGAAGTTTTTTTTTTCTTCCGCCCGCCCTGCGTGGGACTGGACTGGGGCGGGCGACTGGGGACCGGGAGTGAGACCGGGGGTGGAAGGATGGGCGGCCAATGTACGGAGTACATCATAGGGGATCTCGTGTGGTGCTTTGCCTGCAAGCAACATGGATTTGAGATGATGGGTAGTGTGGATCGATCCTTTCCTGACAGGCTTCATGCCCTTCTGCCTTCCCGGCTTCCTGGCTTCCTGGCTTCCTGGGCCCGTCTGGTGTTTGGTGTCTGATCTCTGACAAGCCTGGGCCTAAGTATATAGAAGCAAGCAGTCCACATTCTGCTTCCAAATGTTTCTCCTGCCCACGCGTTGTGCACATGCCCAGGTGTCGATGGTCGGTCTCGAACGATACGCACCTCACCGAATTATCACCATCCCATCCCGTTGCACTCCCACGGAACGCGGGCACACACACATGAGATACGCATGCAGACACACGAGTAATCGCAGCAGCAGTACTAATTCTGATACTGGCGGCCAACCGTCCTGTCGTCATCTCCATATCTCTCTTATCTCATCCGTCGCAGCACTCCCGTTGGTCGGCACGAGCGCACGTCGGACTCTTGGCGGGTTGGAGCAACGCACGACACTGTGGTATCTGATACGGGCCTCTGATACGGACCAGCAGGAAGGACAGGAGGCACTCCCACATATGAGCACCCTCTCTCCTCTCCCCGGGCCTCCTGTTTCGACATTCCCGTCCTGCTCTCCTCGGATCCATCCAAGGCGGGACCAGAACCAAAATCCACTCGAAAATCACTGCAAAGGCGAAGGGGCCACCCACAAATCCTGACCCCGTGGGTCCCGCTTGCAGCAAATCCTCCAACAGGAAACAGACGCGCGGCTGTTCCGACCGACATAAGCCTGTCTTCCCCCAGGTCGACTGTTTCGGAGCCTGGCCTGCCCTTTTTATTCATGCAATCGGCTCTTCCTCACATATGAAGAGGCACTCCAGGTCGAATGTGACAGGCCTCGCTACTACCTTCTTGTTCACTGCATCACCATCCCGAATCGAAAAGGTGGCTGCCCAATATACGCTAGCCGGGCCCTGATAACAGCCTCCCTCTTCCGATCCACCCACGAGGCTATCTCCTAGTTATTCTCCGGCGTTGCACTCACACTCACCAGCTGGCGGGCGAGCTGCAGCCTCTGTTGTCCGTCGGGGACTAGTTTTTACCAAGGGAGCCTGTCCCGAGGGCCTGGGCCCCGCGCACTACCCCGTCAGCCGTCCACGGGTACCCTCTGTAGCAGAGACAAAGGATCCGTTCACCAATCACCGGCCATTGGCGAATGACATTGCGCCGTTGAGCCACGTTGGAGGCCGAAGAGCGTGGTGACCATGGCCACCTACACCCAGCTGCACCACTTCGAGCTCGACCTGAGCGCCGCTTGCTACCCAAATTCGATATCCGGCCGACTCAACGATGTCGTTCCTGTACTAAAGACAAGCACAGGTGAGCATCGCCCTCATTCCTTTTCGGGCCCCCGCCCCACTGTCCAATTCCCTTTCTGCTGTCGCGTGCTCCTTTGCTGTAAGAGCATTGGCTCTGCGGCATGTTGCGCATTGCATTGCATGGCGAGCGACCCCGTCAACGAGGACATCGCGGCCTTCCTAAGCCGGATCACGAAGCCGCCCCGTTAGCTGTGCCTCGGTACCCATGTCTTGCAGGGAATGAATTGGGACTTTTCCTTTTCGCACAACATTCGCACACCTCGCACCTGTCTGCCTGCACATGTTCCAACCCTTTTTCCGCTATTAAAACTTGCTTGGCCTTTCACTAGACACTTTATCTAACCTGTTGGCAGCCTTTTTCACATTTCTCAGGGCAAACCTCGCTCTGCAACCATCAGCCATGTCTAACGTCTCCACACCACTGCTTGAGCCCGTGGGCGTCAACCAGGGCCTCACCACGCAGAGCTCGCCCTCACCTCTGTCCAGGCATGTCACCCACGCCAACGAGGACTCATCACCACAACCGCAGGCCAACCTCGAAGACATCCCACCCCTGTCCCTGGACGTCCTCACCACCCGCAACGACAAGGTCGAGGCCCTCAAGCTCGTCGCCGACTCCATCGCCCAGCAGCGCCAGCGCGCCTCCCTGGGCCTCGTCTTCCACCCGCTGCTCCTCTCGGGGCTGGTCGCCTCCCTGGCCCTGACCTACCAGGTCGCCTGGGCCAGGAAGCCCCAGCCCCAGCGGGACCTGGGCGTCGCCCTGGCCCTCTTCTCGGGCGTCGTCATGGCCTACCTGCTGGCCATCCGCTACGCCACCTCGGGCTACATCCAGATCGCCGAGTCCCTGGGCTGGGACTGGCTCGTGTCGCCCGACACCGCCGACGAGGACGTCGTCATCGGCACCAGGTTCGGCTCCGAGCTCATCGGCGCGCTGTTCCTCAGGCTCGAGCCGACCAGCGGCCACCGGGGCAAGCGGAGGGGCACCCAGACCATGAGGGGCGGCAAGGGCGTCATCCGCGCCTGGACCACCAAGCTCAGGTACCGCGGCAAGGGCGTCGGCGCCGACATGCTCCAGGAGGCCGTGAGGGTCACCCGCGAGAGGTGCGGGAGGGACGCAGAGGTCGGCTTCGCCGCCGAGCATGCCAACAGCCAGATGGTGCTGCCCGAGATGTTCAACAAGCCCTTCCGCAACGGCGAGCGGAAGGCCGCCGGCGCCCTGGAGAAGGCGGTGGCCGAGTGGGAAGGCGGGAGGAGGAAGAGGTGAAAGGGGGTGGTTGCAGGATAAAACCCTTACCTCGAGTGTGTGCGGTTTAGAAAAACCGCATTTGGATCGGAACCGATCTCGCTCCTTTATTTTTAATCACATATGATACCACTTTCGCTTCTACGGCTGAGAAGATCGAAGATTTTGGCCCCGAGCCATTCATGGGATCTTTAGGCAGGCAGGACCGGACTGGGCTCTCGAGGGAGTTATTTATGATACCCCATTACTCTCTTTTCTTGGATATGGCGGGTTCTTGACCGCAAGCAGCGGGGTTTAGCGATCAGGTTGTCATTAGATTTAACGGAGTAATAAATCCTCTTTACCTTAAATTACTGAACGGAGCAAAGTGAAATGGATGGGAAGCACAGAGACTTGAGGCTGACACGAAAGCCCCATCACTGGGGCACTGTTTGTGGTGTTGAGGAAGTCATGATAGTCTCTTAAGACATTACCTATGTACATATGCGGGTAATCTCTCTGGCTTTTCTGCAGCATCTTTTGTTGATGTGTTCCAGCTTTGATTCTGTGTTTCTCAAGTTGTCTCTTTTACTCAGCAGGACACCTTGTTTGGGTTACTTGTGTATCAAAATCATTCGCTCCTCTCACAGAGAGAGGAGGTCTCTGATTACAGAGCCGCAAGTACTGTTGCCTAACATCCAACGGATGCTTTCCTAATAAAGGAGAGAAAGAGTGAATGTCCCAGAGCGTACATCCAACTCCTTTTGGTCAATAGGCCACACGTACGCAATCCCAGCACGTCCACATCTCAAAAAGCTGGTAAGGCTGAATTGTGGGCAATCTCTCAGCAGGCCTGTGCCACCTCACATAGAGTTGAGACTGTGTGCTAGTACGCAAGAGGCTAACTTTTGAGGCCCTATCTAACAGGATGTTGTCTGACTACAGAGGTTATTCATAGAGTGCTCAAGTGATGACAGGGATTTCTCTCAGGAGAATGAGATTTTAGGTATACGGGGTGAGTTTATCATAGAATTATACTGTGAGGTACCGCCGAGATCATGCCTTTACTATTGGCATGCTGAGCAGTGAGCGCTTAGCACAGCTCTTCCCTTATGTCGAACAGTATAGATTGGTTTTGAGTATGTACCTAGACGCGGGGAATGGTCGTACAGAAATAGTGTGGCTAAAGAAGTACGCGAAATGCAGAAAGTCACGATAACACCAAGCTCGCTTCCGTATCGAGACCCTCCAAAGCGACAACATGAACAACCATCGCCGCAGACCTGGTAAAGCTGACATGCCTAGCCTGGAAACAAATATCCCTTTAAACGCCGAACCCCTTTGGTCAAATGCAGCATACCCAGACAGCTTCTTTTGGTATTGGTATCACAGCAGAACAGACGAGACAGATCAGAAGCTCGGGGCTTTGTAGCATGAGCCCAGCCCGACGGTCACCTCAGGGAACCATCGACACGGAGTGCTGATCAGTAGGAAAGCCTTGCGCTGGTTTCAGCCATGGCGGGGAGCAGGGCCTCGTCGCGAGACCTTGTGCTTGGTTGATTTGTCGGTCTCGGGATCTGAACCTGCTGTCAGCAAAAATGAATACCCTCTCCCATGTTGGAAGCACGAACCAAATCCATAAATCGGTCGACCGATGCGCTTCAGGGAGTGGATGACCTATACCAGATGTCAGCTTTTTCGTGGGCCTAACCTCCTTGCATCGCCTGGGACATACATCATATACAGTCACGGTCTTGGCTTTCCTGTACTCAACGTATGTGACGCAGTCACGCAGAATCTAAAAGCGAGTCAGCACTTGGAAACGGGTAGCCCAGTATATGGCGCTTGGGAAGAAGGTTTCGAAAGAGAAGGAAGAGAGGGATAGAAGAGATGTGGGGGAGTGGAACAAGCTCAGGTGAGTTGAGTGGTCACTCACTATCTCGAGGCGGGCCTTCAGGGCCTCGCGAACGTCGTCGTAAATTTGTGCTGAGATTCGCTTGACGCCACCACGACGAGCCAACCGACTGCGAGGAGGTTGTCTGGTCAGCACATGGTATATCCATATCAGGTGGCTATGTCACCGCATGCGAAGAGCAAGAGCTTCATGATCAAACAAATGCGCTGAGTGAAGGCCTGTGATGGTGATAAAATACACATGTTGACTCACCGAATATCAGGACGGGCTGCACCACGGAAGACGCGTTAGTGAACCTGCTACCGTTGGGGGGATGAGTTCAAGGCCAGGACAGACGCACTAATTCCTTTGATGCTGTCCTTTGTGATTTTTCTGTTCGAGCAAGACAATTGGTAAGCGGCATCCAACGGTGCCTCAACGGCCGCGGGATCGTTGTGCAACGGGCGGCCGTTGTCGAGAGATGCGGCACGCCCCGTGGGGTGGACTCACCTGTGACGCTTGCCACCCTTGGCGCCCCAAATAGCCTTCCCAGAGACCGTGCCAGGACGATTTTTCAAGCCAGACGGGCCACCACGCTGGGGAATAGTGGGAGGCATCGTGGGCGGCGTGGGTGAAAGGTGAGGGCCTCAGACGTTGTGGTGTAGTGCGGTTGGGCCGGCAGGGTTAGGAGGAGGGTTGGAAACGGGTGGGAGGTTGAGGCTTCCCAAGATGCCGGCACCACCAAGACACCAAGAATATGGGGCGCCCAAGAAAGAGGCAGCCTGGCTGGGAGTGGCGGCCATAGGTTTGGGGGGATTGTGCCAAACTCCCCATGTTTTGACAAGCATACCTACGGCCGGCAGGGGGGCAGGGGTAACGATAAGATAAGCTTTACCCCTCCAAAATGAGGGCATTGCTCTACCTATAGTATGCTCATCAACGCGATGCGACATGAAAACTTTGGGGAAACCACGGCTGAAATATGGGAAATGAAACAAGGATGTAGTCTGTGGGCTGCAGAAGGTGTCTTATTCTATGAAGCGACGACAGTTAAACCCTACTGATTACTACTGTCATCAATTACAAGACCATAGCTTAAATCTAGCGAGCCCTTCCCGAGTGTCCCCCTAAACGCCCTGAATGACCGACCCTCTAAGACCATGCCTTCTCGGCGCCATGATACCCAAAACCATTCTACTAGTGTCTGATGATCTGAATCACAGACTGCCAACCTTCTATTCGGAGATGAAAGTAGCTTCGGTAAAAAGTATTCCCTCCTCGATCGTTTCGGTGTCCCCGATCTTCAGCTTCAGGGTCACCTTGTGCTGCCTCGGCATGTACTGAGAACTAGTTAGCAACTGTTCAGAGGGCTTGGTCGGACGCGGTGGCTATTTGAATTACCTGGTAGATATAAGGCTTTGTACCCGCAGCCCCGGCGACAATCTGCTTGACGAAACCGGGCACCTCGGCCATGACGTCAATCTTGTCTAGGCGCTGCTCAAGATCCGTCTCCAGCAGTCCCGTGACGGGCTTCCCATCCTTGGTGGTGCCGCTCCATTCGGCCTTGATGGCCTCCGGCTCTGGCCATGAGTTCTCCGTGTCCTTCTTGACGCGGGTGTGCGTGACGGTGTTGGAGCACCCTGCGGCGATGATCTCGCCATCCTTTGCGATGCCGCCCACATTAACCTCAGTAGACCCGTACGAGGGTGGCGTGGTGTACTCCATCAGGATTGCAGAGATGTTGGTGCCCTGGAAGTTGATGTAGTTCCACTTCGCAGCCGCGTGGTGTGGCTTCATGCCCTGCAGCGCATGGATGAATAGGGCCTTGCCCTTGTAGTCGATGGGCCCATCGGCCGTGGTGATGGTGCCCTCGGCGGTGCACCTCGGCCAGAAGCCGTGGCGCATGCTTCCCCACGGGTTTGACAGGTCTGTGCCGAACAGAGTCTTACCATCCTTGCCAGACACAAAGCCGGGAGCGGCCTTCCGGACGGTCAGGTTGACCTGGGCCCTGTCGTCTGTTACCGACTTGATGGTGTAGGATTCGCCGTCGGCCGAGAGCTCGACTGCGCAGTTCTGAGCATAGAAGTTGCACTTGTCCTCGCTGAACTCAACGTCCTTAAGCTGGGTCGAGCACCACAGGAATTCTTTCTTCTGGTCGGGGTAGAAGATCTTGGTGTTGAACTGGCAGGTTGTGCGGATGCCGCTGTCCCGAGTCTACCGTTAGCAAGGCTGCTGCGCCATCTCTCCAGGGTGTTGGAGGTATCAGTTCACAACGTACGCCACGTTACTATAGATGACCTGGGCAAGCGCTGCGTGTCCATTGTCGGCTGTGAGGTAGAAGCTGAAGGTCTCCACGCTCGTAGTGTTCATGGCGTACCACTTCATGTCGTCTCTCTTCAGCTCGGTGTAGGGGGTCGTCTTGGCCTGCTCGGAGACATTACGGATGGCTGAGGGCCCGTAGATGGGCTCTTTCGTGCCGGCGACGTCGGCCAACCTAGCACAGAACGTCGTGTTAGTCCACTTAAAAGGACCGGGCCTATCGGGGGGGAGGGGGGCAATACTGACTGCTTCTGCGCCCACTTGAACATTTTCGCTGGTGTTGATGGGAGGGATTTATGGTGAGGTATGTGGTGGATCTGAGTGTAGCAAACGCGCAGTTGTGAAGGTGAGGCAGTAAATAAATGTTGGTTCTCGAGAAGATGCCCCTGGTTTGGAAAAGAGTTGGAACAACGTCAGAACTAAGAAGTCAAGCACTCCCGAGCCCTGGTCAGTGTGAGTGCGTTGTACAAAAGGCAAGGATGGTCACTCGATGCGCCCAAGGCTCCCCGTCGCCCGCAAAGCTTCGGCGGTTGCTGCCCACTTACAGCCCGGCAGGCTCGGGAGCGCCAGGGGGTCCCCAGGCACGCTAGGGGCCGCTGCATGAGGTCAATCAATGCAGCAGTGCACGCCCGGGTAGCCTCGAATTTTCAACAGCCCGATAGCTCTCGATCCGCAGCACTTTCGCATTGCGCACCCACCCCCAGCACGTGCGTGTCGACAACGACAAGCCAAGATGTCCAAGGCACGAGGAGGCGCGGCTGTCGACCAGATCGTTAAGCTCGTCGTCGGAGCAGGGCAGGCGAGCCCGAGTCCACCTGTCGGACCGGCGCTTGGTAGCAAAGGTATCAAGTCGATGGACTTCTGCAAGGTACGGCGGCTCCGCTCCCCTCGACCGCGGATGTCGAGCACTGACGAGCAACCCCAGGAGTTCAACGCGAGGACGGGACACATCAACCCAGGCACACCACTACCCGTGCGGGTCACCGTCAGGCCCGACCGGTCGTTCCACTTCGACGTGCGGACGCCCCAGACATCATGGCTGCTCCTCAACGCGGCAGACGCGCCGATGGGCAGGAAGGGGAAGAGGAAGGGGGCATCAAAGCCAGGCCACGAGGTTGCCGGCACCGTCAGCCTGAAGCACGTTTACGAGATCGCCAAGATCAAGCAGTCCGAGCTGCGCCTGTCCGGCCTGTCCCTCGAGGGGCTCTGCAAGTCTATCATCTACCAGGCCAGGTCGATAGGGATCAATGTGGTGGCATGAGAAGACGGTAGATTAACTTCAAAAGAGCTGGCGTTCAGGATTGGGTCATACTCAAAGCGGGACAAGGCGACCGAGGTCCCTCATCGGGTTGGAGACATTGCGGCATGCCAGAATTGTAGCATCTATGGGACTACATACAAAATCTTCAGGGTACAAGAAAAGACGTAGAACATCCATCCAGGATGCATTGGACAGGAGAGTCAGCAAAAGTGCGGCCCACATGGTGCCCAGAGGCACAAAGACCTCACAGTCAGGAACACAAGATCAACGGCTTCGATATGCTTGGATGCTGGTGTCGTTAGCTGGGCTCGCAAAGCCAAATTACAAGCATGCGTGATCTGATAGCAATAGATGACTACTTCAGACGAACAGCTACTATAGGCACTACTGTGGGCTCAGGACTCGGTTGGCGCGCCCGAGCCCGAGTTCGGTCAAGCGAGAATGACAGAAGGGGACGAGGTATGGCTATCTCATGCGCAGGGTCGCTCGCTTATTACAAGCGTTGTGACACGTGCGAGCGCAAAAGGCTGTGTCTGCATCCGACCTCTGTCAACTTGTCAGCCGTGCTGGGTGCGCCTGCGAGGCTGACTACACCATTCTGCAGACAGGGATGCCTCGGCCATTCGGGAAACACACATGTTTTGTTAGACGGTCCGACGTCAAACACGTATGTCATATACAGGTCACTCGCTTGGTTGGTCAGGGCCGAGGGGCGCGAAGGCCCGAGTGTTCGACGTGGCGAGCGAGGGTCAGAGAAAGCTCACAGCCGCTGCCCAGGGGTCCAAGTTGTGTGGATTCGGATAGTGGACTCGCGGTCGAGAGGATCGCATGATTGTCTTGCGCAGCCCTTGGTAGAAGACGTTTTCTGGCAGCAAGGTCGCCGAAGTTATCATGAGAACCTGCGTGCGGAAATACAGCTCGAGGGCTCGCGGTCGGGCCGATGTGTGAGCGAATTGGTCGGGTCTGACTGGTTTGGGCCAAGTCGTCGCATGTGCGACCGTCCGAGTCCCGCAAGCTCGACGCTGGCGGTATTTTAGGACGGGTCATCTCGGTACACAGTAGTCCTCCCAGGGGGGAAGTTGGCCGTTTCACGCGCAAGAAATCGTGACCGATGCAGACGGTTCGTATGGATCTGTGACGGCCAACTGGCCCCAAGCATATGAGTTCAATGCCAAGAAACGTCTGCCAGGCCCGCCTGTACCGGGTAACTCTAGGCAGGTGCCGTCATGCGCTTGCATCCTCCGGCTGGTATAGCACCGAGCATAGTATGGCAAGGTTGTATGGAGCTGGATCTACTCCGTACCTGGTGTGATTTCCCATGCCATTGAGCGATGACGGGCCCAGATCCCAGACTGTCGGGCTCGAAACTCTAACCAGGCTATGATGTAAGTCGCAAACTCAAAGCGCGAGAAACGTCGGCTCGCCCAAGATTCTCTGACAGGCGGACATGCAGAAAAGCGCACAGGTGGGGATCTGAGGATCTGAGGATCTGAGGATCTGGACAAATCTCCCTGGCATTGGCATTGGCTTTGGCTCTGGCGATGGACCAAATTGAAACCCATCTTCTGACGGGATAATAAGACGGATGGGGAGCTCAGCCTTACTGAAGGAAGGCCCCTCGCCGCCCAGCCAGCCCAATGGGCTATTTCCGGCTCAGGCTCTTGTGGCTTGTGAAAAGGGTGGTGGGGCGGAGCTGCCGTCCTCCTCCCAACCAACCTCTAGCAAATAACCAGTACCACAGTCCCTATGGGCGGGCGTACATGTCTGCGGTCATGTCATTTTTCTACCCGCTAGCACATGCTGCCGTTTGACACGCACGCGCACACAGCACCCTCACAGTCTGCCCGCCTGCCCGGGTCAGCGTGCCGCCTCTCTACATCGGCAAAGTAACCTAACCTGTCCCTTGTATGTGCGAGTTCGGTCCCACTCTTGTACCCCACCAAGCCTGCGCGCCTTTCCATCGTAGCCCGTCCGTCAGGCCCTCAGTCCCGACAATCAACCTTCACCTTCCACCAGCGCCAGCGACTCCAGCCGTCAGCACCACAAAGTCGGCCCACCAGCGTCCTCGCTCCCCCTTTCGACCGCCTCCTCCGCTGCCTCATCCCTCTCCACTGCAGGCCCATGGAGGCGCACTCACAAGAGGCGCACGGCGGAATGGCCGACTCTCAAAAATCTGGTAAGCAGCAAAAGGCCCAGCATCACCGAGCAGAGCAGGGCGGGCGGGCACCCGGGATGCCCCTCTGCCCTCTGGCCCCCGGCTTCTGCGGATGGCCGTTTGCTATCCCGGCCCCCCCACCACCACCATCGCCACCACCACCTTCCTCGCCAGCAACGAACCTTCTTCGCCAGCCTCCCGTCATCTTGTCTGGCCGTTTCAACCGCGCCCCGGCCCTGACCCGTGCTGACGATTGCCTTCAAATCTAGACGCATCGAACAATGCGCCCGAGTCCTCGCCCGCGCCCGCAACCGCGCCCGCGCCTGAACCCGAGCCCGTGTCTGGCAAAGCGCCCCAGCCCACAATCGCCCGCGATACGGCCGTCGACCAACCGTCAGAAGACAATGCTGGCCCTGCCGTTCGATTCAAGTCCACCGTCCAGGAGATCGACCCCAAACATCCTTTGTTTGAACCATCGGCCTCTGGGGGCGACCACACCAGCGACTTCGTGACGCCTGAGGATATCAAGTCTCTGTCCAAGTCACTCCAGGGACACCGCCTACAAGAACGGAGAATGACCAATTTCGCCTTTGAGCCGTACTCATTGCCTGCCTCCAGAGTACGTCTAGACCTTTCTCGGCTCCTGTCCATGTTCCGAGCTTCACTTTCTCCTGCCCTCACGTTTCTATCTTCGGCCCATGTTGTCGCAAAGGCGATATGACCACGGCGCGCCAGACTTGGTCTACACAACCTGCGTCTGGCTGCTCCTTTTCACCATGCATGACCTCCTCCAGAATAGCCACATGCTAATAGACGCACCAAAGACTGTTTCCCACGATGACGATTCCAGAGATGCCAGCCGGCAACACACGCAAAGCTCGACCAGCATGCCGTCACCTCGCCTCGGGCCAAGAGGGGCTGAGGTGCAGTCGCCGCCTTTGACACCAGCAGCTACGGACGGCACGTCGGAAACAAAGCAACTTGACCATGCTAGAGACTCATCAGAAAAGCTGGCCCACAAGCGCGATGTCATCACCCCACAAGAGTCTGGCCAAGAAACGTCTCCACAACCAGCTACCAGGAGAACCCCCCATCGACAGTCGTCCGAAGAAGGAAAACGATCTACGTCTGAGTATCTGGGTGCGTCAGACCACAGGAAGGGCATGTTTTCTGTCGGGCCAGGGTCTCTGCCAGTTTCCAGGGAATCCAGCCCAAACCGTGCATCTGCCTTCTATTCCCGCCCCTTCACGCCATCTGGAGACCTCGACAACCCATATGCCGCCAGCAAACGCCAGCCGCAAGCGAAAATCGAGCCTCGCTTCGTTTTCTCCCGTAAGAAGGGAAAGGTCTCGCCTAGCTCGTCCACACTGAGCCTGCCAAAAACGTCCACGGATAAGCGGCAGTCGTCCGGGCTGCTGAGTGCCTTGGGCAAGAACCAGGACATGTATCAGACAGACAGCCATGGGACGACACACAGTCGACAAGGCTCCATGTCAGATCTGAAGCGGTTCTTCAAGATGGGCGGTCACCACAAGGCGAAGCGAGCAGCGTCTCCGGCAGCCAGCATTCGGTCCGGGTACAGAACACCGCCTGGTTCAAGATCGACCTCGCAGATACCGTTTGGTGACGACCACGGCCTGACGTCCAAGTATGGCAAGCTGGGCAAGGTTCTTGGGTCCGGCGCTGGTGGCTCGGTGAGGTTGATGAAGCGAAGCGAAGATAACACGGTCTTCGCGGTGAAGGAATTCCGCCCACGCCATTCATACGAGACAGAAAAGGAGTATGTCAAGAAGCTGACGGCCGAGTACTGCATTGGCTCTTCCTTGCACCATGGGAATATCATCGAAACCCTGGACATCGTGCAGGAAAAGACCAAGTGGTTCGAGGTCATGGAGTACGCGCCGTATGACCTGTTCGCCATCGTGATGACGGGGAAGATGTCACGCGAAGAGGTATCATGTTGCTTCTTGCAGATTCTCAGCGGCGTGACATATCTGCACAGCATGGGGCTTGCGCACCGAGATCTCAAGCTCGACAACGTTGTGGTCAACGACCGCGGCATTATGAAGATCATCGACTTCGGCAGTGCACATGTGTTCAAGTATCCTTTCGAGAACAATCTCGTTCTGGCTTCAGGTGAGCCGGCATGATTTACCCCTCCAACACAGCAATGTTGCTGACGTTAACCACAGGAATCGTCGGCTCCGACCCGTATCTGGCACCAGAGGTATACGAGGAGCGAAAATACGACCCAGCAGCGGTTGACATATGGTCACTGGCCATTATCTACTGCTGCATGAGCTTGCGCAGGTTTCCTTGGAAGGTTCCGCGCCTGACAGACAACTCGTACAAGCTCTTTGCGGCAGAACCCACTCCCGGACACGACCCGAAGAAACTGATACTGCCCCCGGTGAAGTCAGAAAGCGCATTGCATGACATGCCGCAGAGAGACATGTTCCCGGCAGATCCTGAAGACAAGGGGAAGACGGGTCAGAACGGCGACAAGCCTTCTCACCGCGAAGAGAAGCCGTCTGGCGAAACATCGACCTCGACGGCGCCGGGCGAAAAGAGGGAGGTAATCCGAGGCCCTTGGAGGATTCTGAGGCTCTTGCCCAGGGAAAGCCGCCATGTCATTGGCCGGATGCTTGAGATAGACCCGAAGAAGCGGGCGAAGATGGAGGAGATTCTGGAGGACAACTGGGTGAGCAACACTGAGATCTGTCGGCAAGTGGAGCAGGGCAAGGTCATCAATGCCACTGATCACACACATGTCTTGGAGCCCCCGTCGGGCTCGACTGCCGCCAAGTAGGAGACGGCTGGACAATCGCAGAACAATGTCGAGGAGCGCGAAAGACACGTCACAAGATTCAGTTTGACATTCGACGCGCCATTCAGCACCGGGCCTGGTTTGCCAACGATGGGAAGAGGCGGCTGCTGCGGCAGTGGACCTAGGGCTCACAAATTTGGACGGGCCTTGGATTACCCTAGAATAGGGCCATCGTCCGTCATAGGAGGAAGGGGCGTGAGCTCTCACGCGCTTCGCCACAGAGAAAGAGGCTGGGAGGGAATGGGATGAAAGAAACCTGTGTATAGTGGCGTTCCGGGGCGCTCGAGACTACTGCATTATGGACATTAGGCTACAGATGGTCGGAAGCGTCAATGATTGTTTTGCATTTCGGCGGCTGGCGGATAGAGAGATTGGATCTTGGGGGTCGTGCCAGGGTTCCTGTTCACTGTTGTACTGGCCAGGGTTGATTTCCCGTGACATATGATCACAGACTTAGAATACGACTATTAAATCTCTTCCTATGGCTTTGTTCTCGCTATTTTTTATTTTGTTCTCTGCCCTGTAGGGCTGCTGCTGATCGTCCAGCGAAGCCTTGGCTCAGCGGAAGTTGAAATACGAGGCTCTCACATTGCATTTATATTTGCAGCCAACAACCTGGCGCATAAATCTGAAGAGACTCGTGCCAGGGGTATTCGAGAGCATATTTATAAATATGCGACACAGAGAACAGCGTACTTGGCCATTTAAGATACCAACTGGAGACGAGGTCGTCCTCACTTACACGAGAGTGGAGCCCTCGCACCAATCAGCACCCGGCCTCGGCCCCGGCTCGCATTAGTCATTAACTTTTTTCTAGCTGTTTCTCTGACTTCGAACTTTTGGGCCGTCGGTTCTCCCACCTGCTCAACTTCGCAACGCATACACACCAGTTCTCACTTTCGATTGACTTCAATCTGCCCCTTCAGCCTCCGCCTCACCCCCCCGCGTTCACAATGGTAAGTGCAGTTCGCTATTCCTGCCCACGGCCCATACTCCGAAAACACCGGCACCCCACGCCGGTGCGCGACGCCCGGCTCCCGGAGCTCAAGCAACTGGGGGAGACCCGCCGATCTGCCCGCGCGCAGAGCTGTCGCTTGAGCATTGCCGAACAGCACAACGAACCGGAACCCTCGCTGACCACCGTGCTACCGCAAAAAAATAGGCCACCTCCATCCGATCCATCAAGTCGCTCGTGCCCCTCCTGGACCGCGTCCTGGTCCAGCGCGTCAAGGCCGAGGCCAAGACCGCGTCCGGCATCTTCCTGCCCGAGTCGAGCGTCAAGGAGCTCAACGAGGCCAAGGTCCTCGCCGTCGGCCCCGGCGCCCTGGACAAGGAGGGCAAGAGGCTGCCCGTGGGCGTGCAGGCTGGCGACCGGGTCCTGATCCCCACTGTAAGAACCACCGACCGGACCCCTCCAGGCGGACGATCGAATAGCTTTTGGGCTGGCCTCAGGTCTAGTTGATTTCAGTGTCGCTGACGTGGTTGTGTCTTAGTTCGGCGGCTCCCCCGTCAAGGTTGGCGAGGACGAGTACACCCTGTTCAGGGACAGCGAGTAAGTCTTCCTCGTGCTGTTCTCAACCGTCACACGGAGCCTGGGAACGAACGCTGACACTCTGCCTGCAGGATCCTGGCCAAGATCAACGAGTAAAAAGGCGGACGCGATACCCAGGGAGTTCGACGACCATATAACGACGTTTTAATGTACTATATGCTCTGTACAAAGCGAATCACGGCATTACATCAAAAGTTGGGAAGCAGCTGCGAGGTCTGGCATCATATTTCCGTATAGAAAGGAGGGAGGGCCCACTTGCGAAGAATGATTTCGCAAAGCTGTTTTTTAACATGACAGCGCCAGGCTGGCTGTCCAGTCTAGGATCCCGAGCAATTGAAAGATCTCCGCTCTACCGAGCACAGGCTTAGTCCTGAAGTGGACTGCTGGGTTTGCCGTACGTGAAAATTACTCCTTGCCTTGGTATCGGGTGCCATATTTCGATCCTGCCGGACTGCAGAGTGGGACATGGACGTCCTTGGCCCCGTGGGCAGCCCTAGCTTTTCCTTCTAGTAGCCGCATATGGGCTGAGAAGGTTTGATGATGAATAGGACGGGCGGCGAGGCAGCTGACTGTGGTCCAATATCTCGGTTTGATTACCTCCCGAGGTCGTAAGCTGTGGTCGGTGCAGGCGAGACTGTTGTTGTGAACTGGCCCATTGCAGAGGCAGTATCACGGCGAGCTGAATGCGCCATTGCCCTCGCGCACCAGCATCTCGGCCTCATCACCGTCATCTTTGGTCTCGACATATCTAGACGTGAAGCCAAGTCTCTTGAACGCCCTGTTTCCCTGTGGGGTGGCAGTCAGGGCTGTGAGACGGCATAGCTGCAGCGTCAGCTTTTCCCCGCGTGCTCACAGATGAATCGGGCACTTCCACATACCAGAATATCCCGTGATTCTCCACGAGGGAAACCTCTCACCGACCCGGGATCGGATTTCGTCCAGAGCCTTGGGGGTGAATCCAGGCGTCCTGCCGCCAGAAGGGTCCCGCTCGATATGAAACACGTGCAGACCGACCTGCACCGTCTCCAGAGGACCGTCGGCGACAGCAGCAGCAGCACCGGCTGGTGGAAACATGCGGTCGGGGTCAACATCGTGCTCTCTCAACTCACCCGCAACAAGACGGCCCCAGTACTCCTCCACCACCGGTAGGACGATGACCAGTCCCTCCGCGGCGGGCTCGTGCCCGGGGTCGTGCCGCCGCAGGCAGATGCTGAGGTCCGGGCAGCTGGTGGCCCAGCTCCTCATGCGCTCGTAGGTCAGCAGGGGCGCCGGGTATATCGCCTGGTCTGCTTTGTAGATCTCCTCGAGTACGTCATCGTTGATGGGATCCCAGCGCAGAAGTTGCTGACCCTGTGTGGTGGGAGGCTGGTCGGGCATCTTGGAAAGGGAACGCACGCTTCCCTGAGCCGTGCGGTCTTGTGGTGAATATGCGCTGGTCAAATAACCTCCTATAGGATACCCTCCTAGTGCGGTTTCCCTAATCGAAGGATTCATTTAGCTCAACCAACAGGTACAGTGAAGTTACATTTTGCAAACATGGAAAATAATTGATAATGGAGGATATAGAAGATGCGAAGGTGAAGGCATTCAAGGGTCTAAGATAGGATGAAATTGTCTTTGTGTTGAGCAAGACAGCCAAGCAGGTGAAGCTAGGTTACGAGACTTCAGGAGGCACTGGCACTCTCTCGTGGATGAATGTACTCACCTAGAATCCTTGGTATGGTACTGATTGGTAGATAACTACACTGTAATCGTGAATCTCTACTTCGGAGAGCCTGGACACATCTGGTTGGAAGTGCTGGCTAAAGACGTGGCTGACACGAAGCATTGGATGGCCTAGATACAAGAAACTTTGTCGTCTCAATATTCAGTCAACCCTTTGTTACGGATTCAACCCCAGCACGTTCCAACATACACATGCTTTTGAATAATGACCAGCTGTTCTGATAAATGAAAACTACTCTGAAATCCTCAGCGGATAACCACAAGCATACATACAATTATCCACAGCCCAAACACATGTAGTCAAAGTGGCAGCCCTGTGCATATGTAAGCCGGCCGCCCTGCTAATGGACGACAACAGCAACGGCTGTCGGACGGCTCGCGGGTCGCGCACGGCGGCTCGGTAAGGCGTGATTAGGCGGCGCCCTGGCACTCGGGAGGCGCCCTGGACTCAGGGCGCCAGAGAGCCAATCGCACCTGGAGTTGATGGCGTGCTCGATGGTTCAATCGCGCCATTCCGTTTTGGGGGATATCGAGAGGCACATTGCCTGGGAGCATCTGGCGCAATAAGACCCAAGAGGCCCCTCGGACGGTCTTTTGCTCTGCAAAGCTCCATACAAGCCGTCTCGACCCTCGATGCCACTTGTCAACACGGTCACATCGATGCTGTTTGTCACCATTCGGTTTGTGCGCAACATTTCGCTCTGATTCAGTGCTGACTGCGCTATTCATGACTACATCTCCAAGAACGCTCCACTCTCATGGTTCCAAAGCCCTCGCCAATATGTCTTCCAAAATATCCAGCAACGCATTTCCAAAGGCAAACAACAAATCCATCAGCTATGATCCCAAACGCCGATACCGAGATGCCTGAGATTCAATCTGGCCTGGAAGGCCCGCGAAAGTCACACATGCAGTCTTGCCAAAACACGGGGCCTCCTGGCGATGTTGCATGAGCGAGTGCTCAAAATCATGCGCCAGCACACGAGGCTGCGACGTCCAACCGGGCCTGGCCCCACCAAGCGGTGACCCAGCCCCGTCGAAAGAGGTCGGTTCTACTTCTCATTCACTCTCTGCTTGTATTTGGAGTAGTAGCCGCACTTGGCCACATGTTTCTTCTCACCCGTGATCGGGTTGAAGGTGTTGCAGCCTGATCTGGCAACGTTGGGCGGTGTGTATACTGAAGCGCGGGGGTCAGCCTCGGTTTCATATGTGTGGCGCCTTACACAGCCTTGCGGCAAGGCTGCCCACGTGCGAGAGGCAAGGCTGTGTTCAGGGGCTGTGGCATAACCTACAGTGTAGGGAGACGGCATAGTCACTGCCTCTGTTCTCTACCTTGTGCAGGCCCAGCTCGTCGGCCATGTATTCCACGTCATTCTCCTTCGATGTTCGCTCCGTCAACACGCGCATGGGCTGTGCCCGATCCGAGTCGGGGAACTCGTATCGCGTTTCCGTGAGGCTGCCGCGAAGAATCTTCATGACGCAGTGCGCGTTGCCATGATCGTGGATAGGGCTGCCTTTACCGGGTGTCCATACGAGGACCAGCTGCCATGGGAATACCGTCAGCGGTTAACTACCACATGAGACGGTTAGCAGAAAGATCAAGCTCACCAGGTTGCTCTTCCCATTGCCCTCGTCGACAAGGTTTCTGGTATAGGGAAGGTCCGCATCGGCGATGGCGAATGGCACCCAACCGTTTTCTTTGGCGTCGTAATCCTTCATGAGGTCCATGATGGAGTTGAGGTCGACGTCCTTAGAGTCAAGGCCCGACGAGGGGCCCAGTGCATCCTTGAGAGCCTGCACGAGGTCCTCGAAGTGATGGCTAGTAGGCTGCGAAGGAGCAACTGTGGACGGCTGGGCGTGATACGAGGCTATTCCGACGGCCATGATGGCGATAACGCGAGCAATACAACAAAAGACAGACGATAGTCACGATGACAGGCCAGGCTGGAAGAGTCTGCAGACGGGCGACGCAAAAACTTGTACGGCGAGAACACGACGATGAACACGACGATGATCAGGATGAAGATGTTGCTGAGGATGGAAAGGTGATGGCCCGAGACAAGTGTCCCGATGGCTAATGATGCTTTGGAGGCAACTGACGGCTGAAGCGGGTGGGGACCAGATGGCGGGAGGGGGACATGCGCGGGCATTTCGAGTATCCGGAGGGAAAGGGGGCTCTCGAGTGTGAGCAGCGACATTTATGGGTCAGGTCACGGGGAGGCAGGCGGGGCGGGGGCGGGATGAGCATGTTTGGCGGAAGGCTGTTCGCTGCTGGTTGCTGGCGCCAATGACTGTCAGGTCCTTTGACTGCCAGGCCTTTGACTGCAGCCACGGGTGCCCGCCCATTGTGTGCAGTCAGGCAGACGTTGCAGGGCGAAACAGAGTGTTATCAGCGATGTCGGGCACGCCAACTCCCGAAATGGATACTGTCGGCCAGTTTCGGAGACGCCCGCAGATTTTTGACGGTCGGTCAGGTCACTCTTTGGGGGGAGCGTTTCCCCCTCAAAATGCATCATCCATCGGAAGCGAGGATAAGGCTGTGGAAAATCATCACCAGGTGTTTTATTTGATATCATCGATCGATCCGACAGTGATGTGTCTGTCAGGGCCAGCAGTCGAGGCGTGGTTTGGCCGTCGCAATTCATGATGCCAATTGCGTGCTCACCGTTTCTTGTCAGCCTCGAGCCCGGGAGTACGCGCAGGTCCGGTCCTATAGGGTGACCCCGGGCGGCAAAGAGGGGCTTAGCCGTGGGTAGCCACTCCCGCAAGAGACAACCGGCCTTTTACCTTTGTACCCCATGCACGCCAACGCCTGTATCACCCCATACTCCATGCCCCAGACTCCTTATCAGTTCAGAGATCGGCAACGGGGTCATGTTTGCTGATGGGGTTGGAATGCCTGACTTTGGATGTGACGGCCGACGCGCAACCACAGTCAGGGTTAGAGGAAGGCTGACTCGGGCAGCTACTGTACTTAGTAGACTAGATCGGCACTGGATTCTGATAGCGTCCACGCGTGTGATTTACCGTCGATTTTGGCTTCAAACGTTGTTCAACAAACGCAGAGGAATTGTCATTTCGCTCGGCTGACAGTATGGGCAATGCAAATCAGTAGATCTCTCAAAGTAATAGCAGACCCTAGACATAATATTACTGCCAATGCCATTGCAGTCGGCCGGCATGCACCTGAAGGCTGAATTCATCCAGCCGCATAGGGCCATATCCCCCTCCCTGCCTTTGCATCAGGCCAGTATAATGCCAATTCGTGTCCCGAGGTCGTCTTCGCTTCCATCCTCTCAAAGATGCCTTCTGAAACTTGAAGATACACTTGCTATCAAGGGTTGTCAAAAGCTATCTAGGATGCGGGATCGAATCTAGACGAATTGCAGGATGCCAACCTCTCTCTCTGCCCACGAGCTAGAGGCGCACTGAATGTCCACCTGTACGCTACAGTGCAAAGGTCATACAACCACCCCCGAGCACGTCCGCCGGCTGCACCTCACCGTTCAAGCCTCTCGCTGGCCCCAGCCTGCCCCCTCTCATCGATCGAAGCGAGGACCCAGCGCTTATGTGGTTTCGCTTCTATTCCGTATACGTCCGAGGACATACATGGCGCCTTCATACGGTGGTAAGCACTCAAGACCCAGCGCTTATAATTCACCAATTTCGTTCCTTGACCTTCCTTGTCCCGATGTGTTGCCGATCTAAGCTTGAGGAGGTTCGCGACCAAGTGATGTGGTGTCGAGCCATACAGCCTGGATTTCGTGGTCCGGAATAAGCACATGATGCTTTGGGAATCGCTGAACTATGTTGGAAGTTTGGAAACTCCTATTGCTGACTGTGTAATGTGGAATGCTGAAGAAGCTGGCAGGGTACTCGTCAAGCGAGTAGGTTGTCTGTGATGCCCTTTGGTGGCTTTGTAGTGGTGTATCGGAATGCTGATCACGCCGATGCTTTTTGCTTGTTGTTAACTAGTTTCGCTTCTATTCCGTATATATCCGAGGGCATATATGGCGCTGCTTGTTGTTAATCGGAGAATGCATATAAAGATCCAGTAGAGCCGCGGGACACAGGAAACTAAGAGGCTGAAAAGAGCAAGGTAAGTTAATGCGCTTGCCGTTAAGGCCTTTCTTGAATAGAAGGAGGAAGGGTTGGGAGTATTGACAGTCGTGCTCCAAGATACTATGAGAGAAATACCTCAGCGCTTATATGAAAGCACTTGAGACTGGATGGGAACCCAATACCGAAGACAAATACTGAACCTTCAATAATATAAAGCATTCCTTTCCCTTTACTTGTCACCAATCTACTAAGGTTTGTGCCCAAGGCTGGTCAGCATGTTTCCCTTGTGAACGCCCTACATACATGGCTGAATTGCAGTATCTGAGGAGGCCTTGCGTGAACCACCTGAGCACTGTTGGCAAGAACGTAAGCAGAGGCAGCGTTTTCGCGACACTGGAGAACCCAGCTAATAGAGACCAGTAAAAAGAGCCTCAGCATACAAGCCTGTTCACATAAGCTTGGTCGACTGTTTGTAATGCAATCCCCTTTCCGGTTCTTCGCATACGACTATGCGTTGGTCAATCCATGATGTCTTTCAAAGCCTTGTTTGCTGCGTGGCGCGCCGATCTGCTGCGTGAGATACGTGTCCCACACTTGAATTCGAACAGAAGCAGTATATTATGATGTGAAGTTTGTTCTTGATGTCCCGTAACATGGTGCAACAGTCTAACATCTGTCATCAAGGCGGCCTTATTGGAGTTGTAACAATACAAACAGCAGAACAAGCTAACAGTTAAGAACAACGTTGAATGGATCCCGGCAATTCTGTATATATGAGATCCTTATCCTGGATCGACATGGAGAGCCACAAGTCTTTAAAACTAGTCTAGACTTTGAGAAATTGTGTGCAATCAATCAGCTTCTACATTCAAAAGTGCGAATAGGGAGACACTGATCTTTCCCGGGTGTTACAAGCACCTGAGCACCGTGCAACACAGCATATACACACAAGTATCAAACAGAGTAATGAAATCACGTCAAACACAATGATGGTGGTGGTGATGTGACATTAGCAATTCGTTGCTGTACCGATGTGGTACTTCAAAGCTTGGAAGCAGAGAGATGGTGGGTGGGCGGGAGGAAGCGAGCCCCTGGGTGCGAAGCCACAGCAGTTGTGCTCACTCCCAAGCTACATTGCGACTGACAGGCTTCCCGGGAGAGCATTGCATTCTTCGTCATGCTTGCAAGAGGACGCCGTATGACATGCTAATGCGAGAGAGAACGGGCAAATTGAGACCTCGCGCCGTAGGTACATAATGGGCAGGTGCCCGGATGAATGCAGGTAGCTAGCACGGTCGTGATAGACACATCAGCGTGCCCCCGACCCGCATGCCATCCTGAAGTACAGAACCATGACATGCCTTGGCCTTGTGCACGCTTGCCAGTCCAGTGCTGATGGCTAGCATTCTTTCCTGGTGCCTAGCGCAGCTTCCGTTTTGCGGTGCAGGTGCAGGCGTTGATAAGGGGCTGCTCCTGCCTTCCAAGGCTCGTTGAAAGATTGCGACCAAGCAGCTGCGCAGCTCTGGTTTCCCAGCCCCAAATATTTAAACCTCCCTTTGGGCCGAGTCTCTTGACTCTTCTTCTTCTCTCTTTTCTCTTCAAGGTAAGTCTTCACCCCATCCCCCAACACACTGAGAGGTACGGGGTCTGGAGCCTCTAGGGATACCAGCCTGCATCGTCATATGCTGTGCTGCCCCATTGAGAGTGCTCAACCCTGCATACAACCCTATGCAACGCTCAGGGGAGATGAACCTGTTTGGCGCTGCAAGTCTGATTGTTCTGGTCTTACCTCCATGACCATGGACACAAGACGATGCACCGACATTTGATAACAACATTGGGCCTTTGGTAGTTCGTTAGTTGGTTGCAAGTATCATGTATTGAGTTTGATTACCCAGGTATTCTGACAGCTCAAGCTTGAACCTGTCTTAATGTCAGCATTTGGAGCCATTGTGAATTCCATGTCCTTTCTGATGGGGTGTCGATGTAGAATGCAATCTCCGCACCGTATGAAAAGAAATTCACGCTGATTCCATACGCCAAATCCGAGGAAACGGCTCGACTTGGTCAGGCCAGTCGATCTAAGGCCATTGAAAAGAGTGAATAGGTAGCAACTGAGATACATCGCATTGCACAGGTGTCCAGGGAACATGGATCTGTGGCCGCCAGATTGTGCAACCATATTTCCAAATCTGTGATGTAGAAGCCCAGTGTCCGAGCAATTCTGTGTGAAATGACCACCTCTTGGGGTTCTGCGAGGAATGAAGAAGGAAAAACATAGCAAACAACGGGGGTTACTTGATTGGAAAGGCCTGCGCTGCCTGAGCCAACATTGAAGGAAAGCCGTCTCCGCTTGGAGGCATGCAGCAGAAGCTGCGGCAGACGGGGCTGACGTTCGAGCTACCAGCTGGGGCACAAAGAGGAAATAAAAATGAGTAAATGAGCTCAGATTGTATGTTCATCATTGCTCTGTTCTTGCTTGTCCCTCGAGCAGGACAAGCGATCAGTCTGTTCTTGCTTGTCCCTCGAGCAGGACAAGCGATCAGTAAGTAAAAGTGCTCAACCCTGCATACATGTTGTTTTTGTAGAAACTGGAAGGTTACAGGATCCCGAGATCAATTTAAATACAGTGGGATCTTGGAGCTTGGAACCAAGGTGGAGCTAAGTGCTAGTCCTGTAGACTACCTACCTAGGTAGGTACCTAGGTAAGAAGCCAGAGGCGCCAAAAGATCAAGTGGATGACCGTACCTAGGTACCTACCTTCCTACCTACCTAGGGACCTAGGTAGGAAGGTATGTACCAGGGAGGCAGTGCATAGCAGAGAGGACGACGGTGCCACACTAGGCTTCAATCCATAGCACAGTCCTAGACACCAAGCAGAAGTCCGCGTTTGCAAATACCTTGTTGGCCTGCTAACAGGCAATAAAGGACGGCCTTTAGTAGGCGTTGATGGACGTGTGCTGCCGGGTGAGACCACACTTTTTTAACGTGGACTCCAATAGTAGAGCACCGCACCTTGGTGGGAACTTGGTGGGAAAGGCCACTTGCACTTGTCTAGACAGAGAAACTCGAGGTGTCGTATGTCAATTCTGGTTCGCCTTCGAGCGGAGGGGACCTAGTCTCGACATGGTTGGTCTTTGCTTGAAGATAAAACCGAGACTTCTTCCACCCAATTCTGACCTCAGTTTCAACTTGAAGAAGCTGGGGTCATCTAGAGTCAGATGACCCAGGCACATGTGATGTGAATTTTCGAGTTAGGTTCTTCTGCTTGCGGTTTCCCATTTTAAAGCGGTGGTTGAGACTCCATTTACATCTACAGCAACAACGACACCGGTCATATGTAGAAACCAGGAGCGAGTGCAGATTTTGCCCAGCGAGAACTGGAATGATGTCAGACACAATTTCAAAGCACGGATTCACGAACACAGACCAAGAAGAGAAAAGGAAATAAAGGAAACGAAAACGCTGGACGGTGGACGGTGGAATATTTGCTTGCTGGAAGGCATGTATGCTTCCTAATCCAGATGAACTCGTCTCCACTTGGAAACCATGATGACCTCGGGAGATCAGTGGTCCTCCAAGTGCACCAAGACATATGAAAAGATTCAGATAAACTCTCATTATTGCTCTGCGCTTTATTTCTTCAAACGCTGGGTCTTGAGCGTTTTACCACTGTATGAAGGCGCCACGTACATTTTACATGTATGGGGATTAAAAACGAAACCACACTGCTCTGCGCTTGCCTGTCCGTCAAACAGGACAAGCTGTTAGTAGTTAGGAGTGCTCCCCTAGCATTTAATGGTATGTTGAATGGTCAAAATTTGTTTGGGATTTCATGCCTTTGGACTTGGGATTGAAAGGGATGGGAAGCCTGAGCTTAGGTCTCGAGTGGAGACTATTGCATGCTACTTGGCTTAGCCTCGCGGACATGTGAGGAACTAGCTTTGCCAAAAGTCCATGAGTAATTGAGAGTGATAAGCCCTAGACGGCTAGGGAGGCTAGGGAGATAAGTGACCTTCGATAGAAGAGACGCTGGGCGCCACATGGATCCTCCTAGCAACATTGAAGGATGTGCAGAAAATCGCAGAAGCCAAGTACTGTGTCGGACGTATACGGAATGGAAGCGAAACCAGCTTAGTATTGTATCACCTCCAAGATGTCCACTACATTTGGCAAAATGCCGCCTCGTCTGATCTTATTTCGAATGCAGAAAGCGCAACAGCGAATCCTTGCACACAAATACACACTGTGCCAGCGAGTCGTCCTTCAGGTCAGCAACTTCATGATATCCGCCATCCTTGTCTCCTTGGCCTTCTTGCCCTGTACCTTCTCCTTGAAGGCCTTTCCAACCAGCTGCCTCTTCTCGGCCTGGATGTCCAGCACGCGTTCCTCCACGCTGCCCTCCATCACCAACCGCCACACGGTGGTCGGCCGTGTTTGACCCAGCCGGTGGACACGGTCCACCGCCTGGTCTTCGATAGCCGGCGCCCACCAAGAGTCCGTCAAGACCACCGTGTCTGCCGCAACCAGATTCAGCCCGACACTGCAGACGGCCAGTGACGCGAGCATGATGCGCGTGCTCGGATCCTTCTGGAGGGCACGCATTGCGCTGTCCCGCGCTGAAGGAGTCATTGACCCGTCGATGCGAGTGTACCCATACCCGGCCTCCTTGAGCTGCTGCTCAATGATAGTCAGAAATGAGGTCCACTGCGAGAATATCACTACCTTGGAGCCCTTGTTCTTGAGTGTCGCCTGCAGGATCTTCAGTAGCGCCTCCGTCTTTGAGCTCTGCGTCTCTGCCTGAGGCTTGTCTCCCTCTTCCTCGCCGGCAGTCTCAGGCGCGGGCTCGAGCAGCTGTTCCTCGGTCAGAGGAGTGCGGCACATGGGACACTTTGATTGGGTCTGGATGACCTTGCGGATGCAATCTCCACAGAAGACATGCTTGCAGTGAGTGATCATCGGCGCTGATAGAGTATCTAGGCAGATGGGGCATTCGTCCTGGCTCTCGATGTAGAGGCGGAGTGCCTTCTGCAGGATATTGCGGTTCCTGTCGTTGAGGACGACCACATCCTGGTCCTCGAGAGTCTTGAGAAGATCCACGATTCGTTCCTTGCAAAGTGTCCAGCTGTTGCAGGTTTGGCGGAGTCGCAGGAGTTGCTCTAAGACGTGCTGGAACGTGCCGGCCTTCTGCCCTTGTTTCTGTTTCGACTGGAACTTCTCGAGGACGCCTTTGGCCTCGGATAGAAGAGCGTCGTACTTCTTTTTCTCATCCGGCTTGAAGGCGATGCGGTGAACATACTCGGATTTTGGCGGGAGTCGCAGGTCTACAAATGCCATGTCTTTCTTCCGTCTGAGGCACAGATCCTGCATCAGAGACTGCAGCAAGGCTTCAGCCCGGGAATCCCCCAGGTTGAGAGGCCTGGTAATGACGGCGTTGAAGACCAGATCATCGGCGATACCTCCCGTCAACCCGAGGAACTTAACTAATGAATGGAGATCCTTGATATTGTTGACGATCGGCGTCCCTGTGAGAACCCATCTTGATTCTGCCTTCAAACCGCAGGCCGCCAGGGCAGCCTTCGTCTTGGCGTTGCGGATTGTATGTCCTTCGTCCAGGATAATACGGCGCCAAGAGGCCGATGAAAGCGGACCCTTGTTGATATGATCTGATCCCAGGGTTCCGTAACTGGTGACGACGATGTTGTGCTTCATCATCTCTTGGACTGTCGCCTTCCTCCTGTGGTAACTGGTGGTGACGTTAGTCCTGCTACGGGTCCCAAAGTGTTGTATTCTAGAACATTCCAAAACATGAAACACGGTGATCCATAAAATGTGAAAAATGATGCTTACATGAGGATTTTGGGCACATGTTCGCTCTTTGTGTGTTGATAAGCTTGTTGTTCCCAGTTGCTCTAAGAAGATACGTTAGCACAAGCCTATCACTCAATACCAGGCGGAAGTCCGAATTGCTCTTTGCAGACGACTACCGCAGAGCACTGATTACTCCATTTGCAGCAATGCGTCGTTTGTTTGGACAAGGGGCCAGAAAATTGATAGGGGCAGCCTTACCATCACAGACACAGGAGCCACGATGAGAGTCGGTCCCGCCCCCTTCTTGTCGGACAGAATAAGACTCAACATCTGCAGTGTCTTTCCGAGACCCATCTAATGGTGACGTTAGTTTTGCCATGGATCCCAAAGTGTTGCGTTCTAGAATATTCCCAACGTGAAAGACGGGGGTCAGTGACAGCTGGAAATTGATGCTTACATCGTCTGCAAGAATTCCTCCCTTGGCCAGAGTTGGAGTCCGTGCCGTGGTGAAATTGGCAGCAATGTTGGTGAAGCGCCCTCGAGAATCTCGTTTCCACAGTTGCGTGACATGAGAAGAGCCCTGAGGAGGGAATTGTGGATTCTCTCTCGAGCGTAACCACTCGAGACCTTGCAGCTGGTACGGGAGCAGGGTCGACCGCATTTCTTGCGGCTGCTCCGCCTGAGGCAACTTGGACAAGGCCTCCTCGTCCATCGCGAACGTCTTGAGATTGTCGTCGCCACTCCTGAACTGCACGGCCTGGCTGAGCTGGGCGAGCTGATCGAGGGATAACTCGGGCTCGGCAGGGAGCCCAGCCCTTGACTGGCTACTCTTGAGGCCCATCACATTCTTTCGAGGCGGTTCTGGTGGTTTGGGCCTGGTTTGTTTCAACTGAGTGGCTTTCAGCAGCTTGTCAGATTTCAGGCGCTCCTCCAGGGAGGCCCTCGCGATTGGGTCGGCCGAGCCGTAGAGAGTCAGTTTCACGGGACAGTCAAAGTAGCCTTTCTCTCCGAGGATCGATGCCTCGACTAGGACGTCTCCCGAGTCCACTGTACGACAATGGTCAGCTATCAGTACATTGAGAAAGAAACTCGATGCAATATCATAGAGACTATGTTAAACTCGCACCTACAACATGTCTCACAAGCTGCAGCCTATCAAGCAGGTATGACACAGCCTGCGAGTCAAACCGCAGATGGAAAATATCATTTGAAAGGTTTAAAGGCCCACCCAGGAGCTACTTACTATAAGGCGCGAGTTTTTCTACCAGCTTGCGAGGCAGATGCCCAACTTGAGACCCAAGGACATTGTCGACTCTCACAGCGTTGCGGTCGTACCTGCCATTCACAGCAGAGGTTAGGTCCTAAGACAAAGAGCCAGGAAATTCTGGACTGGTAGACTAACGGGTTGGAAGGTTCCCTTCGAAGAACAACGAGCTCGCCTGGGCTGACAATCCCATCGTAGTATCTGCAACCGACGATCTTATTGTCGGTGGTCCCATAAAGCTGAAGAGCTGGACCGTCATCGACTTGGGTGAGGTCTAGAACCTCAGGTTCGTCGTCCGCAAAAGAGCTCTGAGAATATCCGTGCCCAGAGCGTTGACTTCCAGATAGTGGCTGGGAGGACGAGGCATAGGATGACTGGCCTTGTCCGCGCTGTGATGACCCATTGTACAGAGAGGATTGGCTTGACGGTCCCGAAAAGCGAGGCTTTGCGGACTTTCCCACAACGGGATCGTCATCTGTCAGGTCAATGACCTCAAGGGGACGTTTCTTTGGCGGCATGGTGGGTTCTTGTTGTGGAAGGATGTTGCTGGCGACGCGTCGCGTGTGGAGTCGGACGTGGGAAAAGGGAGACGAACTGCAAAGGAGACTTGCTCGGAAGCTGGAGCAGACCGGCCGTGGGCGGGCTTAAATGCCACACCGTAGATCATAGATATCCCGAGCGGCGTCTTGCATGCGTTGTGCGGGTCGAAACTGACTTGTCGCAACCCGACGGAATTGACCCAAGATACCAGGCCGATGCTTCCATCAAACACGACGCGAACCCACGTGCCTCCCAGCATCAGTACAATGTACATACACACTGCGAGCGGAGTACTGTGACTGATTCTCCTGGTCGATACCCTGCATGCAAAATATCTGCTGTAACCACCGTATGATTGTATTCACTTTTAAACTTTCACTTGGCCTATAGGCAATCTCCCCGGAGCAGGGTCTACGGCCAAGTCTCGATATTGGGCAACCCGTTTTCATGAAGGTGAACTGTTCCTGAACGTGTACCGAAGTACCCAGGTATCGAGTGTACGGAGTACTGCAGTAGCACCCGCACCGACCAAGTTCAGTACCCTTGGCCCTGCAGAGCCCCGTACCGCCCCCACCAGCAAGTGGCGGACCCTTGTAGAAAATACTTGTGAATCAAACCCGAGCTTCTGGATTGGCGGGGTACAAACGATTCTCCCGCCGTGGTTGACAAATTCCACCTCACGCACAACTTTCGTGCCACCACCACCAAGGTTTTGCTGTCCGTAGGCATGGAGTTCAATCTGCCTACGAGCCCTTGGCTGGGGTTTCCAGACTGTGAGTTATCAAGCGCCCTGCAACTGGATTGGTCGTTGTGCAAGTCTATCGTGTGGCTAATTCAGTTGTTCGCAGCCGCCATCGAGTTCTGGCACGCAAATCGCACCGCCATAATCTTGTCCACCTTCACCGTTTTGGTTCTTGTACGCGTGTACTTGCATATTACCCAAGGCAACGAGCCGCTCCATGTCTTCCCCAAGATCTACAATGAGAAGACCCACGAAAACGTCGCAATCCCAAGCCCGCCAGGGGACAAGATCGACGAGGCGAAGCAGGTCAAACCCGCGGGCCCGCGCAGAATAAAGGGAGAGCTGAACAGACGGAGAGACGCACAGGCGTCTGGCTCAAGGCAGATCAAGACACTAGTCTTCTTCTCGTCCGTGACAGGCAATACCGACAGGATTGCAAAGCAGTTTATCGAGGACTTCTTCGGACTGCTACAAGCAGTAGAAAGCGGCCCCAACTGCACCTTTGCGAAACCGGAAGCCATTGACTTGGCAGAAGCTGACCTTGACGAATACTTCATTTCACTACCGAAGCTGGACGCCGACAGAGATGTCGCTACGGAGTTCTTCTATCTTTTTTTGCTGCCCAGTTATAACATCGACACGATCAACGACACATTTTTGGAGCATCTGAAGGAGACACACCACGATTTCAGGATCGACACTGCACCTCTCTCACGCATACTTGGCTATTCCGTGTTTGGATTTGGCGACCGAGAAAATTGGCCGACGGAGGAAGAGGGCTACTGCGTTCAGGCCAAGGATGTCGACAAATGGATGTCAAAGTTGACAGATCGCAAGCGAGCGTATCCGCTTGGGATGGGTGACGTCAAGCGTGACGGCACCGAAAGACTCGGCGAGTGGAGGAACGGACTGACTGACATATTTGGCCAGTTGGCTCGCGATGGGACCCTGGGTGAGGGTGTTCCTGGCTCCGGAGACGCCGTTGAAAGCGATGACGAGGCCGACGAGGCCGAAGATGACGGAGAGGTTGTTTTTGAAAACCAGGAATCGGCCCAGCCACGAAAACTCAAGTCTTCATCGACAATGGACGACATGGAGGACCTCGGCAGGGTGCTGCAAAACGCCAGGGATGAAGGCAACACGAAATCTACCGCACCCCTGGCCATTGACTTTACAACCGAGTCTAAGCGGAAGACGCCGGTTCAGACCGTGAAAGAGATGGTTCCAAAGGAATCCCCTACCTTCAAATCTCTGACGAAGCAAGGCTACTCGATAGTGGGCTCACACTCCGGTGTAAAGATTTGCCGTTGGACCAAGTCTGCCCTCCGCGGCCGTGGCTCTTGCTACAAGTTCTCATTCTACGGCATAAACTCCCACCAATGTATGGAGACCACACCATCTTTGTCGTGCTCCAACAAATGTGTCTTCTGTTGGCGTCATGGGACGAACCCTGTTGGGACGACCTGGCGATGGGTAGTTGACCCCCCAGATTTGATCTTCAACGGGGTGAAAGAGGGCCACTACAAGAAGATCAAGATGATGCGCGGATTGCCCGGGTTGAGGGCGGAGCGCTTCGCAGAGGCGATGCGCATCCGCCACTGCGCATTGTCTTTGGTCGGAGAACCGATTTTCTACCCTCATATCAACGAGTTCTTGGAAATGCTGCACGGCGAACACATAAGCAGCTTCCTGGTTTGCAACGCGCAGCACCCTGACCAGCTTGCTGCTTTGAAGCACGTCACGCAGCTTTACGTCAGCATAGACGCGAGTAACAAGGAGTCACTGCGGAAGATCGACAGACCCCTCCACCGGGACTTCTGGGAACGATTCCAGCGGTGCTTGGAGATCATGCGGGAGAAGAGGTTCAAGCAGCGAACAGTTTTCAGACTGACACTGGTCAAGGGGTTCAACATCGACGATGAGGTGCAAGGGTATGCAGACCTTGTGGAAAAGGCTCTGCCCTGTTTCGTCGAGGTCAAGGGCGTGACTTATTGTGGCACTTCAACTTCCTCAAGTGCAGGCCTCTCTATGGCAAATGTCCCATTCTACGCGGAGGTGTGTGAGTTTGTGACAGCGCTTGATGCCGAACTCAACCGACGGGGTCTTCAGTACGGCATCGCCGCGGAACATGCCCACAGCTGTTGTATCTTGCTTGGAAGTGAGCGATTTAGGGTGGACGGGAAGTGGCACACTTTGATTGACTACGACCGGTACTTCGAGTTGCTTGAGGAGAGGGGACCGGACGGAGAATTCAGCCCAGAGGAATACATGGGCGAGGAGACACCGGAGTGGGCCACTTGGGGAAATGGCGGATTTGACCCGAGGGATCAAAGGGTCGACAGGAAGGGCCGGCCGATTGAGACTTGAGCCCGGGTCGACGTGTGCCGGAGCCCTTGTACTTGACTTTGAATTTATGTCTATGCCTAGCACAACCCACTTGGGTCACACACGTTCCTCACACATTGATACCCAGAATTGGCGAGAGGAGGCGATGCGGACCTGGCCGCCAACATTACACAACGCTTGAATTCTCTGCTTATTGCCTCCGACATCATTAACCCCTTGCACGCTCAAATATGCAATAACTTGGTCAACTACACTCGTGCGAAATTCCCGGAGGACCCAGCGCCAGACACATTTGAATGGTCATCAATGCATTGTGAATGTCTTCTAAAGCTCGTCATCACTGCCATTCCACTCCCGCATCCCGTCCCGCCGCTTTCCTGGTATGTGTACAGAATGGATCGTACAAATTTCACCGCCGGGCCTTGGTTCCCGGAGTATGTTTTCAACCGTCCGCCCGACTGCTTCCACGATATGCGAGGCCCCCGAGTAGTCTTGTGATAGGAGGTATCTCGCCGTCATAGAGTGGAGGCTGGGAAGGATCGTGCAGACATTTGCCTCAAAGCCTGCCCGCTCAGTATACATGTCGGCTGTTGTTTAGTCAAGGCCGACGTTGGGCATGTCGGCAAGGTTTGCGAGGTTGGGCATGCCTGGGATACCGCCAGCGCTGGCCATGCTCTCCAGTCTCAGGCTGGGGTCGTATGCGATCATCTCGGCGAGCAAGTCGAGGATAGGCTGGTTGCAAAGCAGTGGTAAGCACGAGACTCCTTCCAGCGGGCAGCGTCGCACGGAGTAAAACTCACCTTCGGTACCGTCTTGTCGTAGATGTTGATCAGGTCTCCAGGTGTTGGGTAGACCTTGAGGCCCTTGTAGAATGCCAACGCCGCTTCCAGAGCGCGAGACGCTGCGTCATCATCTCCAGTCAGCCACCAAATCCACAGCGAGGCTCTGGCTTTGGCAAAGCCGCGGCCCGCCCTTGTTGTGCCACACTCACGGTCTGCGCCCAACTGCTCTCCCATCGTCACCTGGTCGAGGAAATAGGCCTCCTTCTCCTCCACGCTCGTGGGGAAGCCCTCCTCTCTGGCCTCGTCGACGGCGGCCTTGATCTCTTGGCGCCTGCTCTGGGTCTCGACCTCGGACTGCTCCTTTGCCTGTCGTACTTGCTTGCGCTCGTTGCGCCGCAGATTCCTCCTGAACTCGGGCTTGTTTCGTCGTGCGTGATCGAAGTAGACGGCGTAGGCTGGGGTGGGCAGACAGGGTCAGCAAAGAAGCGCATCAATGGTCCTCTCTGCGGATGCATCTATACCGAGGAGACCGGTCGCCACTGCGGCGGCCGTTGCAGTCGCAATGACTGTGGTTTGCGATGATGCCATTGTGCGTCTGTGTGAGTTCTTCCGGATTCCTTCTTTGGCAAGGGGTCCAGTCGCGGAATAGAAAGAAAAGGGGGGTTCTTGCGGGAGGAGGAGGGTGTATTGTCTGCAGCGGTGATGAGTGGTCCTGCGTTTGCAAAATGGTAGGACTGCAAGGTTGCGACCGATATCCGGTTCTTTGAGGTTGGAAGCTCAATGCTGGAGCTCATGGCCAATTTTTACGCCGGGGGTACGTAGGTACCTGGGGTCCCAGTAGTCTGTAGTAGTACCCCTGTCGTGTCCAGCTACCTAGGTACCTGACTGCCCAATGTGACTGACCTAGGTACTGTACGAAACACATCTGCGGGAGACACTCTGAGCTTCCATCTCCCTCCTCCCTCCACGGCCCGCCCCGGTCCCACCACTCAACGACCGACCGACCAGCCAACGAAATCGAACATGTCGGAAGAGAGGAGGGGAATCTCCCTCCGGAAAGGAGGCAAGAGAAACCAACGACCCAAGATCAGCGCACCGCGCCAGATCTCGGAGCCCATCGCCAACGATGGCGTCTCCGTCTCAAGAAGCTCGGGGGGCGGGAGACCCGTGGCTGCTGAGGTGACCCCTCGGCCGAGACCACCTCCTCAAGCTGGTGGAAAGACATCCGACTATGTGAAGCGTCGATACTCCACGCGGTACAACATCCCGGACAACTTCGATGTCACGGCCGCCCCTCCGATGCCGACGATGCCTACCCTTGACAAGTACGAGCCATACCGGAAGCCAGCAGAGGCGGCAGACCCTCCAAGTTCAAGGGGAGGCCCGGTTGGCAGCAAACCGACCGTTGATGTGAAGTCCCTCAGAGATCCGAGGCTCAATCCTGATGCGTACGTCACCAGCGCGCTGGCGAATGCAACCGAGGACGAGATACCGGACTTCGAGGATCGCTTACAGAAGCTGAAGACCCGGGCTTCAAACGACCTGCAGCAGAATGTGTACCAGAATAGAACTCAGTTCATCAAGATTAGCAAGGAGGCAGAGAAGCTCAAGGAGGAGATGCGTAACCTCAAGAACCTCATGTCGGAACTGAAGACGAACACAACAGTGCTTCGATCTGCTTCCTCCCGCAATGAGGAGTCATCCGGGACGAATGGGGACTCTTTCTCCTCTGGTATGAGCAAAAGAGACAAGCGAAGCTCCGTCGTGGACCGAGCAGCTCTGTGGAACTCTCAGATGCAGGTCGGTATACGCCATGTGACCTGGAAGCCGCACTATAACTAACCATCGCGAGCAGGCACTCTACAAGACGATTGAAGGGTCGCAGAAGTTCCTGCCAAATTCCGTTGGTCGTCATATCATCCAGGATGCCGGGTCCTGGATTGAGCTTGACAACGCGACGTACAAGTCGAGGCGGTCCATCCAGATTGTCCTGTTGAACGATCATCTACTCATTGCCTCTCGTAAGAAGAGGAAAACGGAAAATCCCGAGGCGCGAGGTCCAGCGGTCAAGCTGGTCGCCGACCGCTGCTGGCCTATCCTTGATATTGAGGTTGTGGACATGGCAGGGTCCAACGATTCGTCCAGCAGCAGAACTAAACTGACAGATGCCATCATGGTCCGTGGCGTGGGACAGGGCTCTGTCATCTACCGCACAGAGAAGCCTGATGATCCCGAGAAGCGATCCCTCATGCTCAACATTCGCAAAGTAGTGGAAGACCTTCGACGAAACATCCAGTCAGAGCGAGAGGCGAACAACAAAGCCAAGGAGACCATCAACTACTTTGCATCAAGAGACCCGGGTCTTCTGCAGAAGACGGAGCTCCTCGAGACCCTCTCGGATATCAAGGACATGCTCATCGAGGTGGACGGGAAACAGCAGAATCTTCGATGGGTTGAGGGTCAGATGGATGAGCTTGACATTGACATTGCCCTGCAGCGGATTGAACCGGCTGTGGTTCGAGTGGAGAAGCTAAAGAGCCTTTCTCGAAGCCTCAAGAACAATGCTGTCGCACAAGACTTTATTGAGTTCAAGGTCGAGGAAAGATGCTCACGCTTGGCCGGGCTCATCACTCGCGAGCTGGGCAGCACGCACAGCGAAGTGAGCAAGACCAAGCTGCACGTCAGCTGGCTGAGTCGGCTTGGCTACGAGGACCGCGCCAGAGAGGCATATCTTGAGGCGAGAAGCAGCATCATCCAAAAACGCTCTCGGTGAGTTGGCTGACATGTGAGAATGAATGTTGCGGGTGCTTTGCTAACTTGTGTCACAGCCAATGTGTCTTCCAGGGAGACCTGCACCTCTACATCTGGCAGATATCATTCGTGTACTTCACAATCATCAAGAACACGGTAGGCTGCTTCCAAGGTTGCTTCCCGCCGCCCATGATGAGCGCCTGTGTCAAGTGGGCCAAGGAAGAGGTTGAGGCTTTCAATGTCATCCTGGCAAGACAGCTGAGCAGCACCGAGCACGGGAGCGAGGCGTGGACCAAGTGCATGGAGCGGGCCAAGGAGCATGCGCAAATGCTTTCTGAGGTTGGACTGGACTTCCGCAACCTCGTTGGACAGGAACCGCCGGCAGTCAATGGCAGTGCGCCTAACGAGCCGGTCGGACTGGGCCTATCATGAGCTGGTAGTAGTGTGTTGGGGAGAATCTCTTTGCTACGACATTTTTGCCCGCAGGGACGATTCCGCAGGGACGATTTTCCTTGTTTGCAGAGCCTCGAGGTATGGCGCGACGCGCAGATAGATGGCTTCATCAGGAGCTTACATCCGGAGATGCACATTACGTAAATACAGTGTAAAAAATTCAATGACGAGCGGATGAAAAATGGTTGTCATTGTTTACGAGCACCTTGCTTGTTTGTTACAGCATTTCCAAGGTTCCGTGTGCGAGCTGACTGATCGAGCTTCTTTGACGGACGGCCCCTTTTTCGCTAGCACCTAACGTTCTGCGGGGCTCAAGGGGCGTTAGACCTAGCGTAGGTGGTGTAGGTGGCGTTTGAGGTGCAAATGGCGGCTGGGGCCTGCTCTGGCCGGCTGGCTCCACATTCCCTCACTGGCTTCGAGCGAGAGAGGGCAACCTTGGGACGGCTCCGACCTACCTGCCTACCTAACTAAGCACGCATCCCACCATCGACCTTCAGACAATCCCCATCACAGCTTTGATACCCCCCGTTCCGCACCCTCTCCGTACTCCACAGGAGCACATCGCAGTCCTGCGAGTGAGCTCCAGGCCCCTTGAAAAGCCCGCTGCGACGACGACACCCAGCTGCAACCGCCCTCCTGCGAAAATCACCGACTGCTTCCTGCCGCGGGCCCAAAACGTCATTGTGTCCTGCCGCCGCGATCGAATCCCATCAACGACCTTGCGACGGCGACCCTCGTTCCTAGCAAGATAACATCTGCTCTGGCGATCGGAGAGACCCCAGCGGTCACTATGGATACTAACATGGAGGATGTCGGGCGCATTCCCGCAGACCTGCCCGCCGCACCTCCCTTGGAGCCCACCACCATCCCAACGCTCGACGGCTGGATCGAGGGTCTGATGAACTGCAAACAGCTCGCAGAGACGGACGTTCAGAGGCTGTGTGAGAAGGTTAGCACTCCTGTCGAGATGGCTGGCCGGCGACGGCGACCCTCCCCGCCGACAACACCAAAACACCATTGACCAAGCTCTGGACCGTTGTTCCCTGCTCGCGTGCCAGCTATCGGTGGCCCCAAGCTGACCAGCAATCACAGGCGCGGGAAGTTCTCCAGGACGAGTCCAACGTCCAACCAGTCGTATGTGCTCGATAACCCAACTCTGCTGCCAAAAGCGCTCACACGTGGTACAACAGAAATGCCCAGTGACTGTCTGTGGTGACATCCACGGCCAGTTCCACGATCTGATGGAACTTTTCAAGATTGGTGGTCCAAACCCAGACACCAACTACCTTTTCATGGGTCAGTGCTTCCCATCGCGCCCCCTGCAGAGACATAGACGCTGAGAAACGCCCACAGGTGACTACGTTGACCGTGGTTACTACTCCGTCGAGACAGTGACCCTTCTTGTCGCTCTGAAGATCCGATATCCTCAGCGAATCACCATCCTCCGCGGCAACCACGAGTCGCGCCAGATCACCCAGGTGTACGGTTTCTACGACGAGTGCCTCCGCAAGTACGGAAATGCCAACGTCTGGAAATACTTCACCGACCTTTTCGACTACCTCCCCCTCACCGCCCTAATTGACAACCAGATCTTCTGCCTGCACGGAGGTCTGTCGCCCAGCATCGACACCCTCGACAACATTCGGGCTCTAGACAGGATCCAGGAGGTCCCTCACGAAGGTCCCATGTGCGACCTGCTGTGGTCCGACCCCGATGACCGGTGCGGATGGGGAATTTCGCCCCGTGGTGCGGGTTACACCTTCGGTCAGGACATATCGGAGGCGTTCAACCACAACAACGGCTTGACTCTGATCGCTCGGGCCCACCAGCTGGTTATGGAGGGGTACAACTGGTCTCAGGATAGGAACGTCGTGACCATATTCTCTGGTAGGTCCCCACACATCGAGCATGTTCTTGTGGGTTTACACAACTGACGTTCGGGCAGCCCCCAACTACTGTTACAGATGCGGCAACCAAGCCGCAATAATGGAGATCGACGAGCACCTGAAGTACACCTTGTAAGTTTCTCTCCGACGAAGAGGACCGGGTCCGCGATGACTGATGATATGTTCTTAGCCTCCAATTCGACCCATGCCCTCGTGCCGGGGAGCCCATGGTCTCGAGAAGGACACCAGACTACTTCCTCTAAACTCGATGCCTGGCCTTGCGAATTTGGGCGTGCTGTGCGGAGAAAGGCTTAGAAGCAAAGAGCGTTGAGGTAGATTAGCACCACTAGCAACATATATCGCCACGAGTGGTGCATCCCTGACTTGTGTACCTAATCAACTGTTCCGCGGGCTGGGTCTCGCCGCCTGCCCGGGAAAGTTTAGACAAGAGGGACAATATTAGACGTCGTTTTGCGGGTAATGCGCGCTCGACTTGCCCTGCTAGTGAACAGACAGCACGGCCCTGTCTCCAGCTCAAACGACCTGGCTTAAACTGTCCGTTAAGACGGCCGTTAAGCCGGCCGTTGAGGCCCAAGTCGCTGAGTATATATTGTAGTGCCACTGAGAACATGCTCCACCAGAAGGGGCATTTCAGCATCACAAGAAGAATCCAAATGCACCTTGCAAGGAGCTGAGGGGCGTTCTCATGCCAATAAGTTCTGCCATAATAGTGTTCGTGACCCGAGAGGCTCTCACTTCGCTGGGATGAGGTGAAACTCTCGTGTCCTTGGCCGGTGGATAAGACTACCCTCGGTGCTTGCCACCTGCATACCTATCGAGACGATCGATCAAAGCTTCGTTAACATCCAACTGCCTTACATTATACTCGATTGTTGGATACTGGTGAAACCATACGGGCGGGTGATTGTGTCATGTCTCGGATGGCCTGATTATTCCAATTAAGTAGTCTATCTCGCTAGCTAATGATGCCCATATGGATGCATTACAACACACTACCGCTGCCACCTGGGCCATTACTTGTAATCTAGCCGGGATATCAACGTAGAGTGGTCACAAAGACGCACAACACAACAAACCAGCGACGAGCGCTCACGAAGAATCGGCCACACGCTCCTCGTCAAGCTCCGCCCGCGCCCTGGCCTCCCACTCGCTCTGCCTCCTGCTCTGCTCGGCCGGGCTGTCAAGTGCAGCATCGTCGCCAAAAACATCAATCTCCCGGTTGACGGTGAGACTGCTGCCCATGGTGGCCCTCACGGGGCTCTTCATAGGGCTCTTGGTCTCGCTCGCCACCCTCTCGCCCGAGTAGTGGCCCGGCCCGCTGCTGCCGTCGGGGATGTGGTAGCGCCTGTCGAAGCGGGTGATGGCGTAGGCGTAGACGACGACCAGCTCGATGACGAAGTTGAAGCAGTAGAAGCACGCCCTGGAGTGGTACCAGGCCGGGTCGGCCGCGGGCCGGGGCCTGGTGAAGCTGACGCCGATGCGGAAGCCCGCGCCGAGGGCGAGGATGGCGGAGGTGAAGAGGAGCAGCCAGATCTTGGTGCGCTGGCGGCCCTGGCCGAACTTTTCGGGGCGGGGGCGCGCGCGCGGGGCGGCAACCGTGATCAATGTGATCGGGACGGGCAGGAAGGACAGCACCGCGAGGAAGGTCCCCGCGAAGAGCTGGATGTCGCGGTCGATGCGGCGGGTGTTGGGGTCCAGGGTGAAGAAGGAGTCGACGGTGGCGGTGATGACCATTATCAGGTTCGCAGCGACGCAGAAGTACAGGAACTTGAAGGCCCAGCCCAGGGGGCGCGACCAGCCGAGGGCCGGGTGGTAGGACCTGATGAGGCGCTGCGCAAAGATGAGGTTCACGATGAAGAGGAGCAAGACGCCCGCCTGGACGAAGATGGTTGCCGCGATGGCGACGTTCACGCTCCGTGGCTGCGAGGCCCAGACTATGCGAAGGACAAGGGTTGTGATGCGGGCCATGCAGAAGCCGAATAACAGGGCCGAGAAGACGAACTTGTGGTCCCGCTTGTGATTTATTTTGAAGATGCTCATGTGCGTCGCAGCCCCTACGATGAAGAAGAGCAGCAGGACGGCGCAGATGGGGTCGTCGACGGAGACGGTTGGACGCCCACCCAAGAGAGCTGTGGTTGGAGCATAGGGAGGCCCGGACTGAGACGAAGATTAGAAGCTTTGTCCTAGAAGGAGGCAGGCAGAGTGCGTACCATCGCCTGGGGACCCTGTTGTCCCGTTGCCGACATGGCTGGCGTTGATGTTGAACGGTCGCCTCGTCAATCAATGTCTAAGCACCAACGACAACTCTCGTCAAGGTGGTCGTCAATGGTGAATGGCAATAGGCGGGCTGATGGCATCTGAGTAGGGCAAGGGCCGTTCGCGGTAGTATACACACTGCCGGGGATAGTCTCGAACAAAGACGAACCAAACGGTTCATCCGAATCTTGAGGGGTTCTCGTGCACGGGTTTGATGTAGCACAGCAGCATATCTCGTGACACCGGCGGGATCTTACTTATATACTAGACGGGTGATGGAGAGAGGACCTACTCATTTACAATCACTCACAGTCAGTAGTCTACCGGCTCGCTGTTCCCCGCAGAGCCGTCCAGTTCATCAGTGACGCATCTTGAATGTGGCGTCTTCAGCTCCAATGGCTAGCTGCACAAGCAGGCAGCGCGACATCGTCGGCGAAGACGGATGGGCGAATCGCTGAGTCCGCTCTAGGCATCGGGGTCGGGACAGGCGAGGTCGTGCATGATGTCAGCAGTTTGGGGTGGTGGTGACCGAAGAGTCGGGTCGAGGTCGGGAAAAATGGAGCGCGAACCTCCGTCCTCCACCCCCCTCCTCCGCACCTCTAAAAGCGAGGCGAGCTGTGGGGCTCTCTGCTACTGTGTAGTTGTAGCATCAATCCCAAGTCATCCTCCTGTTAGCGTTGCATGGTCTGGCGGCACTGGATGGACGTTGCCAGCTTGCCAGCCAGACCGTCTCATCTGCCTTGCGACACGATGAAGGGCACAAAACCACCAGAAAGAAGCCTGACCGGCGATTACCAAGTCTGTGCGGGAGCCAATCTTGCACCCAACTGGCAGCACCTTCGGTAGCATCCGACTGCAACCACTTGGGCACTTGTGGTCTTTGACAATCTGTCGACCCTCGAAATGGGGCTACGGCCCGTCATCCTGCTACCGTTGTACTGCTAGCCCTGGCTGGCCTTTCAAAAGACTCCTGGAATGCCACAAGTAGCCTCTGCCCTGACTTTGTGCCGAAATCAAAGCGTAAGCTACCCAGTAGCTTGGAACGCGTCTTCCCGCAAACAGGAGCGCACTGCACAGCCGACGTCAGTAGCACATGCCGGCCATGTCGATGCGTGAAGTATGTCTGTCGTTGATATTAGCCTGATCATGTGAGGTTGGAGCTTTGTTTCCCTGGGACTGTGGCTGCATGTGGCCAGGGGTCGGGAAAATAAATCCAGTTGTGATCAGCCTCGCGCTCCTTAAACGAGGCTGGGCCAGCCCGATATGGCCACCCCACAGGAGACTAATACATTATGCCGAACGCGGCTGCGTCCCTTTCGCCGCTCAACCATGGCTCGGGAGTCGGGACTTGGAGCCTCAAGATCATCGCCGCCAATGGGCCGTCTGACCGGCTCGCCCGCGGACGACGACCGCCGCCATTGCGCTGGTCACCAGACTGGCGGGACGGGATTGCATTGACGAGTTTGCGCAAGGCTGCCTCAACTGCTACCTCGGCAGTGCGCACACGGGAGTTCCCTCAGGCCGGAAGCTTGGAAGAGCTGTCCCATGGATATGCCTGAATGGCATCTAGACCGCCAGACGATCGCGATGGTGCGTGTAGATTGGTCTTGGCCGCCCTTCAGCCGCCCGGCGCGGTCAGAGGGCGGGCGGCGGGGAAGGCATATAACCCTTCGCCGGTATTGTTGCTCGAAGTGGTGGAGAGGACGAACCCCGCGCTCGTGCAGCAATCACGTCTTCGTCATTCATGCGGCTCACCACGGGGCGAACCACACCAGAAGCAGATGTGATGAAGCGCGCATCGGCGATAGCACCGTTTTGTCCAACGAGGAGAGAAGGAGCCTCGAGACCATCAAGTCAGACATGTGTCATGAGGCAATGCCAGGTCAACACCTGGCACCTGGCGCAGCATGTGCGGGGAAGAGGCCTCTGCCCGCCATCACGACACGGACGACCTGGACGACCTGGGCGGCAGGATTTCGTCTGAACATGTCGTCTCAACTCTCGAGCTCAGCCGACCCTTGGATCCACGGACCACCGGGGGCTGAGCGTCACAGGCGCCAGGGACTTCCGGTATCTTCGCCTATCGCTTGTTTGCGCTGCGAGACGAGGGGGGAGCAGCGGCAGCAGCAGCAGCAGCAGCTTGCCTGGGTAGATCATCAGGCAGGAGGGGTTCGAGGAGGGAAATACGTCCCAGAACGGCAATGGTGATCTCATACCAGGGCGTGAGAGGCTGAGGTGATTGATCCTCCCCGAATGAACTGCCCAGACAGGCCTCAACTGGACACTCTGGTCCCTGCTGGGGATCATGAGCTTTACTGGTACGGCCGCCCAGTCGTCCGGAGTCCGTCGAGCTGCCAGCAGGCAAGCAAGCAGGCAAGCAAGCATGCATGCATGCGAGCTCTCCCTGCCTTGTCCAAAGCACCTGCTTGCCTGCTTGCGTGGGTTTGTTTTTCCTGATGACATGGCAATACGAGAGACAAGAAAAATGAAATCAATCGGTAGGGCGAGGACCATCCCAAGTCAGGCGACTGCGACTGCAGCAGTCGATGCAATCCGACTCTCCATCTTGGTCCCTTCTAGCTGCCAGCACTGACGGAGCTTGGGAGGCTTGAGGCCAGTCTGGTAGGGCCAGTCTCAGAACTTGTCTCAAACAACCCAGGTGGCTTCTTCCCGCCGACTACCCTGCCACCCTGCCACCCAGGCACTAGCTCCTTTCCCCACGCCCTAGAAGGGCGGCTCGCCGTCGTTCCATTCCTCGACTTGACTCGAGCCCATCGCCGTGTCGGCGCTCGTGCTGCTGCTGGTGCTGCTGGTGCTGCTGCTACATAGCGCTGCTGCTCGGCCCTTTGTGGTCCCCCTTTAACGCCGGCGTGTAACTTGACCAGTGGCCTCACGTTGGATTACACCGTCAATGGCTGGCCACGATTGGACAGGTGCACGCATGCCCAGGTGCCCTCGCGGTCCTGTATTTCTGTGTTTTCGTGTGCCTAATTTGGCGAGGTCGAAGGATCCCTGGCAGGACCACCCTCAGTTGCAAGCAGTCGGGCCGCGGTGGACAGGGTCAGCAGCTGGGGTCAACAGCTGTGGCTGCTGTGCTGGCCGTGAAGGGCTCGTGGCCGCCGGCGGGGAATTTCCCAGGTGGCTTGGGTCCCATGTCCCTTATCTTGCTAGCATAAACCAAGCTGATAAAACCGATCCTCCCGCTACCATGCCAGCCATGCTTGCCATGCACGAGCAGACGAGGTGTGAAATTGTGCCGGGCTGGCCCAACTGTCCGTGTCCTCTCGACGGCCCCTTCTGCAGCTGTCAATGCGGTTCTGGCTGTCCTGACAGGCCCCAAACCCGCGCCCTGTTCATCGCAATCAAAACAGGCCGCAGGTCTCTGTACGAGGTTGGCAACAGCATAAAGGGCGAGCAGCCGCGCAGGGCCTTGCCGTCATGCGACGGTTCCTATCAATAGCCACTGCGGGCCAGTGCGACGAGGTAGCACGGATACCACAGCGTCGTGATCCAATGGCGGGCATGCTGCCATGTCGTAACCGTCCTCCGTAGGCCTTTTCTCATTTCAGGCCCTGCTCTGGCCGCGCGCAAAAAAAGGCAAAACGACGGCCTGGACGGTATCCCCATGCCAGGCATGCCCCCCCTCCCCTGCCACGCCGCTCAGCCCTGGACCCTGTTCCTGATCAGCTAGCCCATCTCGGCTACATCCCCAAATTAGGACGAAGCTCTTGTCTGCGGTCGGCTGCGGGTGGGGTGGAGCGTGCTGGGTGCTGGGTGCTCCCCTTTCGCAATCACGCATCCGGACCGGCCTCTGCTGCCGTTGCTTGGTTGGTGTTTGCCTGCGTGTCTGCGTGACTGTGCCTGCGGGCTTTTGCTGTTTATGTTTCTCTTTTCCTTTCTTCACGACTAGAATCTGCCGTCGTCGCGGATACCTCCCCCCCCTCACGCAGCATCCTCCTAATACACAGTAATCCTGCCTGCTGCTCGAGCCCGTTGTACATACCTGGACTGGCCGTTGAGGGGGAACGAGGTGCAATTGTCCATACACGCTTCCGACGCTGTGCGATTCATCCACAGTGCAGTCACCCAGCACTCGCCCAGCACAGCAACACAGCACACGGCAGACAAAATTCAACCGCAATCTCAACACACACACACACACATCGTGCTGCTGTCGTCTCAGGTCTCTTGACTGCCACTCATTTTGCCCAATTGCGTCCACATCCCAACTACCGCACCCTCTTTTGTTTCTGTTTGACCTGCTGTCGCAGTACATGGTCCCTCCTACCACAATACACACACACACTGCCCTCACTAATTAATTCTTCCCTATCCCGCCTCGCTCTCCACACCTCATCAGTCACCACCCACACACCCACACGTCCACACGTCCTCACATCCTCACTCACATCCACACCCGTCCACCTCAGTGTCGCCTTGCATTAGACCGGCGGCCCTCACCACGGATCCCCCCACCTCAGCCTGTCGGCGCTTCTGCACCTGGCGCATGATAAACACCACACATAGTTCCTCCCGTCCCTGCAGATTGGCCCAACCTATCACGGCAAGAACAGCCGCGTCCGAAGCTCCTCCTCTGGTCCCTAGTCTCCCGCTTCCTCGTACCTGCCTCGCCTGCCTGTGCAGCCTTCGTCTCTCTGCGCCCAGCTGCTGTCCCTCATTTCCCTGAAGAGGCTTGCTCTTCCCGTCCGCAGCTGGCACGGTTTCTCGACCTGGAGAAACCCGCCCAACCACCACCGAACCGAACCGCCCTCTCAAGCGACAAGCTGCACGGGAACGCGACCTGACTGGCCCCGGCCGACCTCGCACGTATCCTCGAGCTCGTAGGAGAGGCTTGGTCACGGTCCGATACAATACACCACCGCCCCTTCGAGCGACACGCAGCGCCACTAGGAGCTGTGATCGACACTGGCCCTCTCTCACTCACGACCACCCTACTTGGATCTCATCTTGAGCTTCGTGCGACGATGAATAAGTTTCTGGCGTAATACAAAACCCACCACAAACCCAGTATCTCCCGCCTCGTCGCAGCCAGACCCGCGCCTTTCAGCAAGACGGCAACAGTCGTATTCGGACCAGGATTGCGAGTGCTGCTTCGGTGTGAGGAAACAGGCGAGGGTGAGGCCACGACCCAAGTGGCGTGTCACCTACGACCGCCAGCGCCATGGCCCAAAGCTGCATATCCCTCCAGGGCTCGACGACGTGTCCGTCATTTCAGTCCGCGTCCATTTCAACAGATTCCACGCTGGTGGGCTTCTTGTACGTATCTCGAACAAGAAAACTTTTTCTTGCATGGGGAACATTGCAGTCTGACATCCTATTACAGTTCATTCCTCCAATTCGTGTCAGACCGTGCATCTTTTGATTCACAACTCGAATCCTATGTCCAGACGACATACGTGCAGGACAAGTTAGTTAAACTTGAAGCACCCGTTGCCGTCCCGCTCACGTGCTGACATGGTTTTAGATATCAGACATTGTTTGGCTGTGCTAACATCGAGCTGACCAACACTTCCAACCTCTACGCACGCTTCACGACTTCTGTAATATGTAATGCCATTGTGCAGAACTCGATCAATTCTTGCGGACTGTCATCCTCACAGTCGCGGCCTCTTTGTGCCGACACTTGTGTAAGCCATCCTGCTCATTGCTGTTATGAGCTGTGGTACTGATCATCCCAAAGGCACAATTTGCACAGACAGAAGCGTACTACGTGTCTGACAACCAGCTATGCTCGAACCCCAGCAGCGGGGCTACCACACAGATCAGGGCGGATTTCACAAACTGCGCGCTGCCCGCAGACTCGCTGTCGTCGGATAGTTGCATCGATGGCATCGAAAATGAGCCGGACAACTGCGGTTTCGGCAACAGCACCATCGGCCTCTGCTCATATTGCGCATCCGGCGGCACTAACTCGACCGACACGTGTTGCTACAACTCGAATGCCGAAGACCGCTGTGCAGGCGTGACACTGCCTTCCATCACATCGACAATAACTCTGCCAACCTCCACGTCCAGCCCTTCCCCCACGAGCACTGCAGCTGCCGGTAGAAGCGGTCTTAGCGGGGGTGCCATCGCCGGGATTGTGATTGGGAGTATCGTTGGTGCTGCGCTGATCATAGGTCTGATCTTGCTGTGCTGCATTTTCATCCGACGCCGCAAGCAAGGAAGTCAGCATGGGAGCATCTTCAATCAGCCGTCCCCCGCGCGGAGAGGCCCCATGTCTCAGGCCGGACCCCCTAGCACGACACCACACGGATACGAAGTGCTGCCTGGCGGTAGGATTGCCAGGATGTCGGCTCTAGAGGGCCACTCGGGAGACGCGCCTTCTCGTCATTCCGAAAGCGCCGCGGCAGTCGGCGCTGTTAGAAGCAGACGCGTTGAAAACCACTCCTCTTCGAGTGAATTCGGGGACAGTCCGCAGTCGGAGCCCCGTGCAGGTGTTTTGCGACCACCGCCAACGTCGATGTTGAAGAGGACGGGCTCGCTTTCGAGCGGATCCGTGCTTCTTGCCGGCGAGGATGCTGGCAGCAACGGAATGTCATCACCACACGCTGTCGCAAGCCAGCAATCAGAGCAGTTGCCATACTTCAAGGACTACTACTCCCAAGATGAGATTCACCCTGGCGATCGCGTCGCAGTGCTCTGGGCTTACCAACCACGCGCGGCCGATGAGTTCGCCCTCGAACGTGGTGACATGCTCAAGGTTGTCGGCATCTGGGACGATGGCTGGGCGACTGGTGTGATGGTGGACGAGCGGGCTGATGAATGGGAGGCTAGACGCCAACAGCAGCGAGACAGCGGCGTCTCAAACACGTCTGGCCGCGGCCGCGACCTATCACCACCCGCCAGCGGCGAGATCAAAGCCTTCCCACTGGTTTGTGTCTGTCTACCGGAGCACTGGAGGAAAACCATCGACAGCGACACCTCGACCGAGGCGGCATCCAGTGCCCACCAGCGCTGAAGTGTACATTCGCCACACTAATTTTCACGACTATACGATTTTCTTCCCCCGTATCGCGTCTTGACACAGCCAGAGTCTTGCATTGCAGGCGTTCGATACCATTTTTCTTTACGAACAGAGGAGGCAGATGAAGCATATTTGGTCCGGGATGTCTTCGCCCGCCCAGTCAGTCATGCAACGAGCACCCACAATGGTGTACCGGGTGACGGTCTCGGAAGGATGACCAGGAAACATAGAGCAGTTCCAACAGTGCTACGACACGTTTAATGCCCTTTACCTTAGACGACCTAATATCTTCTTTTCTCCTGCACCCTCCCCTTTCATTTCATTATTTTGGTCTAAATATACCCAGGTTTGCGACGAGGTGTTTCTAGGTGGTGGGTGACTCGAGGGGAGGGGCACAAAATCATGTAATTTTTTGCCTACCATTCAGGAAAGAGGAGATGATATGCGCTAGGAAGGTCGCTGAGGATTACGATGCCTTATGCGGAGGACGGGGAGATATCGAGTTGAACGACTTCAAAAGCCCCGCCGTGGTTGGCAATTCACTCAGTATTTCCATGGGCAGCCGAATTTGAAAAGTGCATTGCTACAGTGACATCTCGCTCTGAGAACTTCAAAACCTGAAGCAGGCCGCGAAGGAAGAAACATATTTGCTTTATTAGGGCTCGTGACCAGAGCAGCCATGAGATGGATGGTAGGGCGGCCGAAACGGTGAGGAGAGTGGAACGACAAGGACTATTGACTTTTTTTGAGTGGATTATTCCTGTAATTGAATACGCGGTGCATTGAATGAAAGCCAGAAAAAAGAAGAGAAAAAGTGTATAAATTCTGATGCTGCTTATTTACATTGATGTATGTGCCTAGGTCATCATTGCCTCTTGATGAACTCTGGTGTCGTCACCGGTTCAGCAACAGTTGACTAGGTAGTCACCCCGGTAAGCGGCAGGCAACAGCTGGGCACCTGGGTAGCCAGCTTAGGAACTTAGAGACCGGCCGCATAGGTACGTATTATTAAGTACGGAGTACCTCTTGGCCAGTCCGCCCACGTCTTGCCCACTATGTAAACGTACAGCGCCCCGGACGTCGGTGAACATTCGAGTTGGATTCCTGATCAGCAAAAAAAACAGCAGGGCCCGCCCGTCAGGCTTGATGGTGTCTCGCAGGAGCTAGGGCGACCAACATGCTCCCAAACCGACGCGCTTACTCGCATCACAAGTTGCGATAGCTCTTGTTCGCTAAGGAACCATCTCCGCCTCTACGAGCGGCACCGCGCCGTGCATCTTTGCGACGATGGGGCAGGGCTTCTCCGTGACAACGCCTGCGGCCGGCGCTGCGGGCATCGAGGTCCCAGAACTGGCAGACCTCGTCTACGAGAAGACTCTCGGGTCTGCACGGTTCATGAAGTCTATCCGCGCCCGGCATCACGATGGCGTCGTCCTGGTCAAGGTGTTCATTAAGCCCTATACCCCGATGTCACTGAGTCGCTTCAGGCAGGAGATAATTCGTAAGCACGCCTCCTCTCCAATCCCTCCTTGGGACACCCTTGGCTGAGTGACGGTACCCATGTACAGGTGAGCGCAAGCTCCTCGCCGACATCCCAAATGCCCTCGGGTACCAGAGGGTTGTCGAGACCGAGACCAACGGCTACCTCGTCCGCCAGTACCTTTATAACTCTCTATACGATCGCTTGAGCACGAGACCCTTTCTCGAGGATATAGAAAAGAAATGGATATCTTTCCAGCTTCTCTGCGCCCTGCGCGACTGCCATGCGAGGGATATCTACCATGGTGATATTAAAGCTGAGAACACACTGGTGACCTCATGGAACTGGCTCTATCTCACCGACTTCTCCTCTTCCTTCAAGCCGGTAACGCTCCCAGATGACAACCCAACCGACTTCTCCTACTTCTTCGACACGTCCAGCCGGCGAACATGCTATATCGCCCCGGAACGATTCGTAGCGCCAGGCGGCAATGCAAGCCCCAACGCCAGCTTGACTTGGGCCATGGACATATTCAGTGCCGGGTGTGTGATCGCAGAGCTGTTTCTCGAATCGCCCATCTTCAGCCTGAGCCAGCTATACAAATACCGGAAGGGCGAATACGACCCGGGCATCTCCCACCTGAGCCGTATTCCGGACAAGGACATACGTGAGCTGGTGGCGTCCATGATCCAGCTGGATCCGCAACAGAGGTACTCTGCCGAACAGTATCTGGAGTTCTGGCGACACAAGGCATTCCCCGAATACTTCTACACGTTCCTGCACCAGTACATGGAGGTCATTACCGATCCTTCCCCCGGGCAATATCCCCTCTCGGGCGCGACCAGAAACTTGGGCGAAGCAGATGAGCGCATCGATCGAGTATTCTATGACTTCGACAAGATTTCGTACTTCTTGGGATACCAAAACGACTCCCGAGGCTCAGAATCGGTTCAGCTGCTGCCGAGGCTTGGACTGGGTCATTTCCCTGTGCGGCTCAACATCCCTAACAACGAATATGCCGTGTCTGGCGATGTCAAACCGGCTTCTGACGATGGGACCTTGATATTTTTGACCCTCGTCGTATCATCACTGCGGAACACCGCGCGGGCGGCATCCAAGGTTCGAGCCTGTGATGTTCTATTGGCATTTGCGGAGCGGCTGACGGACGAGGCAAAACTTGACCGTGTGCTGCCATACCTCATCTCCCTGATCAACGACAAAGCCGATATCGTCGCCATCACCGCGGTCAGGACAATAACGCAATTGCTGGCACTTGTCAAGTCAGTGAACCCTGTCAATGCACATGTTTTCCTCGAATACATCCTGCCGCGCATGCAATTAGCTCTCTATGGGACTAGTACTCTCCCCAGCCCGCTGGTGAGGGCAACATATGCATCCTGCATTGGCAGTCTGGCTACAACGGCCAAACGTTTCTTACAGATGTCATCGACCCTCAAAGCCGCGGGGACCATGGCAGCTGCCGATCCGGAGGTGGAGTCGGGGAGCCAGCCAGATGCAAATTTTGATGGCTTGTTCGATGAAGCTCAGCAAGAGCTGATCGAACTATTCGAGACGCACACCAAGAGCCTCATCGAGGATGCCGATCCCTACGTTCGGCGGGCCTTCCTCAGCTCTGTCCCTGAACTATGCTTGTTCTTTGGAACCGCCGAGTCCAACGATATTATACTCACGCACCTCAACACTTACCTCAACGATCGCGACTGGATCTTGAAATGTGCTTTCTTTGAGACAATCGTTGGAATCGCCGCATTTATGGGCAGCGTCAGTCTTGAAGAGTTCATTCTGCCCCTCATGATCCAGGCCCTGACCGACACGGAAGAGCATGTAGTCCAAGGTGCTTTGCACTCACTGGCAGAATTGGCTGGCCTTGGGTTGCTGTCAAAGCCCCGGCTGTGGGAGCTCACCGATGTCGTCGCCCGATTCTCGATGCACCCGAATATATGGATCCGGGAGTCAGCAGCTCATTTCATCTCTGCCGCCGCAAGATATCTGCCGCCAGCAGACATCATCTGTACGCTACTGCCGATGGTTTCCCCTTTCCTAAAGACCATGATCATGCCAAACGATTTCCACGAATTGGCCTTGTTGGACGCGCTCAAGAAGCCTCTCTCTCGGTCTGTGTTTGACCAAGCTTTGTTGTGGGCGGTACAGTCCGACAGAGGCCTTTTCTGGAAGACGATGCGCAATTTGCGCAGGCTCTCTTTCGGAACATCGAGTGCCATGCCTACGAATCGGGCGTCTAAGGAGCTGCATCCCAAGAGCCTCAGTAAGGTCGCGAAGAACGAGGAGGACGAGCAGTGGCTCGGCAGGCTTCGGAACCTAGGTCTGTCGCCCAACGATGAGTTCAAGCTGCTGGCACTCCGCGAATTCATTTGGCGCCTGAGCCAGATCAAGACGAGGGATTCGTCTGCAAATGTCACCAATCCCGAGCTAAACGACATTATCAACCTGCGCACTCTAAACGTCACCGTGCAGACCGTCATGTTCGACGAGGAAGCCCCAAAGAAACAAATAGCCGGGGACGATGTGGACATGGACGCCAACGCGCCGCGCACGATCACTGACGCACTAATGGATGCATCTATGAGCATCGATGATCCAATAGGGAAGCGGAAGCGCGCTGCTATCAACACACACCGGGTCAGACTGAGCAGCCAGATGACCCTCTCTCCTAACCCAGAGGACCGCCTGCCCCTTGAGGAAGGGATTCGGTCCCCCAATGGTGAATCGTCCAGAGACCGGACCCGAATAATTTCGGCCCGCCCAGACGAGGCGACTGAAGAGATTGCAGGCCCCGCGAAGAGGGCGCTCCGGCATACTTCCAGCGCCATCAGCCTGCTCAATAGAAAGGACAGGAGGGACAGTACCAAGGCTACAGCAGAGACCGGCATGACCGACGCGAACGCCACTGGACGTGTGGAGGGCCTGTTCTCACCGGCCACGCCTTCCAGGATATCCATCGGAGATGGCGACGACAATGCTCGAGCTCACCTTCATTTCAGTCATAATTACCCCGGCAACGATCCTCATGTCCTGAAAATGCTTGACTCCATGTATGTGGACAACTACCCGCATGACATTGCCGAGTTTGGACCTCTGGTCACGCCGATCAACCGCCGAAAGGTCAGCAAGAACGCGAACGGGCAAGTTTCAGAGGGCTGGAAGCCGACAGGTAAGATGATGGCGACCTTTTCCGAGCACGTTGGAGCCATCAATCGCGTTGTGGCTGCCCCTGATCACGTCTTCTTCATCACGGGCGGAGACGATGGTGCTGTGAAGGTGTGGGATACCGCAAGACTGGAGCGCAACATTGCTCACCGGTCGCGGCAGACACACCGGCACGCGCCAGGGGCAAAAGTCCTGGCCTTGTGCTTCATCGAGAACACGCATTGCTTCATCAGCTGCGCCAGCGACGGAAGCGTACACGTTGTCAAGGTCGAAACCGCCTTCGCAACTACGGCGGTCCGTTACGGCAAGTTGAGGCTGTTGAGGGAGTACCAGCTGCCAGATGACGAGTTCGCTGTCTGGTGCGAGCATTTCAAGCAGGAAACCAGCAGCGTGATGGTCATAGCCACCAACAGGTCACGCGTCCTCGGGATCGACCTGAGGACCATGTCACTCCTGTACGTACTGGAGAACCCAGTCCATCATGGCACTCCTACCTGCTTTTGCATCGACAGAAAAAAGAACTGGCTCTGTCTCGGTACTTCACACGGCGTCTTAGATCTTTGGGACCTCCGGTTCAAGATGCGGCTCAAGGGCTGGGGAGTGCCAGGCAAATCTGCCATCTACCGCCTCAGCATCCATCCCATCAAGGGACGTGGTAAGTGGGTCTGTGTCTCTGGCGGGACTGGCCAAGGCGAGGTCACCGTCTGGGACCTGGAGAAGACCCTCTGCCGGGAGATCTATCGTGTCGGTGGGAACAAGGAGGGCCCCAGGGGCTACGACGCCTGGGAGGTGGACGAGGACCGGCCGGAGGGGATGCTGGGCCGCTTCGCGACGAACATCGAGCCGAGCGCCACGGGCAACGCGGACAGGGGCGTCAGGGCCATGGTGGTGGGGACCGGGTCCCTCGAGGGCGGCGAGCAGCGTGACGTTAGGCACGCGTTCCTGCTCACCGGTGGGTCGGACAAGAAGCTCCGCTACTGGGACCTGACGAGGATCGAGAACTCAACCGTGTTCAGCGGGCTGCAAGTGGACGAGGGCAAGCCGACCTACTCGGCAAGCCACCCCACCACGGCCATGACGCTCAACACCGAGAGGCTGCCCCGCGGCCAGGGCCAGGGCTCCGGCAGCGCGTCTTCATCTGCGGGTGGCAACAAGGCGGAGGACAGGCGGAGCCGCCGGTCCCACCACGGCGCCGACCGGGGCGGTGCCAGGCCGACGAGGTCGACCGTCATCTCGGTGCAGCAGCAGCAGTTGCTCAAGGCGCATCTGGATTCTATACTAGACCTGGCCCTGCTGGAGAGTCCTTATACGATGACTGTGTCTGTCGATCGGTCTGGCGTGGTGTATGTGTTTCAGTAACGGGGGGTAATTGGGTAGAGCATGGCGTATGGGAAAGGCGAAAGAGGCATCTGGTTGGTTTGTTGCAGTGATGTGCGCATAGAAATGATATACCAAATCACAGCGAAACAGACCTGCCCCCTGGGCTGATTATGACCGAGCCAGTTTACATGTCCTCAGTGCGGGTGTTTATTGGAATCATGGTGCAATCCGAAAATGGAAAAGAAACACACCGTCCGAAAAAGATACCACCCCAAAGGCCGGACATATTCAGTTGTTGCCTTGCAGCTTCAGAATGTATATAGCATTTACAAGCTCATGGCAATGTAAATGTCAGGGTTAGCAACCCTGGTTGTTTGGACGGGCTGGACGTCACAGCTCAGCTTGGTGCCGCCCGCAGCAGGGACACTGGCCGAAAAAGTTACAGGCCACACGCGACCGCGGCGGGCCTAATATTTCGAGCTGCTGTCTAAGGCGGCCATTCCACCCTCTTGCGACCCGACACAGCACCCTCGTGCGCCCAATCCTCTTCTCAAAGGACCAAGAAACCCCCCTCCTTGCGCCCCGATCGAAGCCAGCGACAAACACAAAGCCCAGGTAAAAACCCGCCCGTCGCCAAGATGGTGAGGCTCACGGCGGACCTGATCCAAAACTCCCTCTCGTACCTCAACCCGCTCAAGGAGAGGGAGCTTGACCTCCGAGGTGCGTTTAGAAAAGGACAGATGCTACACACATTGGTCTTTGCTTGAGAGAGCTAGAGTTGATATCAAATGTTTTGTCTTGTTGGCAAATAGGTCACAGGATACCGACCATTGAGAACCTGGGTGTCGCCGGCGTACGTATCCAACCCTCCCTCCCTCCCCCCTCATATCTCTCTTCTTGATGTGGACGCCCTGCTTTGCTAACATCCGAGCAACTGGCCGCAGCCACAAGACGCCATCGACTTCACCGACAATGACATCCAGATCCTCGGCAACTTCCCGCTGTCCCCGCGGATACAGACGCTGCTCCTGGCGCGCAACCGCATTTCGACCATCCAGCCCAACCTTCCGAACGCGATCCCCAACCTGAAGAACCTGGTGCTGGCGTCGAATCAGCTGGCCGAGCTGTCGGACCTGGACGTGCTGGGCAAGTTTGCGCGCCTGACGCAGCTGGTGCTGGCGGACAACCCCGTCACGAAGAAGGAGGTGGGTTCTCGCGACAGAAGTCGGGGCTTGATCAAAGATGGGGGATGATGAAGAAGTCAGGCTGACCGTGTCTGCAGCACTACCGGTATTGGGTCGTCTGGCAGTGTCCCACGGTGCGGTTCCTCGACTACCAGAAGGTCAAGCAGGCGGAGCGGGAGAAGGCCACCGAGCTGTTCGGCACGGCGGAAGAGCCCACGGAGCTGGCTTCAAAGGTACGAGGAGCACTGTCTGGCGGATTTGCTGTTGGTGACACGTGTGTGTGCTAATCGAGGACGGCCGACAGATCAAGGGCATCAAGTCCCAGACATTCAACGTCTCCGCGACGAATGGAGAGGCTGCTGGCGGGTCGAAGATGAAGCGCCTGAAGCTCACAGACAAGGAGAAGCAGAGGCTTCAGGAGAGGATCAAGAAGGCCAGCAGCCTGGAGGAGATTATACGGTTGGAAAAGGAGCTGGAGGAAGGCCGTTTGCCCGCTGGTATTATGGCCGACGATGCCATGGAGGAATAAGCCAGGTTTCTCTATTATTTGTGTTGGGGACATATCATGCGGCTGTGGAAGGGCTGGGGGCAACTTGCTTTCCACACCCAAGCTTGTGTCGGCGCAATGGGTTTCGAAGTCTGCAAAGACGGCTCTTTGATTGAGCGCTCGTTTCGCACCTCATCGCACAGGATCCAAGGCTGCCGTGTAGGCCAGAGAGGGTCTGCATTTGCATTTGCATTTGCATTTGCATTTGCATTTGCATTTGCATACGCTAGCTATATGCTCTGCTGAAAAGTCAAAAATAGCACCGGAATTAATGCAAAATACCACCCTTATCGACGGTCTTTCCTGACCAGTGTGCTTATTCTGCTTTTACGCAAACCATTTGCTAACTGGCCACACGCCGCCGGACAACCTCAGATGTAACGGGTTTCTCATGAATTCTAATGAACTCCATGCGTCCTCCTTAAGTCGGACATGCTTAGACAAGACCGGCCATCCGACTCAGGACTCCAACTCGGTGTCATCATGTTGCCGTGTCCCTACTATGTCGGCTGGTCACACCAAGGCCTAGCCGGGAAGATCCTCACGACTTGACGCCGTGCCTTCGTCGGGTTGGCAGCTGGGACAACGATGGAATCGGGCCCCTTCTCCGGGGGGGATGCGCCAGGGGTTACTTAACCCGTCATGTGCACGTCACCATCGTCCGGGCCCGACGCCTGTGCCACATGCTGTGCCTCATCCTTGACCACGTCGTGCACTCCGAACCCGTTGATGCTCTTATGCTTCTTGCCGTTGGGCTGGCCCGCGGCCGCAGCCGCATCGTCGACGTGGCCGTCGCCCCCGGCGGGCTTGCCGCCCTGCAGCTTGGCGCGCGTCTCGGCGGCCTTGTGCTTGATCTCCTTGTAGGGCTGGGTCTTGGGGATGGTGTCGTCGAGGAACTCCAGGTTGTCCTTGGCGACGACGGCGGCGGCTGGGAGGTGGTCAGTATGGTGGTCGGCTCTCAGGTGTCCCGTGGCATATGAGAAAGAGTCTATTCCTCCTTACATAGGTCCTTGTACTGTACGTTCCTCCTGGGTTTCCGGTCCAGCTTGGCCATGTTATGGCCCTGTTCTGCGAGATACTGGATGAACATTTCCTGGGGGCTATTGTCAGTGACTACTAGATCGAAGCAATCAGGTGGAAGCTACCCAAGCAGACTCACAGTAGCCAAGGTGATGGCGAATGCCGCATTATTTGAGCAGATATTGATGTCTGGGTCTACGGCGATGATCTTCTTGACTCTTGATACTGCATGGCGGTGTTAATGCTGCTTTAGTCAGGGGCATAAAAATGGAAAGAAGTAGCAGACCAAACTCACATGGAAGCTGAACTGTGCCAGTCACCTCCTTACGAGGCCTGATAGGAGTCGTGTTGTACGGCATCCTGAGCCTCGATCTTGAGTATTTCGTAGACTGACTGAGGTTTGAGACTTTTGTTGTTGTTGAATATTGCACGAGAATGCCTGAGACTGAGATTTGGTGCGAGAGTAAGCGAATCTTATGAATGTGAAGGGCTGGCTGAGTTCAAATGTTCGTTCGATGTACAGCATGAGATTCAGTCTGGCCCTGGCCTGGTTAATTGCGACGCGGTCCTGCTCACTACAATAAGTGCGACGCGGTCTACCCAGGTACCTAGGTACCAGATATGTAATAGTGTGGTAGGTAGGCAGGGATCAGGGTGTCAAGAACCAAGTAGCAGCGCTGGATATGTCGTTGACTCGTTGGATGGGGACCCGCCTGCCTGCCGCGTGTCCTGCCGTCTCGGACGCTGGACTAAGACAGGCGGCAACGGGCCCTCATCTTCAACGTCGACGACAGCATTGCGACTATGCGATGATGGATTTACGGCGCCGGCCCTCGGTGACCTCACGCCTCTCCTTTGCCGTCAGCAATGCTGAGCGTGGCGAGTCTGTAGACCTGCCAGCAGCTGTCGCAGCCGACCAGCAGATCGAGGAGGAAATCGCCGAGATCAAGAGATACGAGGTGCCGTCGCTTCCCACCCTTTGCTTGGCCCAGCCCCATTCTCGTGCTGCTGAACCTGGCTAATGATGCGCCCAGGACTTCACAACCATTGGTGCGCCCCCAAAGGCATAAGACCCAGCCGCCCGCTCAAAACATCCCGCACACTCCCTCCCATACTCACGCCGCTACACAGATTGGGTCCAGGATGCCGCCCAGGAACGACAGCGCCGGAAAGCGCGCCGGAAGCGCACCGCCGGCCTCTACGACAGCGGCCAGGTCGACTGGAGGCACAGGCTGTTTGCCCTGTACGAGGCCGCCCAGGGGTGGATCGTCATCACCATCATCGGCGCTGCCATCGGCCTGAACGCTGCCTTCCTGAACATCATCACCGAATGGCTGGCCGACATCAAGATGGGACACTGCACCACTGCTTTCTATCTCAACGAGAACTTCTGCTGCTGGGGCGAGGACAACGGCTGCCCCGAGTGGCATCGTTGGACCGGCTTTGAGCCTGCCAACTACATAGTCTACATCATCTTTGCGGTACGTGTAGCGGCCCACGCCATCTGCCGCCCTCCAGCTCCTCCAGCTCCTCCAGCTGCTGATCTCAGTAGACCATGTTTGCCTTTGTCTCCGCCACTCTTGTCAAGTGCTATGCGCCTTATGCCGCGGGTTCGGGCATCTCCGAGATCAAGTGCATTATCGCCGGGTTTGTCATGAAGGGCTTCCTTGGCTTTTGGACCCTCCTGATCAAGTCCATCTGTCTCCCCTTGGCCATTGCTTCTGGCCTGTCTGTTGGCAAGGAGGGGCCCAGCGTCCACTATGCCGTCTGCACTGGCAACGTCATCTCCCGCCTGTTTGACAAGTACAGGCGCAGTCGCTCCAAGACCCGTGAGGTCCTCAGCGCCTGTGCGGCTGCAGGCGTGGCCGTGGCCTTTGGAAGTCCTATTGGTGGCGTCTTGTTCTCCCTCGAAGAGATGAGCAGTTACTTCCCCCTCAAGACCATGTGGCGGAGCTACTTCTGTGCGCTTGTCGCGACGGTCGTGTTGGCCTTCATGAATCCCTTCAGGACTGGTCAGCTCGTCATGTTCCAGGTCACCTATGACCGGTCCTGGCACTTCTTCGAGACTCCATTTTATGTGCTGATCGGCGCCATGGGCGGTCTATACGGTGCCTTTGTCATCAAGTGGAATCTGCGATACCAGGCATTCCGAAAGAAGTACTTGTCAAAATATCCTGTCCTCGAGGCAACTCTCCTGGCGACCGCGACTGCCATCGTTTGTTACTATAACGTCTTCCTCAGGATCGAAATGACGGAGAGTATGGAGATCCTTTTCCTTGAGTGCGAAGGGACGGAGGACTACCACGGTCTCTGTGATGCTCCTAACCGACTCTGGAACATCGCTTCTTTGCTTTCGGCGACCATAATCCGGATCTTTTTCGTGATCATCTCGTATGGTTGCAAGGTACCCGCGGGTATTTTCGTGCCGTCAATGGCTGTTGGGGCTTCATTTGGCCGGGCGGTTGGCATCATTGTGCAGGCCATTCACGACGCAAATCCTGACAGTGTCTTCTTCTCAGCCTGTGAGCCTGACGTACCGTGTATCACGCCAGGTACCTACGCTTTCCTTGGTGCAGCAGCAGCGCTCAGCGGCATCATGCATATTACAGTGTCGGTCGTGGTCATCATGTTTGAGCTCACCGGGGCGCTTGTCTATATATTGCCCACCATGATTGTCGTTGGTGTCACAAAGGCTGTCAGCGACCTCATCGGGGGCGGAGGCATTGCGGACCGCATGATATGGTTCAGCGGTATGCCGTTCCTTGACGGCAAGGAAGAGCACAACTTCGGGGTGCCTGTTTCCCACGCCATGACAACGGACGTCGTCTCCATCCCGATGTCCGGCTTGACGCTCCAGCAGGTCAAGCAATTACTCGCCAATGGGAACTATCAAGGTTTTCCTATTGTCGAAAACGATCAGAACAAGATCATTGTGGGATACATTGGTCGTACTGAGCTGCAATACGCCGTCGACCGGCTCAGGAAGCAGCGTTCTTTGAACCCACAGGCGAAGTGCAACTTTGCGTCGTCCAACAATGTGGCGCCCACAACACCATCCACAACACCGTCGATCACGGTCCTCGCCGATCCCATGTCCTCGACGTCCATCGATTTCACCCGTTACGTGGACTTGACCCCAGTGACAGTACACCCCCGCCTACCGCTGGAGACGGTCATAGAGCTCTTCCGCAAGATCGGGCCTCGAGTCATCCTGGCTGAGCACCATGGCCAGCTGAAAGGACTGGTGACGGTCAAAGACTGTCTCAAATACCAGTTCAAGGCGGAGGCTTCCGAGAACCCCCGGGATGACCAGCACATTCTACAGTCGCAGGAGAAGCTGTGGGGGGTGTTCCAACAAGTGGCGGGCTGGGTGTCGTCCAAGGTTAACAGTGCCTCTGGCGGGCGGATACGGTTGAGTGGCACCACTGACGAAACAGACGGTCTCATCATGGACGGCACTGAGCAGGTCGAGGATGAAGGGCTTGAATTAGAGAGTAGAGGTCACGATGACAGGCGTTAGGTATTGGATATTTGTTAGCTGAAATGCAATCACTTAGAGCACAAAACCTTCCACCTGTGTGCAGGGACGCCTTTTAACATTCAATGCCCAATCCCGTGAGAGGAGCTTCACACCCCTTAACCAGGTATTAGCTTTGCACAGATGTTCGCTACTTGTCACAGCATAAACAACATCATACGGTCATTCCTCAGTACCCACATGCCTGTGAGACCAACTTCCTACAGGGTACCCTGGAGCAAAGCCTTCTATGGGATGACCTCCCATATGCAATCAGATAGGCAATTGAGCCAGAGGGGCATCCGTGATGACAGGTTGTGTTTCTCGAAGACGTGGCGGTTTCAATTGTAACAACAATCAATGTCTACCATGCTAGCTCTTCCTCGTCAAGGATTGACGTACAAGGGCTTTATAAAGTTCCATCCGTCAAGCTTTCGGGTTTCCACAGTCTTGAAGTCGAAATCGTCCAGGACTCTCAACGTGATCGGTCGCAAGACCTTGGTCTTCTCCCGCCAACCCCTGGCAGAACCTTCCAAGGCTTCTTCTTCCGCATCTGGCAAAGTACTGGATCAGCGAAGATAACACAAATGCAGAGATTATATGTTTTTAATGTTCCAACTGCGATAGAAGGGACAAAGCAAGTGTGCCGGGTTTGCCTTTTTAACTCACCAGTAAGTGGAATAGGTGCGTTGCAGACATGGACTCCGCAGTGCCGGCAGAAGCCTTTGCGAGTGAGTTTCGTGTTGAATAATAGGTAATCTAGATTTTCTTCGCCTTCGATGACCGTGTCCTCCATGCGCGTATAGATCCAGATGTACGCACCCTGTGTACATATCAGTCATAGAATGTGTGGCGGCAGCGGCCTCTGGGAAGCTCACCCTGCTGCAGGCGCTGCAGTTACACTCGCAGATCCTCTCCTCATCGACCGTGATGTCCCGCTGCTCCAAGGGCTTGTCGACCCTGGCAGCTAGGGTCACTCTGCCACAGTGGCACGAGCCATGGTCTGGTCTCTTGTTAGCTCACCAGACAAACCCTTCTAGAAGCCCTCTTTCAAATCTACACGCACATATCTTGCCGCCTTCTGCGACAGCCGGCTCGGGGCCTTTGTACACGGCGGGCTCGTAGGGAGGGCCCAATGCTTTCCCATCAAACCTTGAAGCCGGTCAGCCCACCACCTGACAACCACCACGGATCACAGAGATTCGGGCACAGCTTACGGCTTGACAGTGAGGGTCGACAAGTCCAGGTTCTGTAGGGTTCGGGCCTTTCTAAGCGTAAGCATGATGCGCCCCGCACATTTGATTTACTCTATGTGGCATGTTTGCTTGCATTGATAATAGTCCTCTGCCGCGAGGACGCCAGGACAGCAGTGCCGCAGCTGGGGCAGAAGCGGTGGGCAAACCCGCCGTCGTTGAAGGTGTAAGTTGCCAGGTTGTCGATGTTTCCCTTGACGACATGCAGCTCGTTCGGGATCAGGTACGCGTAACCCTTCTTGCGGCAGATGCTGCAGTTGCACTCGGTGTACGACGTGATCTCGGGCAGCTTGGCTTCGTAGACGAAGGCCCCGCAGTGGCAGTTGCCTCGATGCGTCTTGATATCCCCATCTGAGGACATGGTGGTTGTTGAGCTATGCAAGGTGGTGATGATGATTACTTTTGAGACATGAGCGCCCGTCGTGATCTTGAGTGGATAACCGAAAAGACGAAGGTTTATAAGTGCACGTCGCCTCCTGAACAGGAAGATGAGCTGACGTGCGTCTGCTACGAGAGCTAGGAAGCTGTCTGACTCCTCTGGCGATCCCGGGATTATGTGGCGCGCTCCGAACATGGCGGGCTGAGATGCGCCCTTGTCTGTGACACTGACGTATCACATACATCCTCGGGACATTAAGTGCTCAGCCAGGTTTTAGATCTCCGGGATGCCTGAGAAATGATTGCTTCTAGAGCATGACCGTGACGGGCGGACAGTGCCATTTGTACTTGTCGCACTCCTTGATTGCTTGATGTGACGACGATACAGCATTCAGAATAAAGCCACTGCGCGCTGTCAGGTGATTCCGCCCCTCTAAGTCATTACAACCACACCGTAAAAGCCGTCAGCCCCTTGTCTGCTTAGGTTCTGCGTGAGTAAGTTGCGAGTTGGCTGCAGTGGAAGGATTGCAGATTACTGCTTCTAGATTCTGTAGAAGGTTGATCTCAGTCCAATAGAACCGTTGGTTTGAAAATGGCTCTGGCCGATGTGCTCGGCAACAGGCATGTGAACTCGAAGGTATCGGGGCCGGAGCGGAGATGGACGGGCCTAAAAGGAGCCGGGATTTGTGGATCAAGACCTCCGACCACCAGTCTGGAGCATGGCAATGGCAAATACGATCAGACTGCCGTCATTCCCTGTCAACTGTGCTGCAACCCTCCGAGAGCCTATAATCTACGCCTGCATCGGCCGTCGCAGCAAGCGGCTTAGCGTGTGGGTATATGGATACTCGTTGACGATTTCGTTCGCTTGAATGTTACGCGGCGACCGGGCGGATCCCTTCGACACATATGTAGTGTGTATGCCGGTGCCCATTAGCACCTTGGGAAATGTATCGTGGAGGACGTTATTTTGGTTCGCCCCGCATCGGGATGGGCTTCAACGGCCACCCAAGCCCTGGGAGTAACATCGCCAGACACGGACACGGCCAGGCACTACTCCGTAGGCAATGTCCATTAGGAATTCTTGCCGGCCGTACCTGTTGTTCCGAGGACACCACCACGCCCTGTCAGGCTGGTCCCAGTCCCGGAATGTCGTGAGAATATCTGAGTGTTTGTAATGTGTTTGCTTGAGCAACTTAGTTGCACGACACTGCAGGATGGGGGCTGCTGGGCTGCCCGCGACGGATGCTCGGGATGTGGAGTATTGTATATGGTTGGTTCCACTTTGGGTAGGTCAAGTACGTGAGACGTGTGTGTGGTAAGACGATGGTCGACCGAGCAAAATGCCGTGCAGGTGGGTACCCTAGGGACGGTACACTAGACGTGTCGTCCATCGTGATGGACGAGGGGTACGGGCTTAGAACTTGCTGGCGCAGGGCCACCCGCCTGCCACCTGCCTGCTCGTTCAGCACAATGGGAATTGGTGGCACGGCAGAGGCTGATACACAGTACAAAACTGGCCCGAGGTGGCACAAGGATAAACCCCTGCAGTTCGTGACATTCTCTCGTTCAATGACACGGGATGCCCGCTTTAGATGAGGAGAAAAGGGCGCACGATGATGATGCACCCATGATGATGATGATGATGATGAGGCCGCATAGCTTCATTCAGCACCCGGGTACTTACTTAAGTATCCGTACCTAAGTATCTACCTAGGTGCTAGGTACCTAGGTAGGTACCTAGGTACTTGGTGAAGGAGGAAAGAGGCAGGCGGGTAGGTCCAGAGAGAGCGCAGAATATACCAGGGCAAGAGAGCAACACCCAGAGGCAGGCACGGAAGAGAAAATCCAAGAACTGACGTTCCTGGAAGACGAGCTTGCGGGCTCGCAGGCTTGGCTGGCTTGTTGCACCAGGCAGGGGTGTGGGCGCGCTAATCCTGCAAAGGGCGCGGGGCGGCAAGCTGACTGGTGGGCCCAAGTGACCTCCCACGCTGGGCCTCCAGGTTTGGGAGCCTTAGTGACCCTTCAACCCCATCGCCGCCTGCATCCCATTACAAAACAGTATTTGGCCACTCTGTTGTTCCCGCGAGCCAGTCCTGCCCGTCCAAGCCCGAGCGCAGGAACGGGTGGGCTTCCCTGGGCAGCCTGCAGTACCCCTCCCCTCAGCCTCCCTCGACTTGCCATGTCAAGCATGTCCCACTTCCTCGGGCGCGTGGAGCCACTACCACGGCGATCTCCCTCTGTGGGGCCCAACTTCACGATGGCCGCCTGGGCTGGGATTCCATGACATGGACCTGCCATTGATGGCACTATGGCACTATGGCACGATGGCACGGATGGCCAGAGCTGCCGTGTATGGCGGGTGTGGTCGGTCGTCAGAATCCGGCTAGGAGCCATCTGCACCGTGGGAAGCTCGACACCAGAGGCCTCGGCCTGTCTGGTACTCGGCATGTCCACTCCACTATGGACAGTCGCCATATAGTCACCCGTCTAGCTCTTACGCGCGGTCAGAGAGCATACCTCATCGGTACCATTTCGCCTCCCCATTTCCGATCGCTCTTCGGCATGCCCTCGTGTCACTGTCAAGTCCCTCAATTTATATAAAAGACTGCCTTCTACACCCCTTCGCCTGCCACCGTCCCGGTCTCCGTCCTTCTTGTTGTTGGCTTTGGCTCCCAGATTCACATCACCGTATAATCCAATCCACACAATCATGACTGTGGCCACAGAAACTGCCGTTGCTTCGAGCGGCGTCGTTCCTGTCGACAAGGCGAGCGGGACAGGAACACCGCCGCCGGCCTCGCCGCCCAACTTGGACATTATCGATATTCGCTGTGCTGCTGTGGAGATCAATATCAAGGAAGAGATAAACTCCCTCTTCAAGCCTCAGGGTGGCCCAAGGAGGCTTCCAACTCTCCTCCTATATGACGAGCGAGGTCTTCAGCTGTTTGAGGCGGTACGGCTCCTCCCTCTACCGTCCGCCTGTGACCACAAACTCATGCTGAATACGTGCTAGATCACGTACCTAGACGAGTACTACCTCACCAATGATGAGATCCAGGTCCTGAAAGAATCAGCTTCCAAGATTGCCGAGATCATCCCCGACAAGTCCATGTTCATTGAGCTGGGGAGTGGGTATGTCTCGGAAAGTCCCGTCTCCTGTCTGGTCTGGACCTGATGCTGATTTCGTAGTAATCTGCGCAAGGTCAACTTGCTACTCGAGGCGTTTGAACGTGCCGGGAAGCAGATTGACTACTATGCTCTTGATCTGTCTCGGCAAGAGCTCGAGAGGACCCTTGCTCAGCTGCCCGGCTACAAGCATGTCAAGAGCCACGGGCTTTGGGGCACCTACGATGACGGCAGGGAATGGTTGAAGCGGCCGGCCAACATGAGCCGCCAGAAATGCGTCGTATCCCTTGGGTCCAGCATTGGTTAGTCGTGTCTAGACGCTGGTCCCGCCTCCCTGCTGCAACGGCTGAGATTGGCGCAGGAAATTTCCTCCGCCCCGAGGCGTCGGATTTCCTGAGGGGATTTGCAGATGTTCTGAGTCCAGGTGACACAATGTTGATCGGCCTGGACTCTTGTATGGATCCAGCCAAGGTCTAGTAAGCTGCTTTGTACGCTCACACATACAATCTCGCACACGACTGACCTGCCTTGCCCATAGTCACGCGTATAATGGTCAGTCCCGCCGGTTCCGCAGGCACTATCCTACAGGAGGCATACTGATTACCAATGGGGACGCCGTTAGATCGAGAGGGGGTTACCCATGAGTAAGATGTACTACAATAGCTTTGTGTACTGACGTGCCGGCTAAGACACTCTCACAGCTTTATACTCAACGGGCTGGTCAACGCCAACCAGATCCTTGGCGAGGAAGCGTTCAACCTGCAGGACTGGCGGGTGATTGGGGAGTATGTATACGATGACGAGGGAGGTCGACACCAAGCCTTCTACTCGCCAGTGAGGGACGTGGTTGTCCTGGGGGAGACAATCAAGGCGAATGAGCGCATCCAGGTTGAACAGAGCTTGAAGTACTCACAAGCCGCCGCCACGAGACTATGGAGCTTGGCTGGGATGACCACGGCGGACCAGTGGGCCCTGGGCTCGGAATACGGTGCGTTCACAACTACCTCCAAATTATATCATTGTCCGACACCCGGCCCACTCCTTGGCTGGCTGCTCTTTTCCTCTAAAAAGCAGCTGTGTCAGAGAGGATGACGGTCCCCCACGTTTCTGGCACAATACGACCAGTCATGACCCGTTTCCTCACGGAATTACCCCCTAACTTGCCTCACGCATGTAATCCCCGCCCTATGCGTGTGTCTGCTGATGCTCCGGCTGCTGCGGGGCTCGGCGGACTTGCGAGGCTAGGGCGTGCGAGGCTTGGGTTCGAGACATTGCTTATTTAGAGGCTCGGCCCTAATGGCCGCCCAAACTTTTCGACCCAACTGCCTGGATCTTATCTGATTGACGCCCCTGCAGGTCTCCACATGCTAGTCAAGCCCAAAATGCCGTTCAGCCTAATACCTTCAGCTTACGCCTCGTCCGCCTTGCCCACCCTGAGCGATTGGGAGGGCCTCTGGACAGCATGGGATACCGTTACCAGGGACATGCTCCCGCATGAGGAGCTCCTGGACCGGCCAATTCGGCTCCGAAACGCCTGCATCTTTTACATCGGGCACATACCGACCTTCTTGGACATCCAGCTCAACAAGACAACCAAGACTCCCCCAACCGAGCCCAAAGGCTACGCCGCTATCTTTGAACGGGGTATTGATCCTGATGTTGATAACCCTGAGAGGTGTCACAGTCACTCAGAAACGCCGAAGGAGTGGCCCCCAGTCCAGGAGATTGTGACTTATCAGAATAATGTCCGCAAAAGGCTGCAGAGCTTGTACGACGGCGGGGCTGAGAAGATCCCGCGTGATGTAGGGAGGGCCATCTGGTGTAGCTTTGAACATGAGGTCATGCATTTGGAGACGCTGTTGTACATGCTCTTACAAAGCGACAAAACACTCCCACCGCCCAACACCGCGCATCCGGATTTCAAGGAGCTGGCCGTCAAGGCCAAGGCTGCCCGGGTCGCGAACCAATGGTTTGACGTGCCGGAGAAGGAGATCAGCATTGGCCTGGACGATCCGGAGGACGGAACCGACCCTCAACGTCACTTCGGATGGTACGTGAACAACCAAGTCAGCAGAGGATCAAGTGGCGCGCAAAAACTAACGAAGAACAGGGACAATGAGAAGCCCAAGAGGAAAGTCAAAGTGCATGCATTCCAGGCCCAGGGTAGAGCCATTACAAATGAGGAGGTAAGACACAGTCAGCCGTCATATCATGGGATAAATGCTAAAGCTTTGACAGTATGCACAATACATGCACGCAACAAATGCCCCACAATTGCCAGCATCCTGGGCAGAAGTCAAGCCAGACGAGGCTCCCAATGGCGATGCCTTCGCGACCGGGCCCGCGGGCCCGACTCAAACAAATGGGCATCCTCATGTAAATGGCCATGCAGACAGCCACCCATCGTTGCCAAGCTCTTTCCTCTCGAGCAAGGCGGTGCGAACTGTCTATGGCCTCGTGCCGCTGGAATACGCGCTTGACTGGCCCGTCTCCGCCTCATACAACGAGCTCTCCGGATGCGCGTCATGGCTAGGTGGGAGAATACCCACGTTCGAGGAGGCGCGCAGTATCTACGACCATGTCGACATTCTGAAGAGGAAGGAGGCAGAGAGAAAGCTCGGGAAGACGGTTCCCGCAGTGAACGGGTAATGAAATCCCGCCCCTACCTGTGACCAATAGTTTTGGTCAAGGCCTTTTTCCTCAAGCGTGGGTCATTAACTTGAGTCGTTATGATGTAGTCATCTCAGCAACAACGGTGTTCAAGAGACACCACCATCACGAGCTACAGGAAAGCCAGGGGACGATGGAGATCAAAGCGACCTCTTCATCGACCTCGATGGCGCAAACGTCGGGTTTCACCACTGGCACCCCGTTCCGGTCACGGCCGACGGCAACCGATTGGCCGGGCAGGGCGAGATGGGTGGCCTCTGGGAATGGACGAGTTCACCGTTAAGGAAGTGGCCTGAATTCGAGCCCATGGCACTGTACCCTCTCTACACAGGTGAGTGCTCGAGATGACATGACTGATCATTCTGGCGTGGATGGCGCGTGGCTAACCTCGTGGTTATGTAGCCGACTTTTTTGATGAGAAGCATAATATTGTCCTCGGCGGGTCATGGGCCACACACCCTCGAATTGCTGGGAGGAAGTCATTGTCAGTGTCACTCTCGAACCAAAGAATGATTTACTATTTGATATTCTGACTGCCAGCCTATACAGCCTTAACTGGTACCAACGGAATTACCTGTTCGCATGGGTAGGAGCCAGACTTGTGCGAGACGTCTAGTTGATGCCTGACACCAGTTCCCTCCTTGGCCGTCCAAAAGCCTGCTTCAACACGGGCTCGCATCGATTCATGTAATACGTTGCCACTCAACTTGGCTTAAAAGTTTATGACATACCTAGGTAAAGGCTTGCGACTTGTGCATGAGGACAATCACATATATGATTACCGTAACACCACCATATCTTCAGAAAGTTGTCTAATGTCACACTAGAGCCATTGTGGCTCGCCTAACTCTGGTTGTTTGGAAGCCTTCCGTCTACTTATCTCCTCCTTTAGGACTTTTACGCGTAGGAGACTGTCTCACATGATGTTATATATTGGAAATTTGGAAGGGGGTTCGGGTAGGTACCGTGGCCGCGGTAGACACTAGAGTCTAAGACAGGCGTGAGTCTCACAATGCACCAGGGGAAAGCAAATCTCGTGGGCTCTGGTTCATATTAGTTCTACTGACTACACTCCCAGTCTCTTGGGAAGCCCACGTCTGAGCATAATTCATGTCTGATCGTTACTCCTTTCCAGCCTGAATCCGAGTTAATTTACTGCTCGATTAAAAGCTCCGGCCTGTAGTTTACTTACTGTGGCATTCTTGGCCATTGCCTAGTGTATGTGCAGCACGGGACTGCGCCAGGACGCTAACACACCAGTACACCAGTACACCGGGGGTACCATACAACGACCCGCCATCTGTGCACTCAACATCTTGAAGTGGTGATTCGGTTTGTCCCGCCCTTGCCGTTTACGTGCACTGCGGCTCAATTCGACGGCAGGCGCGAGAGTCAACTCAGGAAGCATAAATGCTGAGAACAAAGTCGAGAATGGATGCAGGAGTCTTGACGCCTTGCTCCGTAATGAAGGCCTTGACCATCTCCGGGGGCGTGTAGTCCGCGCGCCACTGAGATGGCGACTCGGGTATCGGGGCGTCCGAGTCGCCGCCCTTTTTGAAGTCGAGAATAGTCTGCTTGATTCCGAGCTGCCCGGAGACGTCTTTTTGGTCGAAGGGGAGGATCATGGCGAACTTGTGCGTCTCGGTGACGATGTAGAAGTCCTTCTTGAGGATCTTGGCGGCCATGGCGAGCTGGTAGGTTCCCATGCGGCTGAGGACGCCGCCGCGCTGGCAGACGGCCTCGGCGCCCACAAAGACCCTGTCGACCTTGCCGAGCTTCATGGCGTGGGCCATGCTGGCGACGTCGACCGTGGACACGGGGACCCCGCGCTCCCGCAGCGCCTTGACTGCGGGCTCGCTATCTGCGCTGCCGTCCATGACATAGATGACGCGGAAGTCGGGGCTCCCGTTCAGCTCCGTCCTCCTCTCGGCGGCGCGGAGCAGCATCTGTTTGACGCAGCGGCTCCCGCCGCTCGTCATGATGGTGGACCCGGGCGTGACGTAGCGCGCGCCCACCTCACCAATAGTGATGCGGGCGGCCTTGGCCTGCGCGGCAAAGTTGCGGCTGTTCCGGACCAGGTGCTGGCGCATCTCGTCGAAGCTCATGTCCGAGTTGCTGGCGACCCGCATCTTGGAGCCCTGGTCCCCGGTCTCCTGCCTAAGGGACCGCAGGAGTTTCTTCATGAAGAGCTCTGCGCCGGCGGTCGGCGGTATTGGGTTCGCGACGGAGGTCTTGAGGAGCGCTATCTGTGTGTTGAGGATCTCGATGGTCTCGAAGACGGTGGAGGCGGTGGTGTGGCTGAGGAGCTCGATCAGGGCTTCTATGGCGGCGACGGGCATCGAGAGCTCGTGGTCTTCGGATAGAATGCGGTTGTAGGTGGCGGCCAGATCAAAGACATCGCCGTTCTCGGTTCTGACCTCTGTCACCGGGGTAGGAGATCGAATCGGGAGGTCTTTGCCCGCCGAGGCTGGCGCCAACTGATCTGTCGTCATCTCGATTCTTCTGCTGCAGATCCTATGGTGGGAAGTGGGTCTGATCCGGTGGTATTCGGGGCTGTATTTAGAGTCTCGGCGCGCAAGCGTATTGTTTGGTGTGTAATCGGGTGCAAGGTCTGAATTTGCGTGTGAAATACGTTTGTCGTGTACCTGAAAAGGTTGGGATCAGTTACAGAGTGGGATGAGGTGAGTCAAAGTGACAGTGAAATTCTGCCAAGCTGGGACTCTTTTACCGCTTTCCACTTCCGGCGTAACTGTTTGCAGGGGTGGAGGTGTACCAGCCTATCCCCCCTAGGAGCTTATCCCCTTGAGAGGTGTTCCTCAGAATTATCCTACACATGTGTAGGAGTTTTACTTGTGAGAGGCTCAGAGGTTACTATCCCAGAGATTCATCCATAGCAGGTTATCTCATAAGAGATATTCCAACGCTAGGATAATTGATTTTACAAGAGGTCATCTCACAGTTTGGCCCCTAGGAGATCGGGGGCAATGATGCGGTGGCTGCAGCGGAGGGGTAGCTGTATCCGTGCAGGGGTAGCTAGCTCACCGTAGCCAGACCATCACTTGTCCCATTCATACAGCAGATACGTCCTTGTTTGCCCCTGAATTTGGTTTCGCGTTTTGTTCCACCTCTTTGACAACTTCTTCTGCGATCCATCACATCGTCGACCAGGACCCCCTCTCTAATCTGCCCATGATGGAGTCGTTCGATCCTGCAACGGGGCAGCAGCTGCCGTCTGACGCAATCCAGCGTATCCTCTTCATCGCGACAAGCGTTCATGTCTACAACATCCCGCCCCTGGCATCGACCAAGGGCTACACTGCCGCCACATGGACTGAGGACCCCAAGCGACACATAATAACATGCCGGCTGCGGGTAATCGAGACTGCTGTGCCACAGCCAGGCGGGGATGACAAGGTCAAGACCGATGTTGTCCTCGAGGACACATCTAGCGGTCAGCTCTTTGCCGCCGCCCCTTATACTACGCCTGCCGTCGTAGAGCCCGCCCTTGACAGCTCGCGTTTCTTCGCCGTGAGGGTGCAGGACCCCAGCGGGCGGAAGGCAACTCTTGGCATCGGCTTCGAGGAGCGAAGTGAAGCCTTTGACTTTGGTGTCGCGCTGCAGGACGCCAGGAAGGGGCTTGGGCTGGACGGCGGCCCTTCCGCTCCGTCCCCGCAGCAGAAGCAGAAGGAGAGCGCCGAAGAAAAGCGTGACCTGTCCTTGAAGGAGGGTGAGACGATCACGGTGAACCTCGGCGGTAAGTTTGGGCGGCGGCGGCCACAGAACGAACCCGAGCCTGCTGGCACCGGCGCAAGTCTCTCGTCATTCTCATTGCCACCCCCTCCGTCTGGATCTACTTCACGTGGTGGCTTCTCTCTGGCTCCCCCGCCGAGCGCCCAAGACGTCAAGCAGGATCAGAAGACTGCAAAAGATTTGGGATTCGACGACGGGCAATTTGGCGAGTTTGCCTGAAGAGTGGTGGCACACGTATGTTCCACGGCCTAGAGACCAGGCCTATCCAAATGGCTGAACTGAAGATGGGTCTGCACACGGTTCACTGAAAGACAGCTCTTGACCAAGGCCCACGACACGTTGAGACGTACGGTTTGTTCGCGTCGGTATAAGCTCGATGTGAGAACTCGACTGTCTTGAAAAGACATCATATTTGGGGTGAACTATACTACAGTCGGCCTTGACATCTACACGCTCGTATTAGGTGCCGATACACTTGCAAGATTCACGTTTCTCGCCAATCATGAAAAGCGCCAGATGGTTTTCAGTCCGGGCATGCTCATCCTCTTGTCCTTTGGCGAGGGGGAATATGCGTCAGCAAGCGACCACCGCCGGACGGGTTCCACCACCAGGCTATATCGCCTGACGTCTTGCAGCTCAACCGACGAGCCGTCATTACCATACTCTGCTTCGGATATCATCTGGTCCAGGCTTGCGATTTGCGGTCCCTGCTCGTATGGATCCACTGCTGGGAAAGTCGGGCTGAAGAAGTAAGGAGAGTCAAGCGGGCTCGGAGGCACCGGCGCCGGAGAGAAGAGCCCTGCAGGCAAGGGTGTGAGAGGTGATATTGGTGTCAGGGGCGTTAAAGGAGGCATTTGGACCTGGCCCCAGGGCTGTAGCGGCGAGTATGGGTATGGACACAAATTGGTCTGTTGGGCCTGGTAGAAGCATTTGAGGTCTTCATTCTGCAGATCGTTCAATCTCATGGTGATCAGCTCCTCCTGCTTGCGGGCCTCAGTAATCTTGCTTCTCAGCAGACCAGCTTCTTTTCTGAGCTTCCTTGCCTCGCTCTTCCTCTGCGCCGACCCGAGTTGTGTTTCCACATTGCTGAGGGCGTGTGAGAGCCTTTCGCCCCTCGCGTGCTGTCTCCGGAGGTTTTCGACAAGGTACGAGCGTTCGTTGGACATCCCGACTAGGGGTTGGCTGTCGAAGCTCATGCTGCGAAAGTTGCGTGTCGGCTCTGTGCAAAGGATGGGGCTGGGGATGTGATTAGGTCTGGCTGGCTGGAGTGCGAGATCTTCCATCTGCTTCACGAGGCCCCCGAAATTTGAATTGTACCCAAGCCCTTCGTACTGGTCAGCTGAGGGTTTTCGAAAAGACATAGTCGCTGCGGCTTGGATGTATTTTGCCATGCATTGGCTTTTGGCAGGTGTTGAGTTCTCGAGTTCTCGAGTTCTCTACATAAGTACCGGCTGAATGAGCCGTTTTCCAATACCACCGGTATACCTCTTTTTCTTGTAAGCACTGGCTCCTCATGAAGAGGCAAATGACCGGCAGCCGTGAGACAAAGGCAACGTTTGTTTCCAGACTAGTGCCTCATCATATCTTGATACTCGCCCGGGCCAAAGCTAAGCTGCCGCTTTGGTCTTTGTGACTCGAAGACGCCAAAAAAGCCCATTTGACATATGCTACGTTTATTCAAGTCCACATTGCGTCAGGAAGCCTTAAGGCTCCAGCGCCAATATCGAGGCTTGCTTGAAACAAGACTAGATTCTTGTGCGTGCCGACAGTGCACATGTGCCCGGCAGCTTTGGGGAGTTGAGGAGCAAAGGGCGAGGGATATGCCAGAGCAGTGTCGAGTTTCTTCGAGCGAGATAAACCTGCGGCTTGTATACAAGCCTTGAAAGTTATGCACGGGTATCCAACCAATGTATCTCACATGTTGAACAACGTGCTCCGTGTTCACTGCCTAATCTCCTACAGATCACATGCGATAAGATAACTTCGTACAGCCCTAGAGTATAACTCTCTAAAGCGCCTATCATCCGGCTGAGCTCTCAGGTAAAATCCCCGTACCAAACCGCCGTGCTGGGAACTCTCCTGCGACATGACTTGGTGGAATGTAAGTAAGCTACAGGAGCCCGATAGTAGTCTTCTCATTCTCGCTTTCCTCTTAAGAAGATGAGTTTTGGTCATGTTAATGTAATAGTGTGCCTGACTAGTGCTCGTTCTCTGGTGATGTGCTGCTCACAAGTTGAAGCCGTCATGCCCTGAAAGTGAATTGAGGTTAGCGGTATTGAAGACATTAGGGCCTGAAAAACATGTAGGTCTTACCTGGAGGGTCACAGAATCGCCAAAGTCCAGCCGCTTCAGCGGACTTCCTGACCGAGGAGATCTCATCATTCGTGACGGCACGATTTATGTCAGAATAGCGCACCTCTTCCTGGTCACTGGCGACCCCTTGGGCTTCTTTATCCTTTTCACCACTCGTTTTACGCCGTGGTTTCCCGACGTGCGCATCTGGGTGATACTGCTCCATGATGTTGACGAAGCAATCTGTCGAGACTTCCTTGGCTAGGAACTCCATAATCTTCCTGCTCTCTTCTTCTAGGCCGGGCATGACAAGGTGCCTCACCAACAAGCCCTTCTTGGCAATTCCGTCACCTGTGAAGCATAGATCGCCTACTTGGGCATGCATTGCCTTGATGCTCTCCCTTGCTGCCGCTGCGTAGTCCGGAGCTTTGAGCAGGCGTTTGGAAGTGCTTGGCTCCCACACCTTGAAGTCCGGTAGGTAGATGTCCACCAACCCATCAAGGAGTTCTATCGAGGCGAGTGAGTCGTAGGAAGATGTATTGTATATGATAGGCAGCGTTAAGCCCAAGTCTCTGGCGTGCATGATGGCAAGCGCAACCTGGGGCACGACATGCTCAGGTGTGATGAGGTTGATGTTGTGAGTGGACCCGACCTCTTGCAGCTTGACGAACCACTCGCCCAGCTGTTCGGGTGTGAGACTGAACCCGTTCTTCTGGTGTGCAATGTCATGGTTCTGACAAAACGAACAACGGAGATTGCACATGGAGAAGAAGACGGACCCCGAGCCGTTGTGGCCTTGGATGCATGGCTCCTCGCCAAAGTGCGGCGCGATGACATTGACCACGACATCGGTACCGATCAGACAGACACCGGTCTTCTCATAGCGGTTCACGCCGCAGAGCCTCGGGCAAAGGTTACAATTGCGCAGGTGGGCGTAGGCACTCGACCTTTTCAGGGCAGCATCCCGAGAGGACAAGGTCATGTACTACATGATGTCGAATAGCATTAGCTCCAGCACCAGCACCTCGGATCAGAGGGTAGGGGCAGTCAGTCATACGCGAGGGATATAATCGTCGAGAAGGAAAGGGGGCGCCAAGTGGAGTGTGCGTGCTTGCGAGAGGGGCTTCCATGCGAAACGTGCCGCTGCCGCCCGCTGCATCGTGTAATAGCTTATAGCGCCATGCACCGTCGATAAAGGGGGGTTCAAGTGAGCATCCAAATCTTGTAGCTTCCTGCTTAAATTTCGCATTGAATGGTGTCAAGAAACAACAACACCCCCGGTGGCGCGGTGCGTAAGCCACGCCAATGAAGCAATGAAGTCCAAGGTTTCTGGGGGTGGATGCCAAGCCGCCAGGTACTACAGTAATTCACGGGTACTACCGCTGCGCCTAGGCAAGCGCTGTAGTACTTACTGTTGAACTATCATAGCAGCTAAGGTGTGCTGCAAATCACATCACACTGATTTCGCACCCTCATAATTTATAATTATAAATATAATTTCATTCATGAAGTCTATACTTATCATACAAATCTCTACCGTCTCATCTTCAAGTCGTAAACCGGTCCCCCACCTGAACACCTATATATCTATATATAAACTCTCTGAGGTGACCTGCATCCTCGAGTGAAAATACAAACCCTGCCAGACCGACCTGTGATAAAAGACCACCAAGAAACAAAAGAGACTCAAAAGAATGATCATCCTCGCTTGTTACTTGGGTCGAGGACCGAGCGCTACTTTCAACCCTCTGAACTTTGCACCATTCCGATCGTCTTGACATCCTCTACCACCTGCTTCTTGTCGTCGAACAAAGATGTGTCGCTCGCTTCGTCCTCCGAGTCGCTTTTTAGCAGTATGCTCCTATGCTGCCTCTGGCTTGTGCTATGGTTAGTGATACTCTTGACCTTGTTGTTGTTGCTATTCATAGTCTTCTTGTTGCTATTTACACTTATTTGGCGGGGCTTGTCGATGAACTCCTTAGTTGATAAGAACCGAGTAATCTGTGCTGGCGTAGCCACGTCTTCGCTCCCATCGAAATTCGCTTTTACCAAATTCCAGAGCAAGTTCAAGGCCGCCTCCGATGCCTTGCGCTCGTTTGTGGCGCGAGCTAGCTCTTCTTTAATGATGATCTCCTTTGTCACGATTTCCTGGATAAACACGCTCATGTGCCGATTCTCCTCTGCAAGCCGACGGTTAGACTCGATGAGAGGTTCGAAATCTGAGAAAACGACAGAGGGTAGACTGATCTCACTCGAATCGGACCCACTTGTCGTCGCCTCAAGTTCGTACAAAGAACCACTGGACATGCCGATGTCACTCAAGCTGTCCTGGCTCACCGTCCCCTCGAGTTCGTAAACCCACTCACTGCATGCTTCGAGTTCATTGAGGTTTGCCTGACTTACCGTCGCCTCAAGCTCATAGACCGATCCGCTAGACAGACTGTCTGGGTTTGGCGTTCCTTCAAGTTCGTAAACCCCCGAAATATTAGACAGTCCTGCCTGGGTCGGTGCTTCCAACTCGTAGATAAGGCGTTCGATGTCTGCTTCCTCCATTATTGCGGGCAGTGCCATCTCTAGAAACTTCTTTTCTTCTCTGGTAAAAACTGTACCACGTCTCTTGCGGGACTTGGACCTCTTCGGCTTCCGGACAAGGACCGGAGGGTTGGAGCGCAGAGGGTCTGGGACGCCCGAAGGGAAAGGCCCTCGTCTGCCGATATTGGCTGGGACTGTCAACAACGGGCGAGGAGATGGGCCCTGAGCATCACTCACTGCTTCAGGTGCAGAGATTCTCTTCGCCTCCCCATCCTTATCCATTGAACGTGACCGCAGGTTTGAGACTGCACGCTTCCTCTTCAACTTGGGTGGAAGAGGGCTGAGCAGCTTGTATACATGCGCGAGCACGATGGGGAAGCTTATGTTGTGGGGACGCATGCCTACAGCTGGCCATCTAGCTACCGTTGAATCCATATTTCCAACGGAGCTGCCAGTGCGTTTCTGCATGCGGTCCTTGAAGGGCATCATCTCCTCGGTTGCTGATTGTTGGTGGTTGGCGTTGTGTTGGGGAACCGATTACCAGGAAAGGGGTTCGTGGAGGTTTAAAAGTCAAGCTGGTGACCCCCATAAAGCAGGTGCTGAAGACTTACAAAGAGCCTATTCGTAGATATAAATAATTCTTATTGGGAATCGCACAATCCATTGTGCCGTGATAGTGGCAATAGCGGCTCGGACCTTGAGGAGAACACATTCAGAAGACAAGGAGTCGAGCCAGGTTCTTTATTAGTTAAAGACGCTGAAAGAGGCACAGACAAAACAAGCCAAGGACCGTAACAATCGCATTGTACCGGCGACAAGCGTGAGAAATTCCATGACGCGGCAGCTCAAGTCACTAGCCGTCCTATTCAAACAGCATGGCGGAACTCAGAGCCGTTTCCTTGGGGCGCCGTCGCCCCGAAAGCCGGTACTCCGGGTCTTTGTGCAACTGGACAACTCGTCAGTGTGCATGCACACGATTTGCAAAGGCAAGCGCTCACCTCGTGGTGGCCGCGTAGCAGCAGCAAGTGATCCCACAAGTCCCTGGCTCGTTTTCAGATGAGAGCTCAGCCCTACTCCTGTAAAACTTTCTGTGTTTGCTCGTGGGTTGTGCTGCAGCTCACGCAAAGGTTGCCTCGCACGTCCCGACCCATGAAGGGGTACTGGAGTGCCCGACATCATTCCGGGCACTGCTGACAGGCCAAGTCTTTCAACACCCGGTGGTTGTCGATGTTTCATAGGTGTCATTGGTGCACCCGCTGCACAATCATTAGGATCTCGAGGGCTTGGGAATTGTTTTCGTAACTTGCCTTGTGGGAACACTGGTGCGGCCCAAGTTCCAGCTCGAGGATCGGGCGGCATCATCTGGGGTTGCACGGGCAAGGATCCGGGGCGGTCCGATCTTTCGCCGTACTGTGCTGAACGCAGTGGTGTTCCGATCTGATGTTCGTAGACTCCGTGATCTGCCTGCTGGGCTGCGTAAGAGGAGGCTCCCTGAAGAGTAGTGTCAACTGCGTCAGAGGCAGCATCCTGTATGTGGCCGAGCATGGCCTTGCGTTTGAGCTTGTCGTATAGCTCTTGCGTCTGCAGCAGCTTTCGGTTTTTCTCCTTGTATGCCTGCACCAATTCCTCATTTTTCCTGCGGAGGTTGTCGTGGTCAATGTTCATGCCTCATGATGGTTAGCTGCTTAATCGATCAAGAACTCCTGTGGCCAAGACTTACTGGCCACCTTATTCTGAAGGGCTGTGAGCTGGGCATTCGCATCACCGATGATGTTGTCGAGAGTAGTGCTCAGCTCAGAATATCGGCTAGTGAGGACTTTACAACGATGGGCCTCCCAAGTCCTTGCACATAGCCTTATTAGGACCCGCGGGCGTCATGTGTATCTGTGTAAGCGGCAGGGGGACGAACAGATCCTGCGTCATCTGGTAAGACCAGAAGCTCAATGCACGGCCCGCACATTCCATGATGGCCTCTGGGCTCAGGCCGCTGAGGACACTGGTCTTGTAGTCCTCGCTTGGGTTGAGGTTGGTGATCATGGCGTCGTCGGGTCTCGGAAGCTGAGTCTGACATGCTGGACACCTTCGGTGTTCAGGGGCAATCCCGTTGAAACCGGAGCGGCTGACACAGTCAACACAGAAAATATGACTGTTGGATTTCTCGGATCAGTAACCGTGAGCCACCCATCCGACGTAGAGGGAGTTAACTACCTGCAGGTCGTGACCAAGGCCCTGTCGCGCAGTTCCACGCGACATTTGATGTCGTTGCACCTGAGCGCGTGCTCCATGCCTGTTGTCTGTACAGAGCCCCCTGGCTTGATTATCCAAATGCTCGTAGACAATCGTGACTCGACAGCGCACAGTTATGGGTTCTCATATTTGGAGACGGGAATAAAAAAGTCGGGCTTGTTATTTCAGAGACCAGAACCCACGAGCCGTAGATGCATCTTCTCATACTGAGACGTTCGTGACTTCCCATTCTGCAGGGATGCAGCTGTTGGTCCGTCAGTGCCGGTTGGTGGACGTCCCTTGTCTCATTGCACCCAAGTCTGGCGGTGTGGGTACCTCAATGCCTCTGCTGTTGCTCTGTGCCTGGCGGCTTCCCCACATGGGGGCCTCTTTGCCCCTCTTGCAGTGGCTGAAGCTTAGCCTGGCTTACCTCACTCGAGCTTATGTTGACTTCATTCCAAGACAGTCTGAGGCAGCAAACGCCTTTGATGCAGGCGCGTTGTTGGGTTGAGGCAAGCAAATCGGCTGAAAAAATATCAGAAAGTCGGTTTTTATCGGTCCTCTTCTGTCCTCTTCTTTCTTGAACAAGATCCTGTTGCAGAAGGAGGTTGCTGATGACAATTGCTCTCCAGATGGCGGAAACCGTGGCCACCCAAACGCCACCGGTCCTTGAAGGACATGTGCCTTCTGAGAAGGAGAAGAAATATGACCGCCAGCTCCGTCTATGGGCGGCAAGTGGACAGGCTGCTCTGGAGTCTGCAAACATCCTGCTTTTCAACACAGGCTCTGGAGCTGTCGGTGTTGAGGCCCTCAAAAACCTGATCCTGCCGGGTAAAGTCGTGCCCTTGACATCCAATTCTTCAATCCACGCTGACACATTTGCAACCGCCTAGGCATTGGCCGGTTCGCAATTATTGACGATTCCACGGTGCAAGAGGCTGATCTTGGCGTCAACTTCTTCTTGGATGAGAATTCTCTGGGCAAGTCGAGAGCCCAGTCATGCACGGAGCTCCTTCTTGAGCTGAACCCAGAGGTTCACGGGGAGTGGTTTCCAAAGAACCAAGTACGTGGGCTCAGTGACCCCCTCGACCAAGCGAGATTCTGTTCAACTTGGACTTGGCTGATGGCTTGCACCAGGACCCGTTGGACCTGGAAAAGATACTCTCAGCGTCGCCTACTTTCACCATGATCATGTACACCTTGCCAATCGATCCAGCCCACTTGTCAATACTGCAAACATACGGAAGCAAGCATCTCACCCCACTGATTGCCATTCATTCGGCAGGTTTGTACTCGTACTTTCGCGCAAGCCTCCCTGGCACTTTCCCCATCGTCGATACTCATCCGGACGAGGCCGCCACCACCGATCTACGTCTGCTCTCCCCATGGCCTGAGTTGCGCGAATTCGCTATTCAGATGACGGAGGATATGGAATCCATGGACAACCATGAGCATGGCCATATACCATATGTGGTCATCCTGCTGCACTACCTAGGAAAATGGCAGGCCACGCACGGGGAGTATCCAAAGAACTACGCCGAAAAGACCGAATTCCGAAAAATGGTTGCGGCAGGAGCAAGGAGGGACAACCCGGAGGGTGGCGAGGAAAACTTCGACGAGGCGGTGGCGGCGGTCGTGAAGACGGTAGTGCCCTCTAGTCTCCCATCGAGCCTGAAGGAGGTGTTCGACTACATTGACACTCAACCAGTATGTTGCGTTGGCAGTATCGATACATTCAATAGCCAGCGACGCTAATGTGGGCTGCTTCAGATCGAGGAAAGGTCGAGCTTCTGGGTCATCGCCGACGCAGTGAGGCAATTCTACAAGACACACAACTGTTTGCCACTGCCGGGGAATGTACCGGACATGAAGGCGCAGTCCAAGGTTTACATTCAACTCCAGAACATTTACAAGGCCAAGGCTCGGCAAGACGTGGCTGAGGTATTGGGCACAGTCAGGCAGGGTCCAGGTGGCGAAGATGTTGATCCTGGAGAGGTTGAACTCTTCTGCAAGAATGCAGCCTTCGTCAAACTCGTTAATTCCGGAGCCACTGGCGCTGATCGCCTTGCCAAAGTTGCCAGTAAGCACTGACTCACTTCCTGGACTAACCGCGTGGCCCCATGCCGGGTGAAAGGCTAGGGCGGGGGGCATGTGTACTAATCAATGACTGCAGAGGAGGAACTGGAAAACGACGTGAACATGGAGGCCATGATGATGCCTCTGTCCTTGATCCCGATATACTTGGCACTTCGTGCGACATCGCACAATGGTCAAGCATCACCCGAAGAGATATTGAAGAACATTGAAGACACTGTCCCAGAAGCTGCCCAAAACGAACGACTCGTCAAGATTTCCAGAGAAGTGGCTCGTGCTGGCGGCGGAGAGCTGCACAATACATCCGCTCTCACAGGTGGGATGGTGGCTCAAGAGGTCATCAAGATCATCACGAAGCAGTACATACCGGTGGATAATACGTGCATCTTTGACGGAATCAGTAGCAGATGCCAGGTTCTTCGTGTCTGAACGAGCGGGACGATGATGGCTTGCATCGGCTTCTGCAAACAGTCTTCCAGGTCTGTGTCAGCCCAGGATGGAAGCACCGTCCAGATATTTCCCGGCTTATATTTCTGGGGCGGGATGACTCTGGTCTTGCCAATGAGAGACGCGAACAGCCGATGGGCGCTTGGAGAAGGGTGTATGGACCTGACGCGGCCCCATTAAGACAGCAAGCGGGCACGAACAATCCAAAACCGGATTGATCTCTTGGCCAGAGATGTTGGCTCAATCTCGCGTCATCCGGACCGCGGCCTCCTAACCAGGGCAGGCTTATAGAAATAGATGGCGAACTTATCGGGCCGCAAGTCCTAGATTGCTAGCAAAGCCAGTGCAACCCTGGAATGGCTTTTGGCCGGGAAGGGCGTCATTGCGACGAACTCCGCCCGTATGTGCCTGGGGATCAAAGAATCAAAGCGTTCACTACCAGCTACCACCTACCACTTACCAGAATGCCCTGCCATTTCCTGCGATGGTGAAGTAACTTGAAAGGCAATTCCTCGGCAAAACTCGCGCAGCCACTGTGTCTTCTGCTGGAATGGAAATGCGTAACAACTGGCATCGCCGAGCTCTTTCGAGTCGATAACACACTGCCAAGAGTGTCAAATTGAGCCATGTACGCATGTTCCCTTCAAGTCATCCTCGATTTCCTGGCTGGTGCCGTACAGAAAGTGACTTACGATTTCCTATAGTCCAAGAAGTCCGGGTTGGGGAGTTCTCGGTACCTGGATCGTCCCTTGCCCCCAGCCAGAACAAGCGGAACCATGCTCGCGAAACACAAATTGCTGACAAGTGTGAGTGGACCTAAGCTGCCGAGAAGCTCAGGGAAACATGGTTGGAATTTACACAGTACAAGCATCCCAGGCATGTGAGCTGTTCTCATAGGAGCATGAAAGTCGAGATTGCGGTCGGTTTCGACACGGCATTCTAAAAAGATCTTATTGGGCGACACCAGCACAGCCCCCGGTCAGAAGCACAACTTACAAGAGACTGACAGCTGTCTTTGCGCCAACATGGACTTCCCGTGCCGCAGCTCGCTTGGGCTTCAAAGTCAAAAATCTGACGGCTCGGTAGCCGGCAAGTTCCAGTCTACTGAAGCGACTGCTGCAAAATGTAATGTGATAACGCTGGGCAACCGCCTCGTGTGATGAAGGCGGGCTGGGAGAGGGCGTCATCAGGAAGTGCTGGATGCGACATTCCATCGTGTTGCACTACAGACGATGATGTAGAGCCTCGCTTAATCGAGAGGCAGCGGGCTGGCGAGAAGACAAGATGGCTACCCGTCATGTGGACAACAAATTTTGGACAATACTGCACTTGGGACACAAGGCCGGGCCTGGATGCCGTTACCATGCCCACTGGTTCGGTACACTCGCACAAATGCCCCAAGGCAGGCGAGGTATATGATCAGCGGGCGTTGGCGCCCATTGGCCTGCTTGCCTGCCTCGGCGCCATTGTACGGAACGCTCTTCTGCACTGCCAGGGGTAAGGATTACCGCTTTTGGGAAATCCCGTCTGGGTTCTTGACTGTCCCACAGCGAGAATACCCGCTCGTCTGCATACCGAAGGAGCCAGAGTGGGCGGTAACAAGTGCAGGAACATGCCAATTAGTAGTATTATGAAGGCAAGTCGGGTCGCTGGTATTTTGCGCGGCACCGCACCGCACCGGGTCTCCCCATTAACGGGCAGCGAAAACAGAGGCAGGGGCATATGCCCACGGTGTTTCAGATGGCCAGTAGACTTGAATTTCCAGCAATTACCCGCGCCGTCGCGAATGATTGGGTGGACAAAAATCGGCAGAGAGACAGACAACCCTGGCCATCCGATTTCTAACATCTGACCTGCACATCTTTGATGATCATATGCAAACGGGCTCGCTTGCCTAAAAGTCCATAGCACATGCATGCTGCCCCCAATTCGCCCTACACACATAGTACAGAATACCATGCACAAAATGCGTGTGCAACATGTGGGGAAGGCCAACTGCAGCGGTGACTGGCTGGCCGGCTCAACGCCTCCGTCAAGTGTCACCGAGAGTACCTGGGTACCTGGGTACCTACCTGGGGACCATACATCAGAGTTCACTGACAAGAGCCACAACATGTTACACCCCCACCAGACCACCAGCCCACCAGGGCCACCAGGGCCACCAGGGCCGCCAAATGGTCACTGGCAGGATCGCACATCCGGCCGCTTCCTTACTCATCCAGTACCGGGACGCCAAGCCGCTACCGCCTTTCAACCGCCATCGTCTCATGCATGCAGTTGACCTCGTGAGACAAAGTTGTACCACGATGGGATGTGGGGACCGAGGCGCCGGAAGGGGACGGGAAGGACGCGAGCAGCGGCAGGCGGAAATCCTCCCTCTGGCGCCGAAGAACACCACACGCACCCGCCGCCCTGGCGGTGCTTCGTCGAGTCCGGGGTACACACCTGGGCCCTGGGCGGAGGGATTTTTAGAGCCTGTCAGCACTTGCTGCGCGTCACCAGGTATTTCCATTCCTGGGGTATTTTGCGGGGTGAGCGGTCGATCGCGACGCCGTTCCAGGGACGACGAGAGGGCGACACTAGTAATAATGGTCCAGACCAATCCTCGCCCGACGCAGGCCACCACGTCCGCAATGGCTGGCGACTGAGCTGACGACTGAGCGACAGAGCGACTGAGCCCACAAGAAATGCGCCGTGGTCGGCGGCGGTGGAAAGCTTTTGTTGTGCAGCTTTCCCCGTGCCTCCACCCGCCATCCCCAGGCGTGCATGGTGAGTGGACCGCGTCGAGGAGAGCCGCTCACCCACACCGACTGCGCCCAAGATGCTACCTCAACAGGCAGAACAGGCCGGCGAGAAGGGCCCCCAAAGAGGCAAACGTGAGCCTGACGCTATCCCAAGAAGGGGGGCGGGCGCGAGAGGCGAGGTCGAGTCGGGGTTTGGGCTGGTCGGGATTGGGCCGAACCACAGCCGTTGCGTCAGTGAGAGCATCGTGGCTCGGGCGCCATCTCGCGGGATCCATCACGCTGACTCGAGCTTGCTGGCGCTAAGGGCGAAGGTGTCTACATACACAGTACTCCGAATTAGGCCTCACATCATGGGACAAAGACGCGCAGGGCCGAGATTCCTGCATCAGGGCTGAGGAGGAGGCCGTCATGGCCAGCCAACAGCACTCGGTACGCACGCACTCATCGCCCAGTCGAGCAGTCGAGCAGTCGAGCAGTCGAGCAGTCGAGCAGCTGGAGCCGCTTGGAAGCGGTGCGGTGGCTCGGGGTGCTAGCGATTAGGTCCCAGAAAAGGGCTTGGTGCGAACACCACTTCGGGCAGTGATGGGCGTGTTGCCAGGGCAAGCAGGGGCAGACGGAGTGCCAGGCAATATCGAGCTGTCAATTAACCGATGCTGGCCACGAACGACGGCGTGCCACTGCCACTCTTGAAGTGTACTATGTATGGTCAAACCGGAAGCGCACACCTGGGCAGGCTGGCAGGATGGCAGGATGGCAGGATGGCAGGCTGGTGGCGCCGTGCGACGGCAGCCTCTCCAGATTCCCATGGCCAGCAGTCCCACTGATTGGCCCAGAACATTCGATCCTCCACATTATTCCCCATCATATATCCACGGCACCGCAGGCCATGCGGCCAGGCGGCTTCCCCACAAAGTCGGTTCCAGCGATTTTGAGCAGCCTGGCAGCGTGTCTGAGTTACACAGCACGCGTTGGCGTCCAGCAGAGATCGATGGGGGTTGGCGATCTGCCGTCATGGGCCTGCCTGCCTGTCCGTTCGCCCTGCTGTGCTATTCAACATGTCCTAAAGTCAGTCAGTTCAGGCTTTCGGGAACACGGCCGTGTCCTGTGACTCAGGCACGGCGTCCTGCCGGCCCACACGGCACCCGCAGTGCAGCTGTGTGAGTGGCGCTCTGGCGCTGCGACAGGTCGAGGACTCGAAGCCAGTCGCCAGTTCACCACGGCCTGCCAGCCTGCCAGCCTGCACAGGCACCCATGCGGCCATGCTCACACGTTGATTAGAGTTTGTTAAGGTTGCTTCCCTGCTCTGCATCATCCCATCCTTGCTCACGCCCTGGCCCTTGTCGCGCCACATCCCCACGATCCTTGCCTGTTCCTGATTTGCGGTACTCCGTACTCTTGTCCCTCCTTTTTTTGTCTGTCTGCTACGGGGCTTGTTCCTTTCCGTCCCCCAGCTGCCCCTCACTACTTTCCTGCCGAAGCCGACCCATGCTCGTCCAGCAGTCAGCCGACCTGCGTGCCACCCACGATGCTGACGGCGCAGCATCACTGCAGCCGAAGGTATATCGCAACGTCTTTCTCTGTCTGGGGTCACAGCCCGGCTCGAAGCCAGCCAGGGCTGCCAGGGCTGCAAGGTCACCTTGGGACTGACAGTCACAGACTCGCAGCACGGAGGACCGAGTACGGCAGCCGGTATACCAGCGCTACTACTGTGCACTCCGCATCCGTCGTCCACCCAGACAGTACGAGTTGTCTCCTGAGATGCTCGAGGCTTGAGCTGGAGAAAGCCGTGCACCCGTCAAGGTGGCCCCCTGCCTCTGCTGATTTTTCCCGCGCTGTCATTACAGGACCAGGCTGCCAGGGCCTCACCCGCCTGTTTTCCTCCACCTTGAGAATCCTACTTGCATTTCACTCAGCTTCACCCAAGATTGGCCACCGGGGGGCTGGCCATCTGCTTGCTGGGCTGCTGGGTTTTACTTTGGGCCCGATGCCCCATTTAAGCGGTCTGGCACGGGAACTTGTATATTCCAGACGTTTTCTGGCCAGTCAAGTGCCATACTCAGGTAGTCTTCCTTTTTCTGTCTCTGCCTCTGGCGTGGCCTCGACCGAGCATGGGGCACTCGGCATTGACCAGTCCCCTTCGCCCTCAATCCTCTAAAGTCCTCCTCGTCCCCCCTTTCAGAGCTAACTGAGGTACAACAATACAACGATACATCGATACATCCACACGGGCCCCCCTCCACCTTTTTTTGGGCGGAGACTAGGGTTGTCGCTACATAGTACCTCTTCCACACCAGGTCCCTTGCCAAGTTCCACCTCTCACTGGCCTCGGTACAACATCACGGCTGCCACGCTGTGGACAAGTATTGTTCCCCCTTCTCGACCCCTGTCGACCTGGGTCCCCCAAGTTACTCCGCAGTCCTGCACTCCCTGGCGATCCGTCACTCAAGGTCCCATCCCCACAGTCCAATTTATTCACCCTTGCCCACCAAACACTGCCGCGCTACTTTGTAGTATGTCGATATATAACTATTTGCCCCCATCCCGCCTCTCCCTCGGCTGGGGCGATCTGGGAACAGATGAAGTCCTCGACGGTCTTGTCTCTGTGATGGCCAAGCTTTAGATCAGCTTCATATTTCCATTTGCTCTTTGTATATACCACTTTGTCCCGTCCACGACTGTACATGCTTCTACGGCACAACGCCAGGACCAAATAACCACACAACCAACCTATCCCCATACCCATCTCTCACTGATTCACCATGGCGCCGGCTACTACTACATCCGCCCAAGGTGGCATGTTTCACACGTTCCAGGGAGTCACCCCTCGGAAACCAGCTTCAGAACAGCAACCAGAGAACCCAAAATCCAGCAGTGCCTCCGCGGCAAAGAGGATCACAACGCCCCACGCGTGTGCCGAGTGCAAGCGCCGTAAGATGTCAGTTGCAGGACTCTCGGACTGTGATATCCCCGGCCCTCCCAAACTGACCCTTCTCTGCCAGTCGATGCGATGGCCAACAACCTTGTGGCCAATGTCTGTCCAGCCGTGCCCCTAAGCGTTGCTTCTACGACAAGCATCGCCAACGCGTGATTCCATCACGCAAGTAAGTACTCGTCGGCAGCTCCAACAGGGACAGGTCCTAACTTGCACAGAACCCTTGAGGCACTTTCTCAGTCGTTAGAGGAGTGCCGGTCGATCCTGAACCGGTTGTATCCCAGCCATGATGTCCAATCTCTCCTGCCACTCTCGCGGCACGAGCTACTGGAGCTTCTCGATCGCCCTTTCGTTGACACATCCCTCCACGGGCTTCCATCGCCACCCCTCACATCACCAACCCTGAACGGCGAGCTCGATTCACCAATATGTTCCACCTCGGGCGAAAGCCTGTCCACGCTGGAGCAGCTGCCCGGCCGAGACGCCGAGTGGGATGAGGAGCGCAGAGGTAGGGAGCCGATCCCAGTGGAAGCGGACGACGTCAACGCACTCTCCCTCTCCGTTGACCGGCAAACCTCATACCTGGGCGCCTCATCCATCAAGGCTGCGTTGATGGTCATGCTCAAGGTCCAGCCTCAACTTCGGAATGCTCTAGCCGCACCCCTCAATACCTCCGAGATCCCACACAGCTTCCCTGCAGCTCGAACCAAGTCATCCACGCCCAAGGACCCACAAAGAATCCCATGGTCATGGAAAGGCCAGACCCTGATCGACGCCTACTTCAAGAGAATCCATGTATTCATCCCAATGCTTGACGAGACATCCTTCCGGGCCGACTATCTGGAGGGCCAGCGATTCGACGTACCCTGGTTGGCTCTTGTCAACATGGTTTTCGCCATGGGAAGCATCGTAGCGATGAAGTCGGATGACTACAACCATGTCAACTACTACAACCGGGCAATGGAGTTCCTACCACTGGACGCTTTCGGCAGCAGCCACATCGAAACTGTGCAGGCACTTGCCTTGATTGGTGGCTACTACCTGCACTACATCAACAGGCCAAACATGGCCAATGCTGTTCTCGGAGGCACCATCCGGATGGCAAGCGCTCTTGGCCTCCACAGAGAGAGCCTGGCCCAGAGCACCAGCGACGTGTCGGCCGCAGAGACCCGGAGACGCACATGGTGGAGCCTGTTCTGCTTGGACACATGGGCGACCACGACAATGGGACGGCCTTCGTTCGGACGTTGGGGATCAGCAATCAACATCCGCGCCCCCGAGTTTGGCATCAACTCTTGCCGTGACTCTTCACAGCACGCAGGCATCCTGCCACTGATCGAGAACATCAAGTTCTGCAAGATTGCCACCGCCATCCAGGACACGCTGGCCGTGGCACCCCTAGTCTCAACCGAGGACCGCCACAGCCTCGACGGCCAGTTGGTCAACTGGTACAGCAGCCTACCGTGGCTCCTACGGACCACTGACCCCTGTGCCGAGCCGCTCTACATTGCCCGCTGCATCATGAAGTGGCGATACCAGAATCTCCGCATGCTCCTCCACCGCCCGGTGCTCCTCAGCCTCGCCAGCGCCAATGCGCAGGAGGCGACCGACGTGGACATCGCGGCGGTCGAGACATGCCGGGAGCTCGCCAAGCATACCATCGACGACATTGCGCGGGAGTGGACGCGCAACCAGATGCAGGGATGGAACGCGGCATGGTTCCTCTACCAGGCGGCCATGGTGCCCCTCGTGTCCGTGTTCTGGCAGTGGAACAGCCCGCGCGTGCCCGAGTGGAACAAGCAAATCGAGACGGTCATCGAGCTGCTTGACGCCATGGAGGACTGGTCACTGACGGCACGACGCAGCCGCGAGGTCGTCTGGCGCATGTACGAGGCCAGCCGCACCATCGCACACACACGGTCCGAGGCCGCTGCGGCGGCGCCCTTGACACCGGGCTCGCTGCACAGCCTGGCCATCAACACGGACATGACGGCGCTGCTGGCCGGCTCCCCCGGCTCTGAGCTGCACATGTCGCCCATCGGTCTGGGGCCGGACGGCATCCCCATCATGGACATGCTTGACCAGCACGGCATGCTCATGGACCACGAGGGCATGTACTGGGGCCAAGCCGACGACATGAGCCTCGACCCGTACTCGACCGTTCACGATGGCGGGATGGGCCTGGGCGCCCCACAACAGCAGCCCATCGACTACAGCATGCTCACGGGGGCTGGCGGACACCACCACCCCGGCTCGCTGGACGGCGGCTATCCCTTTGTGCACTGAGCCTTGGATTCTTCCATGGCACGGCCGGGGTGGTATCGCCGGTGCAGCCCCATACCACGGTTACATTTTCCGTTTTCCGGCTGATACTCTGCCATGCGCTAGCGGGGGTTGCGGGTTGCATGCAGCCTCTGGTCCTTCTTTCTTCTTCTCTCTCTTACTCCGTTTGAGCACGGCCTCATCATTTTGTGTACATACCCTTTTCCTTCTTTTTTTCTTCCACATTTCCCGAGCCGGCTTGCTCGCTTACCTGCTTGCTTGCTTGCTTGCATGTAAATTTCCTTACGATGTTGATGACGACATACCACCAAAAAAAAGTCCATGGAGGCGAATTGTGTCTTTCAATACACCAGGGGGGACACAAGTCCGAGAGACATGGCTGAGAAACGCCTTTGGATTGGCTACGATTTGTATGGGTTACGGGGGGGGGGGGAATGGGGTCTGGTGTTCAGGATGGGACCGAAGTCCATGGCCGAGATGCAGTGAGCCGGCCAGGCAGTACATCAGTACAGTTACTTCACAAGGAAGGGAGTGGGTCCCCACGGGGAATGTCTGGAAACCGATAGGAAGCAGTTTGATGAATAGTCAGGCCATTGAATACTATCAAGTCCTCAGGTCTCACAAATCAAGACCCAAAAAATTTGCCCCGAGCCCAGCCAAGGTTCACAAGTGATGGAACGCAGCGAGCCTCCTCCCACCTGAGGTGGTGGATGTATTTTTCCGGACCACGTCACTCACACCCACTCGGCCGGATATAGTGAGACAGGGCCGCGGCCGCGAAGGCGTGGGTGAATGAATGGTGGATCACTGTACCACCTCTACACAGCCATGCTGCCATCGACATTGCTTGTCATACTATAGGTAGGTACCACTCACTACCTAGGTACTTACTTGTCCTCCCCTTCCTGCCAGGCTGTATGCGTTGAACCACAGGATGCAGGTCCGACACCTGCTGTGCTGCGTGTGGCGGGGGCTGGTTGGGTTTGGCGCGGCAGCGGACGCGCACTGGGCTGGCTATTTTTGATTAGAAGTCACCCTGCCTGCCAGCTCTTGCCCCACCAATGCAAGCCTGCGACGCCACCAAACAAGATGGTGATGGGGTGGTGGTGGTGGTGGTGGTGGTTGTGTGGTGCCCCGCTGCCCGCTCCCCATGGGGAAGCGGTGCATGTTCATATCGGGGCGGGATCTCTGCTGAGCCGTCCCGCCGGCCCCCCACTCACCCACCCGTCATCTACACACAGACATTGGCAGAGACAGGGAAAAGCAAGCAGGGTGGGTGAGACACAGCGGACGCCATGTGGTAGCGAGATTGCGGTGCGGCTAGGGCATGGACTTTTACTCTTGATCTCCTTTTTGTATATTCCCGTGAAGCTAGTTAGATGGGAGGGGACGTGCACCCAGGAAAGAAGGAAAGCCCAAGAGGCCTGGCATGCTTGCCCCCTGGGCCGGCGTTGGTGTTTCCACTGCTGCCCTGCTTCCTATGCGCCTCGTCAGCATTTTGTCATCCCCACAGCGGTTGCGTTCGATGATGGGCCGCGCGAAGGAGGCGAGCCTATCTTGTTGGGCGAGGGAGGGCTTCCCTGGTGCCCCTTTCATCTAATTAGTGGCAAATATCTACACTTGCTGCGGTACGGCGCCGTGCTCATAGGCCAGTCAGGCAGTAGGTAGGTCCTATCTGCGTGGCATGGTCCCCTCCTCCTCCTCACTTTTCTTCCGCGGGGGATCATCTGCTGGGAGGCCCTCATGGGATTAACCCCGTCTGGACAAAGATCAGCCCCCTTCAACGTCGCCTGGGTTCGTCCGTTGTCCCAGTGGCGTTGAGGTCGGGGACCTGGGCTCGCCTCCTACGAACCCAGCATGGCGGGTGAGCATGTAGTGTAGGAGGCCACCTGTACCGTCCCAGGGGGGCCCGAGGCTGCCTGAGACGAAGGAGATGTGCGAGGTGGTGGTGGTGGAGATCACAGCCTTCCACGACGGACTGGGGCGAAGATCTTCCCTGCCGTCGTGGAGAGAAGCCTATCGATCCTGCCCACAGAAACCATGTCGTGGCCGTGGCAAGGGAGCCGGCCGGCAGGAGGTGAGTGAGTGGAACTGGCTTCCTTGTCCGGCTGACCTTGCTGGCAGCGGGTGGAGGAGGACACACAAGGGTGCTCGGCGCCGGTCTGGTGGGATCCGGGTACACCTCCGGACGAGAGATGTGAACGAGTTTCCTCTTCGAGACCATGACTCGACGTGTACGCTGGCGGGTGCGGGCGCCTAAGTCTGAATCATTGGGCGTGATGGCAGGCTGGCAGGTCAAGGGCGTCAAGATGGGGGGCAGGTGACACATTTGGCCCCCTCCCTGCTGCGAGTCGGTCTGGAGTTGTCCTACTGTGTGCACTACTGGGCTGGTGTGCGTGCCGCCAAGTCAAGCCACGGTGCTTCGACTTGTGTTGCGCGCACACGCTCGATGGAATTTCCCCGAGCGGCATGGGAATCTTCAAACGGTTTTGCGATGGCATTGGCAGGGCAGCATGGCAGCGTGGTGCGTGGCAGGTCAGACAGGCCGATCGGCGTCGAGGAGGCTTAAAGGTAGCATGCGCGTGCTGATCACAGCAAGAGCTTGGCCGAGTCTGGATGGCGTTTTGCGGGGCCGGTGCGACTTGTGCGAGGGTGTGGGCCATCCTGCGAGGGTGTGAGGTAAGGTCTGGCTAGAGCACCGAGGGTCCCTCCACCACAAAACCCATCATCAGGTCCCTGAGGTTGCCTTGGCAGAAGGCTGGTTTCCCGAAGTTCCTGCTGGATACCACGATACCTTGGTACCTGGGCCAGATGCGCAAGGGCAGATGCAGGTCCTTGGGCAGGGAAGAGGGTTGGGTTTGGGGTAGTGTTGGGGAAGGGTGGGGTGGGGACGAGCCATGGAAGCTTTGCGATTGGGGGCCAGGCGGAGAGTGGGGTCGGTTTTTGGGGAAGGCACTCCCAGGCCTGGGACGATCGACAGGGAGCAGGGCGAGATGAACTCCTGGAGCAATCTGGAGTTGCGGCCCGTCGCGAGACGTGAATGAGAGGTCGTCGCTACCTAGATTCCCGTCCTTCCAATATGAGATGTGACGTTGTGAGGACATCTGGTGCACCTGCCCCATCATAATGCGGGGCGTATCCCTGCCCTGCAGGGGCGTGCGGTACCTGGCCAGGTATGTACTCCCGTACCCTGCGGGGCGAAAAGGGGTAGCATCGAGCGGCCAGGGGAGCAGCCAGGGAAGCAGCTTCGAGAACAGACAAGCGCGTGGCCGGCTGAACTGCCCGTCTAGGCTGGTGCCATCCTGCCATCACGGCTTTAGTCTTCTGGCCTAACCGATAACGGCACTTGACTGAGAAAATTTGTGACGATCCACAAGCTACGGGCATACGGAAGGGCAGGGCTGCGAGTGAACCCGAGTACGCGCCGGCGCGCAGCCTGGCACTCGGGCAGCCTCTCGAAGGACGGGCGCCGTGTCGCCCTGGCAGCCTGGCAGCCCGGCCCAGGCTGTGCGCACGCGCCCGCATGACCGCAAAATCATACCCGCGCCGCAAAGACCTCCAGGAACTTCGGCCCTGCTTCGAGGGTGCGAGGCTGCCAGCCAGCCAAGCCAGCCCAGGCGTGACACCTATAACAGACACGTCCTATTGTCATATGCTGGCTCTACCACTGCCATCAGCCATCCAAAGTGTCTCTCGACGGGGCCGAACCAACAAAAACACACGACATGCACACAAACTACTAAACCACCTGGCACCTGACAAGTCATGGCGGACCACGGCCCTCGCCCTCGGACGGGTCCAACCCCATCCATAGCAGCCCACGTATGATTGACTGCTGCGACCTCTTTGTCTCCTCATATGCGCAGCACCTTCCGACTCGCTCGCCTGTACGTGACGTGACGTACGTGCAAGGCACGGCGTCTTGACAATGCCCGGCTCCAGCCTCCGGAAGCCGACGGGTACGTACAGTACAACAGGTCGAACCATCCGATGCTGTCTGTCTGTCTGTGAGTGGAGAGCACAATGCTACCGCACTGGCACTGGCAGCTGCTGTGCAGCGGTCTTCGCCGCTGTTTCTACCCTCTCCGCCCGGGCGGGCACCAGTCCGATCTGGACATGCTCTCCTCTAATCTGGATCAGTTGGTCGTCTGTCATGCCGGCACTCGACAAGGCGCTGCTGTCGGCTCTTGTTGACCGGTGAGGCTTGATGGAGTCGCTCTTGCATCCTGACCCATACTGCGCACTACCTAATAAGGCCCATGCCGGCACTCGACCTACTACATAGTATGCTCCCTCGCACCAACAGCAGCAGCGGCCTGGGCGCGGGCTCCTCGGCGGAATCCGACAGGGGCCACCCCTATATACCAGCCCGGCCATGCTCCTGTTTCGTCCATGCTCGCCTGGATCCTGCTGCACTTGGCCAAAAGCTTCGTGGGAGGCTGCCGGGCTCCGGCGATATAGAGTTCTGGACCCTCATCTGGAGGATGCAGAAACCCATGCTGCCACCCCGCCTTTTCTCGCCCACTGCCGTGGCCAATGCCATTGGCGATGCCGAGAGTGTTGGTGACGACCGGGGGATAGCTGCTTCTTTCGGCCAAGGGCGGCCGATTAGCCAAAGTACGGGAAAGATGGCCCTCGTCCTTTACGGGGAGGGGGGAGGATCGCACGCCAGGCAATGGGTTGAAACGCGTGTTTATCCAGCGGGCTACTGCACACGCAGCCCAACCCGACCCAGAGAAAAGAAGGAAAATTATATCATCGGCTGCTTGTTTCCCAACCCCTCTCCAGACCCAAGCGAGCGCGACAACTGTTGCTCCCCTCAAGCGAGCTGTCGCAGCCACGCGTGTGTCCGCATATTGATGGCATGTGGCTTGCATACGGCATGACAAAGTGTTCCACCAGACCAAAGCATGGCAGGCCCAAATCAATCTGACACAGCCCGGTCGAGAACTCTTGTATGCAGTCCCCGACAGCCCGGTTACCGGTGGACCTTGGTTGGGGGCGCCATCGGTCTCTCGCCCTGCCAGGCCTGCCTGACTGAGACCTTTCATAAGCCTGCCTGTCAGGGGTTGGGGGTGTGGCCTGGCCTATAATGCAGGCTCGAGGGGCCGGGGTTGTTGGGGAGCCGCACTAGTCGCGCGGCTTTCTCACCATCCGCGGGAACCTCATTTGAAAGCTCAGGCACCTGGCCGGAGATTTTTGAGAAAATAACTTCGTTGGGCCTGTGTCAGGTAGAAATGGGCTGGCGTTCGGGCACCGTCAAGGACCCGACCGCGCAGGCCTGGCCCACGCTGAGGTGTCAGTATATCTCCGGGAAGCAATTTACAATCCAGGCACAATGCAGTTAGTTGTACAGAGCGGCGAGTTCCGCGTTTTGGACAACAACGCCTGTTCTATACCGACGTAGTCAGTGAGCAGAGCCTCTGCAACTAGAACAGGTTTTTTTGCATTCTCGTATTGCTGAGCAATGCCGCCGGCATTGTACAAGTAAAATTCCACAGCCAACACATCTTCGCGTCTATTGAGCACTCAGCAGATTCCCGTAGCTTGGTCAATTCAGAGCTCAATCGTATCGTGTTGTGTACAATGGGAGCAAACTGCCAACGCTCGGATTCAGTTTTTCCAAAGCTTCCATTTTTAAACCAATCGGCATTGCATGTTTGTCAAAGGCTGGGTCTTGAGGTTTGATTGCCACTGTATGAAGGCGCCGTGTGGCTTCGAACTTCGTGTACGGAGAAGAAACAAAACCAGCTCGAGCCAGCTGCACCAAGTCTTAGAGCATTCCAAACTTGTAGCTGAAATCGGGCTAAGTCCATGATCGCAATTCCAGCGTGTAGTGTAGTTCTGCTTCTCAGAATGTATGGTTTCCCAGCAGCCTTGTATATCCTCTCAAGTAGGCTGCGTTCTACCATCAGTCCTTCGAATCTCTCAACCAAACAAATTGCCTAGAGTCACAGATCTCGGAATAGACGGGTGGAATGTGTCAAGTTCTATTTGTCTTATACTATTTGAAAGAAAATTTCTTGTTATAAGTGCTGCCAGATAACGCGGAAAGAGGGTGGTACTCGCAAAAGGCTTCCTTCCTCTGCTACCAGCTAGCGTCCTCCAGGATGGGGACGAAGGCCTGTTGCCTTCTTTTCGATTGGTGTGCTCATCGGGAGGACGCCTGCGTTTTCGAAGGACTGAAATGTCTCAATCCAAGTATCATAGGTATCGTCGAATCTCTTCCATCCGAACTTGCGGGCCTTCGCGACCGAAGTGATGGCCAGCCAGCCTTCACCCAAACCCCAGTCAAGAATATCCCCTAGTGGTGAAGTTAGTCCTGCTACGGGTCCTCAAGTGTTGTGTTCTAGAACATTCCAAAACATGAAAGACGGGGATCCGTAAAAGGTGAAAAGTGATGCTTACAGGTGGCCCAGTCAAACGCCTCACAATTTCCACCATTCTTCGCCACTACTCGTTCCCATGCGGGTCTCTTGTCCTTGGCCCATTCTACCATCTTGATCTGACTTTCCAACTTATGACTCTCTCCGCTGGCTGTCCACGCTGAGTCGGGGATCTCCGGCACCTGAGGAGTGCCAAATTAGTTTTCCCCCCCTCAATCAAGACGTCCAATATGTACGGATAACTGACCTCCATTCCGAAATGCCCGCCGAGCTTTGCCCAGAAGTACCTCCAGACGATATAGTCTCCATTGTTGTGGTTGAATGCCTCGTTCTTGGTGTGCTCATTGGTAGAAGCCCAGACGCTCATATCCGCAATGCTTGGCGCGTAGGACGCGTCGTCAACGGCGTTGTAAAAGAATTTGTTCCCTGGGAACATTGGGACTTGCCCAAGTTCCCTGCAAATGAGGAAGTAAATGGCCACAGTGAGTGCCATCGACATTCCGTTGCCTAGATCTCTCAAGATTAGATTATCCTTGTTTACTCGCACGGAACAGTATCGAAAACAAACTTAAAGCAAGGAAGATCAAAACACGCAGCACATACCTGCAGGTGTGTACCCGATGATGCCCATGGGCCGAATGATATTCCAATGCCATTCGCGCTTGGCGGCCAACTCAAACATGAAGTCTTCTTGGATATAATAGAAGTTTTCTCCAAAGTCTTCATACCGAGCCATGCCTTCATGGACTGGAACCTCGACAGGACCAAGATGAACGCCGTAATTCTGATTGCGTCATGTCAGTTCAGCACTCACCATCGGACTGTACTGGATGGAGTGTCCCTCATACCTTGCCTCCAGTGTGAAGGATGACTCGTTGCAAAGACTTGCTAGACTGGTCAATAGCCACGAGAAAGTTTTTAAACAGCGGCACGTTACAGTCTTTCAGCCTCGCAAAGTCGGTCTCGTGGACGTAGGAGGCAAAGAAAGCGTGTGTCACATCGCGGCACAGGAGCTCCATTTGCTCGACAAGCTCCTCGGCAGGCTTGAGGAAGTCCAGGGCAATGAACCTGATGCGAGGGTCCTGCCATAGTGGCCATTTGGGAACACGTCTTGTTGTGATCACAAACTTGGACCTGTCACGTTTGATCAGTTATGTTTTGAGACCGGCGGAAACTCCGAGACTTACCACTCAGACGCAGGCTGACGAATCAGGTGCTCAATAATGGCGTTTCCAGTGATCCCATTGGCACCAGTAACAAAAGCTACCTTGCTGTTGGGATGATAGTTGGAGGTCATCTTTGCTGGTGGCGTACGTCTAGGCTGTCCTCGTCTTGTACGTGGCAGGTTGGCCTCTCAGCGGGAGGCTTTGGAATCAACAACTCCCTAGTAATTTTGTAGGAAAAGGTCGTCATGTGAAGGCCTGAAGTTCATATAGATATTCTAAACCCAAGCACAAAACAGCCGTACTAGACGTTCAAGAACTGACTTCCTCGGATGATCAATCATCCCTGTTGATGATAAGTCACATAGGAAAATTTCAAGATCTCGCTCTTCGCTCTTCGCTGGTAGTACCTCCAGTGGATACCATGATGTATTCAATTGATGCGTGTTATCACCTGCGGACTTGAGTCCACCACTTCGGAAATATGTGCTTTGATAAACTGGACATACTAAACAAATTACGGAGACTCCTCTGTGTATCGAAGAGGGGTGAATGGTTTCATTATGAGGCCATGTATTTCTGAATACGTCTATGATTCCTTCACACAGCAGCACACACTCAAGGACCCAACGCTTGGGATGAACACCAACGACTAAATCCGCTGGTTTCTGCGAGAGATATACCTAGGTACGGACCCACCTTCAGATTTTGCCACTCTAGGTGGATACTATGTAGTCGCTTCAGATATGATATTTGCCTGCGGACTTAAGAGTCTATGAGATCGGAAATATGAGATTTGTTTCACCAAGACTACTGAAAGACGGTGGAGGCTTCTCTCGTATGCCAGAGATCTGCACCTGGAGCAACACCAGTTGACATGGCTGCTAATTCCGCTATGTTGCGTGCAAAAGACTTGCAGACCCACTTGCACTTGACCGCTCAGGCAATGATGAAATGCACATGGTAGGGAAAATCTTTATCCCCAGCTACAGAATGCAACTATTCCAGCCAATAAATCCGACCACAGCGTTTCATCATGTTGGAGACGACAGGCCCTTGGGATACTCGCTGGCTTCCATGCTGAGTGAGGACGTCAAGCATAACTTGCAGCTAATTCGCACCGTTCATACTGAAAGAGGTCTCGTCCGTAAATCCGACATCTAGCCCCTTTACGAAGCTGGACAAATGCGGTCTGCGTGGAGCAATGGAGCAATGTACAGGTCCCGCTGAAACAACAACCTGAGTCCACACATGAGGCCGTTCAGGGGCGAAATCTACACGGCCTGGAATTTATGTACCACCGAGTGACACGGCGTTGAGCCTCAGATTGAGAAGCAATTAGATCTTACACAGTATATTGGTAATTATTAGGAAAACATCGGCCTCTCCCGATCTCACTAAATTATTAAATGCCAAACCTGTGTCTGCACCGACTGTGATTGATCCAGGAGCCATGCAGTCCTGAAGTCCCGGGAAGTAGTTCCTGAAATCTGAAGAGCAATCTGGAGCCGCCTCACGCAGTATATATATTTTTTTTGGCAGTAGTTGTTCGCAGGCCCTTTGTCTTAGTGTACACATAGGATATCTAGAAGTAATGTGCAGCTCTTCAAGTTGCCTTGGAGTGGCAAGACTCTCGTGAAATTAACTATACAGACCGTTTGTGCGCGATCGCTCTGGACAGTCCAACCCTCATAGCCTAACAACAGCCTTCGAGCAGCAAAAGTGACTCAGCTAGAAAAGAGAATTTTAGTCGAATTCATTGTCTGATGGACATCAATTCTAATAATTGGAACCATCGAGAAGCAAAATTGTATGTAAATCCCAGCTTCTTTATCTGTCAGAGCCGACTCGGAGTGCTGTCGGCGACGACACCTTTCACCTACTACTAGTAATCCCGCAGAATACCCAAACACGCCAGTAAAGTGGTGAGATTGAAGGTTGAATTGAACCCGACCTTGACACTGCATGGAGCCGTAGGGCGTGTTGTTAGTGAAATAATATATCTCTCCTCAAGGGGGCTCGTTCTGATCTAGGTGACCTCGGGATTTGCCAAGAAAGTGAGGCTTCCTTAGGTATTCCCGAAATTTTGCACAGCTTGACAAGTCTATGACTTCATACACAACATATATTTACTAAGAGATCGGATATTCACACCCACAAAAACGGAGGGTACACCTAAGGACAACCTCTAAGAGAATCTTCTACAGGACAACCTCCTATAAGACAACCTCCTACAGAATAACCTCCTATAGGATAACCTCCTATAAAATAACCTCTTATAGAATAACTTTTTAAAATAACTTACTAAGATAACCTCCTATAAAATAACCTTCTATAAAATAACTACTTTAAAGATAACCTTATTTAAGATAATATATTATAAAATAAAATTATAAAATAATTAATTTAATATTAATTTAAATATTTTAATCTTTAAATTATTTAATATAAATATATTCTTTAATTTTATAAGTATAAATATTTAGTCTCTTTATTAAATAAGAATATTTAAGATAAATATATTATAACTATCCTAATACTTAATTATTAAACATAGTGTTTTATATATATCTATATCAGCTAAGCATACATACCTAGGTACCTAAGCAGGCTTCTAAGTTGAGACTTTTATGTCTTATACCCAAGCTTCCCAACTACTCACCTATCATCCTCGCTTTTTAACTTTTCAGACCATCACTGCCTTACCGATTATCACCTCGAGCTCGAATCTGCACCAGGAGAAAAGAAGAGGCGATTAACAGGCCAAGATGAAGAGACTGTGGTGTCGAGAACAAGGCTCCTGAAAGGCTTGGGGGGGGGGGCGAAGCCGACGAAGCGGCCGGACCGACTCCACTGCACAAATCTAAGCATACAAACTAACCGCGATACTTATCTAGTCGAACTCGGCAAACAATGTGGTGTCTGCTATATACAGGCAGCGCATCTACACAAGGGACTACTGGGTATTCCTCGTTGTCTTCTGAGGCCTTTTAAATTTGCACAAACTGATATTATATATTATGACCTGTGACAAGTGAACTCTCCATATCGAAAAATAACTGATATGTTCTCTTCCACCTTGTATACGTCCGAAGACTGTCGAAGAAAAATAGGAAATCGAGAGAAGTTGTTGCGTGCAAAGTCTTGGAGTGCGGCTATGGGAAATGCGGCTGTGCAATCGCCTGCCAGCTTCCCTGTCTCATGTAGATACCAACATACCTGCAAGTGTTGTTTTTGATGGCATTCGCGATATTTTCTAAGCACATGGTTTAATCTTCTGTCACCGTGATAGCGCAACTAGAAGTGATCGATGTCCACCTGTTGGGCGTACTGTCGATACTCACACCGCGAAATTGCATACAATGGCGAGATGGTTCGCGATATTCAATATGGACGATCAAGAAGCTCGAGAGAGAACTTAGTTGGAATATGAAATCTCTAAATCCTGTCAAAATAGTTCAATCATGAGTTTCATCCACCAACTTAAATACAAAAGGCAACAGGGGTATTCTCGACTCCGCATATCCATTGTAAACTGTCCAGTCATCACCGCCCCGGACGCCTAGAATGCGCGCAAAAACCATAAAAAAATTATCAAAGGGAATTGTCTGTTTATGCAGATGACTGAGATACCACGGCTCCGGACGCTGTGCTCTTCTCGGCCTCACGCCGCTGATTCTCATTGCGCACCTGCTCTCCCCTCTGCTCGTCCAGGGAGCCTCTGTTGCGGCGATACGTGCCGAGGGTAAGGAGCACACCAATTCCTGCAATTATGGCGCACACTTTCATCGTCTGCGTGAATGCGTCGTTGTATGTTTTGCGGATATCGGCTGGCGAAGTGGAAGCCAGGGTGGCAGGTCCTTCTGGTGGGATCGTGCTGCCAAGCTGCTCTTTTTGCTGTACCGCTAGCACCGCCGTGGACATTGCAATGCCGATGCTGCCTCCGAGCATTCGAGACTGGGCTATGATTCCCTGCGCTGGAGCTGCGACAGTGCATTGTCAGCTGTCACTGTGGTGCCACATGGGGGAGAGGCTGTGCAAACTTACCATGCTCAGCGATGGTTGCCTCTAGGGATGTAAACATGGTTGCAGATGCCGTAATCATGCCATATCCCAGCCCGATGAACACCATGAAGCCCAGAAACTTTGGCTCGAGCTCGTAAGAGTCCGAGACCGTTGTCTCGAGGGCCAGTCCCAGTGTCACCAAAACAGAGGCAACCGTCATGGTCTCGGACAGTCGGTTTTGTCTGCTGCTCAGGGCACCTGCGATAGCACTCCCGAAACCGGTGGCCCCCAACATAGGCAGCATCATAACACCGGCCGTGACGGGGCTCTTGCCATTGACGACCTGAAGGCGAAGGGGCACGGCGTAGAGTGTGGCGAGGTAGGCAAACCCGAGGAATATGGTATTCAGGATGGCTGCCACAAAGACGCGGTTTCGGAACAGGACAAGAGGCAACGCTGCCATTTTCTTGCTCCAGAAATGCTCGAAGGCAGCCTCCCACGCAAATAGACCAATCCAGCAGATGAGTCCAACTACCAGGGGTGCGATGAAAGTTGCGTTCGCCCAAGGGTTCTCTGCGTGACTATACCCGGCATCCTGGAAGGCAAATACGATAAGGACCGCGGCTGACACAACCAACAGCGACCCCAGGAAATCCAGGTCTTTCCATGAACGCCTTTGGATGGTAGGGAGGAACTCGGCCTTCGGCCACGAGGCGTAGAAGAAAACCATGGATACGAATCCAATAGGACCGCTATGCGAAGAGTCAGAACCAGCACTGAGAAACTTGTGTGCTAAGTGAAGAACGAATGGGCGACTCACTTGATCCAGAAGACCCATCTCCATGTGGTGTAAGCAGTGAACAGACCACCGAGGATAGGACCGAGCACACCAGAGGTTGAAATGACTGCTCCGATCAGGGGCGCTATGTAGTTCCGGGACTTTGGCGGGCACATCTCGGGAAAGATAATCATTGTCACCGAAAACAAGCCTGACCCCCCAATGCCCTGGAGTGCTCGACAGGCAATCAGGGCGTCCATATTCTGCGAGAAGCCACAGCCAAGTGAGAAGGAGAAGAAAATGAGAAACGCGGCAATGTAGGCGTTCCGTCTGCCGACAATGTCGGTGATCCGCGCGAAGAACACGGCAGATCCGAGGAAGCTAAGCGTATAAGCCAGGGCGACCCAGTTGATCCGCTCCAGGTCGTTGAACTCCTCGCCGATGGTATACAAACTGGTTGCGACTATGCTAGTGTCGATCATAGAGAGGCATAAGCCAAGGCAGAGGCTGAGCAACTTGTCAGCAACGGCACTGTTGGGACTCTTTTGTTTCTGTTTTCCCCTGTAAGGGCCTCTTTTTTTGGGGGGGGGGGAGGGTGGGTAAACGGACCCAACACAGAGGAATGCGAATCGCCACGGCGGGATATTCGACTCTCGGAAATGAGTATCGTCTTCGGGCGGCCGAGAGGCTGGGTCCGCCTCACTCGCAGGAGACGGGTCTTGAGCCGGCATATTGTCGAGTTCTAAGACAGTACGGGATAAGAGCTTATGAGTTTTCGACGGGCAGTGTAAGGCTTCGGGGAATAGTGGGCAATACGGACGGTGGTTGCACTGTGGACGGTCTTGAGACAGATCTGAGTAGGTATATCCTGTGGAACTCAAGCATGAGACCTCTGCCGGCTGTCAAGACTTGTTCTCTGGAAGCAAGAGGCTCTGATGATATAGGACATGATGCCTGATTCGAGCTGGAGATCGGCATGATCTATCCTGTGGGATCAGACGAGAGGAGGTGTCCCTGGGAACCAGCTAGCTTTGTACCTAGGTATTCAGAGCAGTATGCGAGGCACGTTAGCAAAAGCTAGGGCGAGGTCTATTGCTCCTTTCATTGGGCTGCAGGAAGAAGGCAGCTTAGGCTGTGAGCCCCATCCCCTCGCAGCAACTCAAAGCCCGGTGCCCGACCGGCAGAATTGCTTGCTCCTTTCTTTTAGTGCGTGCATGTGTCAAACACATGGCCCAGGGCAAAAGCATCCCTCAATTGGTATGGTGGCCGGACAAGCTGCCGAAGGGCAACAAGGGGACAGTGAAGAGTAAAGGGCTGTGTTTGCGCCAACCCACATGATGGTGAGCATGGACAGGCCGATTTTGCGGCAAGTTCCTCTCACACTCGCTTTCGCCAGTAGTGCTGATGCACCAACCGGACTAATAAGCCCCCAGGCCAGTGGTATGTGGCATAGCTCCGGCTGCTGGACCAATGCTGGCCGTCCTCATCAGGATTATACGGTAACAAGGATGAGGTTCAACGGGGCAGCGTGGTTTGACAGACCCCAGCTAGTAGTGCGTGCGAGTGCGAGTGCGAGAATGCGCTAGGAAATAAGGCCACGGCAAGAGTCGAAGCGGGCCCAATCGTTGTGAGGCTCTAGGTAATTTGGCCCAAACCAGACCACCTCGACCATCAATCATCAGATGGGCCCCTTTTCCAATGGCGCAGAAAAGGAACAATTGAGATCTCGTGCAACTCGTGGGCTGCGGCTGCCCGTGGGCCCGTGGGCCTCATGCCGGAACCGCCGTACCGGCTGCGGTGTGTCCCACTTGCGACACGGCCGTAATAAAGCAAAGGTCTCTCTCTTTTTTGTCGTCCTCGGTGGCGTGCGGACCCGATCTCAAACGGCCGTCTCGGCTCGGAAGACCACCACCAGTCGTCGAGGCGGCCCGTGGACTGATCCGTGTCACTTCACACACTGTCATGTCCACGTCGTACTACTGTATGGCAGCACTCGTGTTGTGTGTGCCCCGGGGCCACTGTGTATCAGCGATCTGCTGAGAAGCATCCAGGCTTCTGTCGCACCGGAGCTCAAGAGGAGCACGTGGGTGACGGTGCCAGGTCTTGACCCCTTTCGAAGAGCAATCAAGAGGACAGCAGGATGTTGCCCAGTACTGCTCATATATGTACTGCGTGGACTGCGTGAACATGGCTGTGTGGGGCCGAGTGGTTGCGTGCCGTTGCCGTGGGCGGCCACCGACGTCGGGACTGGTGCCGAGGGGCTCCTCCGGGACGCTGACGTGCTGATGAGAGCTCCTGAAATCGGCGGGTAGGGTTCTCGCGCCAGAGATTGCCGACTCAGCGGGTGAGGGTGAGGGGTAATTCTTATGGGAGCTCTCACTGCCTGGCTGCCCGTTGCTCTCTGAGCATCATGGCGGGGTAGTAGCTTCAACGGTGCCCAGCTGCATTCTGGCCCTGGGTTTAAGCCTTGGCATTGCCTTCTTGCGTGCTTGGTATCCGGCTCAGGGTCGCCGGTGCCAATAAAATATCGGATTTCCGTACTGTGCTTTCTTCGCCTCCGGATACAGTTCCGTCTCCTACGACTTGCAGTCCTGAATATTTGAGAGTCCCATGTTCCTCCAGGCACGAACAGCTTTGCGAGCCGTCCAGCGTCTCGTGTCGCGTCGTCCAAGTCAACCCCTGCCAAACTTGCCCTTTGCTTTTGCCCCAGATATCCACACCAGAGCCATGGCCTCCGCTGCTGCTGCCAAACGCCTCGAGGGCAAGACCGTGGTCATCACCGGCGCTAGCTCCGGCATTGGCCGCAGCACTGCCTTTGAGTTCGCCCGGACCGCTCCCCAGAATAACCTCAAGCTGATCCTTACCGCCCGCCGTGTCGACACCCTGAAGCAGATCGCTGAGGAGATCAAGAAGGAGGTCGGCGACGGCGTCAAGGTCCTGCCCGTGAAGCTCGACGTCAGCAACCCCGAGGAGGTGCGGCAGTTCGTGCCCAACCTGCCGGCCGAGTTCAAGGACATTCACATCCTGGTCAACAATGCGTATGGATGACCTTTTTCTTTCTTGACGATACGGTCATGAAATCGTACAGGGGGAATAGACGAGAACATGGCTGACAGTCCATCACCCACAGAGGCTTGGTCAAGGGTATGGCCAAGGCGCCCGAGATCGCCGAGGAGGACGTCAAGGTCATGTTCGACACCAACGTCACCGGCCTCATCAACATGACCCAGGCCATCCTGCCCATCTTCCAGCAGAGGCCCAACGGCGGCGCCGGCGACATCATCAACATCGGCTCCATCGCCGGCCGCGAGCCCTACGCCGGCGGCAGCATCTACTGCGCCACCAAGGCCGCCGTCCGGAGCTTCACCGACGCCCTGAGGAAGGAGCTGCTCGCCACCAGGATCAGGATCATCGGCATCGACCCGGGCCAGGTCGAGACGGTAGGTCGTTTCTTTTTTGGTCGCTGGAGCGCGAGATATTGCGCTCCCGTGTATACACGTGGGTTTCTGCCCGATGGCTGACACAGATGCCAGGAATTCTCCATCGTTCGCTTCTACGGCGACAAGTCCAAGGCCGATGCTGTCTACGCGTAAGTCACTGGCTACTCGAGGGCCATTTAGTGATAAGCTTAACTTGCAAGATGCTGACACAGCCCAACAGCGGCGTGGACCCGTTGACCCCCGACGACATCGCCGAGGTGATCGTGTTCTCAGCCACACGGAGGGAGAACGTGGTTATCGCAGACACACTGATCTTCCCATCACACCAGGTACGTTCTGTCTTGCATGTGCGTGTGAGACCAGCATGGACACGTGAACTGACACCTACCAGGGAGGAGCGGGCGCCATGCACAGGAGATCATAAGTTAACATGCTTGCTTTTGCGATGGGCTGGAGAGAGAGGAATAGGGTGGAGCTTAGATCCCAGGCGTCAGTGCGAATTAGTTTGCGACTAGATTTTATACAACCCAATATATCAATGATTCTGTACTACGTCCTAAGGCGTCAGTCATGGGCTAATAGGAGAGGAACATAAACCTTGATCTGACCCGGTATCACGTACGGGACTCTGCGAAGGCTGCCTTATAGGAGGCTGTCTTCAAATGTTATAGGTCTGTACCCTCCGTTTTGATGAGCGCAAATGAACATTTAACTCTTAGTGAGATCAGCTTTTATATCGTAGTTCTCAATTCTGTGTTGAAAGTGTCTGGAGACTGACCGCGTTATTGCAGTAGTGGTTGGTGATAAATTCGGCTCATGTGACTCGGCTAGGTGCCGCACACAGTGGCCGAATTCTAACTTGTTGACAACGTCCACAACTCTTCATGTGCACTGCATTGCATGCTGGAAGCGTGATTAAAAATTCTTTAATTCGAATCATTGTTCGCACTTTCAGAGTTTCTCACCTTGCCGGTACAACTGGTTGGCCTCAAGTGCTGGGCAGGACGAGCCGAGTGAGCAATTTGCAACGCTCCAGGAGGCCCGGGCCCAGTGACACACCGGCAGCCGTCCAACACAGCACGTCGTGCTACACTCCCCCATCACCTTTACAACAGCAAGACTCACAACCCATGTCGCCACGCCCCGCCAGCGTGGTGATTCGGCTTCGAGAGCTTTGAGACATGGGGATTCGGGGTCTCACAGCAGCTCTGAGGCCCTTTGCTGCTTACTCAAAGCTGGCTGATAGCGTGGTTGTCGATGGCCCAGCTTTCGCATATCACATCTTTTTCGCTTGCCGGCTCGAGAGCCGCGTCTCGACTGCACTCCAGGACCCATCGTATACTGCCCTTGGCTCGGCTGCCATCAGCTGGCTCGACAACCTGCAGTCGCGCGGGAGTAAAGTGTATGAAACCCTGGCCTATCTTACTGGTATCTTTGCTGATGGCTTCCAGAGCGGCAATCTATTTTGACGGATACCTACCAGAGTCCAAGGGCGATGTGCGGCTGCACCGGCTGGTTGAGTCCTCAGCTGCCTCGAACGCGTACTTCGTGTCCACGAAATCCGGCATTCGAACCGAGGGCGATACCCGGGCCGCACCAGCGGCTCGCCAAGCACACCGTGCTCCTAGAATACCAGTCCCGGCTTTCACGGTCCCGTCGATTCTCGAGGCTCTGAGAACGTCAGAGACGTACGGCCACCTCACTCACCTCGTCCCCGGAGAGGCGGATTACTTCTGTGCGGACCACGTCAGGCGCGAGGGCGGGGCTCTCCTCACCTCAGACTCCGACCTTCTCCTCTACGATCTCGGACAGCATGGAAGCGTGGTGTTCCTCAGCGACCTAGAAATTGTACCAGAAGAGTCCGAGTCACGCCCAGTGCTGACATACAGCCAACGTTCTATTTGCGAAAGGTGGTCCCTCGAACCTGGCCAGAATGGCATGTTATCCCTCGCATTTGAGATCCAGAGCGACCCGTACCAGAAGATTTCATACTGGGCATCGCAGGCTCAAAAGAAGCATTCGGCCACCGCAAACCCTGCCGATTACGCGGACTTTGTTTCCGAGTATATTAATGGCTCAGATTCTAGCCTGACAATCCCGGATTCATTGAAATTTCTGGACCCTAGGGTGTCAGAATTTATATTGAGCCGGGTCAGAAATACCGAGACCGCCAGAACAGGCCCTGAGGAAATATCGAATCCAGCGGAGCCGACATTCTATCTCCCTCTGCTTCTTGACCGTTGGGATCATGAGAGTGCATGGAGCCCGAGCACGTGGATACGGCAGCTGGCCTACAGTCTGTGCCAGACAACGCCCTCGGTCTCATCGACCGTCACGGAGTATCGACGGACCATGTCTCCTAAGTCTAAGGGACAAGCTATCGAGTTGTTATCAGAGCCAGAGATGACGGAGACAGCCCACAGGCTGGTGGACTCGTGCAGAACGCTCATAAACCAAAAACCCCAGCTCCCATATCTACGATGGGCATTGTTTTGTTTAAAACAGGAAATCACATATGCGTCGCAAGAGGGCAAAGAGTCGCTGGTCAAGGAGGTCTTCCAGAGAGCGATTAAGTCTAGAAACAGGCTGGACCCGGGGAACTGGAGTACCGTCCACCTGACGGCACAGATGCAGGGGACGCTCTACTCGCTCCGAATGCTGCACCAAGTGCTAAAGTGCCAGGGAGGGCTTCTGGTTGGAACTGCCTCGCCGCAGGTACCAGTGGCCGAATTGCTGGAGTGTCTTTCCATGCTCCCGCCCATCAAGGACTTTCCTGGCCCCACTGATGGTGCAAATTTGTTTCTGCAGCTCCGACATGGAGAGCTGGACGAACTGTTGGATATGACTGGCCTACCACGATCTCTCCGACTTAGAAAGACAGCGACACCCCCTCTGTTGGGGGGCCTAGCAGCTGTGAGGAGGGGACGAGCGGGCAAGTTAGAACAGCGAAGGAGGCCACCACTGTCTGGGAACCCGTTCGGTGCATTAGGCCCAGGCTCTTGACGCGCCCAAGATATGAGCCTTGAACGACTGTAGGCATGATCTCCACGGGGAGGGTTTAAGTTTGCAACACCAGATGCATGGGCTTTTAGTGCCACCAACAGGTGCTAACGTTGAAGGCTGCCAACGGTGCCCCACTGTGATCACACAGCCAACGCCACGGCCCTGCATGTATCTACGGAGTGAGCTGAGTTGGCCCCAGTCGTCACAAGCATCGAGCACAGTTCCCAAAACAATTCAGACTTCCGAATTCATTCCGTCTCCTTGCTTTGAGAAGAAACATCAATCATGGAAGCTATTATTGCTCAGGCCATCAAAGACACTGCCGTCTTAAGGAAGACAACAGTGCCTTGGGAGGCAGACAAGCCTCACGCACAAGGCTATTATGCCTTTGATTCTGCAACATCCTCTTGGGTCCCAGGGTCACCCACTCCCGTGGGGAACATGACTGAGACCTCAACTTCTCAAGGGACTCTCGCCCTGGCGCTCTACACATGGAACGTGGACTTTATGCTGCCTTTTGCAGAGGCACGCATGAGACCGGCGCTGGCTCATCTGGACAGCCTGATCAAGGCCCTCCCGTCCACTACTGCATCTGTCATCTACCTCCAGGAATGCACTCCCGATGATTTGACCACTATTTGCAACACGCCGTGGGTCAGAGAGCGGTATTGCTTGCTTGATATCGACCCAACCAACTGGGCAACCACGCACTACGGGACCACAACACTGGTTGATTCACGCCTGCCCATCGTGTCTGCCTTCCGCGTCCACTACTCCAAGACAAGGATGGACCGGGACGGTCTGTTTGTAGACATAGCCCTCGGCGGAAAGACCGTCCGCCTTTGCAACACTCACCTCGAGTCCATGGCGTTCGATCCTCCCTTCCGCCCGCCCCAGATGGAGCTCGTGGCCAAGTACATGCACGAGGGCCACCTGCATGCTGCCCTGGCCGCGGGTGATTTTAATGCCATCCAGCCGTTTGACCGCACTCTGCACCGCGACAATAACCTGAAGGATGCATATCTCGAGCTGGGCGGGAAGGAGGACTCGGACGAGGGCTTCACCTGGGGCCAGCAGGCTGCGACCAAGTTGCGGGAGCAGTTTGGTAGCTCGCGCATGGACAAGGTCTACTTCTGTGGGGGTGTCAGGATCCTCAGGTTTGAGAGGTTTGGAAGAGATGTGCTGGCCGAGGGGAGGGACGAGCGCGAGCAGATTGTCAAGCTGGGATTCGACAAGGCGTGGGTGACTGATCATCTCGGTGTTGTAGCTGAGGTGCAGTTGACGGCCTTGGGAGATGCACCTGCAAGCCAGCTCTAAGATGACTTCCCTCTCTACAACCGAGGAGGTAGGTGCGGCGGCGGCTGCGGCTTGGAACAGGGGCCAAGACCGCGGGCAGCCCCGCACTAAATCTCTTCCACTGTCGAGCTCCGCCTAAAATTCAGCTGCGGACCTCCAAAGCGAACAAGTCTTTTTTTTACCTCGCAACCTCGCGCATCTTTCCTTTCTCCTCCCCAACCACCTACCAACAAGATGCGGAACACTCTGATCTTCGCGGGCTCATCCTGCCCAGCTCTCACGAGCAAGATATGTGAGAGCCTGGGCATGCCGCCTGCAGAGGCGGAGCTATCGCAGTTCTCTAATGTGGGTGCCAGTCGGCCCTGCGTCTGTCGCCGCGTCTGAAGCGCGCCGTCGTCTGCCACCGCTGCGCCTTGGACGGCGGCCAACCTCTGTTGCAAAAGTGACCTGGCTCACCATCTTCTCTTCTCTACAGGGCGAGACAAGCGTCAAGATCCTCACCAGTGTCCGGGAGAAGGATGTCTTCATCATCCAGTCCGGCAGCCCCACCATCAACGACACCATCATGGAGCTGCTCATCATGATCTCGGCCTGCAAAGGCGGTTCTGCTACCAAGATCACTGGTCAGTGAAGCCCCCTCGCCACCCCATTGACTCGCCTCGCCTCGCCATTGTGCTGACCGCAACTGTCCAGCTGTGCTGCCCTACTTCCCATACAGCCGCCAGTCAAAAAAGAAGTCCCACAGGGGTGCCATCACCGCCAGAATGCTGTCCAACCTTCTTGGCGTTGCCGGCGTCAAGCACGTAATTACGGTCGATCTGCACGCCTCCCAGATGCAGGGCTTCTTTAAGTGCCCCGTTGATAACCTGCATGCCGAGCCGCTCATCGCCCGCTGGATCCGTCACAACGTGCCCAACTGGAAGGAAGCTGTTGTCGTTTCCAAGAACGCCGGCGGCACGAAGCGGGTGACGTCCCTCGCCGACGCCCTGAAGCTCAACTTCGGCATGGTCACAACCGACCGGAAGAGAGGCGGTGCCGGCATGACACACAGCATGATCTTGAATCAGCTCGAGGGTCTCGAACCATTGGAGCCGGCAGCAATCCGCATAGCGCGGAACAGCTTTGCCGAGCCGCGGACGCCAACTCCGCAGGCTGCCCGAATGCGCCGCAGCCGCCTTCAGGCTTCCGAGCAGGGGTCTTCACAGCGCACCAACGGTTTGCAAGTGCAGACCAACGGCCAAACGGGAGATGCTAGTCCCTCCTCGTCGTCCGTTGCTGTTGAGGATCACTCCGACGTGCCTGCCGAGGCGCAGACCGAGGCGCCCACCGAGGGCAATGATTACAATGACCAACGAGCCCGAGAAGTCACGCACGGACGTCTCGTACAGGGCCACATCGTGCCGGATGACTTCCCATCCCCAGCTACGTCAGCTGCAGACACAACCATCCCTGATGAGGACCCAATGGCCCAGTCCCAAGCATCATCCTACTTCTCACCGGATGGGCACGCGCTGGGCGGGTCTGGCGACGCAGAAGCAAGCTCGGACGAAGAGGAAGACAAGCTCAAGGATCCCAAGATCGAGCACATGATCACGCTCGTTGGCGACGTGCGGAACCGCACGGTGCTCATCATCGACGACATGATTGACAAGTCCGGATCATGGATCGCTGCCGCCGAGACCGTTGTGAAGCGAGGCTTCGCCAAGAGGGTCTACTGCATCGCGACTCATGGCGTCTTCGGCGGTGATGCCCTCCAGCAAATGCAAAAGTGCGAGTGCATTGATGCCATCGTCGTCACGAACAGCTACCCCATCAATGAGGAGGCGGCCAGGAATGCGCCAAAGCTCACCGTGCTCGACCTGTCCTTTCTCCTGTCCGAAGCCATCCGCCGCAGTCACTATGGTGAATCCATCAGCCCACTGTTCCAGCACATCCAGGACTAGCACTGCCGCGGAGGCATGTCCGGCGGTCGCACAGAATTTCATGCGCAAGCCAAACGGACGGGGTTGCTTTGCAATGGTTTCACGGGTAGGAATGGCAATTGTAGAGACATTCAAGCGAGGCGTCACGGCAACTTTTTAGGGATTACTCAGAGAGCCCACGAGGCAAGTGTACGGTCATCATTGCTAATTGACCACAAAATAACAGGGCAGCCAGACAATGCAAATATGTATGTCTTCCAAGAGCGCGCGGTCAACGTGCTGTCTCTTTTTCAAACGAAAACCTTCCTGCAGTTCCCTTCACTCTTCCCTCCCCTATTCTCTACCCAGCGTTGCTACCCTTTGGTAGCAGGGGCTCAATCCGCTTCTCCATGGATGAGTCCTTAACGGACCGTTGGCATATCGACCCGAACCAGAAGGCCCGCTGTCATGATGTACTGTCAACTTCCTCGGAATGAAAGTAGACAGCGGGCAAGATAACATCTCGGCACAAACCGTATACCTCGTCGACATTCGCTGAGGCAGATCAAATTTAATTATGACCCCATGAGGGCAGCTTTCCTTGAACCAAGTCTTAGTGCGCTTGGGCTGATGTTTTTGAATCCTTGCTGCTCTTGTCACCGCCGTGGATAAGACCCCTTCATTATGGTCGCCAACGTGTGCGTATAAAAGGCGTGGTCGACAGGTAGCGCGCCCTGTTTCCTGTCTAATCCCCGGCCCCACGTATTTCGCCATCGCAGATCAATCGAGGCCTTACCCCCGTCCGTGACTCTCGACGACGGAAGTGATTTGATGTTCTCGTACGTAATCCTCGGGAACGTGAACTCGGAGGCCAAGAAGTCGTTGGGGACCATCGGCTGGTAATGATAGCCGTTGAAGAGCAGGCAGATATGCCTGGCGTTGTAGGACCCCTTGGTGCTCACCTCGGTTACCTCGGGTGGGACGCCGGCACGCACGCGGATGGTGTACACCACGATGAAAAGGTTATATAGGTCCGCGGTTACGTCGAGCAGGTCCAGTGGAACCCACGCCTGTGGGATCGAGAGGAGCTGGAAGAAGTTTGCCACCAGATCGACATCGGTCCTATTAGCTGTGACCGACGTGTCGTAAAACTTCCTGTTCATCCTCTTATATAGCTGATGCCGCGGGTGGTTCACCCACTCCAGCACGTCGCCGTAGTACCTCAGGTGCTCGGCCTGCACGCGCAGGTTTAAGGCGTGGTCGCCGTACAAGAGGTACGCCAGCGCCTTGAAGAAGCACGCCGAACTGGCGCCGGCGTAGTTGCCCGGGCGGAAGAAGACCACCTCCTCCACCAGCGGGAACCCGCACAGGAGGTCATAAGCGTCACCGGCCCAGTTCCTGGTGACGGCTTCGTCGAGCCCCAGCGGCGGCGAGGACATGTACATGTTCCTGTCCCAGGCCGCGGCCACCTCGCCGTCCGAGGGGACGGCCCAGTTGTTGTCGCGCCGGAGCTGGTCCATGTCGAACCCGAGCCCGTTCTGCCGCGACGGGTACTTCCCCCGGCGCGCCAGGTCCTGGTCCTGGTATTTTATCATGGCGGCGGCTCGAGCTGGCTCCTGGCCCTGCTGGCCGTAGAACGCCAGCACGCCCGCGCCCGTGACGTTTCCTGCCCCGTGACCGCCATCGTCATCGTCATCGGAGTCTATTATCTCTATCGTGACAGCTGGGGGCTGGCTGGACTGGGCGGCACTCGTCACTGAGGTTTGCCCTGTATTGGAAGAGGCAACTGGCGCTTGTGGCGCATTTTGTGCCTGTATGGTAACTTGCTGGGGGCGATACCGAGTTGCTGGCGTTTGTCAATAAATAGCCTGCCTACAAAGCCTGAAGTGGTGCTTTTTTTTTTTTTTTTTTGATTCTTTGTTTAGTCTTGTTTTGGAGCATCCCGAAAGGTGGCTGACTGATGAAGTATCTTGAAGGCAGGAGATGTGTTCTTACCATCGAGCACTGGCGTCTCCCTCCGGATAGACTCCAGGTCCGCCCTCCATATTGTGCGCCTGTTTGGATCGTTTGAGCCTTGCTGATTGACGAACCCCCCGAACAGTCCCGAGGCATTAGATGCCATTGATAAATTTGAAGAGCCCTGCTGGTCTTGTGAAACTGAGTGCTTCCGTCGTCGCCTTGCTCTCGCTGGCTTGGCTTCTACGCTGTCAGTACCTTGCAGTAAATGCTCTCAGTTGTCCAGTTGTCATCAAAATTAGTATCCAAGGTGCGCAGGAAATTAAACTTGATGTTTCTCCAACCCATGTTGAAATTTCGAAAAGACCGTGTTCGTTCGTGGACGCATCCGGCGAGAGTAGTTGTGGCAACACGTTAAGGACAAAGGTGCCCAGGTGGGTTGGATACTTACTTGGGTAATGAACGATCTGCCCCCGTGACTCGACATATGCAATGGTTGAGTCTTTCGGGCTTTTGAAAACATTCAAAGGCAGTGTATTTGGCATGACTGGCATTTTCCCGGCAACCATGTGAATAATCGGTTGAACACTAGAGCAGTGCGATGCTGTGAGCTCAGAAAATGTCGTTGTTACGTGAAATGAAATTCACGCTCCCTAAAAAGCTCAAAGAACGAGACCAAGGGATTCTCCAAAATGCATACATCATGCGAAGGAGAGTAAATGTGGGAAGGGCTATATAATAGCCCAAGAAAAGTACTGTGAAGGTGGGGCAGCCGGAAGCATGTGGGATGAAAATGGTCAGTGGTGTTGAGTCCCATAACGATGCCATTGGGTTATCATGAGGGTTTCACTACCTAGGTGCCTAGTTTCGAAAAGAGCAAGAGCACATCGACTGCATTTGAAACTATCTTGTTCCTCGCCTCCAAAGCGATCGGGTCCAATATGGGCACAACGCCACGTCCAACTACTCTGAGTACTTTGTAACACCTTGGCCCTGGAACTGCCCTTTGAATGTGACTAAGTCCTGTGATGAGATTGATACACCATGCTTTTGCACCTTTCCCATTTTCATTTTGACACCGAACAACGGCTGCAAATCGATAGCACTGCCTGCTCACAGTAAACGGGGCCGACATTCAGGCTTGAGCAGGCTGCCGACCATGAAGCTCATCAATGAGTTCCGCGAAGGAGGTGGACTCAGCGTGTACATCCTGCGAGACATCCTGCAAGAGATTCTCCTGGGGTAAATTTCTACCAGCACCCCTGATGATTCGCCACGCTCTGCGGAACTCGTCACGGATTGATACAATCCCATTGTGTGTGACGGTGCGGGCCACGTTGTGGTCCAGCTCAAATGGGTCCTCGATGGCGAAAAGGTAGCGGTGGCGGACCTCCTTGACTTCGTGCTTGCTCCGGTCCTGAGGCACTCTCGACGCCGTGGCCGGTTCTTGAGATCCTTGCGGCGGTGCTGTCGCAATTGAGGTGCTGCCGCCTTGGGCTTCGGGTCCAGGAACAGGATTCGCCTGGGGCATCTCCGGTTCGGCTGCTGGAGGCTTGTCTGCCGACTGGACCTCGAGGACTGTCTTAGCACCAGTCCAACCCTTCGTCTGTTTGCTTAGAACGCCGCCGGGTGTTCGAAGGCTGATCACGTCCCTGCCCCAGTCGAACCCTCGCATATGCCCTGAGCTCATCATGTTGCCCTGAGCGTAGTACTCGAAGAATCCGCGGAGGAGGAGGCCAATGGAATCCCGGTTCTGCGTCAAGCCGCCCTGTTTGGCTGCGGCTTTAATATCTTCTTCGTTCTTCCAGAACCAAACATTCTTGCCTTGGCAGACGGTGGTGCCATCGGCGCAGAGCTGCGGGTTAACCTGCGGAGCCATCACTTGGAGATTCGGGCACACAAAGGGCTGAGCGACATTGATCAAATAGTGTAGTACCATAAGCACGTAACCATAACTGGAGAGCGTGCCACGATAAGACGTGTTGATTCCTCTGACCTTAGCCCAGTGTTTTACGAACAGGACGAGTGGCCTGACACGAGGATCAGTAAGAGAATAGCAGCGAAGCAGATGTGTGTTGTGGATTGCGAGTTGGGCCGAGAAGTTGATGTCACATTGAACACCGATGCCTGAGCTTGGGAATTCAAGCTTATCCCTGTACGGGTCTCGAGGCAGGTTCGGCGACATGCGAGACGGATCTGAGAATTCGCGGATTCGTGCCACGAGTGCGTCTTGATCAGGCGTCGTTGGGACGATGCAGTCGTAATGGACGTCTTCTGAAGAAATAGGTGACATCGGACCCCGGAGCAATTCGATATATGCCCGGATGTCATCGGCGACCTCGGTGGAGTAAAGACCCTTTTCCAAAGCCTTTTCGAATTCTCGGGCCAGCTGCAGGGACTTGTGTCGTCTCGCGAGGGCCCTGAGTGTCGTTGAGGGGTTGGATTGCAACCAGTCTGAGACTTGTGCTCGAATTCCGAAATCATAAATGCCCTGGCTGTACTGATTCAGAACGACAGGCAGAACTGGCGATTGAGAGAATGGCAGATCATGGCCGCCCAAGTCGGTCAGAAGCCTGAAGGTCCTGTTGTGATAAGATGCAGCAGATTCGTACTGCCCTTGCTCAAGAAGAAGCAATCCGATTGAGGGGATCTTCTTCAAATACTCTGTTGCTGAGAGAAGGTCCTTGTTGTAACCGAGTGGGTCCAAGCCGAAGTTTGGCCTGTTCTGCAGCTCCCTCCAGTGGACAACGCGGTTCCTTGCCAGTTGTTCGGAGTGGTCGTTTCTCTCCAAGATTGTGCGGGATTCGCAAGCCATGACGAGTTTCTCTCCTTCGATCTGCGCCATCACTCCAAAAATAGAACGATTGTTTGGCACAGTAGCATGCTGATCAAAAGCCAGAGACGCATAACCCTGGAGTCGAGTTCTCAAAGCATCGTCCGCCAGACCCTGGATAAATGCCTTGCAGACATCATTGAGGATGCGAAAGTCCTCCTCGCTGAAATTGGCTGCCGTGGAATTGGTAATGTCCTTGCCACCTAATCTCCTCAAGGTCTTCTTCGCTGCGCCATAATAATTGGGCATAGACTTGGCACCCTGCTTCAACTCGTCCAGTAACGCCTGGTACTGATCGATGCCGTGCTCATCATTACTAATATTACCGTTGATGCTGTTTATTTTGCTGTCGTCCGCCATGGAAATATGGTCATCGGTGTTGGCTCTTCCAGTTTGGTGACTCTGGTCGCCAGAATTGGCAGTCGATTTGCGCTCTCCCTCGTCATCTTCTGGCTCGTGCTCCTCCACGACGCCCTTCTCCCACTTCTCGCGCTCCTCAATGAGATCAGAGTAGAGCTTCTTTGTGGGCTTCTGACAGACCTTGATGATAGGCACTCTTGTCTTGCTCAGAAGACGCGCACCTATACCCATTTCCAGAAACGTCTTCTCGATGATTCGTGGGATTGGGGAGTCTGGATTGTCTGGCTCAGGCTGTGAGTACGGCGAGAGGAGACCCAGATCCATATCCGAAGACTTGGTGGCAAAACCAGATGATAAGCTGCCAAAACAGCGCAGCTGAACTGACAGAGCAGGGAAGTCAGTCTGGCCGTTAGTCATCTTTTCGTGTCTGGCTATTGCAACACGGCAGGCATCCTCTATGAGGAGACGGAAATTTTCTTTCTCCTGGATCTGCTCAAATGCGATCTCGGCGTTGGCGAGAATATCCACGGACAGCCTTTCCAGAAGGGCGATTTGAGGACCAAGATCCTCCGCACGAGGGTAAAAAGGTCGTTGGCTGTAGGATGATCCAACCTGACTGGTTGAATTCCTGGAGGCGTGGTTCGAGCGCGAGAAATTAGGCTGGGCCCCGTTGAAGCTATTCACAGGCGCGCCAGGTTGCCTCCAGTCAAAAAGGACAGGCGGGGGCGCGAATGCTGGAAGAGACGGCGAGGGCTGGTGTCTCCCGTGAGGGTTGTTGACATACGGGGACTGGAAGGCGGCAGACTGAGAGCGATAACTTCTGCCCTGCTGGTTGGGATGGCTTTGGCGTTGATAGTTGCCAGTCGACTGGCCACGAGAATGGCTTGATTGTGGTCCGGTGGCACGAGGATCAATATCGACCGACAGCTGCGACGACATCTGGCGTCGTTGGGCCTGGTTCATGCGCTTGCGACCGGGCTTCTGGACTGGTTTGGACTGTCCCTGAGTGTCCTGATTAGGTGCGCTTGCGGATGAGTTCGTGGTAGGAGGGATCAAGGACTGTGAGGATGATCGTGGGACGTCGGCAACCGCACTTTGACCTTGTGCCTGGTCCGCATTCTTGAGGATGAGGTTGCGCATACGGGCCTCAAGAGACACATTGTCCTGTTGACCGGAATCTTGCATGGTGGTCATGGTGTGTGAAATGCTAGGTCGGAGATGGTGGGTTGACGTGAGTGGAAGAGAAATGAGCTGGGGGGCGGACAGAGAAGGAGAGCTGCACAGGGCATATCTCGTGCGGGCAGCATGCGTGAGGCTCCGTAACGAGAGACGGAGTATGTTGCGTCGGTAGAGAAGAGGCTGGACCCCAATACCTCCACTGCAGGCTGACGATAAAACGTGGGGTCGACTGGTTACCAGGCGCGATCCATCGCAACAAGTGATGTTCTGAGATGCTGGGGCCAACTTGGTGTTGACGTTTAGGTCAAGCACGCAGATAGATGGGCGCCTTGTGTTGGTGAGGGTCCTCACCAGTGCCAGGGCGAGGAGAAAAGTGACGGACTTCCGTTCTGTTGTCGCCTGCTTGCATGAAAGCCGATGCGTTACAGCTTAACCTTGTCCAGTTCCGCTGAGGAGAAAGCCCGTGGTTTGACCAAGTCTCGAGTTTGTTTACTGTCTGACGATGATTCCAAAACCCCACTGGGTCAATCAGCCGACTGGTGTGGGGGCTCAAGACTCATTGGCCCTACCAGCCGCGAAGCTCCAAGCTGTACCCCGTATCAACTTACATATTAGCCAGGTACCTGCCTACCTGTGCCCGCTGCAAATACCAACCCTACCCTTCACTCAGCCGCGATCTGGGGCTAGTCTCAGCACCACGCCTGCTGGAACGGATGCGTGAGCAGATGCCGCTTGACTGGAGAATATAGGAGAGAGGCATGTTCTTCTGCATTGCAATAGATGCTCGAGAGGTACTTAGGTAGTCAAGCCAGCCCATGATGTAACGATACGTGGGGTCCCATGCCAGGCCGTAGCAGGTTGGAAGGCATGTACCTACGTACCCATCCCCTGCGAGTCACTGTAAGCTAGCGTCAGTGCAGACGGATCCGTCAGACTTCCCAAACTCGTGTGTGCCGCCGCCTGCTCCTGCGGAACTCTGCTGCGGAGCTCCCTCTTTGTCGCCGCCACTGCCGCCTTGCAACCTTTCTCGAATCCTCAACACAGCACAACCGCGACAAGCCCTACGAACGCGCGACTCAACAGCCAGGCAGGGAATATCAGCAGACGTTATTACTGGGGCATAGAGAACCTGCTACACGCAGCTCGTGTTTGTCCCCTTGCAAACGCCGTCAGGAGCGTTGCCTGGACTCGCACCCACCCGACACGACACGTCCAGGCCGAGCCCTTTGCGCCCTCTCCTCATGTCGCGTCAATTCCTGTAAACCCCATTACCAGCCGGTCGAATTCATCAAGCTTTGCCGTCCGGTCAACCTGCCACCATGAGCGCTCCTCCCAACGGCGTGCCCAATCCGAACGGCGCCAACCCGCCCCCTCCAGGCGCACCGCCGCTGCGTCGCAAGAAGAAGAATGCTGATCCACTGGTCGCCCGCAAGAAGCCCATACCCAAGCCGCCTCCGCCCAAACCAAAGACAAACGCAGGCAGTTCCAGGCCGATACCGGGCAAGTCCGTCCACACCCAGCCCAACCTCTTAGGTGTCCAGGCTCCCAAGGTCGACCAGAAGACCCAGGAGGAATGGAAGCAGCGCCGTCGTCAGAACGGTGGCTGGTGGGACCCTCCCCCGGCCGCCCCAGATTTTAAGGAGTACCCCGTGTACATCACCAAGAAGGATATCAAGGAAGGGCTGCGCTCCCACATCATGCGTTTTGCCAAGGCTCGTGGCGGTGGAAATACCGACATCATGAACGACTCAGAGTTTGCACGACCCGTCACTCTTCACCGGAAGGACGCTCGTAGCCTGAACGTCGTCCAGGCTAACAAGGAAGGAAGTCCTAGCCCAACTCCTGTGGACCCGGTCGAGGCGGAGCGCCTTGAGAAGGCAAAGCTAGAGAAGGAGGCCCAACGAGCAAGCGATCAGGCTCAGATTGCGCCTGTCGCTGCCAAGGACATTGTCTCCAAGAAACAGCCTCAGAAGCAGGAGAAGACCAGTACCCAGACCTTCTATGCCAAGAGAAGTGACGCGCACAAGAAGGAATCGACTATTCGCTATGAGGAATCACTACCCTGGGTCTTGGAAGACGCCGATGGCAAGAGCACTTATGTGGGCGCTTACACGGCGGCACTCTCGGAGAGCATGGCTGCCTTGCAGTATGAGGGCGACAAGTGGCGGTTGATACCGCTGGAGAAATTCTACAAGTTTACCCACAAGCCTCCCTTCAAGACCTACTCGATCGAGGAGGCTGAGAAGTTGATGGGCAAGAAGGTGGTCCAAGGCCGCTGGGCTATGAGAGACGGCGAGAAAGACAAGCTGAAGGAGGAGATGGCGGCCACAAGGCACTATTTGACTGGGCGAGCAAAGGTCAAGACGGAGAGCGACACCTTTAGGGCAGCTGCGCGGTCTGAAAAGCAGGAGCATGACGATCTTGATATGTCTGGCGACGAATTTCAAGATGACGACGAGAATCCAAACATGGAGCCGGACAACGACGAGGATGTAAAGGAGTCTCGGGAGCGAGTTCGTCGTGAGATGCTTGGCGCAAACAATTTCGGAAATGCTGATGAGCAGGCACTCGAGGCAGAGCTGAAACGAGAACTGATGGAAGAGGAGGCCAGAAGGATTTATGGTAAGGGAATTGAGAAAAACCTCATCAAAATTGACAAGAACATGCTCTACAAGCAGGACCGAGAGGATTCGGACAACCTGCTCTCCTCGGTAAGATCTGAAGTTGGATTCTTTTTGAACCGAACTAACTATCGCAGTCTGAGGATGATTCCGACGAGGAGAAGGAAGTCAAGCAGGAGGACGGCGACAAGACGGGCGCGGATGCGGCATCCGGAAGCGCCATCAAGGGGGCAGGCTCTACCGCTGGCAAACCCAAGACGGCTCCTGACAGTAAGAAGGGCAAGAGCCTCAAGCGTCCTGGTTCTCCGAACCTCTCGGAGATGGAATCTAGTGGAAACGAGTCTTCCCGGAAGAGGGCCAAGAAGCAAGCGACCGGATCTGTCCAGGGCAGCCGCTCGTCTACTCCCTTGCCTAGTTCGCAGCGGGCCAAGCTTGCCGCCGGCGCCATGAGCGATGGCGAGGCCACTGGAGGAGAAATGTCGGATGCCGGCCGTGCAAAGAAGAAGGCCCACAAGGTCACGGTGGTGAGCGGGACCCATGGCAAGGGTACTCCCACTGGCTCCCGAGCTGGCAGTCCTGCTCCAGGTGCAAGCCAGGCCCCTTCAGGTATGTGCCTCCATGCCACGCTTCTTCCGCACCTTTTGCTGCACGCCAGAATTGTGCTGTACGCGTTGCTGACAGGGGTCATGTCTAGGTTCTCAATCGCCCATTCGTCGTAACTTCGACTTCTCTCAGCCGCCGGGACCTGTCTCCGTGGGCGAAGTCGCGTCGGCCATCCTGGCCCAGCAGCCCCCCGGCGTCCCTATAGCGAGATTGCTCCAGCAGTTCGGCGGTCGCATCGGTGAGGGGCCGAACCAGACACCGAGACCGGTCTGGATTTCGTACGTCAAGCAGGTTGCAAAGTGGGGCCCTAACAAGCTCTTGCAAATCACTCCTCAGGGCCGTACATATCTGCCGCCTTCCTCATAGGACATCATAGGGTGTTTGGTTCGATGCGCCAGTGCTGTATGCGCTACTGCGGGAAAGGGTTGGGAAACATCACAGGTGCAGCAATAGAAAACAGTCTCCTCGTACATCTGGATGAGCTTGCGTGGTCTAATTTAGGCTGGCAAGAACAGCCTTTTTTTGTGTGTGTGTGTGTGTGTTATGTTATCTTTAATAAAATGCCACAAGAGCCACGTAGTCATCAACAGGCCGTGGCGCTTGCTCGTAGCCGAAGGCCATTATTTGCCTTGAGGATGTTCTACTTCCGTGAGCCAGTGCGTGAGACCAGTCGTGCGGGCTTCACAAGCTCCTTTTGCCTGCTCACGCGTCCATCTGCCAAGAGTACTCCAACCCCTTGTTCCTTTCCCTGCGGTTGATGGCCTTGAACCTGTCCGCCTCGAAGCCATTGCTCCTATCCACGCCATCCCACCTGTAACCTGGTTTTATACCATAACGATTTGGCGGCGACGGGCCCTTATATACAGGCCGTCTGCTCGCGCCGCCGCCCGCTTTTGCAGCAGCACCGCCCCGGCCACCGCTCGATGTCGCAGATCCGCCTCCACCGCCACCGCCCGCCTCGCCCAGAAACCGCGCCATGGGGTCGTTCCACCTCCTCTCCTCCCTCAGCGCCTTGTTCATGTCCTCGTCGTCGGCCGTCCGGGCGAGGGTCATGGTCTTGGCGTCCTCGAGCTGCTCGCGGCGGCGGCGCGCCTCCTCGGCCTGCACGTCGCCCTTGAGCGCCTCCTTGGCTGCGCGCTCCTTGTCCTCGGCCGCCTGTGCGGCGCGGCGCGCCTCCGCGCGCTTCATGCTCACGTCGACCCGCCGCCCCGTTGCGTCTCGGTAGTACGTCTCCTCCTCGCCGTGCTTGACCAGCCCCGCCCGCCGCTCCGCCTCGAACTGGTCGCGCTCCTCCTGCTGCCGCCGTTCGATCTGTGCTGTGACCGCTGCCGCTGTCTGTAGCCCCGCGTGCGTGCCGTCCGCCATGCGTGCCGCCGGGGTCTGGTCGTCTACCATTGTGGGTGCGTCGTCTTCGGCTGCTCGTGCCGCGGCCGTCTCGGCGGCGGCGGAGGCGAGGATGGCGTCTGCTGCTGCGGCGGCCTCTCTTTCTTCTTTTGATGCTGGGCCGCTGGTGCTGCCGCCCCCTAACGTCTTCCAGTTTGCCTTTGTGGTCTTGCGAAGATCCTTGACCTGGCCCACCGTCACGGGGCCATCCTCGTCACCATCGCCATCACGCCTTGGTTTGCTGGAGCTTCCCCAGCCTTGATCGTCGTCGTCTTTTATGAGGAGCCCGCCGCCGGAGGATTTGTCGTGCTTGCGCTTTCGCTTCTTGGATGAGGGCTTGGTGTCTGGAGTGAGGTAGTGGGTGGCGAGGTAGGAGGAGAGGTCGGAGGGCATCGTGACCGCTGGGATGGGTGTGGTGCAGGGTCGACGGTGACCCTGCTTGTCTGGCCTTGCCGCCGGTCAGCTGATATGGTTATTGCGAGGCTACACAGTTGATGTGTGGCAGCTATCGCGGCCTCGTCTGAAATTTGATGGAGTTGTTCAGCCTTACGGCCGAGCTACCAATCCAGATCGGCGGTCGCATCAGCAGGGCCTCTTCAACGTGCACGCAGGCAGGCAGGTGCGCCTGGGACTGGGCCTGGTCTGTGCATTTCCCCCAAAGGCAGGGGGGGCCTGACGCAGCAGCGACGGCTGCAGGGTTGACCCCCACAATGCGAAGCACAGCTGACGGAACAGCGATAACAGCTGATAAGACAAATGACATCACCCCAGGCCGCAGCAGTGCCCGCCGGCTATCCCGATGGTGGCCTTGCCCCTTTTTGCACGGCGCTTTCACATGGCTGACATGGCCGGTCACAGCCGTCGCGCACGCGCATCAAGACCGGATCGCAGGCTGGGGCTGAGAGGGCACAGCCGGACAAGACATACATCATGCTCAGAAATAGGGCGAGTACTCACGGCGTGTGGTGCCACGTTGTACGGCGATCGGGCTCCCGCAGTTTCGATTCGCGATACGTCCGTCCTGTCGGGTTCTGAGGCACCGTTTCTGGTGGACAGAGTCCAGACCCGTCTCCTTGCCAGCAGCAGAAGCCCCAGGAATGACGTTGTTTCGACGTTGCGACAGAGCTGCAACCGTCTCGGGGAAAGACCCCAGGCGACACCACGTCCTCGGTTCCCACGAGCTGCCAAGGATGTTATCGAGGCACCGAGGCACCCTGGCACCACAGCACTGGTGACGATCGTCCATGCCACGCCCTGGAAGTGATCACCGACTGTCTTACTATGGCAGCTGGATGACCATATCCGGCGGATGAAGTGGAGCTGGGGGCTCTCCGACTCTTTCCAAGGGGAAGTCTCCCAAGAGGCATTACCTACGACGGACGTGCGGTTGGACATTGCGGCGCCCGTGCCAGGCATCTTTTGACCGCGTATCTCCCGCAGGCACGACGTGCTGAGAGATATTATTCCACATGCGGGGGGCCTCGGGTGAGTCGGTTTCATGCAGCTAGCTCAACAGGCACTGTGCCGTCAGGCCGTGTAGCTGCATGACACGATGGGGAATCGCATGCGTTTCTGAATCACCACCCGCTTTCGCACGGCTGCGACTTGCGACTGTGATTTGACGACGGCCAAGCGCTCCACCCCCAGGTCCGAGGCGCCCGGCCAACATAGCTGACATTCAGGCATTCTGACATTCTGGCCTTCTGATGGACTGGTGGGGACGGACAGTCGAGCTTCTTTGTTTGCTGGCCGGCACGCTGCACTGGGCGACTGGCTGGCCGCTCGGCCTGATGGAAATCCTGTTCCAGCCCGGCTTCGATCGGGCGAGCTGAAAATAAACACATCGCATTGCAGAGGCCGTTGGCACTGGTTGAAACGGCCAGCAGGCCTAAGCTAGCGGCCATCTGGGCACCCGGCTGGCCGGGGTGAGGACCTGGCCGGCCCTTTGCCCATTCCATCATCTCCAGTCCTGCCCTGTCCCACGATATGGCTACGTAGGCTTGCGCAGGAGGCCAAGCTGAGGGATGCCCAATGGCGGCAGCGATGGTGCAGCCACGGGAAGCCATTCCTGGGAGACCGTGACGGGGTGACAGGCCCTGAGAGACACGCTTGAGAGGTCAGCTGCAGCGAGAGTAGGCGTGGGATGACCGAATCTGAGGCGAGCTCCCGAGGTTGTGCTGTGTTGTGCTGTCACTGCCAGGAGGAGCCGCAGGTACTCCGCGCGCGTGGCTTAGTGCAGGGTGACTTGCAGCCCTTCCCCCCCAACCCCCAACCCCCAACACCAACCCAGTCATCCGGTCTCACTCGTCCTGTTCGGGAAGTGGACACAACCATGTCACCCTCCCCAGCTTTATCAGCGACCTCTGGGTCCGTGATCCCGACCACCGCGATAAGCTAGAGTGCCCGCAGCCTTCCCAGCAGGCAGGGCCGAGAACGCCTTCCCCCCTGGCGCATGTATACCTTGGGGCCTACGCGCTGCCCCCGAGTCTCGCCTCCCCTCGGTCTGCTGCTCATGCTTCATAACATCACAAACAAACCACCGCACACATTTCAAAGCAACTACATTGTTGGGACTGTCCTGACCATTCTGTTGCCGTCTCAGCCTCTTGCGTCACCCCGAGAGCCTCTGCCTACATCTTCCGTCATCACGCCGAGCCTTTGTACCGTGCCTATCTGGCCGCATTATCGTGCCTCTTTGTCTCTGAGTCACCCCGGCGGAAACAGCCTCTCGCTTCCTTGAGAGCACTAGACTGTCCAGTCCCCAGTATTGCCTGCTCCGGTGCCAGGCCACAACACGTCCCGCAAGAGCCACCCTCGAACAAAGCACGGTCAACTGAACGGTCCTTGCCTCCTCTGTCCCGAGTGATCAGCAGGTAGAAGCCCGCTCACCGTCTGACTGGACTGCCTGCCTCGCCCTTCAAACGGCCCCTTTTCCTTCCAGAGGATCCCCAGATCTCGCTGGACTTTGCACTCTTTCGCAATCCAAATTACCCACCTCCTACGAGTCCTATCTCTTTCTGCAAACCCCATCCCGCTGCAAACGCAACGTGTAATCGACACCTTCCCACATCGTTTCGCTAAGCCCATCGTATCCTTCTCCTTTTAAACCCGAAATCATGGCGGCTTCCATCCAGTTCGAGCGTGACCTTCGCAGCGCAAACCAAGAGTTCAAGCGCGGAAAGGACGCCTCCGTCAAGTGGTCCTTTGGAACCACGGCATCACCCCCGTGGATCATGCCCGGCGCGCCAGACCCGGACAGCGAGAACTTCAGGGCCCGACCACTAGGAAAGTGGAGTGACGAGTGAGTTCGCCCCAAGCCTCGACCTCACTCACCACGCTGCTGTGTGTCGTGACGCGTCCTAACCACTGAGGCAGGTGCGGCAGCATGGACAAGGACAAGGGGAACATCAACAAGTACACTCGCACAACGGGCCGCCTGAGGGAGATACCCTCGAAGCGGGCTCGCTCCAAGGTGTCTGCCCAAGAGGAGATCGCCGAGGCGGCCTTCACGTCGCGGTCGATCCTGGACTACCTGCCCAGCCCTGTGCGCCGGCAGAGCTCGTCCGCGGACAACGTCCTCTACAGCTTCGACCGCCAGGACTCGCCCGGCAGGCCGCTGACCCTTGACATATTCGTCAAGAAGGGCGGGCGCGACACGGAGCGCTTCGTCGAGAAGGAGTACGAGATCCTTGACGCCAACGGCGATGCCCTCAAGGGCCGCAAGGCTCGTCGAAACCTCCGCCGAGGCGTGACCAACGGATCCAAGCCTGCGGACGACGACGTGGCCGAGGTCGACGAGGACGGGTTCGAGCTGCTGTAAACGTAAAGTTCGTCTCGGGAGCGCATCGGGACGCGGTCGGGGATTCGCATTCGACAGGTTTCTCTCGCCTGGCCCTGCCGGGTAGCCCGTTTTGAGTGCTGCCTGCTCTTACTTGTTCATTTCACCCATCATGTCCAGAACGTCGACTCATTGGCATGTTAATCACCCCTTTTTCGTCTACTTTTGAGTCGGTCACTTTGGTCGCTCGCAGGAGTTTTGGTAGGGATCGGAGGCCGGGAAGCATTGCGCTGTCGTGAGATGTCGCAGGGAGTTTGTGTTTATTTTGGACTTGAGTATTGTACATTGGAGGGAGTGGCTCGGTCGACGTATTGTGCTGTTGTTCTTCAGTTTAGTTTGAGCATTGGTTACAAACCTTCTGCAGACGCGACAACCGTCATTTGGCTTGGTTGTCGCCTCCGCCGCCTACACGCCTGGAAACAATACATGGTTCTGGAAGGCCTGGAATGAAGAACAGAATAGCATTCCCAACATAGCTAAGCAACCAATTACAATATCGTGTCGTTGGTTCATGAACCTGGGTCAGATGGGTTGGGTCGAAAAGATCAATTGCAGTGCTCAATGCGGCGGCTGGGTTTTGTGGGGGAGGAAGGGTTTGCTCAAAGCTAGCAGCCCAATTCTAAGTCCAGTTGAGCAGCAGGACTGCACGTGCTGGCCGCTACCCGTTTCGGGAATGCTACCTTCTCGTGGCTGTCCACTCGCTACCTGGTAGCAAAACACAACCTTCTGTGCTTCCACATTCAGTCGTGAATTTCTTCTCCAACAGACGAAGAAAAGATGATGGGGAAAGTATCTGAATATGGTCTTGAAGTTTCCAAAAGTCAACGCATTGCCGCAGGCTTTCACAGTCGAGATGCACAAGCCAAGACCGCATATGCCTGCATCCATCAATCACCCTTGAGACGCCCCTACCAAGTGACTCACGCCGGCGAGCACTTCTCGGAATTTGACTCCTGGCCTCGCTTTACCGTCTCGTAAAGTGGAAACCTCTCCGCAGTCTTGGAAGTTCATGACCGAAGGCAAGACTAGTGTAAGTAGGCCACGGGGCTGACCAGCAGGACCAGGTAGGATCAGAGCTAGACTCAGCCTCTCTTTTTGCCCCCAATTCGTACCCGTGGAGTCATGTCGTCGCACCGCCCCTTGTTTGTTCCAATCTTTTACTAGCCTTTGTGGGACTTTGGAATAAGCTGCTACCCTGGACGTAGTTGAGATGGCCTATCTTTTGGGTGCATATAACGTTCTTGAATGGGAGTTGTTCAATGGAAGCAAGTTCACTTCCAATATCACTTGTCCGTGGTTCAAACCAGAAACACCGAAGGCAATCCAGTGTCACAAGTAACTGTTGACGAGCGGTCCATTCACTTGTAACGCCGAGAATTATTAGGGGCCATCTCAACGAAAGTTCCAATAACTCCCCCCCCCCTTTCCTACACCCCCCCATCTCAATTAACAGAGTACAACCGGCTGCCAAGGGCTCAGGCCGTCATGGCGACTTCCACGAAGCTCTCGCTTACATCTCGTGACACCGCTCTATGCATCATCCCACCAAGGAACCAGTGGACCAAGGTCGACCAGCTAAGGTCTCACTACGACAGAGCATACGGGAAATGGCCTCCGCATGTCAACCTCGTCTACCCCTTTGTTCAGGTAGATGCCTTACCGCGGGCTGCGGAGGCGGTACAGTCAGCAGCAGCACCCGTGCGAGGGCAGAAACCCCTGGACATATGTCTCGATGCCGCCGGCGTCTTTCAGCACAAACAGGACAAGACTATTTACATACACGACGAAGACGATAGCCAGCTCAAAGATTTTCGTGCGGCCATAATGCAGGCTTTGGGCCACCAGGATGCTGGAAGTTATAACATGCACATGACCATCGGTCAGAGCGAAGATAGTAAGTCCACCTTGACAAAGCGCGCATAGTATTGTTCGAAAGGATACGAAGGTGGCGTTGTCCTGCGGGATACTCCCTATGAGACAAATGTCTACAGAACAACTTCTAGAGGATCGTCGAACATCTTGCTGACTGCCACCATCACAGTGAATGAGTCTTGGCACCAATTCCTTCTTCAGAAGGCACGCTGGCTTCCCAAGGTTGAGTGGTCAGTAGACCAACTGTATATCCTCATTCGGGAAAAGTTACCAGCCGGAGGCTCAGAAATGAAGACCTGGGCAATAATATCCCTGGATGACGGTAGCATTTCCAGATGTGACACGCCAAAGCCATTTTTTGACGAGCTACCCGCAGTTGCTGAGAAGAATGGGATGCCGTACTCATATCTCAGCGATAGTCTGTGGAGCCAGTCCTCTCGAGTGCACTATTCCGCTTCTCCATCTGCTGAGATCTCGAATTTGGTTGTCTCGTCATACAATGTTCTCGCCGAATTCGAGTATCCACCTTCGCAGGCTCGATACCCTTTGATCGTCAGGAACGTCCTCTCCGACAGCGCCAGAGCCGATGTGCTTGTCCTGGAAGAGGTTACCGATGACTTCCTCGTCTTTCTCTTACGCGAGCCTGAGATCCGCGAACTGTTCACCTTCTGTAGCTGGGGACCACCAGACCAGGAGGACGTCCAGCCGCTTCCAAGTCACAACAACATTGTGGTTCTCAGCAAGCACGCTTTCACGTGGGAGCATGTGCCGTTCCATCGCGAGCACAAGGGCGCGATTGTAGCCCAATTCCAGTCACTCGGACAATGGGATGATGCAGATTTCAGGCCCCTGATCTTGGCTGCCGTGCATCTCACCCATGGTCTCAAGGACGGCTCAGTGGCGGCGAAGAAGATGGAAATCGAGACCATTCTCAGGTATCTGGACGACACGTATCCAGAAAACCCCACGATCCTGACTGGAGACTTCAACATCACAACATCTTCGTATACCATAAATCAGGCCCTTGAGAAGAAGGCCGTCACCCCTCAGTCGATCACATACCTTCGAAATATCGAGGAAACCTTCGTACAGAGTGGTTTCGTTGATACATGGGCAGAGTTACAAGTCGAAGATGGAGCCGCATCTGATGATGAACTTGACGCAGCCTTTGAGGGCGAACAGGGAGCGACTTATGACCCAATTACTAATGCCCTCACGGCAGAGATTGTCGGAAGTGGCTTCAACATGCGGCCTCAGAGATATGACAGGATCCTTGTCAGGGCAGGCGACTATCTGAAAGCCCTCAAATTCGACAAGTTCGGCTTCGCCACAGAAGAGATCGGCAAATTTGCTAGTGACCACTGGGGTGTGCGGGCCGTCTTTAGGATTGGGCCCGAGGCAGAGAGCCAGGAGGCTCTCTCGACTGCCGCAGATATCACGCGTGTCAAGCTGAAGACCGGCAAGCACTTGTCCGAGACTGAGGACGATCTGGCGGGGCTGCTCAAGCAGCTACAAGCTATTCCTTCGGAAGGAGAGGTTCAGCAACACGCTGCAGCTTTCAAGCTACTTCGCGAGACGATCCTCGAATCCCCGGCGCCGACTGTGTCCACCGAGACCGGTCGGTCAAGCACGCCTCTGGTTCTTGTCCCTGTCGGATCATATGGGCTGGGCGTGTGGACAAGTGCTTCCGATATCGATTGCCTCTGCATCGGGCCGTTCAGCTCGTCTACTTTCTTTTCCCTTGCCACCCAGCGGCTGCGCAAAGCCGCCGACAAGGGCGTGAAGGTGATGCGGCGGGTCAAGGCCCACACTGGCACAATGCTCGAGCTTGAAGTGAATGGCATCAAGGTCGACCTTCAATATGCACCTGCTGGTGCAATAGCAGCGGAATGGCCGCATTGCCTCCGGCTACCTGCGTCGGATCCTGTTTGGTCGTTGTCGGCACAAACCCTGAACAAGCTGAAGTCAATCCGCGACCTCGACTATGTTCGCCGTTCGGTACCTGATATTGTCAAGTTCAGGCTTGCGCACCGCCTGGTGAAGACGTGGGCGAAGAGAAGAGGCATCTATGCGCTGAAGTATGGTTATCTGGGCGGTATTCCGATCACAGTTCTCCTTGCAAGGATTCATAAGCTACTGGCTCGTGACAGCGGGGTCGTATCGCTGTCGGATCTGCTCTCGACATTCTTCAACCACTATGCCGGGTTCAATTGGCGAGCTGACGTTGCTTTCGACCCATTCTTCCACAAGCAGCTCAACTACAGGAGGACTGACCGAGAAGCGCTGGCTATCCTGGGCTACGCCCCGCCGGCCTTGAACACATGCCTGGCTGCATCCGTGCCATCCGTGAGGACCATCGCCGAGGAGTTCCAGAGGGCCGACGAGATGCTCTCAGAGGAAGGAATGACATGGTCGAGATTCTTCGAGACAGACGGGTCGGCCGACTTCCTCAAGTCGTACAAGAGCTACATCAAGATCAACGTCCAGTTCTGGGGCGGCTCCCTCACAAAGGGAAGGGGCCTCGTCGGCTGGCTCGAGTCTCGGTGCGTGTCACTGCTGGTAGACCTGAACCGGCGCCTGCCGGATCTCCATGTCCGGTTCTGGCCCGCCCGCTTCGTCGAGGCGTCGGCGGGCGACTCCACGGAAGACGAGCAGGGCGACTACGAGGGCTTCTACCTGGTCGGCCTGGACAGGCTCGAGGGCAGCGCGACGGACGAAAAGACGATGCAGGAGAAGCTGCTGGACGTGCTCAGGAAGTTCGAGGATCAGATCCGCGGGGACCCCAAGTACTACGACGAGCGAACGTCGTGGGTGGAGGCGGGTGTGATCAGGCGGGCGGCCCTGAAGCAGCCGCATGTCGATGCCCGCGAATGGGGCGAGTACACCATCGGGGATGAAGAGTCCGATGAGGAGGAAGAGGAGGAAGAAGAAGCGGCACAGGGGTCTAGTGTCTACGAGGACTACCAGGCTGTCCACTCTGCAGCAAAGAAGGGCAGGACGACCAACCAGCCGCGCTCCGTCGTCGTCTCCAAGCCAGCCGGGGCCGGGAAGTTCAGGACGGCATCGGACGTGCTGAACCGGCTTCGTTGGGTAAGTTTTCTTTCCCACACACATCGCACAATCACAGATGGATCTTGTGGTAGATGACACCCAAAAGCTAACCACGGAAGCCACTTCACAGGACCCATCCCTCGACAGCGGAGACTTCATCGTAGGCTACGAGGACCGTTTCGCCGGCGCGATGGAGAAGGCGCTGGACACGTGGAAGTCGGAGCAGACGGACGAGGAGTTCATCCCACAGCACCGGATCCTCTATTTCAAGCGCAGGAGCGACGCGACCGTCGTGTGGGAGAGGCGGACGCGGATCGACCTGTTGTTCGGGAGTGGGGGCGGCGGCCCATCCACCACTACCACCACCACCACCACCACTTGATGGGTTGAATTGTCTGTTACAGGCGAGACAAAGGGAGAGTCTGTCTGGCTTTGCCGGCACTTGAGCCATAGTTGCAGCATAGCGTAGCGTTTATGTTTGACTTTGTCTGACCATGCATCTATTTGTTTTTTTCAGTGCATAACTGGGTTGCCCGGATAACCCGCATTCTGCGACGCTGTCTCGCTTCAGTTGCTCGGCTCGGGTTGCTTGTGTGAGTGAGCCGGGGGAGCATTTGGGCAATGAGAAACGCGCGGCCTGATTGCTTGGCCTCCCCACGTGGTCGTCCCTACCTTCGCTTGTATGAGCGTCCCAGTTCGGGCAGAGCCGAGACAGACACTCGGAATTGACCCTTGAAAAACGTTCATCTGCAATCATGTAAAATATATTCTGGTCATCCAGTCGGCTTTCTCGTTGTTTCGCACGAGGCGAAGTTGCCGCGATAAAATGTAGCCAAATGACATGGTAATAGTACGAACATACGGAAGGGGTATCGCTGAAACCCTTGGAAAAAATGCCTGTGTGCCTTTCTTTTGCTTGCTCAAAAATATGGCAGCGCCACCTTTCATAGCCGAGATGAGACCGATGGCCAGAATTTCACCGCCGAACATGCAAATCTCTTTCTCCTCTGCCTTTTGCCTTTTACTTGTGCTGTGCCAGCTTGAGCGAAATGAATTCCCAACGCCAAATGCATGTGCCAAATGTATGCCACCGCTGAAAAAAACCAAAGGTCCCGCCTTATATCATCGGTCCATTGGGATGCTGATGGGGGTTGGCACCCCATAACGCAGCACCGACAACTTGTTGTGTGCTGTTCGGCCCCTGCCGCGAACCATGTGGCTCATCCGGGCTGATGGGGTGATTTGTCGTGTTTGGTACTTCATAATACCCATCTGTCGAAAGCGCATGACTTTGGACAGGTGGTCGTCGGTCGTGAAAGGTGTCGGTTTGCGACTGGTAGGATTCGGGCTGAAACCGCGCAGCTCCTCGATGTCCTAGATCGGCTTCATAAGGTTGGTCTTCTTTATAAATGTCATACGGGTCGAGGGGAGTAGTACTCGACGGATCCGCCTGGGCATTAGCGATCAAGCCCGCCCCCTCCTCGTGATCCTCCTCCGGGATCGGACTGACAGCCTTTTGCCCGCCTGTGTGTTGGTTCATACCAAAAGTGCTTCGCCCTGGGAATTTAGTCAGCACCTAGTAGTGCCTAGATTACAATTTCTCTTAACGGGCAGAGGGTGACAGTTATGGGTCGTTGTTGAGCCATCAATCTTAGCAGCCCCATGATTATGCCTCACACGAAAGCAGCCAATTCATGTTGCTGGGGTTTGCTTACGAAACTCGGTCGCAATGGGCAAGTGGTCGGTGCTCTTGCCCCCAGGCACCCGATTGTATGGTTGTAAAGGATATGATGCGTCCTTACCATCCATGTTTATGTCTCCTTTCTGGCGGTAGCTGGCATCCTCGCGACGCCTCTTGGCCCCGACAAAAAGCCAACGCATACCGCGACCAAACGCTTTGATGACATCCCACAGGTTCAGGGCGTCCCAGAGGGCCTTCAAGCCAATAGAGCCTCCAGCAGGCGGGACATGTATGTTCTCCTGAGGTGGTGCAGTCGATTCTTTGTTCGGCAGGGGATAGAAGATCGGAGGCGCGTCCGGTCGGTATGGCCGCCAGGGGTACGCCCAGATGTGCATGATAGAAAACAGCAGCATCTCGATGCACAGCAGTAAGGAGGGTATGCCGACCGCTATGTCAGGATAAGCAAGTGTTGCGGTGGGTGAGATGATGTCAAACTCGCCAGTTCCGACAGATATGGCCATCGTCTGCCAGAAGCTGAGGAAAATGACACCCTTGATAGCCAAGACCTTGAGGAAGGGCTTGTGAGAAGAAAGTTCATTCTTGAGCTGCACGTAGAACTGGATGACACAGTACATGGCGATGGTGACGGCAACACAGTTGATACTGGCACACTATTTCACAATGGGTGTCAGCCAGGTGGTTGGACAGGTCATGGCGACGGGAATAGCAGAGGGCAAACTCACCCAGATGTGCGCGAAGTAAGGACTGTTGGAACTTTCGCAGTAGCGGTCGTACTTGTTACTGACAACGGCCGTGATGGTCATGGCAACACGGATGAAGCAGTAATGGTAAATGCCGACCCAGATGATGTTGAACCAGGTGAGGCCGCTGACTGGGGTGCGCCATGGGCCCCTGTCGCCGCCGCAACACTTCTTGAACCAATTGATGGGCCATACCCAATCCTTGACGGGGTGCAGTTCTCTGAAGAATTGCTTCTGTGAGTGAAGGTCGGCCGCGGTGTACTGGCACAGCAATGCGAAGAAGGATGAGATGGCGAATGCCTCGTAGCAGTCTGAGATCACAGCAAAGTAGACGGCCTGGTGGTAGTATCTCAGCTGGAGGAAAGCAGAGGCTGCATAGATGGGAATCATGAGGAGGATGCGGATGATGCTGGCGGGTTTGTTAGCACGGGTGAGCCGGGCGCAGATCGCCATTTCAGGATGGGGAGCCGGGAGAACTGGAGACGCGTACTACTTCTGCTCATCAGGTTTTGTGTAGTTCAAGGCGTGCATCCATATCAGATAGAAGCTGATGAACATGGAGAGAAGTGCGGTTGCGGCAGAGACTATGAGGGCCAACTCATGGAAGGTGAAGGGGCCGGCCATGGGGATCTCAGAGACTGGTGGCAGTGGCAGTCGGGTTAGCATGGATGGGTTCGAGTTGCGCGTCATGGGCAGCGGCGCGCATTCATCTGGGAAGGCTCACTCTCCATGTCCTCCACCGTCGTGTTGCAATATGTCAAATTCATCTTTGGTGACTTGGCCACCAGGCTCAACCATGAGCCCTGTCCTGCCTTGCGGCGCCTGCTCGAGTTGTGGTCGGCGGGATTCGAGATCGGGTTTCCGTATATCCCGACAGCGCAATAGGTCGTGGGTAGTCGTTGGCTGTCTCGCCCTCGCCTTCACCTGAACTTCTGCTGAACTGGACCGACACTCAGCAAGGCCTCGGATCTAGATCCCAAATCCTAAGCTCTTCTTGATCAAGTGTTCCTGCAGCGCGAGGGAGCCTTTCAGCCGCCGCTTGTCCCAGGCGATTCGACTTCTCGCGAGCGGTTGGAAGCGATACGAGGCGGCGGGATTGAAACAGCTGTCATGGGAAGCAGAGGCCAGGTGAGACAGTCAGTAGCGGTGACGGCCAGGAGTGTACACGAGTTCGCGCTCGGGATGTGGTGGGCGGGTTGGTTGGGCGCAGTTGTGGCCGGGTCGTCTTGGGGCGAATGGTCGTGAACTCGAGACCAAGGCGATCGGATGGTGGCCAGCAGTGGCGGCGCCAAGAACAGAATAAAAGGGTCGCGGTTGACGTTGTCCAGCAGCTCGAATCAAAAAGGGGCCTCCTGGCGTCACCGGGAGTAGGCGACGATATAGTTGGAGAAGAAGAGGAACGCAAAAAAGGAGGAGGGATCGGACGGGATGCAGCCAAGTTCAAAGTGCGCCTTGGGTCCAAGGCTTGTTGTTGCAGTTGGAGAACTAGTGGAAGGCTTGGTTCACTTAGCTGCAGGCGGCGCCCTCCCTCGTGTGAGACTGTGACCCCCCTCCCCCCCACCACCTCAGCTTGCCGCGCCTGGCAAGCCAACACCCGCAGTGCTGGGCAACTGGGCTGCCTGGCTGCTGGGCCAGCAGGGAAACAAGACGACGGCAGCCGGCCCCCCTGTGTGCCAGGTCTCGTCAGGGACCGGCTGGGACCTCGGGAGCTAGGTGCCAGGGGCCCGCATTTGCGGAGGACAGAGGCGACGAGGCTGAGCGCTCTGAGGACCCTGTTCGTCTCAAATCGCCCGCTCAATGGCCCGTTTTCTCAGTCACCATCAGCCAAGACCACACAACTGCAGCGCTACGTAATACGGGAATGCACAGGACCCTCTTTTGAATTCCGGATCGACTGTCTGCCAATCTCGAGAATTTCGCGGTCTGCCCCCGATCACAATCTGGTGATATACGGAGGTGGCACGTGAGAATACAATTCCATTACGACTGCATATTCCCTCTGTCGTCGTCATCTTGTCTCTCGTTCGTCCTACGAGTATCCGCCATCAAGGCCAGACTATTGCAGTCTGGCAGCTCAGCTCAGCCTGCACATGGCCCCACTATTGTAGCCGCTGGTTTGGCATGTCTGACGACAATCGACATGTTTTGGATTCTGTCGCTCAGATCCAAAAGGAACCAGGCGTCAAACGCCGAGACGCCGTTCCCCAGCCACTCACTCATCCCTCCACCAGAACACACCTGTCCAGCTGTCTCTGCACAACTGGATACAGCACATCGATGGAGACGGCTAGAGGAGGCGAGGCAGTGCCGCAGCAGGACTCTCTCGCAGATGCAGTAGGCGCTGGCGACGCCTATTTCAAGTGCCAAGACTCGGGGTGTCTCCGCACCCTGCCAGCCCACAACCCAATTCGCCCGAGCTCCTCGTGCATCATCTCAACGCCCTCGATTCGAGCTCCCCGAGTCATTCATCGTCGTTATTGCCAATTAGCGCACATAGGGCTAATAAGGTCCGATCAATCCTCGGCGCGCGCCGCTCATCCTCCGACCCTCCGACCCTCCGACCCTCCGCCCGTCCCGGCCGAGACCTTCTGCAGCTGGGCCCCGATGTCACGGATCTCGGTTGTACGGAGTAGGTAGAGTAATAGACCCACATGCGGTCCTGTGCCCTGCCCCCCGTCCGACGTCCTCACTGTAGATACGCCTACTGTTAATGACCCAAACGACCTTGTCCACATGTTTCTCAGCTTGATGCCGGATGAGCCCAGGTCATCATCTTGGGGCACGCTCGGTCTTGTATGAACATGTATTTGGAGGCGGTAGTAGCACATCCATATTGCCACCATCGTGGCCGTTGCCCGTTGAATTGCGCCATGTTCTTCTTGAGCGTATCGTCAGCTATTAGGACGGTCATATGATAAGTCTCGGCCGAAAACTTGCTCGACTGATCAAAGCCGTCTTGGGGTCTCGAGGCCCTTTGAGACCCAATCCCATCCCTTTCCCTAGGGCCTTCGAGACGGTTCCATCGAGGCCAAGACTCCAGCCCCTCGTCCGCAGTTGTTGAAGGTCGCTCCACTGTGCCATGTGTTGAAACTGTGAGCTTCTTTTGGCTGCCTCTTTTTCCCACTGTCATCCAAGTCGTCTGCCCATCAGCAATTCATAGTAAGCCCTCTGGTCCTGCTCATCTCCCAGAAAGGGGTCTTGTTCAGGCGGCTGCTCTAATGGTTCGGGATTGAAGCTCATGTCCAGGAAATCCTCAAGCGTCTCATTCGGGGCAAAGCCGAGCGAGCCTAGTGTTTGATTGAATCCGAGAGACCTACAAATCTGTTAGCAGGTTGGGATCGAAGCCAGTAAGATATCACTACTCACGATCTTGCTACATCCTTTGCCATTATGTCTGATAAAGATATCGACTCGGCTCGAGGCCTCGGCCGGCCACTCATGCTGGGCTGCCTTGGTCTGCTGTGGCCATCCTGGGAAGAGGGGGACGGGGTTGGGACAAAGTTGAATGGGTTGCTAGTGTCGAACTTGGGCATTGGCATCGTGTCTAGCTGAGGGGTCTGAGCAAGCTGTGGTACTGGCGGGCGAGAAGGTGATATGAGGGGACGCGATGCAGGGGGCATGGGATCTGGCGGCGGCTCGGAATTCGGGAGCAGCGGCTGCTGTGGTAATGTAGGGGCCGAAGCTGGAGCCGCTGAGGTGGGTAATGTCGCGTCCGGCGTGAGGCTCCGCTTCTCACCAGAGGCCTCGTCGCCGAAGAAGGTCTTGAAGACGCCGCTCTGTTGCCATGCCTGGATGAAGAACTCCTGCTGAGCCGGGTCCCGGATGGCCTTGACCAGCCGTTTCCCCTCGGGCTGCTTCAGGTAGCCTTCAACAACGGGGCCCAGGCTGGGGATGAGGTTGAGAGCAGCACCCCAGGCGGCGGCACTTTCTCTCAGGGTGTGCAGAGCACTGCGGTAGCCCTGGGCTGGACCTCGTTTCTTCTGGGGCCTGAGGTACAGACACGACTTGTTGTGTCTCTCACAGTAGCCACACCTCGGCTTTGCGTTATCACAAGGCTGATGGTTCACATGGCAAAAGTCACAGCTGGAATAGCGCAGAGGTCAGCCCGGCATCCAAAGACTCAATGGTGGATGGAAGAAGGCTGGGTGGGGCTGGGACAGGTTGGCCTGCATCACGGAGCAGCGAGGGGGACCGTGTCCGACCGGAGAGCAAGACAGGAAGGAGGAGGTGGTATCTTGATAAGAAGAAAAGGCTGGCAAGGGGAGCAGGAGCACTGACGCGCGTGAGGACTTCTTGCGCTTCCTGGGGTTGACAGGGGCGGCGGCGGTTGAGTCGCCGGCGACGGAGAGGGCCGGATCTGGGTCTCCGGGGTGTGCGGCGGAGGCGGCGGCAGCGTCGTCCCTCAGGTCGTCGAAGTCAGACATGGCTATGGGAGTTGTGTGGAGGCTGGAGAAATCAGCAGCAGGATCACAAGAAAGGGGCCAATGGGTTCGGCGGCCGGCCTCAACTCGTACATGCCCGTGCTTGTGCCCGAGCCAGGAGGGGTGAGACAGGCTCGTGTCGCGTGCGTGTCGGCCTGGCTGTGGATCAGATATGACACCCAGCAGTGACAGCGTCACAATACGGAGTACGTAGAGCGCGGCGAGGACGGACAAGGAGGGCAAATGTGGAGGTGCAAGGGGCGTACGGAGCACTACTGTGGTACAGACAGATACGGGGTGCTGTACGGATACGGCTGAATTGCAGTCTGGCTGGCTGGCGTTGCTCTTTGGTCCTCGCACCAAGGCCCGTCGACGGCTAATTGGAGTTGACACCTCGGGTTTTTGGGGTAATTGTCGGGAATATCTGGGCGACCAAGGCGACAAACCTAATTCCAGAAGCAGACGAGTCGAGTCCAACCGCGCACTAGGAGGCTTTGCAAGTACAGCCCGACTGTAGTCGGAGCGTCGTATTATACCGTATTTTTGCCTTTTGGGCCCGTGTAAGTTACGGGGCGGGGGTGGGGACATGGCGCTGATGACATAAGCAGGGTGTCCGAGTAAGGCAGGCTTGCAGGTGTGGTGAGGTCTTAAGTGCTGTACTATCCGTATGTAGTACAGGCGCATGTACTCTGTACTGACGATGACTGCTACCTGGATGGCATCTGCTCCGTCCGTACTTCCTTCTTATTACCGCATGCAAGCCACACTGCAAGGCCCCACGCCCTACGGCCCAGGCCACCCAGGTTCATAGCTTCGGCCGTAGATTCCCAGTCTCAGCATCTGCCGACAGAAGGGCAGCCAGGCCCTAAATCTGTCCCATCTGTCCCGGCAGCACAAGTCAGTCGCCCGTCATTCGCCCGCTGAGGCCCCCAGTCCCAGCTCCACGGCAAGGGCAACCGGCGGGGCATACTTCTGCTCTGGGGGCGGTAGCTGCCCAGCCAACAAGCTCCATCTCTGACAGGAGTCCCGACCTTCAGGCCTCTTCTTGTAAGTGCCGAGGGTCCACACCCTGTCACAGCCTCCACATCTCCCGACGCCGGCTCCGACCGAATGACCCAACCTCAACACAGGCGGCCCGGATTGTCTCGCGACCTCCAACTCTTGCTCCTGACCTCAAGACACTGCCTTGTTCTTACTTGCCTCTCGTCTCGCAGCTCGTCCACAGGGCTTTGACCAAGCCATCGTCCTGCGCCTTGATCCTTTGTCGTCGCAGGAGCTCGACTTACCGCTCGCCACATCTGCCCCTGCTTGCAAATCCTCACCAGAGCCGCTTACTAGATCTGGGAAGATATCTTTTCCGCCCTCACCCCAACCGGACACGGCCCGGCCTATACAGCCAAAACACCTCGAGCAAGGCATCCTCATCAGGACACAGCAAGACCACGCCCTCACGAGCGCTTAAGCAACTCTCGTGAGAAAGGCTCCAGGGAACCCTTTACATCCCTTATGTTGGGATGCCCGAGGCACCGTCATGACCGTCCAAGATGCCTTGACGTCTGCCCCGCCAAATGAGCGCCTCTTCCACCCGGACGCATCCATCGTCCTGGTGGGCTGCCGCGGCGCCGGCAAGCGCTCCCTTGGCTTCATCGGTGCCCTTCATCTGCGTCGCCGCCTGATCACCGAGGACTTCTACTTCCAGCAGGTCACCGGGCTCACTCGCATGCAGTTCCTCACCCAAAAGGGCAAGGATGAGTTCAACCGCCGCAACGATGAGGTCTTCAAGCGCATGCTCGACGACAATCGTCACAAGTCAATCATCGAGTGTGGGATGAGCAGTTTTTCCGAAGAGGCCCAGGACGCCCTGCGCTTGTTTGCCCAGTCAAACCCCGTCATCTACATACACCGTGAGAAGGAAGAGATGCTCCGCCTTCTGGACTCGGCAGACGGAGAACGTATCCTTCGTGCCGACCAGAGGCACAGGGCATGTGCGAATCTCGAGTACTTCAATCTGTTTGACCATTCCAACGCGAAGCCCATATTGGCCAGCGATGCCTCCTCAGGCGGGTGGGACATGCAGATGGCCACCCCTTCCAGCCTGCTCTACGCCAAGCAGGACTTCACCCGTTTTCTTGACTTTGTCACCGGCCAGGGCCTCACGAGGCTCTTCATCGAGAGCCCATTTGCCGTGAGGGCCATCCCCCCCGAGTTCAGGCAGTGCTCTTATGCTCTGCGTCTGCGCCTGTCTTATCTCGTCAACATGGACCTTGATTGGGAGGATCTCGAGGCCAGGGGCGACTGTGTGGAGCTCATCATTGATCACTGGCCAGAGGATATCATGAACCAGATCGCAAGGATCGTGGCCCAGATACGGAGGAAACTTGTGGTTCCAATAATATACCACGTCGAAGAAAACCCGAGAGAGGAGCGGCGTAGACCCCCTCAGGAGAAGGCCAAGGTCGACACCGAGCTCCTGGAGCTTGGCCTCCAGCTCGGTGTCGATTACCTGAGCCTGGACCTGCAGAGGAAGGATATCCCCTTGCGAAGGATACTTGCCCGTCGCGGTCGGTCAAAGATAATGGGTAACTACTGGAATGTTGGGTTGATGTGCACGCCCTGGTCGAGCGAATCTCATGTACGGGACTACCAACATGCCAAGGATCTCGGATGCGACCTTGTGCGCATGGTTCGCTTTTGCTCCGGCGACAGCACGCCCGAGATGCTCCAGGAATTCAAGGACAAGATTGCCGCCACCATACCGGATCCAAAACCGCCCCTTGTAGGATACGACTTCTCAGTTCTCGGCATCAGGACGCCCCTTCAGTCACGCATATTAACACCGGTGAAACACCCCGACATGGATAACGATCGGGAGCACCTCGCCACCGTCTGCACCGCCAGCAACTCCTTCGAGGGCCTATTCCGCCAGTTCGAGCTCGAACCTTTACAGTTCTACACTGTAGGCGCAAATGTGTCTTACTCGCTTTCTCCGTGCATGCATAACACGGCTTACGAGTTTGCTGGGATGCCACATAACTTCTCCGCAGAAACATGCTCTACAATGGAAGACCTTAACAAGATATGCAGCGATCCCTCGTTTGGAGGGGCCTCTTTAGCAGCGCCTTTCAAGGTAGCCATTGTGCCTCACCTGAAATTAAAAAGCCACCACGCCACCGTCATTGGCGCCGTCAATGTTTTGTTACCGCTGCGCGGCAAAACGAATTTCATCCTAGACCACGCTAACTCGCGGAACAAGGCGGGCCATACAAACGACTTTTATGGTGATAATACCGACTGGCAGTCCATATTCACCTGTCTACAGAGGAACATTAGCCCACGGAACTACGTCCGGCCCTCCAAGACGACAGGGCTGGTAATCGGAGCCGGAGGACAGGCCCGAGCCGCCATCTATGCCATGATCCAGCTCGGCTGTCGAAACATATTCATCTTTAACCGGACCGTCCAGAACGCACAGCTTGTGGCCGACCACTTCAACCTATGGGCCCAGAAGCAGGGCATGGCCCCTGGGAAGGGAGGCATCTCTCAAATCTGCCACGTCCTGCCATCCATTTCTGGCGCGTGGCCAGAGGGTTTTGAGCAGCCGACAATGATTGTGTCCTGCGTGCCCGCCACAAGCGCCCAGGGCAGCCTGCCGGCAGACTTCGAGATGCCCATGCAGTGGCTGGCAAGCCCGACTGGAGGCGTTGTGCTAGAAGTAAGTTATTCCGATCTCTTATACTCGCACGGAGTCCCCTCTACAAAGCAGTGATACGGCTAGCAGACAGACATCGCTGACATTTGAACAAAGCTGGCTTATGAGCCCCTCATTACACCCCTCGTGGCCCAGCTGCAGGTTTACAGAGACACTGTTAATCCCTCGTGGGTAGTGGTCGACGGCCTCGAGAACGTGAGCGAGATGGCCATCGTAGCCTTCGAGCTGATGACGGGGCGGGTGGCGCCCAAGAGACTAATGAAGGAGGTGTGCCGGAAGACATGGGAGCAGCAGAAGAGGGAGATGTCGTCGATGTCCTAAATCAGCGGGCGAGGTTTATCCGTGGCCAAAGATGCCACGCACCCGATTATGCGGGAGCCGCCTTGTAGCTGGGGCAATTTCCTGACTAATTTTTGGTATCTTCCGGGTCTTGGACAATATATATCTGCTTACATGCAAAGTTGCCACAGCGACTGGGCTATTCAACTGGAAATGGTTGAGACGGGAAGCCCTCGAGATTTTAATAGTAGAGAATGGATGCTTGTGCATTTGACCGGCTCCAGTAGTCACATGTGGCGCATTGTTGAGGTACATTCAATTCTTGTGATATCCGCATGTCAGGTGTGAGACCAGAGCACAAACACTCAGGGCATGGAAATGTTAACGGACTCCTACAGGGTATTGACCAATACTGACGTTGTGTCGTGCCTATTCTTCTCGTACGTGGTGGGTATTTCTGTATGCGGCTTTCGAAACCATTAATTGGCACAAACACACACAAGCATCGTCAAAAACCGAAGATAGGAACCGATATCTGATATTATTCATTCAAATTCGGCTACTCTTGCAATAAGGGCTTCAAGCGGGGGAATACAAACCCCATCAGAGGAGGAGATAATGCGCGCCCAGCGGGAACTACTGACAGCGAGGGAGCCCCCGGTGGCCTCGAGCGCGCCCTCGCCCGGGACATCGACCGCTCTAAACGAGACCATCCAGACTCCATGGCGTTGCCTGAGGCACAGGCTTATCCCAGACTGCCACCATACCCAGGAGTCCTGATGCGTGCCCAGCAGCAGACCAGCAGGAGGAGGAACAGCAACATCCTGCTCCTCAGTCACAGGAGTCCTCGGGCCTACCCCGGCTCGACTACCGGCTGTACTCGCCGCCGCTCTTCGAGTTCTCCTCCGATTGTATGATCATCAAGTCGGCGACGTACCTGTCCAGCACACTCGAGGCACTCGCGGCCCTCGTGCGAGCCCAAGCCCCAGGTCCACATCACCGGCAAAAGAGGGAGCAAGATCGACCTCGCTATCAAGCTCAACCTGCTACCCCTCCTCGTGTCCGAAGGGGACCCCGAGGATCGGCAGACTCCAAGAGCATACAGTAGCTGCGTGGGCTCCGGCGAGACGGCGCTCATGGGCAGGACCAAGCCCTTGGCGGCCCACGACAAGGCCGATCCGCGGCGCTGTGTCGCCCAGAGCGAGGGCCAGTGTGGGCGCAGCCCATTAGGTACGCCATCGCGACCAAGAGGCACGGCTGGGTCACCAACGAGGATAAGCTCGAGGCCATCATGGAGGGCAAGGGGGAGTCTTTGTTAGATGTTGACTGGTCTGAGGAGTTTGACGAGACGGCCTGAGTCTGTGGGCCTGTCTATGGAGTCCGCACTGTAAGATACCGTAGATCGATGTTGGGGCGATGTTTGCTCATACAACGATACCAGAATGGGAGGACCTCGCCCTGCGATTTCGGGCCCCGGTCAAGCCTTGAAAGTCAATGCCATTGGAGAGGAAATCCCGTCGCACCAATTTTGCTGAGAAAAGCTGGTCATAAGGGACGACGCCGAGTCACGGTGGTTTCACACTTTGTATCGCGCGCCTGACAGAAGTTCATTCCGCCCCATGTACATTGTCACAAGCGTCAAGCAGACTGGCAGACAGAGCATTGCTTCTTTCTCTTTGGTGGTGGTGAGACCGTCGTTCTATCTTACAAAGTGAAATTTGGGTATAATCGCCTGGCTCATGCTCCATCGAGAAAAGCAAACTCGAAATGCAAAATTGATCGTCCAAGAACGCCTTGCTTTTCTGAAAATACGCTCCATGTCATGAGACCTTGCGGTCCGGAAACAATGTGTATGGATGGAATCTTCGGTGCAAATGGCAGCTTTACGATGCTGTTACGGTTCCGCAGTATTGGAAATCTTGGCGTGGCCTGACCATGCTGTACAGGTCGGCAATGTGATATCATGGGCTTTTGCATGTTGCGTGCTCAGCTTGGGGCACAAGCTTCGACCAAGGGACGCCTCTGCTTTGGTGTGTTGCGGACTTTTGTAGGAAAAGTGAGGACTCCATTTTTTCTTTCTTTTTTTGGGGAGATTTGTGTAAGATGCTTCTTCCCGGAACTCCAGCCTGGGCGTCTGTCCTTTTGACGCTTGTCCGCAGCGAATTCGATCATTTGATAGTACAGCAGTTTTGCCGAGCAATGTGCGGAAACAAGTAAGTTTGGTATGATGATGCTGATTATCCGCCCACCGCGTTCTTCTTCTGTGTCAATCTTGTTGTCTCCTCAACCAAGCGGCTCGATCGTTGAATCGCAAGTAACCCATTGTCGTCTCCCGTACACACGGTCCCGTCTTGTTCTCGCAGTCGCCCAGGTCTCTTCACTTCTCCAAAGGTGGATCGTGTAGAGGACGCTCCTAACGTCGGGGTCGCTTATCTCTGTCGTTCGGCGGCATTTCTGAAATATCACTCCTCCGCTTCCTGCCTGAGCTTCGCTCGTCACCTCTTGGGTCTCGTCGATCATCACCAAGCTGTCTTGGTCCGTCCCTGGGTCCACCGCGCATCGACCCGCCTCTACCGCTGCCACCCCATTCATCTCCCGGTCTTCCTCCACTGCCACCATCACCTCTGCCGGTGTCACCTCTACTATCTCCCCGATGTCGTGGTTCGCGACCAGAACCTGACGGTTCTCTACCAATACCAGGCAGAGGGTCACGATTGCTACTTGTTGAGGTGGGTTCTCGCCCAGGCCGTCGAGGTTGAATCGGTTCATGGTTTGGGTCGCGGATGCGATTGCTATCGATCCCTGCTGGGACCCCAGAGCGCCGGTCGTGCCGCTCGGCCTGGTCATTTCCACGTGGGTCTTTCGTGTCTCGATCTCCGCGGGGGCTCCGTTCCCGTCCAGAGTGACGGCTCGGCCGATCGGGCCGTTCACGATGTTCCCTGCGTCCACTCCGCTCATGCTCACCTCTGCTTCCAGGGAACTCTTCGTGCGCATCGCTTCTCGAATCACGAAGTGGCAGGCCACTGCCGTCGGATCCAAGGGCAGGTCGATCCTGTGTCACGTTCCGGCGTATCGGGTCTGGCCGCTCTTGGACCGGAGTCGAGACTGGTGATGCGCCGGTAAGTATCTGAGCGTCAGAGTCTGGCATGCTCTGCCTGGGCCGGCGATGGTCACCATCCCGCTTGCTCCCCGGGGTGATACTGTCTTGAAGCTTCCCAAGTTGTCTCCGAATGCTGTCTCGCTGTCGGTCCTTGTTCGCGGACGGCCCTGTAGGAGCAGAGTGTGGTGCGTTTTGTTCCGCTATAGGGGTGCTCGGGTGGCTACTCTGCCCTTGGCGTGACGCCGATGGCCCCGTGGGTGTGGCAGCTCGGTCGCTGGTATGGATAGGGGGCACCTGTGGACGTGAGTGGGAGGGTTCCCTTGGCGGCGGCGGAGGTGGGGGAGGGACTATGTGCCTCATGCGATCCGGATGCATTGGCTGTTCGAATTGATGAGCGCGGTCGGAATGCAGACCACCGGCCGGCAAAGAGGGTGGGCCCGTCGAGGAATTTGCCGCGTGATCGAATTGATTCGAAGGCCCTCTGCGTGGCCGCGAGGACGACGGGCCAGTCGGTGGTTGCCGATCCGGTGACGGTGCCCGATTCGTATCTGGTGGCGGCATTCGTCCATCAGATCGGGGCCCTGACGGCATGGATGATATCCTGGTTGAATTTCTCGCACCGCGTCCACGGGGTCCCTGCGGCGCTTCTGTCACCGTAGGAATTGGGTTCAGACGGCCATAATTAGGGTCCTGCTGGGCCTGTCGGCCACGATCCGATTCATGTGGTCGAGGTGGGCCATGGAATGAGGCATCACGGCTGCGCTCATTAGGCTGACGATCCTGGTCCCTCGGCTGCTCGATATCTCTCGCTGGGAGTTGAGATGAGTCTCCCAGATGTCCGTTACGACGAGAGTGTCGATCCTCACGAGCGTGACTGTCAGACGTGTTGGCCGTATTGAACCTATCATCCCTTCTAGGTGACTGCGTGCGGGACGAGGCCCGGTCTCGCCCACTATCCCTAGGTGAACGGGTCGAAGAGTGAGGCTGCTGCGTCTGCAGCAAAGCAGCACGCTGGGGGTTGATCATCTCGGTGCGATCTTCGTTTTGAAGGAGAGCTGCTCTCTCGGGATTGATAGGTGGCTCAGCTGGAGGTGTCTGGTCAGCGGCTGAGTGAGGCGGCTGACTTGCCGCAACATGCTCCCGAGGACCTCGACTGTCGCGACTGGACGACGTAGGGGCGCGATCTCTGGACGTGCGAGACTCTCGGTCAATTGCCATAGGTTCACCACGCACCGCCTCACCCCTGGAGGACTCTCCTCTAGTCGGCTCCCCACGGCGCGGGGAAGGGTCGGGCCTGCTGGACCAGTCACGTTCGGAGAGCCGACCTGGATCACGAGACATCCGCTCATTTGTTCGGCGTTCTGATTCTTGGTCTCGCCTATCCGTACGGCTGCTCTCTGGCTGACGGTGCTCTCTTGAGTCCCTACCGTCGCGAGAATGATCCCTCTGGTCCCGCAGTTGTTCTCGAAATCTCTCTCTTGGATCTCTCGTCTCACGTGGTGGCTCCTTTGGATCACGAGTTTCTCGGCCGTCTCGTGGCGGGTCGCGACGTTCCTGCCCATGCCCTTGCGGGAAGAGCTCTGGTCGATAGTGAGGTGGAATCGGAACCTCTGGGCGGCTAGGCAGACCATGAGGAACCCTATCGCCTCTCGGGGCCGTGGATGCTGTTCGAGAACTCTCACTGCGTCCACTAGAGGCGGGAAGAGGCGTAGGGGAAGGCACGACAATGTTTGACTTCGGCGTGCCTGGCCGGCTACCTGGTGCTGAGGCCCTCTCCTTGAAGGTAGGTTCCCTGAGCGACTCTCGATCTTGACCTGCAGCAGGGCGCTCAGGTCTTGCATGGATGTCTGAAGGGGCAGCTGAGACTTTGCTGTCTTTTCCGTCCTTGACTTCGCCATCCTCGTCGTCTGCAGGCGGGGCAGATGTTGTGCTGGTCTTTGTCAGTGATTCCCTGTTGACTGACTGCGAGGTGTTTATCGGGAGCACTGACTTGGCAGGTTGTTGGGGCTTGAATTCCGCAGCCGTGGGACGCAGATCGGACTTCGCGTTTTGGCCAGCCATGTCGACATCCTTCGGCCCGTCCTGCGGCATTCCGGACTACTGAAAGTTAGTTGATGTGAATTTCGTGCTGCAGCTGAGATGCTTACCATGTTTGGGCGGAAGGCTGGGACGGCAACCCATTTGGATTCTCGCTTCTTGAGCATAGAGTAGACGGTCAGGGCGGTAACGGCAAGATCCACGCGGTGACCCTCTTCTGACGAGCCTTTCGTGACTTCTTCGCGTGTCTTGATCTCGTCAAGTAACTTCAAGAGCTGTGTTCCCATGAAGTTGACTGCTGGGAAGAAGTTTGAAACCGCCTTGAGGACTGTGAAGGCGTTCCTGATGTGCATCCACTCCTTCGTGCCTTGCAGGCAGGCTTTCAGCGCTACGTTGAGATTCTTATGCCACTCATAGTGAGAATCCCGGAAGAACGGGTGCTCAATGAAGCTCGTCGGGTTGCCCTCGTCATCAACTGCTGTCGCGAACCCAAGGAGGTTTCGTTTCGTCTTCCCAAATGCCTCCTTCTCATAGGTGGTCTTATCCGCGTGCCACCTCGCAAGATCCTCCAGGATGCATTTGATGAAGCGTCCCAAATGCTCTGCTTCACGAACCGTGCAAGAGAATATCATTGCTCGAAGTCTGTTGGCGTTGAAGAATCGCTCGTAGAAAGCGGACAGCTTGAAGTTCGGTGTCTGGTTCTCGTGAAGGAACTTGAGCATCCTGAAGCAATATTCCGTGTCCAAAGACGAAACGAGGAGGCGGGGCAGTATGCAATGTTCCAGCAAGGCATCCGACGTTAAGGTCGCTTCTGCAATGGTTCCAGAGAACCACGATTTAGACTGTCTCGCCAGCCGGAGCTTCGTCTTGTGGTACCGCTCGATATGCACTGTCATCTCTTCGCGGATCGACTTGGCAAGTCCCAAAAGTGACTTCTTCTTCTCCGCTTTCTTGTTCATTCCCTGTCGGGTCAAATCAGAGCGGTCTTTCATCACGTCCTCTGCTTCTTTGTTGAGCCTTTCGTGTTCAGCCTCGTAGTTTGACTGCGGAACGTGCAAGTCACCCAGTGACAGCGACCAGAAAATGACGTAGAATTCCGGGCTTAGATGTTGCCAGGTCTCTGGAGGCCGGATATCTTGGATAGTGTTGACAAGCGGCTGAAGAACATCAGCGATTGGGTCCGACTTTCGCGTGTCAGCCGCGGTAGGCGGCGACGGTGCGCTGGACGCGTTCTCGTCGAGCGCCATCTTGTCCTCGGTCTCCTGTTTTTCTTCCCTCCCGGGGTTGTCCTTGACAGCCACTGGTTCGACAACGTCTCCATTCATTGTCAAATCACCATCTGCATCAGCACTCTCTTGGGTATTTGGGTTGTCGCCACGGTCGTCCTTGGGTAGAGGCTGACTGGGGATCTTGCTATTTGCCATGCGGTTTGCCAGGCTAGCTCTGCCGACCATGAATGCTAGGTCCACATCCAAGCCGTAGCCGACCATCAAGTCGATGATGCTCGGAATATTGGCGTCGAAGAGGTCGGGTGTCAAGTTGCTGCGCAAGAAATCGAGATACTGTACCAGGGCCTGGTGTACTTCGTCCATGATTGTGGCCAAGTACTTGACGTGCGATTCATCCTCGGGCAGTTTGTAGAGAGCCGATTGGCGGTACTGGGCCAGATTTACCAGAAGTCTCCCCGCGAGGTTGGAATCCATTAGAGACTGCGTGAGTCGTTCCGCGCCATGTACGGATACGTCTCTGCGGTCTCCCAGACTAATCAGTGTCTGTCGCCGGAGCACTTCACCACCCGTCATTGCTCGCATTTGCACGTCAGTGAAGTCAACATCAGGGACCACGCCGGCCATTGTTGAGATGAGCTCTCGGAGGATGACAAGGTCGGTCGAGTTGCCCTTGGACAATTGGTTGTTGACGTATTGCAGGACAGGTAAAGGTTTCATGTGCTGGTATCGCTTGAAGACTTTCCCGGAGAATTTTGAGAGAGCTTGGAGCCATTTGCTTGTGAGTAAGACTGATGTTTCCTGAGTTCGGCTTCGGGCTTTGCCGCCCAGGGCGCTCATCAACGACCAGGTCAGGACATCGTAACCCAGGTCCGTAAGATATCGAGCGCACTCGACGAAGGCCTCAATCAAGTTCGGATATGCTTCAATCTGGTCAAAGGCAGTCTTGAATACGATGCCTGGAGATGCGTATGCAGTCTTGGCCAATTTCTTGGCCATTGTGGACAGGTTCTCCAGTGAGAGTCGCTTAAGAATTCCGTTGGTCTCAGATCTGGTTCTTGCGAATGCCGACTTTATCGACGAATTGCGTGAAGTTTGGCCCTGAAACCATTCCGCATAGATGTTATATCGGGTGGTGATTGGGTAGAGCTTTAGAAGATCCCAGACAGCCTGGACCGCGAACGAGTTGGCCTCAGTCATGCTCAGAGCGGGGACCAGTAATCGCTTCAGTAGATCTTGCCAGCGCCCCATGTTCTCTGAAGACTGGTCTTTGGCCAGGCTGGAAGCTCCAATGGCGGCGATCTTTGACAATAACGCTGCATCCTTGCCGATGTTCACCCCCGAGAAGTTCATGAGCGTATCGCATAGCGTTACGACATCTTCGATCGTTTGGCAGACTGGAATGTTGTCGGCCCAGTCATCCCAATAACATCGGTACAGTGTGTTATCCTTCTCGCCGGCTGGGTGTGGCCAGCGAAGTGGGCGCTTGGGGGTAGACTGTGTGAGCCGTACGGAGCCCTTCGAGACCCCTCCCTGGTCCACATCTGGCATCCTCTTCATCGGAATCTCCAAATCATTGCCGACCTCGCTCGATGAAGTCCTGGTCTCCTCGAAGACTTTCTGTACCGAGTACGAGATTAGGCGATTAATAAGCTTGTGGAGATCCGGAAAGGCTTCCGTCAGCCACGGGAAGCGTGTCAAGACAAATAGGGCATCCGGGAGTGCTCCGAGGGTGAGAAGCTCAGTGACCAACTGAAACTTTTGATAGTATTTTTCAGGCTTGCCTTGCTTCGGCGTCTCGGCGGTGGGTTTGGCCTTGGCCTCTGGGACGACTTTGGTCGGTCTCGGGGCCGGGGTCTCGTCAGAAGGCAGTTCTCCGGCCATAGCGAGAGCACCGCGGCCTCTTCCAGTCTTTGCCCTCTCCTCCTCCTCAAGAATCCTCAATCTCGTTTCCCTGACCGATGTGTTCATTTCATCGTCAGACGGAGCAAGATGCGGCCACAGGTCAGCCAGTGAAATGAAGCCTATTTTTATGAGCAGAGCTGTCATGAAGAAGAGATTCGCAGGGACGACCTCCTCGCCTGCAGTCTTGGACTCATAAAACCTCAACTTGAACCCTAGGAGCTGTGCCGCGACTCTGTTGCCCTGCGGTGGGAAGGTTTTGGTAGTCACCATCCACTGGGCTGTTGGGTCGAGAAGAGATATAGCATCTTCAGACTCTGGACTGGCATCCAGAACAGCCTGCAGACGCTTGAGCTCGGCTTCTTCAACTTGCCGCCCACCGAGCTCAAAAAAGGCATCAATATGCGCTTCACGAGCCCGATCCCAGAACCGGATGTCGCGCTGACGTCGCTGCTCCGCGAGGACAACTTGTTCCTCCGCGCTGGTTGTCCAATGTGCTGAGTCTGGTAGAGCCCATTTGGGGAGTCCTCCCAGAGCATCGGCAGACTTGATGTGGCTGCGGGGCCACCATGAGCTGATTCGAAGAAACTTGACGAAGAAGCGGTTCTGCTTTATGAGGACAGAGGCAAAGACATCGAGCGTCACGTCGAGGACACGTCCAACGTCCAGGTCAAAAGTTCCAATAAGACCTTTTACCCTTTCGAAGGAGTTCTGGATAGCTTCTGATGTCGGTGGCTCTGTGTTGGAGGTTGTGAAGAGCTCCGTAGCAAGCTTGGCATATCCTTCAGTTTCCTCTCGTAGCAGGTTGTAGTTGGCCTGTTTGTAGAGGATGTTGGTGGCTTGTCGAATCCCCATCTTGGTGAATGTCTCGCGAATTAGTCCCAGCTGCTCCAGCAGAGCGGGCTCTAGGACAGTGCGCATCAGAGCCGGATCAACACCCGAGGCGACAAGGAATTCACGTAGATTCGCATTGTAGGAGCCGGAACCGACGTCTACGTAGATGGCGAGAGTATCAAGTAGTAAAGTGTGAGTGTCGAATGTGCGAGGGTTGGTGTCTGCGTCTTCAGGTCGAGTGCCGATGATCTGCTTCACGATCTCGCCGGCTTCGGCTGATCTCAGGCGGAAGTCCAGACAAGATTGCACCAGCTCCTGAAATATTGTTGACAGCTCCTGGACGTCCTCGTCGTTCCGCGATTGTATGCCATGGTCTATCACGTCTTGGCGGCCGTTCTGAGACCAACTGCTCAGCCGCGCATCCGTTACGATCTCGTAGTGAAACCCTGACTGCACCGGGGGAGGCAGCGTTGGTGAGGGCAAGTTGGACGGCATTTTCGTGCTAAGTGGCGTGACGGGAGGCTGGGAGGAGGCGCTGGAAGGTCGCGGCATGGTAGGAGAGTTCAGAGGTGAGCCAGCGGCCGGCGCGCCTGAAGAGGCAGTGTTCTGAAAGGAGTCGCGACGCTCGTTACGGCGCGTCGACCTGCCACCAGCACCAGGTCGATTTCTGTCGTGTTGGCCGAGAGGAGCGTTGTCAGGACGATGAGGCGAAGGCCGGCCGCTGCCCGAGTCGTTAACTCTCTTGCGCTTCGGACCCATCTTCAAGTCGGCACCTGCTTTTGCTGTACCATTGACGCTAGCAGACTGTGACAGACGGGAGTCAATCTGAACAGGCTGGTGGTGAAAGAAGCCAAGCGGCACGCCCGGCTGAGGGCGGAAGGCGACGCTTTGTCTAGCGCAAAGGTCCGCAAGCTGATGGACGTGGTCGGCGTGTCGGCCGCGTCTGGCGCGATGCGAGTGTGATCTCACGACGCAGCAGGAGCGGGGGGGTTAAAGGAGGGGAGGGAAGGTCAAAAGAAATGAGATGAGCAGGAGACGCTGGTCACGGAGTAGTTCCAGCGTCGGGTTAGGGAGCGGCATCAAGGAGAACGGCAATCAAGCTGGTGGATTGTCGTCGTCCTGCAGTTGGCAGAGCTTGGGCGAGGCTCTATCGCAGGATGCAATGCACCTGGCAGTTGCTCGCCAAAATCGACATCCGAGCTCAAGTGGAGCCTGCCGGTGGAGCCCGCCTCGTCGGTCGTTGGCCACCAAACAAGGCTAGCGCGATGTGGCTTCTTCGCAGTGATGGACCGGGCGAGTTACGGCCAAATAATGTCACTACCGTTTGTGTCGCTGCGACCAGCCTGCAACAGCACTGGCTTGGACCTATCATTGAACAGGTATGGATAACACCGATGCAATTCTCCGTATGACTGCGAAGAAGACTGTGAAAATAATGCCAGCTTTCCTCACACTAATCACTCATTGTATTCGGCAACAGGGTGCAATTGTCTGGACCAACTTCTTATCGAACAAGGGCACGATGATGCAGGTTACCTGGGTACATCATGGATGTATCTATGCCGGGGCCCCACTCGCGGCGACGTCAAGTACTTAGGTACCCGACTAAGAGAATGAATGACTCTTCAAGCTTCACTTCCCAAGTCTTTCGCTCCCCATGACTCTGCCACTTCTTGTACAGTCTTCAGAACTAGTTACCAAGCGATCGCCATCTAGCACTTCTCTATTCTCTCCGTCTGAACGGGCATTGGGTGTTTCGCATTGGGCGTTGGTGTTCGAGATCGATTTGCACAACGGCTTTGGGAGACAATGACCTCGGACGCCACAAACGGCCAGGCCGGAAGCGGCAGATATGGTGAGTGATATCCTGGGCACCGTCAACCATCATCGCATCCAGGCCCGTCATGGCATCAAACTGTATCAAAAGACCGGTGACTGAATACATCCAAGAAAGAATCACTTCGCAGGCGGAGAACCCGTTCGCGAGTCTGATCCCAGACCAGCAAATCGCTATCATACCCTCTTTCACCCTTGAATCCGGTGTTACCCTACAGAATGTGCCTGTTGCGTATACCACCAAGGGCAAATTGTCTCCCAACGGCAACAATGCCATGGTCATTTGCCATGCCTTGACGGGCAGTGCCGACGTCAGTGACTGGTGGGGCCCGCTACTTGGTGGCCACGGGAGGGCCTTCGATGTATCCCGCTTCTTCGTGGTCTGCATGAACAGCTTGGGCAGTCCCTACGGCACCGCCAGCCCGGTGACAGCCAAGGACGGGAACGTGGACAACGGCAGATATGGCCCTGAGTTCCCACTCACCACCATACGCGATGATGTCCGGTATGTTGGTTCTAAACGAGACATTTTGCGTTCGCCATCACTGACCACTCCGCCAGCCTCCACAAGCTGCTTCTTGACGACCTTGGTGTCAAGCAGGTCGCCGCTGTCGTCGGTGGGTCTATGGGCGGTATGCTAGTGCTCGAGTGGGCTTACTTTGGAAAGGACTATGTTCGCTCTATCGTGCCCATTGCAACGTCAAGTCGCCACAGCGCCTGGTGCATCAGCTGGGGCGAGGCCCAGAGACAGAGCATCTACGCAGACCCCAAGTACGACGACGGGTACTACACCTTCTCAGATCCACCAACCACTGGGCTTGGGGCAGCTCGAATGTCAGCTCTCTTGACATACCGCAGCCGCAACTCATTTGAGACCCGCTTCGGCCGCAACATCCCAGACCCATCTAGGCGCCAGACGATTAGGGAGATCCCGCGGCCCACCACGCCGTCAGAGGCTCATTTCAATATCCATAACGACGGTCACAAGATCAACCGACCTGTGAACTCACGCAGGGCCAGTCAGAACAGCCAAGGCGGCGAAGGGAGCCGGGCAAAGGCCGCGGCTGATGCGGCTGAACAGGCATCAGACCCTCAATTTCATGGGCCGAAGTCTGAGAGTGTTAGTGGGGGCGACAATGTGCCGACATCCCACTATTTCTCAGCTCAGTCCTACCTTCGATACCAGGGTAGGACCATTGCCTTGTAGCCCCCCACGTGGACATCGTACTGACCTGATCTCCAGGAGAGAAATTTGTCAAACGATTTGACAGTAACTGTTATATTGCCATAACCAGAAAGCTCGACACTCACGATGTATCGCGAGATAGGGCGGCCGGTATCCCTGACGCCCTGGCCCTGATCGAGCAGCCAGCACTTGTCCTAGGCATCGAGAGCGATGGTCTCTTCACCTTTGCCGAGCAGCAGGAAATCGCCGAGCACATTCCCAATTCCAGACTGGGGAAGATTGACAGTCCTGAAGGCCACGACGCCTTCCTGCTCCAGTTCGAACAGGTCAACAAGTACATTCTCGAATTCCTTCACGAAGTTCTCCCAGACATCATGCAGAAGGGAGGCAACGACGCGGTTGCTGAGGCATCCGTGGGCCAACTCACCAAGAGCAGCACATTTGGCGAAGCCGAAGTTGAAGATATTACTGCATGGTAGCGTGGGACTGCAAGGCGGATCCGAGTGGCGCCCTGGTTTAGTTGCAAGGTGAGCGAAAGTGCAGGTGATTTAACATGTTCAACTCGTGTACAATCAGCAATTTTTTGGGTTCAGGGGGGTATTTGCATAAAGGCTGGTGTGTTTGGCGTTCAACTCGCCCGTTCTGGCTCCGGGGTCAGGTTATGATTTCACGTGTTCAAACAAGTGGTTTTCAGGAGGTAAAAATGCTGTGTTCAGTCAATATCTAAGCTAGCGAATCACATTGCTTCGATTCGCCAAAGCGACACGCCCCATGTCGATGAGTCTTGTTTCCGTGTCCGCGGATGAAGGGATCACTGTTCATCTGAAGGCCTGTCAACACCAGACGTTGGAAGTCGGAAAACAGCGATGAAATCCGGGTACCCAGTCCCTCTCATCAACCTTGTTGTTTAAACTTCCCCGTTTGTGGGACGAGTTGGCTGCAGGGGCAAACCTTACAGGCTTGCCCTCCATGTGCCGGGCCTGGCTTGGCCGATGGCGCGAGTGTTCCGGATAGCAGCGGAGACAGAAACAGTCTCCGGGTCGCGTTCGAAAGACCAACGGTCCTAAACGGTCCTGAGCCGCACCGTCGTCAGACTCGGCTCAATTCAGCCCGCCGTCAGCAAGTTGCCTTGCAGCTCGTGGCGAAATCGCACCAGGATAGGGGCCAGGCTGCACACAGCAGATTGGCATGGTGAGAGTGGTGCCCAATGAGGAAGCCGAGGCACGTATCTGCACGCCGTGAGTGAGCGACATCCCACGTCAGATACAGACAGGAGTCCAGCACTGGGACCTCGCCGCACGCTATCTTGTTAGCGGCATATGGGGGCTATCCAATAAATCGTTCCACTCCAGCCAGCCTCGACATGCCGAGGCGGCACACAGGAGAAACCGACGAGGCATGTCTCGTGCTTCCCGAAGAGCCTCCAGCCTCTCCGGCGTGTTCTGCCCAATTATAGAAGATGGGCGCCCCGAGTTTGCTCAAACCTTCGCGCGCCGGTACGTAGGTAGCCCTACATTGGCCGTGCGTGTCTTTCTGACGTCTCAGCATTTGCTTAGCATTACAAAAGCGTACATGCAGGACATGCTAATGTCAGGTACCTCCCCAAGATGCCAACTGCCTTGCCCATGTGCAGACTAGCTCAGCACCAGCGGCACCAGCCGGGACAGTCCGCAGGCCCCTCGTAACACGCCCTGGAAGCTTATTATAAGCCGACCAAGCCGTTAGCCCTCACATTTACCCGCCTCTTGGGGCCTTCTAGAAACTCTCCTGCATCATCATCCAGCATCCAAGATATCCGCCGACGTCAAAGTCACAACATATGTTTTCTTGGGTTCCGATCCGCCATTGATTATCATTTCGCCAAGATCCAATCCCGTCGAGTCGAGGCAAGCAAACGCAGAATAACCTCACCCTTGGGCACCTTATTCGCACCCATGGAGGGGTACTGCACGACGGCGGCAGCCTGATCAGTCAAGTTGAGGCACAGAGAGAGAGACGGAAAGAGAAAGACTATGGACATGCTGCCGGGGCTGAAGACGGCGGCGGCGGCGGCCCACAGCCGTTCATATGGGGGCAACAACGCATTCCACAACTTCGGTGGGTTCCACTGACGCAAAGAAACCCATCTACCACATCGATTCGCCAAGGCTGACGCACAGCAGCAAATGACTACTCCCACATCCAAGATCCCAACCTGCGGAGGAGGCTCGCGCTATCTGAGATCGACAGGACGCCTTTTGGTTCATATCGTGGGTATTCCCTGCGTCTCGATTCCCTCCAAATACTATTGTGAACACATTGTGGAATCCTAGCCACTGACACGATACGACAGACATAAGGGCCGTGTTAATAGCCGGGGTGGGCTTCTTTATCGATAGTTATCAAATATTCGCCATCAATCTCGTCACGGTCTTCCTCGGCCTGGTATTTTGGTCAGGCTCCCCAGAGGACTCGCGAAATGGCTTCGGCGGCAGCTTCGGCCATCTCCCTACCTCGGTCAACCAGGCTCTGAAGGCATCGACGAGTGCGGGAATAGTAGTTGGCCAGGTTCTATTCGGATGGCTGGCTGATTATCTCGGTCGCCGAAAGATGTACGGCTTTGAGCTTGGCATCATACTGGTGGCCACGTTGAACTTTGCGTTGGCAAGCCCAAGCCCATCGGTAAACTCCACAGCCGTATTGATATTCCACCGCGTTATAATGGGTGTTGGTATCGGTGGTGATTAGTGAGTTGGCACCTGGAGTCCTTCAAGCATCTATGTTTGAATTATCATCCTATTGGGTATATGTTGTCTGACCTAAATACAGTCCTCTATCATCCGTCATTACATCCGAATACGCCCCGACACGATTCCGAGGCGCAATGATGGCCAGCGTCTTCTCCATGCAGGGCTTTGGTCAACTCATGGCCGCTATCGTCGCATTGATCACGACAGTAGCATTCAAGGACTCCTTCTCTGGCATCACAGATGTGTCCGAGTGTGACTCGAGGTGCCAGATTGCGGCGGACAGGTGCTGGCGCCTCATCGTTGGCGTCGGCGCGCTGCCAGCCGTCTTCGCATTGTATTACAGAATCACTATTCCGGAAACTCCCAGGTATACATTCGATGTGGTTCATGACGTGGAGAAGGCCGACAGCGATATCAACTCCTTCCTCAGCAAGTCCAAAGGAGAAATCGACATTGTGCGGCAGGCTCGTTTACTCAAGGTGGCTGGACCGTCCCTAAACACTCCGGCGGCTTCCTGGCGCGATCTGGTTTCATATTTCGGACGTTGGAAGAATGCCAAGGTTCTCCTTGGGACAACGCTCAGCTGGATGTTCCTTGTAAGTTACTGAACCATCGTTCAACCTTTGACGCTCGCGGCTGTCTAAGTATCTGCTTTGACTGACCCCAGGTGCCTATTGAAGGATCTCGCATTCTACGGCCTAGGCCTGAACAACTCCATCGTCCTCTCAGCAACAGGTTACGTCAACGGCGAAACTCTGTACCACAAACTCTACAACAACGCAGTGGGCCTTATAATCTTGTCCGTTGCCGGCTCGCTCCCAGGCTACTGGACCGCCATCTTCACCATCGACACCATAGGCCGGAAACCCCTCCAGGTCGGCGGGTTCCTGATCCTCACCATACTATTCTGCATCCTAGGCTTCGCATACCACCGCCTCAACGCGGGCTCCATGTTCGCGCTCTACATCATCGCCCAGTTCTTCTTCAACCTGGGCCCCAACACAACCACCTTCATCGTGCCGGGCGAGTGCTTCCCCACCCGCTACAGAGCCACAGGTCACGGCCTGTCCGCCGCATCAGGCAAGATAGGCGCCATCATAGCCCAGGTATTTATTCTTTTATAAATATGGAAAAGGGTAACCAATATATTGGGACGAAGTCGTGCTAAAGATTTTTATCTAGATAATCTCCCTCCCGCTCATGACCAAGAGGAACGGCGGCAGCAGCAGCGCCCGCCTGGACACGCTGATGCAGATCTTTGCCCTCTTCATGCTTTGCGGGCTATTCACCTCCTTCCTCATCCCCGAGACCAAGGGGCTCACGCTCGAGGAGCTGGCCGGCGAGCCACCTACGAGCTATAACTCGGGCCGCAACGGGAGCGTGTCGTTCGACGCGGCACCAAGAAAGCGCTGGAACCCCTTCGGCGGCGGCAAGCCCGCCGGGTTCTCGTACTCGCGCTCCAGGGGGGCCAGGAGGTCCTGGAGGCGGTGGGCGGACGCGTCGTCGCCCACCTCGCCCACCGCCTCGGCCGCAGCCGCCCTCTCTGATCCGGAGACGTGCAAGCCTGTGCCGGCGAGGAGTCAGTGGTGGCGGAGGAATCTCACCCGGCGGCACGGGTCGGGCGGCGGGCACAACAGTGGTGACTTTGGAATGAGAAGCAGCACCTCATCGACGAGAATTATTGGTACCAGCGGTCTTATCACCCCTCCGCCGGCCAGTTCCCCTGCTTGGAATGCAGGCTGGGGCCGGATAGAACTTGTCAGGCCACCGGACAATATCAGGTTAGAAGATGTGGGAGGTCTCGCCACCTAGTAGAGTAGAGGGACTGTGGAGATAATACGAGATCCGGTTGAAGCGGTCACAGGCTCTCCATCAGTAAATACAAAATGACTTTCTTTGCAAATGAGGAGAGATAGATATCTTGCTGTAATTCTTCCATATTTACCTTGGCCCATTAGCGTATCTGTACCACCATTGCATTTTTGTGCAGAGGCCACACGAACAGTCAAGCGGTAGCACGGAGCATGCTGTCATTGGCAAGGCTCAGGATATTGGAAATATGTTATATTTTGAGACAAAAAAAGAGGCAAGGGCCGAATCTGTAATGTACACCCCGCTAATGCTTTGCTTCCTAACAAAATAAATATGGAAAGATTCAACAAAAAAGAATAATGCTCTGTCGGCTCGTAGGGGTATTTCCGTACTGTTTCTCCTTGAAATAACACTCAGCCACCCACCAATCCCTGCCCTCCTTGCCTGTGATTAATGTTTCTTGTTGACAACCGACTTCAGAACCTCCAGCTTCTCCTCGGTTATCCTGATTGCTTCCCTGACCTCACTCTCGTCCATGCGATCTTCTCTCAGCTTCTCGGCCATTGTGCGCGGCTCAACCACCTTTTTCCGCGTGTGGATCTCGCCGCTGTTAAGACGGTCCATACCCACGCGCTCTTCGAGCCACTCCCAGAGCTCGCTCTCCTCGCGCCGCCACATTTCTTCGTAGGCGGCGAGTCGGTCAGGATAACCGTAGAAGCCAAGTTCCGAGCCGTACGGCCTAGCGGTCGGTCTCGGGTTGAAACCGAAGCCGAACCAAGCAGCGACGAGCAGGCCAACAAGAAGACCGTATACAACGTTGCCTGTGAGAATTGGTCCGATAATATCCACAACAGGGCCCATAATTCCATGTAGCGGCTCGAGCATTCCCCAATCTTGCTTGGAGGAGGCCTTGGTAGCCTCCTCGGTGTCACTAGTGACATTCGAGATTGCAGCTGCCTTGCCCTTCTTGCCCTTCTTCTTGCCCTTTCCGGCCCCTGGGGCAAGTGGCTGGCGGGCTTTTGATGACACAGCTGCTTTGAGACCAGCGAAAAGATCCTTGCAGTATTGCGTCTGACCTTCATTGGCACCGTTCTCGATGGGACCTAGCGAGAATTAGCTCATGGTGTCCTAGGCCATAGACTGTTCAGGATGGAGTTTTGTCTTACCTTTCAGCCAACTCTTGCCAGTCCACTCCACGACGCAGTTGATTTGCACCCGCGTTGAGTTGTTTTCGGCCCAGGAGAGACAGTACTTGGTCTTCACGCTGAACACGTTGCCACTAGGAACGTCTGGGTTTTGTGTGCTGACCAAAATGTTGACAGACTTCTCAAGATCGAGACTCTCGAGGTTTTCTGACACGATACACTTGGTCTGCTTCGGGCCAATCGAGCCACTCAGCGGCTTGATATACGTGTAGTTCCTTGTTCTGTTGTCCAGAGTAAGCCCCTTCTTGTCTTCCGATTGCAGATCTGTGCATTTCTGATCCACTGTGAGCCACTTCGCCATCCATGTGACTGCAGTTGGGCCAAACATCAGGTCATAGACCTTTCCGAGTGGTGCCGGAATAACGTCGTCTCCGACGATCTTCTTGTAATGTGTGTCGGCGTCGCCGCAGTCTGTGGGGGCATGTGTAGCTGGGCCGGGGAAATCTTGGCCAGGTGCTCCTGCCGGCGCATCCTTGGGCTTCTCGTTTGGTACACTAGCGGTGACAGCGCCTGAGGGCTTACGAGATACCGATTTCTCCAGAGCGGACTCGAGAAGCGGCGGGTCCGCCGCCTGGCTTGGCGCAGGGATGTCATCGTCATCCTCGTCCTCGTCGTACACGTCGTCACCGTCGTCACTCTCGTCCTCGTCGCCGTCCACATCCTCCTCGGCAGAGGCTGAAGCGCTCTGGTCGTTGCCGACGATGGACTGCGCGTCGACCTTCTCAGTCTTGTCGCCGCCTGTTTCATCCAGACGAACCCCATTGAGGGAGCTCTGAAGTTCGGGATGGCCCAGCTTCCAGATCTTCACGATGAGGTCATATGTGGAGTCTCGGCTTGTGAAACTGGCGAAGATGTGTTTGGCGTGGAGCGTTGAGATCATCAGTCCGTTCTTGAACAGCAGAGCTGTGCTTCTCTTCTCTACAGACACAATCTCATCGAAGCTCATTACCAGCGTGGTGACCCATCCAAGGATATTGCTGCTAAAGCACAGGTGACCCTCAGACACGTACAGTCGTCCATGTGCCAGGATCTCACGTTGCAAAGCACAACTGTAGTCCTCGATAAGGTAGTCATCGTCGGGGACGCTCTTGAACAAAGCGTGAAAGTCCCGATTTCGCTTCTTGCTCGCAACAGCAAACCCGGTCAGTTTCGGCGCGCCAGATACGCTGCCTGGCTGTGACAGGGCAGCATTTGCAGAAGCAAGGGCGGCGCCAATCGTATTGCCAGTGCCTCCGGTGCCGTTGGTGCTACCACGTTTCCTGTTGTGACGGCCAATGGCGCTTCTGATACTGCCACTCCGATGTATACCGGTGATTTCCTCATGCAAACTCCCCGGCGGCGGTGTCTTCTCGCCGTGCGACGGCGGCTCTGAACCTTGGTAAACAGACTGCGGCCTCTGCAGGTCATCCCACGGGACGTCACCGTTGGGCTTGACAGGGGTCGTTTCCGCTGGCGCCGACTCGGATCGTGATCGGTTGACATCGATTTGTTCTGGAAAACTGGGCTTCGTGGGCGTGGTGGCCCTGGCAGCCGGCTCGATGCCCAGGTGGCTCAAGCTGAGGTCACCCGAGCCAAGGGTCTTGACGGCAGGCTCGTGCGACTCCATTGCCCTGTCACTCGATGCCTCGACGGAGGGCTCGACCTCGACCTTGTCGTCTTCGACTCGGCTGCTTTGCACGTTCTGTGCAGGGCTTAGGCCTCTGTTTTTGGTGATACCCGGGCTGATGTTGGTGTTCTGGATGGTGCTGGTAAGAGTGTTGGCGGCGTTCTGCGCGGCGGAAAGCACAGATCCGAAGAATCCAGAAGCCGGGTTGGAAGGCGTGGGAAGGCCGTTCTCGGGAGTTGGTGTGAGCGGTGCGGAGTGGATGGTGGACAACTTGCTGGGCACCAGGCTTGCGGAACCCGATCTGCCACGTCGCTGGCTCAGCGTAGGATCCTCGGCAGGGGCGGTGTTCTGCTGCGGCGGAGACTGAAGCTTAGGTAGTCTGGGTCTGGTAGAGTCGGTCGGCGTTGGGGGGGTGTTGACAATTACTGGAGTGCCCTGTTCCGAGGCACCAGGGGTTCCCGGCGGCGTGCTTGTGACAATGGACTGGCCCCTAGAAAGGCGACGAAAGCGCTCTGATGAACCTGTTCTCTGTTGTTCCGTCCGCTCTTCTATAGCAGCATTCTTGGAGTCTGTGTCGGGATCGGTCGTCGGATGGGTCTTGGGAGGATCGGTAAGCTTGTGGGCATCGGTTATGTCGGTGGACAGCCTTGGGCCTGCGGTCGATGGCCGCCTCTCTGGGCTAGATGCTCCACTCCCGCCCCCAGACAGCTTCGAGGAGCTTTTTTTGGACCTAAAAACGCCCTTGAGCCGTCCCACAGGCGAGGGTGATCTCCTACTGGACTGCGATGCTGGAGGCGCAAGTCCCACCGAGTTTTGTGACCCAAACGGGTCGGGCTCTCCTGGATGCTCCGTGGTGACTGAGCCCTGTGAAGGCTGGGAGCCTTGCTGGTAGTATACGGATTGTATGAGGGGGTTGTTGGTGGTCAGGTAGCCGATCTGGGACGGGTGATTCGAGATCACAGCCGGGCGTTCTGTAACAGAGCTGTGGTGGGAGGATTAGTACCAAGAAAAGAGAGGCCGGCACGTTGGCCGGTGGGAGCCCAGGGGGGTAGCTCGTGAAGGGTTCTGGGTCCAGATGGAAGGGCTGATGAGTGAGGGACAAAGGAAATTGGCAAGGATGGCTATTTTGGGCAGGGAGCTCGTGAAAGACGATAGTAATTATGGGCAGTCGGGAGGGTCATTGCAGTGGCACAGCAATGGAGACGGTAATAGTCGGTGTCAGCTTCGACCAGGTCCTTATTAGATTGCTGACGGTGCCAGTGCTGGTGTTGGTGCGTAGGCACTTGTGGTGCGGCGTATTGCGTATTAGAGTCGCCGCGCTGGCTTGGAGGAGGATCGGCTCAGTGATCTCTCACCCATCCTGCGGGTAGGGGTCAGGGGGGGCCATCTTGGGGGGAGGGGGGCGCCGAGGGGCGGACGAGGGGCCACCAATTGGTGTGAGAAGGTCTCAGGGGCGGCGCTAGGAGCACGTCGCGGTCGCAGCATCAAGATGGGCAGCCCCACGGATTGGCAGTTTGGGGTCCAGCGCAATTCGCACGACGGGCGCACGCTGCGACTCTGGCAGGGCAGGGAGGGTAATGAGGTGCAGGAGGGCTGAACCTTACTGGCCTCTCAGGCCTCAGGCCTCAGACTTGAGAGCTCAGACTGCCGCATAGAGGCGGTCGTGCTGGGATGTGCCTCTGAACAGACCTCGACCATGCGACGGGCCACGCGAGGGGGTGCAGTGCAATAGAGGAATGGCTGATATAGGTAGGAAGGTATACGGAGTACGGAGTATTACTTACAGTTCGGGGTCTTCTGAGTCGCAGGATGTAAGGCTGGGATCGTCGTCCACTGACTCCGTATCATCGGCCAGGTTGTAGACATGAACCGAGGACTTGGGATGGTCGTCGATCTGTCCGTCTCCAAGCACATCAGACGTGTGACTGCGCCTGATGCTAGAGCGCCTGGACCGCCCTCTCGGCAGTGAGGCAGTTGCGCTGCCGCTTCCGATGCTGCTACTGTCTGCATCTCTTTCGGCGCCCTCACCCACAGACCCTGCCCTCCCGCGACGGAGGGACCGACTCTTTCTCAAGAGCTTCCCCAGCGTCAAATCCGACATGTCGGGCGCCATGTGGCTTGCTAGGCCTGGGCTGGGCCCGGGGTGGTCTGGCGGTCAAAACGTCCAAGCCGTTTGTTGTTTGCCCTCTGTCGCATTCAGCAGCTTCTCGGAACTGGGCCAGAATGCGCCGGCGCGACTCGCAACTGCACGCTCAGGCTGATGCAAGGAAAGTCGAGTCAATAACGTCGGTGGGTAACCCGTCGGCTTGAGAGTCCAGTCAAGGTCGACTTCATGGCAACACACGGTGTAGAGTCGAACGGGTACAAGCAGCTTGCCCGGCCGTGTCGCCCAGGTGGGATCTTGTGAGACTCGCTGTTCCTGGCTGGGTACCGGTAGAGCAGTGAGTGGTCAATGGGAACAGCGGTGGATGTTGTATGTCTGCTGCCTGTTTGTCTATTACGTCCATGACAACACCAAACTAAAGAAGAAAAATGTTGGAAGATGAACACGAAAGGGCTTCCTTTTGCTCCAAGTGTGTGGCGACCTGGGAACCCACCGGCTGCGACGGCTTCGGGACTGGACAAGCGACAAGCTACCCAACCAGTCTTGCCTTTGTACGAGGCTGGCATTACGGAGTACACACACGAATCTGGACAGGTAACTACGTACCACAGTACCTACCTGGGTTACCAACCTTGTCTAACCCTGCGGGAAGCTGTCAGCATCTTCGGTAAGTACCGACCGTTCTTGCTTTATTTTGTTTAGGCTGAGAGGCCAGGTGATGGAACTCTCGTGGTCGGCAACCTTGCAACGTCATCTTGTCGTGGTTGGATCCAAGACAGGCACTTCCAAGGTTCCAACAGCATCATTCCCCATAGGCCCTGCCCAGACAGGCGGGTTACTACTAGCGCTACCAGAGCAGGTACTCAGTACGGAGTACCACCCGGTTCTTGATCTCTGGGCAGGCAATCAGACCAGGAGCTCCGTCCCACTTCGGCGCCGATGCTGTGTAGCCCCTCGGCTTCATCCCGCCAGCCATTCTTTGTACAACACCGTTGTGTGACAGGACACCACTCAACACAACTCAACGCCGCCGGTCAGCAACTCGCCCTGCCTTTACCACAGCGTTCCTGAACCTCACCACGAGCGAACCGCGAACCAACAACGGCACACCAAGCCACCCGGGCCCCTCAAATCGGTGTCTTTTTATCTGCAAGGCTCCCCAGCCCCGCAGGCGCATATGTGGCCCTTGTCCTTGCCAGGCGGTTCTTGTCTTGCGCGGGTGACACTCGACTGCGATAGGAACCGTGTTGCTCGAGCTGGCCAAGATGGACTCCGCGCCTCTCATCAAGGCATGCCCGTCCTCCCTTCTCCTTGACCGCAGGGACGGTTCATACTGACTAGTCTTGGCAGGCGCATGATCACGCCAAAGCCGCCTCAGACGCTACGCAGACAGCCGACTCCACTGTCGCCATCAACGAGCATACCCTCGCCGCAGGAGAGTTCTCCAATGCCGCAAAGGCCACGTCCAGTATCGAGGCCCTTCGGACCCTTCGGCTTCTCGAACAACACCACCAGAAGCTTTCTGAGCTTATCAAGTTCTCGGTAGAACATCCCAGTAAGCAGGCGAACTTGGAGAAGCATGATCGCGAGACGGGAGAAAAGGTGGAGCCCGCCGGCTCGGAAGGCTCGTCTGCTCCTGTCGTGGGCAGCGCATCGAAGGCGCCTGCGAACATACCCGGCTTGACACCCCAGCGCCGTTATCCCCCATCTCGCGAGCTCTCTTCCTCCATCGCGAGCAACCTAGCGTCTGCGCGGGGTATTCGTGCCTCGAGATATCGGGGTCAACCACTTGCGCCTAGCATTTCAAATGACCAAGCGCCAGGGAATGTTGACCTGACAGCCCGGAGTACCGGTTCGCGTACAAAAATGCAGCACATGCTTGATAGCAAGACTGGAAAACAAAAGCCGAGCTGGGTGCCTCCAACTCAAGGTCCGTCCCCGAGCTCCCGTCCTCCCTCTGTCGGCGAGGCTGCGGAGACCGAGCCTGCCCCTGGGAATACGCCAGCCGATGAGGGCTTCTCCCGGTTTTATAGTACCTTTGGTAGCATCATCAACCGCCTCTCGACGCCTTTGGCTTTCGCTGGTCTCCCCCTCATCTCTGAGGAATCCACTGCTGAGGGTTCCACACCCGAATTTGCGCCACACAAGCGAGATCGCGGCAAGGCTGTACCACCGCCGAGCGAAGAACCGGACTTGTCCAAGATATACTCGAAGGCAGCCTTACGTGCAGTGCATCGCGACGGCCATGCCGTCAATGACTCGTTCTATGTCGTGCCCACGAGCGGTCACACTGTTTCATATGCCAACATACTAAACTTTGACCAGAAAGAGAGGAGGCGTGCCATGGCCGCATCGATTCATGATGGTGAAGCGGAGACGGCTGATGATCACGATGAGGATGATTTTGTTGATGCAAGGGAGTCCCAAGCGTCTTTTTCTCCCAGCACCAAACGCCGAGTGGGTAAGAGTCAGACGGAACGGGATCTTTACAATGTCATCGAGGAGCTCAGTACCGAAAATGCCAGCCTGAAGAGTATGCTCGATAGGGTCACAAAACGCTTGCAATTATTTGAAGCTAGTGCACAGCACTCTCGCCTCGCCCTGGCGGACAGCATGCGCATTGCTAGACCTGGATCGCCAATGTCACATAGTGGTGGCGCCCAGGGTCAAGTGACTGATGATGCGCTGAAGAGGAGGAACCAGGAACTGGAGGAGGAGTTGATCGCGGCCAGTAAACAGTTTGAGGTGCTCGACAAGGAAAACAAACGGCTCAGGCACAACCTCGAAAAGTACCGCGACAAATGGGAATCATTGAAGGCCGGGGCGAAGGCGCGAAGGGGTGCAGCTCAATCGAGCGACACATAGAGTAGCGTAGTGAGCATATGAGACTCAAGAGGGAGTGGGCGAGCGTTTAATCCCACAGTGGGGCGAAGAATCAACAAAATGTTGTCAAAGGCAGACTCCCTTGACCGTCCTGGCTCATCGCACTTGATTCGTTTCCCAGCTCCGTAACTACCTGGGTACATATGTTTATACCCAGGTACAGAGCACCCAGGGGCGGCCCGTCAACTTGGGACGCTCTCCTTCCGTCGCACCTGCCCGAAACCTGTTCACACCTTTGCAAAGAGCGCAGTCGTTAACCTCTGGAACAATCTACTGAGGTCAGCTCCATCTCTGCAGACCCATCCTCCTCGCTCACTGGGGACCTTTCCACCGAGCTCGACAACAAATTCTAACGTCCAGACTTCCAAAAGCTCGCTGTCCCTTTGCAAACAGAATCCAGTTCGAGCATAAGGCAATGGCAAAGAGAAAAGGGAAGAAGGCGAGAGAGAGGGCGCGCCTCTGGGCCACACGAAACCAGCAGAGGCAGGCAGGCCATGACGCGCCCAACAATCAGAACGATTCTCGCGACCAAATACAAGCACCACATGCCAACATGACCCCTGACGATGCATCGGAAGCGTCACTACGAGGTGGCCTTTTGGAACTAGCAGTCGATCGCGGAAAGTTTACCTTCAATCCATCAACAATCAACGCTCACGACGAAGGCGACCAGGACGTCACTCTGTTGGACATTTCACCCGCCAAAACTGGGGATGCCTACAACCCACTGTTTGGAGAGGTCTCGACTGTTGAAGCCCATGGGATTAACATTTTCAAGGTCCAAACTGAGCCTCTTCGCTTGTCGACCGAGAATGCCGAAACAGACCCAGACACACAGCGCAGCCTTGAGGATGTCTTCACTGAAAATCCAGGCAGCAGGCTCTCCGGTCTTGACGCAGAAACACTAGCCTTTGCAGGACAGGTTGTGAGGCAAGTTGTCTTGGAAGCAACTTACGATTTCCTACAAAGATGCATTCCACGAGGAGAGCAGCACAAGGTGTGGGACTCCATTCGCGGTCAAGACGACGGAAAACCTGATGCCAAATACTCAATTGCCATACCAGAAGGCACAATGGACCTCAAGAACGGTGTGCGGTCTGTATCACAACTGCTTGGCAACTGCATCGACATCCTCTCTCAAAATAACCAAGTCACAGACCAAAAGACCCTCAAACTGTATCTGGGCCGAGCCGTGACACTCTGCGATGCGTTGAGTAATGAAGAGAAAAAGCAAGCTTTGGCAAAGGCTGCCGACGAGCTCGACTGGCTCATCTTGGGTCTCGACTGCAAGACCATGGAGCTATACCGTGTTGCCAACCGGCAGCTTGACAAGGTCAACATGAGCTGTCCCATCGCTGCAGAGCAGAACGGAGAGAACGCAGAAGGGGTACATGTAGTACGACGATGTGAGGAGCGAAATATGCTTCAGTCGATGCAGCGGTCACATGGGGAAGTCAAGGAGAAATTTCGGATCCGCTTCATTGAAGCACTGCAGAGTCTGCTGGCGCTTTGAGTACAGCTGCGAAGTGGCGACCAAAGTCGTGCTCAACTGTTCTCTATGAGAATTGTTAGCATTCCAGATTTCTATCACAGAGGCTAACGTGAGATTTGGGTCACTAAAACGCCAAATGAGACTAGAGACTCCATTCGGACAATCAATCAAAAACCTTGCACAATTTCTCAGCTTGCAAAAATCCTGTGGGGTGGCTGTTCTTTAGGAAACCCCTCTGTGGATGCTGTCCCATAGGATGTTACCACACTGGAGATCGTCTCACAGAGGACTGCTCTATGAGAGGTCATCAAATAGAGGGTATCTCATAGGAGGCTATCTAATAGCAGGTGGTCCAAATGGGAGCTTGGGTAGTAAGGACATCTGGAACAACTGAATAGCTAACTCCATAACTGCCGTGGTTGTGTATAATTGGCAGACACCTGAGTTGGACTAGGAGGTTTGTTTGAGTTTTGCGGAGGGAAGATCCCCAGACCGTGACTACTCCAGACGGTCGGAAGCTAGCGTGATCTACAAACCAGTAGTGGTGTTTCCAGACTATTTCGAAACAAGGAAATATGACGTCTCTGCAACGGCTGGTATGACGCGGATGTCTAAGTAAACTCTCATTCGGAAAGCCCCAACCTCCCAAGTACCTGTCTGCTCATCATAAGTCCCGCCCGATCATCATGGCCTTACAACTGAACCTTCAAAACAAAGTAGATAGCCAAGATGGCATACATGATCACAGGAAGCTGCAACTGTGGCCGGCATGTCTATACGATCCCAGAGCCCAAAGACATGAATTTGTGTCGTGAGTAACACGACCGCTGAGTGTTGTGTGTGAAACCAAGCACAGCAGCAAACCCTTCTTACGCATACTGAGTAATAAATCTTACCCATGGTCGACAGACTGTATCGATTGTCGCAAATGGGCCGGCGCAATGTAAGTAAGCGGAGATCCCATGACCCCCTACCCTTTTTAGATGGATACAACCAGGAGGATATCTAGGTGCTACATCGGGTTGACCAATAAGCCGGGTGCACAAAGGCACTCGGCCCACCTCTTCGTACAAACGGCAGACATCCAGACTACGAGCCCAGAGCCCAAGACGTACACCCAGAAGGCGGACAGCGGGAACGAAATGACACGCGCCTGGTGCGACAGCTGTGGTGCGGGTATTTGGTTGAGATCGGCAAATAAGCCCACTTTGACGTTTCTCAAAGCAGGTGAGTCAAGAGAAAGTTCAACTGATGCTTTTAGATGTTGGGACGCTGACTGAGTCAACGACTATGACAGGTCTGTTCAAGCCTGGTGACATACCCAACCCGACGATGGAGAACTGGCTGAAGAACATGGAGCCCTGGGAGACGCCAGCCAAAGGGACTCAGAAAACAGCTCAGGAGGGATTCGACTGAGATGGGATTTCATTTTCCTCCAGCTTACGAATTAATAGGTTAGGAGGTTAGGAGGTTAGGAGGTAATACCTGGATGACCTTTGGGCTAGAGGGCAGGAAAGCTTGCCCCGAGGACCTCAGGTTTGGAATGCAAATGGAATTGAAAATAATTGGACTGGGTAGTGCCCAGGGACATGCTCAATCTCAAACTCAATGCCACCTCCTCCTGAAGTCTGAATGTATGATGGTGTCCCAGTATGATAATAGAAATGAGAAATTTCGAGCGATACACTCGCAGTCAGATATCAACATTCCATAATGACAATCAACCCTCGCTCGAGATGTCACGGATTGAGATGAAAATGAGATCAACTCGAAGATTCTGCACACCAAGGCTGTGGCTTGAAGAAGCAAGCACAAATTAGATCGCATGTCTTGGGTACACGGAGATATTCTCGAGCCGATCCTACACCACCTATTTAACGTTTTCAGATAAGCATAATAAGCGCACAAATGCCGAGGCATCCCGTTCTTCGAAACTGTGCCAAGCTGGCGGTACTATTATACGGGCACTTGAGCACTGCCGCTGCACATGTGCGCACGAAAGTGGACCCAGAATGTCTAAATAGGCAAAGCCACCCGGCTTGTCCTCTCGCAGTGGGCTTCAAATATATTGGAGAACCCAAGCGGGGGATGCAAAAGGGTCAGCACGTCTGAACAACAGGATGTGGATTGAGTGGTTGAATGATGTTCAGTAAGCTTTGTCTTCTCTGGACATATGAATAAGAAATACCAATGCCAATGTGTCTTCTCAATCACTCTGGTTGTATTCAGCTCACTTCACTCTCCAACCAGCCCGAGTCTCGGTCTCCAGAGAGTCGGCACTCTTCCGAAGCTCAGATGCGGAACCTCCCCTCCGCTGACCAGTGTCGCGATTTCTGAACGGGGCACGCTTCCAGGGTCGCGAGCCGGGCCAAGACGGACACCTTTGTAAATATTCCGTGGCGCGCTTAGAAACGACAAAGTTGCCCGAATCGTGCACTGGGTCCTGAATTTGAATGACAACAGAAAATACCAAGTACATATGTACCTAGGTATTCACAAATGCTGAATTATAAGACCATGGAGCCGAGACCGTCTCAGATATTGCGTGTTCTGTGCTTACCGCCAGGTCCAGATTTTCTCATTATTATCGCCTCTTGATAAACTCGCTCGGGTAGCCAGTTCTCGCCCAGTGCCGGCAGCAAGACCAGCCACACGCATCTGTTCCGGTACGCGGACCCACGAGCCACCGCAGATCCTCTTTCAAGATGGCACCCATGTGGAAGCGCCTCGTCAGCGGCGTTTTGGCCGTGGCATCTGTTGCCACGGGCGTGAGCGCGCAGTATCCCAACCCGGGCCCGGTCTCCGGCGCAACCACCGTTCACGACCCGTCCGTTATCAAGAGCTCATCCGGTACCTATATTATGGCACACACTGGAGACAATGTAGCGCTGAAGACCTCTACCGATCGAACCGTATGGCGCGAGGCAGGAGCCGTATTCCCCAACGGGGCATCCTGGACTACTCCATACACGAACGGCGACAAGAACCTCTGGGCCCCAGATATCTCATTCCACAACAGTAAGCAGTTTCCAGATATAGGTGTTCCTTTTAAGAGCAAATATACTCCATCTTCGGCCTATGCAACAAAGACCTGTAGACCTCACGGGCTGCAGATTTTACGACAGGCTATGACCACCTCCTCCCCGCCACAATTTTAGTCCAAGTTACTTCTTTGGTTGTCTAATGGCTAACTCCCAACGTCGGAAAGACCAGTATTATCTTTATTACAGCGCCTCGAGCTTTGGCTCGCGAAAGTCCGCAATCTTCCTGGCCACGAGCCCCACTGCCGCCTCGGGATCGTGGACCAACCAGGGCTTGGTGATCGAGTCCTCTGATTCGGTCGACTACAACGCCATTGACCCCAACCTCGTCGTCGACGCCTCAGGCAACTGGTGGCTGTCCTTCGGCTCATTCTGGACGGGCATCAAGATGATCTCCATCAACCCCAGCACGGGCAAGCGCTCCGGGACGAACCTCATCTCCCTCTCACGCCGCAGCACCAACGTCGACGGCGCCGTCGAGGCGCCCTACATTACGCGCCGCGGCAACTACTACTACCTGTGGGTGTCGTTCGACAGGTGCTGCGCGGGTGCTTCCAGCACGTACCGTACCATGGTCGGCCGGTCTACCAGCATCACAGGTCCGTATGTGGACAAGAGCGGTGTGAGCATGGCCAACGGTGGCGGCACTGAGGTCATGGCGAGCCACGGCTCGATCCACGGGCCTGGCCACCCGTCTGTTTTTACGGACGCGGATTCTGATGTGTTTGTTTACCACTATTACAACAATGCGGGCACTGCGCTGCTGGGCATCAACCTGATTCGATGGGAATCGGACTGGCCGGTGATCTACTGAGGGTGCTGTAGATTTGGATGTCGATGACGGAATGGGAGCATGGACACGACTGGCCGGGCGTACAACTTCCCTGTAAATAACGGTACTCCGATAGTGCCGGACAAAGAAAACGAACACCGTTTTCGAATCATGTCCCAATACCGTGGACTCGCTACATTTGACTTTCTTTCTGGAATGAATGCCATGGGCAACAGAAGCCATTTACGCGATCAGTATAATCAGTGTTGACTTTCTGTGTAAGTAGTCCCAGACAAGCAAGACGGCTCTTAAACTGGAGCCGTCATTTCGCCCCTCAATGGCTTCCTGTTTTCAAATGTTCTCCGCTTCACTCATTATCCTCCTCATTCGCTGAGTTTGACCAGCCACGCATGCTGAGTCTCCAAGACGTAGCATCGTAAAGATAAGAGATCGGATATTCGCACCCACCAAAACGGAGGGTATACCCAACCCCCAAGGGACAACCTCTCATAGGACAACTCCTATGGGATGACCTCCTATGGGACAACCTCCTATGGGACAACCTCCTATAGGACACAACCTCCTGTAGGACAACCTCCTATAGGATAACATCATATAGGATAAACCTATGAGATAATTACTTGTAGCTTGGTGCAAAACTAAGCACTTTGTGAGTTCCCTGGTATGGGTGTACCCTCCGTTTTGGCAGGTGCGAATATCCGATCTCAAAGATAAAGTTCAAAGGATTGTTCCCGTCATAGCGGGCTTGAGCTTGAGCTGCTTCGAGATTGGCTTCAAAGCTCACAAGCCTAATATTTGGACGACTTCGTATATGGCTACATTCAAAAGTTTGGACCATCCACTGAGGTGTAATTGAAGGGTTCGCCCACAATCTGGACCCCTTCCAGATTGCCAAACCTCGACACCATCCTCACATGACGAGTCCCATTCCTGGTGGACTGGCGTCCAAGGTCATAGCAACAACTTGAACGGCATTTCGTAAAGATCATTATCTCCTCCCACTGGTTGAAGGAATTCCAAATGTCAAATTTGGTTGTTGGCAGAACAGGCGGGTGAGCGGTCCAGCAGTTGTTTTTGATGCGCCTGAGCTTCGAACAGTACAAATGCTCACTTGGAACCGCCGGGACACGGTCCTTGCCTAAGCCTTGAGCCCTCCTCACGTGGAAGGAATATTTGAGTACGTCAACAGCATTCGCTCATGGAATGGGCTAGAAGTCGTGATCCTGCTACTTTACTCGGTCGAATCGACTCTGAGAACCACTCACGAGTACATGCACAAACACACACGCACGGAGCACAGTCTTCAAATTTGAAAGCGTGCCTGCAAGCACTATAGCTTGCCTGTCTTCCCTCTGCTACCATCCTGTAGGAGGTTACACCACATGGGGTTGTCTGTCAAGGGTTCCCCACAGGTTGTCGTCCTATGTCCTCGGACGTAGGCGGAATAGAAGCGAGACCAGTTAGCAGAAGCTGTCTTGCGATTATGCGGCTCGTCATAGAGAGAGACAGACCCGCCAGAATGGGCCTTCGAATCCTTGGAAATTGGTAGGCTGACATGGTCCCCTATGATGCTGAGATTCCCAATATTAGTCGAACATTCCTGCCAATCTATCCATCGTCTCCGAGCGGGTCTTTGCCCTACGGAGCCGAGCGCGAACGGCGGGAGCGTGCACGGGGTCGAGTCATGAAGGGTACGTTTGTCGACCCGCAGTTGAACTGTCAGTACTGCATTAAGGCCGTTTGGCATGGCCAGGCAGGAGGAATAGGCCGCATTGAACGGATCAAGCCACCAATTAAGCTTATACTGTGGATGGACGCACTAGAGAACCCTTACTAGTGTAGCAGCAGAGTAGAGGCCCCTGATTGATGTTATGTCAGCAGCGGCGAAAAGGGGTTGTGCTGCGGCCAGCCAGGGCAGCCAGGCCAGGGCAGCCAGGCTGCCAGCCAACAGAGGCAGGTCTTGTAGAAATTGGACCCGCTCCCCGCAACTACCGACAGGACTGCCCAGACGATTGGCGATCTCCAGATCAGGCCCGGTCCCAAAGGGGCAGGGGTCTGGGCAGGGGTGTGGGAAACCCTGCAGCTGCCCTGCTGGGAAGGGGTCTGCGGAGTAACCAGGATCTCATCCTTCCCAGCACGCTGGGTCGACAGCTTGCGGTCCCGCGGTCCTGCCGGTCCTGCTCGCACTCGGCAGCGGCCCTCTGTTGATAAAGATCATCCCAGCGAGTGTCCGTCCGGATGGGTCACGATGTGACCCTCAACGGGCGGGGGTCTAGACCTTTTCTGCACCATCCAGGCCATCCAGGCCATCCTGAGTGAGCCCGTCCTCTCGCCTCGTCGTCTCATCCTCAGACTCTGACCGATGATGGCAGCTGGCTGCCAGCAACAGAATGAGTGATTGACTGCAGCGGATTACATGCATGCAGGGGGCCAACACAGCCCGCCTCGACAGGACGTGACAGGCGGCGGCCGCACCCTGCCTGCCTGCAACGAGGAAGGGAGTATCGCAGGGGCTGACTCGACCAGTCGCCCTGCAGCACCCATGCAGCCGCTGCAGAGATAGCTAGCGTCAAATTTGCTGAAGGATCACCAACCTGGCCGCCCTTCAGCTGAGCTTGACTTGGTTGCTTGGCCCAGCTAAAGTGGCCCTGCCAGGCTGCCCGTGGGGCCTCGGCGGCCCTTTTCTTTTCCTTTTCATCTGACGTGGTTGTCATAGTAGTGGTGGTTTTGATCGTGTTTCTGCTGTTCCTTTGCTCAGCCAGAGCCCTCGTCGCCGTCTCATGTCGAACCTGGACTCCCGGAACAAGTACGCTTACACCACAATTATGTCTGCGGTAAGTTGTCGGCCTGCCTGTCGGCCTGCCTGTACGCCGCACTTTGCTCTCCCCCGGAGGAGGCTGACTGAGATGACGCGCCCGACAAACAGCACGACAACAACGCACACCAAGCTCCCGAGGTGCTCTCACAGGATTACCCAGAGCCCGTTGTGCCGCAGCAGCAGCATCACCAGCACTTTCAGCAACAGCAGTACCAGCAACACCAGCAACACCAGCAACACCAGCAACACCAGCAATACCAGCAGTACCAGCAGTACCAGCAGTATCCTCCAAAACCAGAAGATGCCCAGTACCCACCAGGTAGCGGGCCCTACTCGGCCTACAGCGCCAGCCAGCTCGATCCCACATCACCAGGGCTCCAGAACCCCGCGGGAGGTGGCCCGGCCCAAGCCCCCTCAGACGCCGGGAACAAGAAGAAGGGCACCATATGCGGCTGCACAGCTATCGTCTTCGTGCTCTGCCTCGTCATCGCCCTCCTCTCCGCAGCCGTCATCGGTCTCGCCGCCGGCACCGGTGTCGAGGCAAGCCGGGCGAACACGGCCGACGACCGGGTCGCCGAGCTCACCTCCTCCTTGGCCGCGGCGGCCACGGCCACCGCCACCGGCGGCTCGGCGGCAAGCACGTCGTTCGCCCAGCTCGACAGGAATTGCTCGGCGGACCCCAACGGTGTGACCGGGACGACTTATGACGCCTTCTCATGTAAGCCTGTCCTGGATACTGGATATTTGTGGTGTGTGTAGGTTACATGTCCCCCCGGCTGACAGTGTAAACCCTGCAGTACTCGGCAACTGGTCCTTCACAATCCAGTGCAACAAGGACGCCAGAAATGGTCCGTTGATGGCGCTCTTCTCCGCCGACTTCGACACATGCATGGACCACTGCGCCTCCTACAACCAGTACCTGCCACACCTGTTCGGCGAGAACAACACCAACGCGACCTGCGGCGGTGTCAGCTTCATCCCCCTGTGGACGCCAAAGTCCGAGGCCCTCAAGGGCGGCGCCCCGGGCAACTGCTACCTGAAGCCCACGCAGACGGAGGAGCTATCCACGCCCAACATCGGCACCGAGTGTCATGCCGCGGTCCTGAACACCTGAGCCTGACCCCTCTACGTGTCCACTTGTGATTTTACCATTGCATCGCCAAAATGGCGTTATAAATAAGACGGTTGTGTCCTCATGCCAAGACGAAAGAATTGGGATATTACGGGACCATACTTAATCATCGGGCGCACATTAAAGCGGATCAAAAGCACCCGCGACAATCTTAAAAGCTCCGCTCGGGCACCGCTCCGGGGGAAGGGGGCGCGAGTCCGGAGCGATATTGAACCGTGAGGGTATCATGGAAAATTCGACGTCAAAAATCACGGACTTGTGGATATACCGTATTAAATGGTTCGTGGTTCTCCTAATCGTTGGGGAGCGAGCCTAAAAAGGGCCTTCGACTTTTTGCAGTTGTCTATCGTTGATATCCATCCACCTATTATGACTGAACGTCCAAAAACAGAAAAGAATAAAATAAAATACACATAATTTATCTGACAAACCACGTACGCGTCTGTGTTCTCGCCCCAACCAACTACCTAGGTACTTACATAAGTACTCAAGCATGTGTTGAGAATTCATCCAAGCAATACAACTTTGGTTCACGGCTTTTATCCACCTCAACAACCTGAGGAGTTGATTACACCGATCCAACGCTACTACTCATCGTCATAATTCGAATTGTCGTCTGCACCCCCCATTAAATTAAGCCCACAACGCTCGTGGTCATGGCCCCAGCCCTACCCGTTGACAACCAACACCTGCAGCTGGTCCCGAGCCGTTGGGACGGTTCGTGAGACTAAGGTCGTAGCGCAGCGCCGCAGCCGTTGGCCTGCTCTTTACCGTTTGCCACCTGAGGCGTTGCCATGCCTTTGCCGGCACCGGCATTCTGGCGGAGCTGATACGTTGGGACACACTGGTGTTATCTTACCCTCACCGGTGCCTCCAGATGGGGCTTGGGCAGCGCAATCTTAAAAACAGGGCACTTTGTCGTGATAGTGTACTGTATTCTGTTGAAACAAATAGTATGGGTATCGATAATTACAGAATTATGAGGTACAAGACCAATGTAGACCTCCTCAAAACCACCAACAAGCTCTATGAGAAGCAAAGTCAAGTGACCTGTGAAATAGACGCCGGAGGCAAATAAAGGCTGTCCACATGCTGAGAAAAGCCCCTCCGATCATGTTGAAACAAGTCTACAGAGACAAACATTAGGTTCGAACATGGGAAGAATCAACTCTTTCGAACGAGATACCGGTCCAACCACGAAGCTACCCGGAAGGTGGCTCACTCCGGTGTCTCGGGCACCTCCCAGAGGGAATTTTCAAACTGCCTTTCGGACTTGACCATCGTTGGCGACGAGTCGGTCGGCGTCCGCGGCGCAAAGGGGATCTGGGAGGTAGGCGTGAAGATTGGCAGATCAGCCCGCTTCATTGGGCTCGGTGACCGCAGCGAGGCCGGATCGACCTGTTTCAAAGGCGTGGGCGTCGTGTCCATCACTACTGGCGCGGGCTGCTTGGCCGCGCTGGGCGTCGCCGTGTTTGGAGGCAGCCAGGTAAGGGGCTCCTGCGGAGCGGCGATTTCTGGGGCTGGTCCGTCTGGCTGGTACTGGACGAAGACATCTGGAGTGGCAGCTTGTGGCGGAGGGGCAGGCCCCGTGGGCGTCTCCTGGCCACTTCTGGGGAGGGGGATCTCTTGTGGGAGACTGTTCTGCGAGGCAATCTCGGCTGGGGGGCTTGGCTGTTGATAAACCGCAATAGGGTCAGGGCTAGATGGCGGTAGAGGTGTCTGCTTCGTGGCATCCGTGGGCGCAGGCTTTGGTGGCGAGGCTGTCGCTTCCTTCTTTGCGCGCGCCTCCCTTTGCTGTTTTGTGACCAGCGTGATCTTTTTGAAGCCGGATGTGATCTTGTCAAGCTCATCGCCTGACTTAGGCGGGGGTGACTGGGTGTTCTGAGCTTGCTCGGTAAGACTGGGCGACTTGGATTTCGACGCAGCTTTCGTAGCAGGAGCTGCGCTCTTTGGCCGGGGTGCTTTGGGAGCTTCCTTCTTTGCTTTGGTCGTCCTGGTCTTCTTTACGGCAAGCGGGCCGCCGGCAGCCGTCCTCACGCTCATGGAAGTGTCTGGCCTCTCAGTCATTGACGTCGCCGGTCGTTCGTCCAGCGGGGTGACTTGGCCCTGCGTGCCGTCAAATGACTCAAGGATTGTTGACGCAGCACTAACGCGTCGCCCTTGTCTCGTTGGGGCCCGGTCACCAGGCTGTGGTGTATTGCTGCGTGAAGCACCCTAGCGAAACCTTTGTTAGCCATCGAAACGGGAAAAACACGGTGATGCCAAGTGGCGCCCGACATGATACATACCTTTTCAGAAGCTGTGACTGAGGCACCAGCCACGGTCTTCCGCCTGTTCTTCACGGGATCATCATCTCCCTCGAAGTAACTCGTAGGTTTCCTCTCACGTAAACTCATCCTTGATGGTGCTGCAGCGGGCGGCGGCGCCGGGGTGGTTCTCCCACCCTCGGGCGGGAGGGTGCCATCGATGGCCATTTGGCGGTCACGCCGGATGCGCGTTGCCTCAGCAGAGAGGTCTTCAGGCCCGCAACTTGTTGTCGTCCGATCCGTGGGCGTCAGCACTGCACACAGCCCGTGAGCTGCAACGTACCACGGCACCTCTGGGGGTGGTGGCGTGGGCGGTCTCGGAGGTGCAATACCATTCATGGATGCTTGTCGGCGCAATCGTGCGCTTTCAACCATCTTCGCGGTCGAGGACTGGGTTGGTGTGCAGTATGTCGGAAGTGGTCCATTCCGAGCAGCTTTGACCTGCGGCGGTGATGCCATGACGCCTGTCTCCAGCAGATCTAGGTCTTCGGGACTCCACCAAGAGGGGTCGTAGGCATGGGGTCGCGTCTTCAACTCGAGCGAGTTCCTCCTGTCGTGTGAGATGCCCGTTCTCTGAGGCGTCGTGCCATCAAGCCCGTTTGGTTCGCCTTTCGGAGTCGGATCACTGCCAGCGAGACCGCTGACGTGGCTCAAAACCCCAGAAGTCAAAGCGCGATCGCTGTAGCCACCCTCGAGAACGCTGATGACCCTTCCGTCGACACTTGTGCCCAACTCGTCGGCAATCTTCGTGACGTCCCGAGCAATTCGGGCATAGAAGCCAGTCGGCACATTCACGACGTGACGCTGCATGCCAGCTCCCTCCCACTCACTCGCATCGAAGCCTGCCGACAGGAAAATCGCCGCCTTCGACGTCTGATTCGCCATGCGAAGCCGTTCAGTGTGCGCTTTCAGATACTTTCTGGCCTTCTCCAACAAGACGGCGTATTTGTCCTCGTACAACGCCCAGAACTCAGCCTCTGTCTTCCAAGGCTCCAAATGCACATTCCAGACGTGCTGGCCGTGCGCATTGTCTATGCAAAGGCTTGCATTCTTGACCTTTTCCTCGTCGCCCATCTCGCAAGGGTACGAGTTGATATCATGGAGCGAGAAGTAGCCGATGGATGCCTTCTTCCAATATGCCGCATTCTTTGCCAAGCCCACGCCCCTAGAGTTATGCTGCCAGGCAATTTGCTGGCTTCCATCGCCGTGGTGAAGGTCAAAGTCGATAATGGCAGCATGGGTGAGGCCGTGGCCGAGAATACCATGCATGATTCCAACATGCACATTGTTGACCCAGCAAAAGCCCGACGGGTATGATGCGGAACAGTGATGGCCCGGTGGCCGAACAGCGACAAACGCTCGCTTGGGCCCCGACTCGGCAAAGACGGCGTCAACAGCGTCGCATACAGCACCCAACGAGCCCTCCAGTGCCTCCAGCGACTCCGAGCACAGGTACAGATCGCCCTCATGCAGCTTCTTAGGCTGCTCGTGGTCCGGACCGCGGTTCATGTCCGGGCGCTGAAGCTCCTTGCCCCCAGTCGCAAGCTTCGCCTCAGCCGAGTCGCACATGATCTTGAGCTCCTCCATCCATTTGGTGCCATGGACGTTTGTGACGGCAGGCGAAGACAGAGACACCCGTCGCTTCGATCTATGTATCCGAAACGGTACCGACTGTATGGCCGCCGGGTTCAGACTCGGATGCAACACGTGCTCGCCCTCGGCGTGCCTCTCGCCCAGCAGCACGTACGCCGCAGAGATCCCCAGCACGCAGGCCTTTATCCTCTCGGGCCGTTCGACGATGGTGCTGAGGGTGGCGCGCGACGAGCGCGGGCGGGAGAAGCGGTGGCCGTAGCACGCATCGTGGAGCACGACCAGGGTCTCGGCGGCGCGGCCCGAGTCCTCGGCGTGGAGGAGGTCCAGCTCCCTGGTGAAGTAGGCCCTCGCTATGGAGTTGGCAGAGGGAGGAGGCGGGCGCGGGGGATCGGGCGAGCTCGCGGCGCGCGACGCGGTCGGGGACATGTTGGCGGAGCTGGTGCGGCGCAGCGGGGTGACGCCGTTTGCCGAGTGCAGCGAGTTCATGGAAGCCTTGCGCAGCAGCGTTGGGGTGGCCGAGCCGGACCGGGACTCGCGGCCATTTGAGGAAGGGCCGTTATAGGGGCCTCGAGAGGCGGCCCTGACGCTGAGAGCAGAGGGTGATCGGTCGACTGCTGGCCTGTAAGGGGAGCTGGCGCCCCCTGACGCCGACGTTGGGTTCGGAGAGCGAGGCGAGCGCGCGGGGACGGGCGAATGCGCCAGTGGCGACGTTGAGAGGGAGAGCTGGTGGAGAGACTGCAGCAGCTCGCCGTCCGAGTCTCTGAGCTTGGTGGTTGAAATCCTCCTGCTGGGAGTTGCCTGGGCCTTTGGCGACGACATGGTGAACGAGGTGAGCGAGGTAAACGAGGGGCACGAAGTTGGGCAATCCTCGCTCGCCACACACGTCATCCAGCTGCGCGGGACAAGAGTTGACGGCGCCCCTTGGAGGCAGGGCAGCGAGTGCGTTGGGAGCAGTCTGAGGAATGGGTCAAATTTGAGTTGCTCGTTTAGGAACCTGGGGTTGCCGTCGTGAAAGAAAATGAGCGACTGGACTTGTGCAGGATGTGCACATGTCATTTTGGAGCGATCGCTAGGCCAACTTGGGCTCAAATCAAAACAAATAACACACCAGTAGTAATAAGACAAGCTTGGGCTTTTTTGGAGGCCGCGTGCCGGGAGCTGCAGGCTGCAGGCTGCAGGCTGCTGCAGCGCTGCACGTATTTCGTCAGTCCGTTGTACGAAGTACGCTAGAACGCGTGAAATGACGCTCTCTGGCCCCACGTGACGGGTCCCTGGGCCCGGGAGCACCCCTGGCGGCCAGTGGCCATCTGCGATCGATCCACTCGCCTACATGCCTTGTACGGAGTACAGTACGTACATACGGATACACCTGCAAATAGCAGCAGCACCGTGCTCCAAGTTATTACAGCAGGACCCCTGAGAAGCAATGATCCACCGCACCATCGTGGGAGGGAGCAGGGGCCTTAATTGCCTCGCCGTCCTCACCGCACACCGCAAGTGGGTTGCAGTCCGTGACCAGACAGACGGAGACCGCCTTCTCCCATGGGCTGAAGCAAATCCTGTCTTTGTCCGTGATTATGCCAATATACCCAGTGAAACAAGCCGCAGACATACTCTATTTACCCTTTCCGAGTGACTTCTCACAAGAAACACAATAGACTGAGGACGTCATCTGCATTTTGCGTCACCCACGACTCAATCGTCATGTATCATTCATGACAGGTTACCGTATATGGGATGGCTCGTTTTGCTGTGGCCTCTCTGCTCGTGTACGTGCAGTGTCACTCGGTCTTATTAGTATCAAAGACAGCCCCAGCGCCAAGGGCCGCTGTAATAATCTAAAATATGTTTAAATCTTATTGTATCACAGTGGTCTTGAAGAACCATCGCTGCAAATGAAGGCATATCCATTCATGGCTTCTTCACACACGCCCATGCAGCCCTCTGCATTCCGGTCAAACAGGCCATATCTGCTTACCCAAAGTCTGCAGTGGCCTCGTCTTGTCCCAAATAGAAACTCCGTCTATTTCTCCTCGCTATGCAATGATGTCGCATTCAAGATGCCCGCGCCCGTAATCCCTCCATCATGACATGGGCTGAGAACAACACGGAACCTCTTGCCGTGCTCCAGGGTCATCACCCGGTCGAGAAACCCCTGGCAGTCTTGTAGGTAGTCCTGGAAACCAGTTATACAACCACCCGTGTATCCTACCACAACCTCGACGGTTGGGAACCGGGCGGAGGTCTTGTCCTTCCGCAGAGGTGTTGGTAGCTCTTCGGCCAAGGTGAGCAAGCCGATTGTGTAACCAGCCATGAGGCCTGCGGCTCGCCATTCGATGTCAAGCGCAATACGGTAGAGTGCCTCGGCAACCTCTGGAGTCCACTCAAACTCTGAGTTGGTGGAGGGTTCCACGTTCTCTTTCTTCGTAGTCGGGTATTGCCTCCGCAGTTGCTCTACCAAGGAGCCACCTTGATCGTTACGCGGTTTGAAATGGCTGAGCCACGTCGTGCTCAAGGACCACGGCTGTGTTATCTGGAATGGCAGCTTGAACGTGTCGATTTTCAGAACCTTGGTTAGGTATTCTTCGAATATGATGCGGCCCAGTTCGCCAAGGTATCGACCAGAGGTCATGTACTCCAGAGGCTGGAAGCCTGGTCTTTCGACGGTCATGTTCAGCAGCCTGTCCCATCTGGTCATAATATCAAGGCTCGAAAGAACAGCCTCTGTGCCGTTGATGCTCCATTCGGTGTTGACTGCTATCTTTGGGTCTCCGCCAGCCTGCCCAGGTATCACGCTCACTGTCTTTGGGCGCTTGCTTTCCTTGAGGGTGCTGAGTTTCAAGGGTATCGTGGCATTGGTGCCGGTCCCACAAATGAGGGCCATGCATGCTTTTTGGTGAGCCTCTGCGCGGTACTGGTAAACGAACGAGACCAGGCTTGCGACCGCATCATTCGCAATGGCTGCAACCCTGATACGGGGCAACTTTTCACCGCGGTGTTCATCGTAACCCGCAACAAGATAGGACCCCAGGTCGACTTTGGAATCGAGCGCAAAACCCTTGCCCATGGGCATGAGGGTCGCCTCCTGCAGCGATTTCTGCTCCATGGGAAAACTGAAGGTGACGCCCATGGGTAGTTCGTCCTCAGGCTTCAGGCCCCACCGTTGGCAAGCCAGCCGGACAACACTTGCGATGCGGTCGCCGATGAAGTCGAAGAGTTCATCTGAGTTTGAGTTCTTGAGCTGGTCGCCAATGGGCCATGAATGCTCCAGAACTCGGCGCAGCCGTGGGGGATGGACCGCAGACGAGGAGGAGCCCTGCCCATTGACCGAAGCGCCCTCGTTGCTGGGCCCGTCAGCCCCGCCGGCGAGCAGCTCGACAAAGCCGACTCTGAGATTGGTCCCTCCTCTACGGCTCCTGGTCAGTACGTGGACTCAATTCTTGTGGCTGGCTTCTTGTTCAATCAAGAATAAGCTCACATGTCAATAGCTAGGTGCCTGCGGTTGGGCAAAAAAGGGTCAGTCTTGACTGCAAAAGAGTGGCGTGTCCAGAATCGAGATAACTCACCGGCCGCGATCGGCGAGGTCGATCCGCCTAAGGAGGGACTCGCTAATGGGCGTTGGCAAGAACTGGTTGTCCGACTCGGTGGACAGTTCTGAGAACTTGATGAAAAGCTCCTGCGAGAGCTTGAGGACAGTCTGGTCGGTCAAGCGCAGAGGCTGGAGGAAGTCGTCCAACGACTGCGGAAACTGGTCTTGTTCTTGTCCAGACGCCATTGTTGGTTGTGTCTGCCGTGCTGGGGTGTACATATACGTATGCTCATAGCTTGCTACTGCTAAGCCTCAAGACCGGAGAAACTCGATGGGATTGGAATAGGTCGGGTACCAAAACAGTGGTCGGTTGAGAAATGATCAAACGAGCGAGGCGGGTGAGATACAACAAAGAGTGTAAGGCTGCTCATGACCTTGGGATCAACAAACCGTTTGTCTAGTATTCATCCATTGCAGGCACGTAACGGTTAGAGTGTGACTGAGGTCATGCAGGCTCATAGATAGGTAGGGTGAGCCGCTGGACAGACAAGGACCGAAACAGCCAAGGTCGGTAACTGGGCCCTTCACGAAGGCACTCAGCTAAGGTGCTCCTGATAAAACGCAACGCCACTGGCCCCAGCCCACATGCCATCCCACTTTCAAGACCGACAGCCCCACAAGCTGACAACGTAACGTCAAGTACTTGTAGTAGTAGCACGCGACATCCACTACGGCTAACGTTCCGTTGGAACTCCCAAATAATGCATACCGAGCCGTGCGGCGTCTCCTGCTCGGCACCTGGCTGCACAGTCCTGGTTCTCTGGATTGTTACACCTCGGCAACTGCCCCTCGCAGTGTGACAGGGCAGATTCTGCCGTAAGTAGAACATACGCCAGTCGGCTAGGGTACGAATAGACATATATAATGATCTTGAAAGATACATTGTGCCCTGTCCCTCTGGGACCCTAATTGTTTGACTCCAGCTTAGTAGTGGAACTCAAAAAAACGCAAATAGTCCACATATATATATATATATATATAAGAAACATTCTGAGGATATTTGCCGGTGTCTTTGCAGGGGACCTGGCGAAATCCTCCTAAATGCTCTAGCCACTGTTGTGGCCCAAGTCTCCCTCAGGACCCTCGCCGTATTGCTACGACTAGAATTAGATCCTGACTATTTCGCAAGAGGCAAACGGTGTCCATAACTTTCGGGCCCATCTCTCCAATCGTTGAAAGATACTGGCATAAATACTTAAGTCCCTAGGTACCTAGGTACCTGATATTTGCTTGGCCCCCCCCCCCTCTCCAGAGCTTCTCCAACAGCAGATACCCTAAGCCTAGGTACCCTATCCCTGAATCACGCCACTGTAGTCCAACACTTCACGATTACTGATAGTCTGGCCGATAAGTCGTAAGGACGTGCTCCGTACATGCACCTGTCATGGCCACGTCGCCGGCCCTTCCATCCCCAGGATAACTGACAGGAGCTACTTTGTCCATTGTTGTTTTACACGATACAGCAAGAGCAACATCTGAATCAGTATCCAAGATGGACGAGAAGTACGCCAAGTACAAGACGTTTCCCCCGCGTGCGGCAGGTTCGCCGATGCGGACCCATGCCCGGAGGGCAGGGCGGTTCCGGCCTCTGCTGGTGCTGACGCTGGTCGTCCTCTGCCTCTACATGTACGCGAAGCCGTCGTCGGCGCTCGGTCCGCTCCCGGACATCTCATCGCGCCTCTCCAATACACTGCAGGTGGCGATGCCGGGCTCAGCCCCAGGTGCAGACGCGAATGCCGCCCTGGTGCCGCTCGAGGCGCACATCATGTCCAAGTGCCCGGATGCCAGGGACTGCCTCCAGAAGCTGATCCTGCCGGCCATGGTGCGCATCGTCGACAAGGTCAACTTCACCCTGTCCTTCATTGGGACGCCGACCGAGAACGATGGCATCGACTGTATGCACGGGCCTGAGGAATGTGAGTCGGCAGTTCCCCCCTCATCTGGATTGCGTGCGCGCCAGTGCTACACCCGGCCGAGTCTCGGATATATGGAAACTGACTGGACGTGCCTGGACTAGGTCTCGGTAACATCATGCTTCTCTGTGCTGAAGACCTCTACCCCGACCCGAAGACCTACCTTGGATTCTCCATGTGTTTGATGAAGGACTACCAACACATCCCGCAGCGGAGCCTCATCGAGGACTGTGCTCTGGAGCATGCCATTGATTTTGGAAAGCTGGACGAGTGCGCAAGCAAGGACGACGGTGCCTGGGGAGTCGAGATGCTCCGAAATAGCGTCCGCCACTCATCAGATGTAGGCTGTCACTGCGTCTGCTGGCATTTAACCTCGAGACTTCACTTGACTGACACCGCATCCCCTAGGTCGGAGTCACTAAAAGCTGTACGGTACGCCTGGACGAGGAGTTCTACTGTGTCCGAGACGGTGGAGAATGGACCGACTGCCCGCATGGGGCCGAAGTTAACGACCTGGTGCTGGCGATTGAGAAGAAGTACCGCGCTTGAGCGGCCCGAACACCTCCGTCCACAGCTCGCCAGCCTCGCCGAGCGTGTAGCTCAATGACACCGAGTCCATGCCCTTCTCTTGATCGTCGCCCATGCTCTTTAGATGCTCGATTATGCTTTCCAGCCCGATGGCCTTGCCTGTTGCCTGTGTCGCGCCGGCCTCGAGAGCCACGTGGACAATGTGGATGTGGAAGTGGTAGTACGTTGGCTGGTAGTGCACGTATAGCTTCAACTGGTCGGACTCGATGTCGGGATATACCTTCTCAGTGGCCTCGACAAACTTGGCATTCATGTGCTCAAGCCAAGGGATGTGCTTGACCTTGAGGTCTCGCAAGCTCCAGATGTCTCGACGCTCCACTATGCCCAGCAGATGCAGAGCCTCGATTGTCTTCCTGTCCCAATTTAGGTCTGGGAGGAGGAGGAAGCCCTCATCACCAGCCTCGCCGAGAGGTGTCCTGTAAATGACATCCTCGACCTCCTTGCGACCCTCGATAATGTTGAAGACCCAGTTGAGTCGGCCCTGGTCTCGTTTTGCCTGCATGTGTGGTCGGATCTTGTCCCGGTAGATCTCGGGTGTTTCTGTCACAAATCGGACCCCCTGTTTGCTGTATTTCTTGACGTGCTGTTCCGTGCACGGGTATATCAAGTTGATCTTCAGGTCGGCGAAGTCGTCATCGCTCTTTTTGTCGGCAATGGCGCCGCTGCTGGCCATGTACCAGTGGTAGATGTCATTGGCGCCTAGATTCTTGAGCGTGCGGAGGCTACCGGCTATAGACCCAAGGTATTCATGGGAGTTGGGAAACGGCGCGCGCTCAAGAACCAGCAAGGCTGGCTGGTTGTCAATGGTGCCGAGGAGCGAGGTTCTCCTGCCTGCTTGGTCTGAAGAGGGAGACGGCCCGGGTCAGATATTGTAGAATTCACTCCGGCCGGCGGGACAGATCGATCGCCTTACCCTGGTTGAGCAAGCGCTCGAGCTTGAACCGAGGCACGAGGTCCTCCGGGGCTGACATTCTGGCTGGTGGGGACAAGACTAGCAGCGAAAGGGTGGGTATCGCGTTTATCTCGAGGTTGAGTTGAGTTCAAAGTGCAAACATGCAAATTCGGGCCTTGGGCTGGGGAGATGGAGCTACCCCGCGGTGAACTGCTGGCCCATGCTCCCACACCACCTAGATACATGCATGCGAGCGCTAATCGGGTGGTCAGACTGGGGCAGCCCCACCATTGGATCCGTCAGGTCCGTGTGGTAGGTGCCCAGGTACTCCGTACTTGGACGAGGCAACCTACAGCTCAGCATAGCTTCTGGTCCGCCTTGTGGCCCGCGTCTTCTCGCCTCGCGTCAATACGCAGCAGGCAACGCAATGGACGTCGAATCGTTTCGAACGAGCGTTCAACGTGCGGTGGCACAAGCAACGCTGCTTCCGACCATGACACAGGAACAAACATGGGAGCTGCTGTTCCAGTCTAGGACTGCTGCTCTCCTCCCCCTTTCCCTCATTCCTCCCCTTCTCCCTTCCGCCAAGTTTCTGCCCAACTCCTCAATCCTCTCGACCCTTGTCTTGCCCTAGTGCAGGCGTCTTCTCCTTGCCATGGAAGGTTCAAGCAATCCTCGCCCCTCAAGCGAGGATGCAGTTCCAATGAGCCACCGCATTGACAATTGGGATACTGTGAACCAACAGGAGCCATCGCCTCTCTTCAGCGTGCTCCCTGCCGAGCTTCGCAGCCTCATCTTCGAGTTCGCACTCGCCGAGTTCACTGCACCAGCGCTAGACCGCCCCATCCAACATGAATTCTCTGCCCGTGATGATCATGAGAAGCTTGACGACGAGCCCAACCTGGAAAATGGCCCAGCTAGCGAGGCAAGTGACCCACACGGACAGGAAAGCAGCGCTCAACCGCCTGACCCGGACGATGGGCCAGCACCGGCAGTCCAGCCACCCCTGGCCTCGTTTCTCCTCTCTGCCCGTGAGCTGAAGAACAGCTGGGACTGGTTCCGCCCCGGCTACACGGGGCACCGCAAGATGAAGACGGCCCTACTCGGGACTTGTCGACGCGTCTACCTTGAAGCCTGTGGGCTTAGGTCTGAAGGTAGCAAGATCTTCTACAATACGAGAGGGCCGTGTTGGTGTCCACAGTCCCCCGCGAAATATGTCTCTGGCCTTCCCCGTGGAGCTGCTCAGCACATCCGCAACCTGCAGATGTTCTCGCAGGTGCGGTACCTCGAGTGGGATCTGATGGATCTCGTGACTGGTGTGTTCACTGCCGGCCCACATCTTCAGCGTCACATGCCTCAAGCGCGGCTTCATCCAGCGCATTTTGTCACTAGCCATTCGTATATGGCCTTCCCACGTGTCTCTCGCGCTGCGTCCTACCAAGGTAGACTTCCTGCTTCGCTGCCTCAACATGGGTACCGGCCGGGCTCCGCAGGGCCAGCGATTTGGGAGAGCCTAGGGCAATCATCGCCAACACGGCTTTCAGAAGCTGGTCTTATCAGCCCCTGGCGTCTAACAGAGCATCTAACAAGCCTACGGATTTACCTGCGTCGCACAGATTGGTGGAACTGGGAGGGAAATGCGCCGCTGCTGATCAACCCCTTCAGCCCACAAACGAGCCGTGCGAGCCCACCAGTGGCCAACATGTTGAGCAGCATGCGCACCTCAGCCGAGGCCGACAAGCGCATCGAGCCGTCCTTGCTCTGCGTGACACCGAGCTCGATCCCGCGCTGGGACTGCTGGGCCCTGCTCTTCCTGCGAATGCCTAACCTCAAACAGCTGACCATCGACTTCGAGACGTCAGAGGATAAGAAGTCTGAGATGGAAGCAATCGTGGAATGGGCCCGCCTTCGCTGGCGGTTTCCCGTGCTGCGGCGGTTATCTGGCACTGAGCGGGACCCGTACACGTTCAGACACATGCAGAGGAGTCGCAACGCCACCCCGGTCGACCTCTCGCCCTGGTCGGACGACCTGGATGTACTGTCTGCAGCGGACCAGCCGGTACAAAAGACCAGCTGGCGCGGTCTGCCACAACACTTCTCAGCAGCGTGTCACGCCTGTACGGCCGGCTGGGGCGAGGAAGAAGGTGCGCCCGACTGCGAGGAGTGCACGAAGAGGGGGAAGCTGCTCAAGCTCAACAAGGGCCCGCAGCTGCTTGTGTGGACTGTCCACTGGGAGCGGAAGGTGCCCCCTGGACATGCGCAGCCGGAGGGGAGCGCCGGAGGGGAGGGTAGCCAGGAGCGAGGTGGACAGCCACAGCCAGGATCGGCGTCTGCCGAACGGCAGGATGGCCCGGGCCCTAGAAGCGCCGAGTATCGGGCCCGCCGGCGGAGGGAGTTGGACGAACTCATGGAGATGCAGGTGATGTTCTGAAATGGTGGTTCGGTTTGTTTGTCGAAGACTTCATACCTGCGATACCCGTTGCCTGTTATTTTAAGCAATTCATAAGGAAATGGTCCCTATCCGACATGGCGACTCGAAAGGAGAATGCATCTTCAGATTGGAACAAAAAACACAAGGAGACAGGGAGAAAAAGTGAAGTTTAAAATAAGCAAGTCAAAAGTCGGATACCACTTCTTTTGAACATTTCGCGGTAATAAATGTTTAACAACATCTGTTGACGGGGCTACGCGCCTCCGGTATCATTCAATGCGGGTTCTCTGGCTTATACATATCCTCTGGTGGAATAATACGTCGAATGCTCAGGGTATCTGCGTTACTTCCATAGAATCGTCTTTCAAATGGTCATTGACTTTTGTGCCTCCGAGTTCGTTAAACAATGCTGTTGTATCCTCCCAATGCCAACCTTTTGAGCTATGTGCACTCCATCAGATCTTGCTCAGTGCTCTTGGATATATCCAAAACTTGATATCCTCGCTATTGTGCAACGATTCGTCCCCGGCTACTCAGATCCCTCCCGCGTGAAGCCACGTGGTTGTCTCAACCTACTGGCCCGCTTGTTCGACTCCCACGTGGTGCGTGACGGTTCGGCCGAAGTAATCTGGAACGAGTCCCTTGAGCCGTTTGCCTTGGGAGTCTGCGGACAACTCTACCTCCGGGAGCTGGTCGCTTGTGCGAACGAGGGTCCCAGCTTTGCCGTATTTCGCTGATCTCGTCTTAAGAGGACTGCCCGTTGTTTCGTTTGGCCAGACCATGGAGACCACAAGTCTCACGCTCCTCGAGATGCGGTCTTGAGTGCGCCCATCGCTCGTGTCGATCGGTACTGCAGCTTTGGTGGCTCCCGATTCTCCTCTTCACTCCCATCATCAACCTCCAGAACCCCACCGGATCCTCCAAATGGGCTCAACTCCGGATCCGCCAAGAGCACGTTGCCATCAAACCCGCCATTCGTAATCTTCGGAGTCTCGGCACTCCATTGTGCAGCAGTCGGGCTCGTCGCGGCAAGGTTGGCGCCTCGTCTCATACTTTGTGGGCGGTAGCTCCTAGCTCGGGGCGGCGCTTCACTAAGCTTGGCTTTGAGGATCTCGTCCTGATCCAGTATGCGATTCACTTCTTTTTCTGCGGAGTTCTTGGTCCCACTGAGGCGGTCTTTGATCTTCACAACTTCGTCGCTACAATCGCCATCCCTCAGGAATTGATGCGCCGCGTGCTCACACATGGATTGGACGGACTCCAGGCTCTTGTCCAGCTCATCAAAGACATCGGTCTGCTGAGAGTCCCCGGATCCCAAGCCAAAAGAGGAGAAGGACGAATAACCACCCCCGAGCTTCGGCCTCGCGGTGGGTACGGAATTGGGCTTGAGCTTGTGGCTATTGCCATTGCCCTGGCCGTTCGTAACCGTCGGCGTGCGTGGCTGTGGGGAACAGGCGGGGCTGATGGCGGGCGACGGAACGTTGTCCATGTTCTGATCTGGTTGAGTCTGAGCAGTATCCGCCCGAGTGTGCCCCTGGCCGTTAGGTAGGTCCACCTTGGTCCCGTCAGGGATCGCCAGGGACACGCCGTTGGGACTCGCCAGCTGTGGCGGGTCCAAATCCATACTCATATCCCCATTGCAGGATGGATCTCCTACCGATTCCTCGTCGTCATCATCCGGCACCTCGAGCTCGGCCATCTTTTTGATCTGGGCAACCTTGGCGGCCATCTTGGCCTTGCGCATCAAGTTTCGGCTTGCGCTGACAAACTTGACCAGCTCCTCGAAGAAGGACTGCACATAACTATCATAATAGACCATGACCAGATTGCGGTTGCGGTACTTGCTGGGGGTGGCACCCTCGGCCGACAGCAAGGACTCGGCGGCGGCGGCGCGTTTCTTGCTCAATTGTGTCCTCCGAAGCGCCGCCCGCGCTTGAGCCGAGGCGATGGCGATGACTTGATCTGTCTGCCCCTCGGCAGCAGCAGGGCCCAAGGGCGGTTTGCCATTCCTCGAGTCTTGATCTTTTAGCTGTCGGTCAACACCACCCCTCGACGCCACTGAAGCTCGCCGTGCCTCGTGCGCGGCATTCTTGTTCTCGACAGGGTATATCCTCGGCGTTGCTGGCGCCCCAGGATGTGCATCGCCATCGTCGCTGGGCTTGAGCGACTGGGTGGAGCCGCGATTCCGCACGGATTTGGTCGACGGGCCGTTGGGGTCCAGGAGAGCTGAGGGCTGCTGCTCTGCCACCTCGGCCAAGTCGAGCTGCCTCTGTTCGATCTGGCTGCTGAGCTCGTCGAGTCGCTTGGCCCAGTCGGGACAGTGCTCCTTGAGGTTGTTCAGGGCCTCGACGGCAAGCTGTATGTCCTCTGGGATGGCCGAGGCACTGGGGCTCCGCCATGAAGACGGGCCCGGCGCAAAGACGGTAGAGGCTGGAATACTGGGCGGCGGGATGCGGCTGCTAGGTTTCTAAGACCTAAGCAGCCGCCGGTCGGGGAATAGAGCGGCGTAGGGCGCCCGGGTGCGACGAGGCAGAGCGAGTAATGGTGGACGACAGTACAGGACCGGCGAGGACTCGTGCAGAGGTGGAACAGGTGTGGTTTACCATGCACTGGCCAGAGGGACGGCTGGCGTTGGGCAGGTCGGGGTCAAGCGGCGTCTTAGACCCAGTCCCGTTGCGTGATGCGTGATGCGTGATGTTTGAGCTCGTGACAGCGGGTGGTGGGCCGAGATGGCTTGGACAACAAGCAGCCAGCTATTATAGTCAACTCCAAGGTCAATATCAACGACCAAACAAAGAGCTCAGCCGGCGGGACGCTGTGTGGAGGAACAAGACGGGGCGAGCAGGTCTGTCACTGAGCCTCAAGCAAACGGACCCCGGGTGCCGGCAGGGGGGGGCGGGCTATTGGAGGCGGATGCAGTCAGGACGGATGCTGCATGAATATACCGGGCGGGACAAACGGATTGGTCTGGTACTCGAGTGGCCACGAGTCGAGGCGATTCAATTCAGATAAATTTTATCAAAAGACTATACCTCTCCGTAGCACGGCATAGACAGGTCGTAAGTCTGTGTGTAGTCTAGGAGCCAGGGAGAAAAGGCAATGGGGAGGAGGCAAGGATTGGGCAGGCCAGGTAACTCCTGGTTGATATTCCGTCCAAGGTTGTCAAGGTCAGGGAGCCAACCGAAGCTTGAACTCGAGTTGGAGGGGGTCAGTGTAGGTGGAGAGAGGTTGGCAGGCTGGCAGGCTGGCAGGCTGGCAGGCTTGGGGGTCTTTGATGAGGCAAGGATGGCTTGATGGATCCCCGAACCCCGGGCTGGGAGTCGTTGGGGGAAGGGGAAGGGGGCCTGAGGGGTCGGAAGTCGGAACCAACTGCTAGCAGCTAGCAGCTGGGAGCTGGGAGCTGGGAGCTGGGAGCTGGGAGGTAGAAACGCAACCACAGTACGGAGTACCTCATCAAACCTCCAGGCAGCAATATTTCGCCCCCACCCAAAGCTTGACGTGCTCGTCATTTCCGCCTGCATGCTGCCCCGTCGTCAAACAGACTGCAAATCATGTCGTCAGTCTCTTTATTTGTTTCCGAATCGCAAGCCTCGCGCTGAGGATTGGCCCTCGACCGGCACCGATGGCGGCGATGCTGGTATGAATGGGAATCCGCCGTTTGATCGGACCAGGTACTCACAATTGACCAATCTCAGGTGGCCAACCCGCCAACCCGCCAACCCGCAACGCAATCAGGCCCATTGAGCAGCACCATGCAAGACACAGTACTCTGAGCTCGGAGCCGCCGGGCCCTCAGGCTCGCGATTCGTTGCGCCTCGAGCTGCACTGCATACCCAGACGGGCCTGACGGGCAGACGGGATTGTCCAAGGAAGCAATCCCCGCCTGAACGCGCGGATTTTGACTTGCATGCATGCAATCGTTGCTGTAGCATCGAATTACGGGCCGTTGACCTCTGGTGCCAGCGCCTTGCACAGTAGTCCGCCTCGGCGTTGCGGCAGTTGATCCAGCCCCCGTCCAGCCCCCGTCCAACCACCGTCCAGCCACAGCCATGCACCTGGCGGGTTGGACGGGCTGTCGTCATGATTTACACCTATCAGACTACTGCAAACATCTGCAAAGCCTCGATGGATACGGGCGCCCCCATCCCCCGCCGGGAGGGGGAGGGAGGGGGGCAAGGGGGGCTCGAGCTTTGAGGCTTGAAAAACAACAGTAATAATAATACTGGATGTGACGCTGTAAGGATGCTACATAGGACATCTCGGGTGTCTCTGCTGCGACTCGGTGGCGTATCCGGTCCAATCTCTCATCTGCTTTTGGGATGTTTTGTCGAGCCTGGTGGGACTGAACCAAAGTTTAAAGTCCTCCTTGCATTTCAATTTCAGTACCAGGAATGCTTGCCCAGGCCGACAGGCCGTCAGGCCGTCAGGCCTCCTGGGTTGTGAACATTTTACATGAAGCCGCCCGCGCCGTCGATTCGCCGCCTTTGGCGACCCACACGTTGCGTCTATTGCTGCACCGCGCCCCTCCCTGGTCTTTCTGCACCTCGGCTGCCGTAACCGTTGCTCCATGTCTGTTCACCGCAAACTTTCTTGGTTTCAGCACGCACGACCCTCGCGATTCAACGTCTCAACAGTAAGGCCAGCCCGGGCTGGGATACCGCCTGTAAGGCGCGCCCATCAAATAGGCCTGTCCATCGAACGATGGGTGCAAGCCACAGCAAGCTTCCCTCCGTTCTGGCCCCTTTGCCGACGTCGAGCCTAATCAAATTATACCGGAGTCGAACCTAATTCGAGCCGAAAGCAAGACTTCGTTCTCCCCGTCCCCACTTACTGACAGGCCTGACACGTGGGATCGAATCTGGGAGCTGGGGCTAAGAGTGGGGACCGTGAATCTGTTCCACCCTGTCCAGGCTGTCCCGCCTGTTCGCCTGCGAGAAGGAGATTGGATACTGTGTATTACTCCCTGCTTGCCCCGAGAGAAGGACTCGCGACGTCACTGGCAACACGCAGGAGTCGGACAGCAGCTCTGGTGCGACCTTTGTCAGGAATACGACATGCTTGGTGATTCGTGCCGCCCACCTCGCCAGAAGCAACCCGCCGGTCCCGAGTCTAGACCGCCTGGGTGGGACAACCCACAGCTCCAACTGGACGTCTCAGAGATGTTACGGCGGGAGATGTCACATGCCAGGCCTCGGAATAAATCTTTAATCCTTACGCTCCAACCGTTTTTGCTCGATTGTGCTTGACACGGCCACAACATCTCCATCGTGAATCATCACGACAGTGCTCCTGCCTAAGCTCCAATATGATAACCCGTCGTGGGGATCAACAACTGTAGCGGAACGTCTTCGTGAGCAATCCATTCGTAGGATAACCATGTGGCAGACCAAAGGACGATTGAGTTTCTCTCATGAGGTCTCCGATGATGTTATCATTTCGTATGAAGCAGTCGACCCTGCGCTGCTCGAATCTAGAACATCTATATGCTTGGCTGGCGTCTCATCCGCAGCCAAAGCCTTTTGGGTGCCCTAGAGACTCAAGTCCGACCCGAACCGCTTCAAAACACCCTTCTCGGCCGCGCCCCAGTCCACTCCCTTGAGCCTCCCGGCCATCTCGTCCTCCTGCCCAGAGAGTACATTCCAGAGCTCGTCGACGACCGCCGTCCGGACGCGCGGCCAGGGGTGCAGCATCAAGGCCCCCAGCCTCTTCCGAGCCTCCGCCACAGCTTCCAGCCGTTTCTGCCCCAGAGCCTCGGTCGCCATCGCCGGCAAGCCGTCGCAGCCCTTGCCCATGCTCGCGATGCCGCCGTACACCTTGACACAGGCGATGAGCTTCCGCACGTTGCCGGTTTTGTAGCTTGCCTTTTGCGCCTGAAGGCAGAGGTTCTTGAAATCGACTGTCTTGGTTCTCTGGTACAGTCCCACAGACAATAGGAACGCGATAATCTCCAGCGTCGGCACCGTGATCCGGTCCTGGCCCTGACGGGCCTTCATGTTCCGGTAGAGGGAGGCACACACTCGGTCGAGGTTCTCCTGGCTTGCCCTGGAGTATTCGCAGAGTGCGGAGCGGCTTGCTATGACGAGGTCCTCGTTGCCTGTGTCTGCTGAGGCCACGTACCCTGCCAGGAGCTCATCCATCCACTCCTGCGGCGTTGGCCCGTCGTCGACCTGGAATGTTTCATGTAGCCAGTCTTGATGGGTCGTCAGGTCAAGCAGGAAATAAAAGTAGTCCTTGGATGAGCATAAGCGATTCCCCAGTTCTGCTGATGAGCTGTGGCTGTGTCAGTTCTGTTCTAGCCTCTGATTGTGATGGGAACGTGGTACGTACTCTGAACTTAGGGCCAGATACAGCGTTGACTGTGCTTCCGGTCTCACCTTGTCAAGTTTCTCAGCACCGAGGCGCATGATTGGTAGCAAGAGACGAGAAGCTGCTGCTCGGGTGGCTTCTCCTGGCCTTGTCTCTAGGTTTCCCATCATGGACCATAAGTGCTTGGTTGCCTGTATGGCGTGCAATCGGACATGGGATCCTACATCCCCTCTCGCGTCCGTAGTATAGTCTTCCAGTGCCTCTGTAATCAGCTGAAGCAATCTTTGGGCGTGATACTTCATCACGTCGCCTTCAATGAGGCTCTCAAGTATCCACACCCTCGCCTCCACAGTTATGTCCTTGGCCCAGCATTGTAGCAAGGTTCTAGGAATAAGTTCCATGGCTCCATACCTCGTCTCCTGAGAAGACATATGAATGACTGCATGGGATCTCGTCAAAGCCATCAAGTATCCCTTGATGCTCCCGCCTCGTTGCGCATTCAGTGCAGCATTTGCCCAGCTCTCAATCAGTTGATCACGTCGAGCAGGCTCCAACAGCAGCAGCAATGCTACCGCAGCCTCGGAGACCGCTTCGACAACCATTCCCTCTGTCCTAAGAAGATAGCCATTCAAAATCGTCGGAACAAGCTCATTGACCCAAGCAAGTGGGAGCTCGTTCGAAACAGAGAGTTCTGCCAGCCGGAACACAGCAGTGCCTGCGGCGCTTGTCTTCAAGAACGATAGTAGATAAGGAGCAGTCACCAAGTCTTCCGGAGTACTAGCATGAATACCGCGGTGTGATGCTTGGAAAACAGGCAACGAGGAGGTGAACAGTCGACTTGCTGCCTCTGCAATGAGATCCGGCCGGCGGAAAGTGGTAGCTTCAATGAATTTCAGGTTCCACTCCAGCTCTGACAGTATTTTCTGAATCACGAGTGCTAGCTGTTGCGGATTATCTTGGCATGATGAAACCAGATGTGGAAGTTGATCCATAATTGAGGCCATGGCTAGCAGTAGACCGTGGCGTTCCTCGACTTGGCGCGGTTGCAGCACCCGGATGGACGATGCTATGGCATCGACGGACCTGGAGATGACTTCCGTGCTGGTCGAGGACACCCGTGTCAGTTCTGCTGTAATCATACCGTATGATGCTCCTGCGTATCTTCGAACACGATCATTGGCGTCACCCAGACCGCGCCAGTCAACGACAGCCTCGAGGATGGCCACGCCATACTGTGGATGTAGCTTTGTGACGGCTAAAGCAACATCTTGCATCGCCCTCGATCTCAGTGCCACAGCGTGATAATCCACTGTCTGAACAATCGCGATGCCCTTTTCCACGGTATCAGGATGCCTCCCAATAAGCTCCTGTAGAGCAGCCGAGGAGCCACGCCTGATGTTTCCAGCAGGGTCGAGACAAGCCGTGACTACCAAATGAGTAGCAAGTAGTTGCAAGATAGAGCCATTGTTACTTTCATTGCGCTCTCTGTTCAAGATCTCATGATTGACGTCAAGAAGCTCCTGAGTGGAGTAACGTCTTGCAACGGCCCAGATGCCGAAACAAGCCGCATCGCGAACATTGGCTCCGACAGAGACCCCGGACGCGCTTCGCTGCTCGAACGAGAGACCAAGCAATAATGCTTGCAATATGTCTCCGAGGCTCTCTGGGGGAGGCGAACGCCGGTATAAGAGATGGGACAGGGTGAGCATTAGCCCGTGCCACTCAAGAGGATCTACTGACCTCAGATCTCTCTTCAGCGGCTGCCAGCTTGACAAGCTTGAGTTCATTCCCTGGTCAGCCAGCCGAACATGTTCCTTCAATGCCTGTAGAACAGCTGCCACGACTTGTGAAGCCATGTCCTTGGGCAACTTGAGGGTGATGGCTCCCAGGGCTTTGCTAGCCGCGAATCTGACAGGAGTATCTTTATCAGACAAGCACCTCAGAAGGTGCCGCACGGTGGTTTCGACAAGCTGGATACCCGACATGTCGCGGCTCTCCCTTGTCAACTTCGACAGGGAAATTGAGCGCATGACCTTGATGACAGTCTTTCTGGCAACAGCAGACGAGCTGATAATGGTAGAAGTAGCATCATCATTGCACATTGTGGCATTGACAGTATAGAAGACTTTGGAAGAGTACTTCGCCACCTCAGATGTGTCAGCAGAAGACAGCACCCCCGCCAGGAAAGCAAGGACCCCGATAAAGGTGTAAGGATTCTGGTCGATTTCGTATTTCGAATCATTTTTGGCCTCAGAATCGCTGTTGTCCGGGCTCGGGTGCAGTGAAAACAGAGCCCAGTCGATGAGAGCCTGCAGGATGCCGAGCTGTTGCATATCCCGACGCATGGCCATCCTCACGAGAAGATTTTTGGCCGCGTCCCTCTCTTTACCTGGCGAGGCCAGATACTTGGTTGCCAGCGGCAAGATCCGCACTGTGATACTTGGGGGGTTGAACGGCCAGAGGAAGCCTGGGACGCCGGCCAGGTCGACATCGTGCATGTAGACCGAGGAGATCGTCGCCAGGTCAAAAGGCGCAAACATGAGATGGGACAGCCACAGGAGCACAACATACCGCTCCTCCCAGCTCCATTGGGGCACCGTGCCCTCGGAGCCCAGGTGTCTTTCTGATTCCTCAATAGCGGAAAGGAGGAGCTCAAGGTAGCGGGTCTCAACATTGAGGAAGTTCGCGATGACCTTCTCGCCGCGAATCTTGCAGAATGTGTAGATCAGCTTGCACACTGCGGTCGGGAGTGGCATCAGCAATGAAGATGTGCTCGACGCTTCCACGGCGTGCCGCCGCCTTGTCTGCTGGTACTCCAAGAAGGCCTCGGCGAGCACGGGGAGCCACTTGGGCAAGTGCGGATCAAGGAGCTGAGGCAATTCTTGAAAGGGGTCGAGAAGCTGTCCGAACGAGTCAATCCAAGTATGCATCAGGGAATGATATTTGTCACCTACGTTTGACGTGAGAAACGTCACCTCACGTCCACGCACGCGGGAGCGCACACGACCAGCCCCATCTGCTTTGCGCAAGAAGGGCCTGAGGCGGGCGTCAAAGTCGGCAATCAGGTCTTTGGAGACCGTTTGCAACTTGATGTCCAAATCTTCCTCCGGCGCGTCTTCCATAATGCTGTACTTGGTGGACAGTAAAGCCTTTGGATGCAGCAATTCCCCTCGCCAAAACCGTCTGCCTGGCGAAGGTTACCTAGGTAGTTACAGGTCTCCTGACGTGGCTTCTCACCAAATAACCTGACTGCTGTCAAGATTTGCCCGGGGCCCGGTACCGGTTACAAGGGAATAAACTCAAATAAGAACACCAAGCAACAGATATTCTAAGCTGCTGATGAGCTTGGCTGTTGTTGTAAGAGCCCCTTCGAGTATACAGATCTTTGAAGCAAGGCCTCTGAGGCCTGGCAATTTGCCTTCGGGAGCACTTGCTAAAACCCTTGTTATCAGGGTCTGTGACACACCCTACCCGCTTGTTCTCGGGTTTGGGGGGGGGGGTGCTGGCGTAGAACGCAAGTGAGAGCATTTCGATCTTTCATTTGACCCTTTCAGTGCATTCATAGTTAGAGATAGGTTGTCTCCTAATTTTCAGATGTAAAAGCTTCTACTCCTCGCATACGAGTCGACCACAGCGTTAATTCAATCTGAAGTGCCGATGCGGCCTCGTAATCGGCGAGGCCCCCTGCTTGGGGTCACGTTCAAAACGACATGCCTCTAAACATAAATGCAGAAACCTGCCCATATACGAAAAACTACGCATGAACCATGTCCGCTGTCCAAAACGTGTTCCTGCTTCTTATGATACAGCTACCGCAGCTACGAGCGTGTCCAATGCCGAACTTTGCGTGCTAGCGTTAGGGAACCCGCCGGCAGAAGCTGGGCCCGACCATATGAGACCCAAGTAGTTGCTGCCATTCCGGTCGTTGTTCCATATCGAGTCCGAGTTGGCCAGAATAAATTCTCGGAAGCTATCCTTTGGGGCTTCGAGTTGGAGGTATCCCAAGTTCCGAACGAATATACCTGGAGATTCGTCAAGTCAGCTGTGGTCGCTCACCCAGGCTTGTGTACACAGGATAGATTCGCTCACCCTTAAACTGAGAGCCATCAGCGCCGCAGTCGTTGGGCTCGCAGCTTTCATGAAGGATTCCGTCTTCCGAAAGGGCCTCTATTGCGGCCTCCGCAATCAAAGTAGCCTCGGACAGGTATCCGGAGTCCCCAGTGGCTCTGGAGAGCTCGACCAGACCGCCCAGAATTACCCCCTGGTTATAAGACCAGACCGTGTCTCCGTTGTTGAAACAAGACCCATCAGAGTTTATTTCGAGCCCATCATTGATCAGATTCTCATCGTTGATCATACCGCTCCCTTTAAACCAATCCCACTCGTCCTGGGCGATGCTCAAGTAAGAGTCTTTATTGGCCGCACGGTTGGCGAGAGAAGCAGCAACCGAAAGGTATAACTCATTAGCAATTGCGTTCTTGTATGTCCTTTGTTTATTCCACCAAATACCCCCTCCGCAAGTACCATTCACTCCACCTTGCATATCCGCGAAAATGCTTTCGGCCATGTCTAGATATTGCGCATTCCCAGTGACATCGAATGCCCTGACCCAAGCCAGGGCCCACCAGCCTTCATCATCGTAATAATTGTTCAGGAAGCCACTGAAGCCCCTGGAAGCGAGGCTGGACTCACCCACGACCGGAGACGCAATGTACCTTGATTCGAACAAACGCCTGCTCGAGCCCTTAACCAGTGTTTTGGTTGCGGTCTGAGTGGTCTGTTGCGCTCTGGTGAAAGTGTTGGCAAACACGTCCTCCAACCCCAAGTCACCTGTGCTTTCAACGGCCAGATTGAGGAAGTCTCCGAGCACAGTGAGGCAGTTGCCGCTGTTCCACCACCCAGTCGTCTCCCATAAACCGTCTGAGTCATTGTAGAAGGTCTGTAACGTCTTGATAGCTGTCACGGCGCGATCAACAGCAGTCGCTCTTTCTGTGGCCGCCAATGAAAACCTGAGTAGGGTTGCCTTAGCTACCCAGTAGCAGATGGTCCTGGGGTTTGTCATCTTCGCTAAGAGAGACGATGCTCGGTCTTTTAGATTATCGGCGTCGGCCAATACGGTTGTGAGTGGGTAAATATTCTCGGGAATATTCCCAAGCAGACAGAGGTGACACGCGGAGAGGAATATCAGGATGGCGAGAGCTTTGCAAACCAACTCAGAATCCTGGTCCGAGAGAACGCCTCGTCGAGAGCGCTTGCTCTGACTTTTGAACGAAACAACAACGTTCTGACAACTAAACTTGGCACCATGCCGCGGGCTCAGCTGAGCCTGCTCGCGCTTGTGGGTCATGGTCACAGCCTCGTGGATCAGAGCAAGGTCGTCTTATGTCACCCGAGCCCACCAGCCTGGTTTTCGTGGGGATGCAACCCGGGAGTGCGAGTGGTCCCACCCAACGCAATTGAAAGGATCCGAATGGTAGAAAAGCCTTATTGGTTCCACGTCGGTGGCATGCATAGCTGTTCGGATTGAATCGGCGGATGGCTTCGCAACAGCTTCTCAAAGGATGACGTTCCCACGCGAGCTGGGGGTAACACCAAGCGGACTTCCGTTGATGGAGGGGCATGCTGTCAAGCCAAGAGATGAGCAAATGACATGTTCGTCGGAAGTTCCAAGGTTATGTTGTAAGGTTGGCTTTCGTGTAACCTTGCCTCCTCTATTTGCAACCATCAATATCTGTATAGGAAGGTGTCTCTTTACAGCCAAAAGTCAATGAGTTCAAACGATGGTCGGTCAAAGAATCGACCACCGAGCGGCACCTCCTCGGTGAATTTTGACAATTGGCGTAGAGGGCACTGGGGGGTTGCTTCTGCTGGAGGCGTCGAGTGTTTGCACGTCTGGTCCAGTATCATGTGGAGGATTTGTCCTGTCAGCACTGCGGCCGCAGTGCAATCTTGCTGCCTTGTGCGCCCGCCGTGTTGGGGAATGGACAGCTCTCGGCCGCGATCCTTCGGTCATGCAAGGCAGTGCACGATCAACGCTAAAGATCCTGGTGCGTGGGTTCTCGGGCGAAGCTGCAGCTTTCTCAACAGGCGCACATGACAAGCCATTCAGGGTTTGTGGCCTGGAAGAGGTTGCAGGCTTGGGGGCTTGGGGGCTTGAGATGATATTCCAGTGCGGGATGACGTGACCTGCGGAATGTCGTGGCCAACCTGACAGGGGCATTGCTGGTTCTGAGATCGAAGTCGACCCTCTTCGAGACACCGGTGTCCCAACTGGATTCAAGAATTCACCAACAAGTAGGGCGCAGACACGCAGCGACACTGCGTGCGCTGTGCGTCGTTGACGTTTGCTCAAACCGTCCCTAGGTAGTGAGCCATCTGCGTATGGCGCCGGCGTCGCGAGGTAGGACGTCGACACAAGCAGTCGTCACGCGGACGGAAGGCCATGCAAGCCAACGTCAGTCTGGGCGCATTGGTTCGGATGAAGGAAAGGGGAAAAAAAAAAAAAAAAAAGGCGTTGCCGGTACCGCGCCCAGGAATGCAAAGCAGAGACTGACTCGCCCTCTCGGCCACCTTGCGATGAAACCGAAATCTCCGACGTCAGTGCTTTAGCTGCTAGCGGGCCGAACCTCTTTCCAATTGCCGGGCTGACTGACTCGGTGGCAGGGTGGTTGAGATTCGATAGATCGGCGCTGTCTTAGATCGCGGTGTCTCTCTCCACCTGGCCAACTACCTAAGTACTTAAGTAGGTATCTTAACAACCTGGATGTGGACAGCTGGGCCATTAGATCTGAAGAACGAGCACCTGATCTTGCACGAGCTGTTGTCTCACTGGGCGGACCTCATGGTCGCTCTTGGCAAGCATCTCCCAGAGCATTTGTGAGTGGAGATAAAATCGCCGCGGAATGACACGGAGATGATTTCGGCTCGCAAGATGCTGCCTCGGGAGTCTGCGATAGTAGCCTTCTTTGACATGAGCTTTGCTCGGATCATCGGCCCTGTGACAAAATCATACGCAGTGGACCGTGCTCTGTGTGATGGCCTCTGAGAACACGACCAGGCAGAAAGAAGGGTTGCAACTTTCAGGCCAAGGTAAACGTCTATGTATTGTCCACATCCAGCTTCATGGAGGTCCAAGTAAAGCTGCCAATTGCATCAACCAGCCAGCCCTAACCCTTGAGCGTGCAGGTCTATTTCACCACCTGACGTCCTCTGGCCGAGCACCCGGCCTCCTTGTTGACAGGCATGTTGTCGCGCAATTCCTCTGGGGTCAGGTCAAACTGCCCCTCGGGCCCTCGGGGAGAGGCCTGACGAGTTACAAGACGGTTACAACGAGTTTCTGCGAGGGCAAGAGGTCGGAGATCGACGACGACAGCCACGCCATCCCAGCTGGGGCTGCAAGCCTGACATTGTCGGGTAGACGAGGAAGCGGTCGGCCCCAGGCGCTTCCCATGCGGATCTTCATCGTGCCCGAGATGATCTGGCCGTCAGCATGCCTCACTGGAAACATGGGTTCCGAACTGGCCAGGAGACACAGAATTTGCCAGATCAAGCTCCGCATCAGAGCTGTGGGACGAAAAGGTCTCATCTTGAGCTCAAGTCTCCATTGAGGGCGGTCTGCGTTGTGATGTGCACGGGAATCCAGTGGTGCACCGAGCCGGTTGGGCTCTTTCTTCTTCGGTTCCATCTCTTCTTCCAATTGGCTCTTCTCAGCTTGTTGTCTCTTCACTTCAGCAACTTCCCCTCACGGCCTCCTCTAGGCCAGTGTAGCGTTGTGCATGTTGAAAGTAGTGAGACACACCGCCGACGTGGTTTGGATAGCACTGGCGCGGGCAACAAATTGAAGGGGTCGAGTCTCAAACAGAGACGCATCCGTTCAAGGTTGATCAGCAAGGCTTATCTGAGTATACCAGGGCTTGACATGGCGCCAGACCGTGGCGCCCGCTGATATGTCCGCGCTGTCATTTGCTTGGCGGGTCGGTTAAGAAGCTTTAGGCAAGGCAACCACCACATATTCCCCTGAGAGCTTTTCTAATTTACTAATCCCAGTCTTTGATGATCGTGGTCGAGACAGAGAACGCCAAGGATTCTGCCTAGAAGCGGACAAGGTCGAGTAGGATCTATGTCGGAACAGAACGACATCGAACAACGGCAACTCGCAACTAGCTTCTCAGGTTTTGTCTTGGGAGACGAACAGTCGCTTTGCGTCATGGGCGATCGCCCACTACCCATCTTGTCCTCAAGAAACACGGCGCATAACCACATGTTGAATCATTGGCTTGCCACAGTTGTTCTTGAGCACAAACTTCCTCTTGGTTGTATCATCTAACTGATAATGATCCGATTCTGAGACAGCTTGCATGCACTGCACCTGCCATTGGGGAGGAAAAGCCATTAATGCCCAGTCCGAGGCAGGCCTCTTCGATATATATGGCCATTCCCACGCCACGCATATATGTGTCCAGTCACATGTCTTGGCCTTGTAGCTGGACGACTGACTAGCTGGACGCCTAGCTGGACGCCTAGCTGGACGCCAAACCGCTTACAGCCGCTGCTTATGGTAGGGAGCCCAGCTCATTCGCCAAAGGACAGAAGTCTGAGCGGTGGAAGTACTCGACCAAACATCTACCTGATTTCTGTTGACGTCAACTGGCACAGTATAGTTCAGCACACGGAGCCGCCAGGACGGGCATCAATGACTTCCGAAACTACGCCGACGCAACAATGTTCGCATTATACTGCTTGTCTGCGATGTCTTAATACCACCCGGGTGTCATACCCAGGTCTTCCGGTTAGCCGTTTTATTGCGGCAGATATGCCGTCCTCAATTACCCCTCCAGAACAAAAACGCCGATCACGTCGCCGAATAAGAGCCCCTGGGACGGGCCAAGACGTAGCTAGGTAAGCCACCATCTCACATTGGCGATGGCACTTTGATCCAGGATCAAGGTTTCAAGCCTCATGCAGACTTCCGATGTGCCTGGCTAAGACGTTAGTCCTATTAGACACACCATCACAGCCCTCCTTAGACGCACCACCACAGCCCGTTAGACGCACGCAGTCCAGAGGCTACAGTACTGGCCCAGCAGCCCAGTAGCCCAGGGAACTTTGGTCCTCCTGGGACCCTGGCCCATAATCCCGACCATTATTGCCATAGGGCCCATCCCTTGCCACCGGGAGTGTCCACGAACTTTCCGCGGAGTACACTACAAGGCCGCACACGTTTATTCAAGGTTTTCTGGGGAGTACCCTGAAGTATCATTGCCTTTCCCAAGCCATCTAGCCCCTCACCGCTTATTTTCATATTTCTCGACGAGAGTCTTCTTGGGGTCTGGTCCCGTACGCATATCGCACTTGGTCCCAACGCCTGGACGATCTCGGCCGCCGATGGCACATTTTCTTAACTTCTGCCCCGTCAACCAGGGTCTCGGAGTTTCACTTGAGGGAGCTGACAGGGCATCTGGCGGCCTATCGCTTGTGACTGGACTGACTTCATGTTGCCTTCAACCTGCGGCCTGCTGCATTCTCACCGCATGTTGATAACTCCCATCGTTGCTCGTGCCCGCCCGCGCGCACACACCCCGCTAGGGCGGGCAGCTAGACAGCTCCCGTGCCACCCGTGGGCGTTGGATCGATCACAGGAAATCGCTGATGGCCGTATGCTCTTGAAGGGAGCCTGCGGGAAGGGGGCGGTGCAATGTCCGGCACTTCCCCGGCCTGGAATTTCCCCTCCACGGCACCGGATCTGCCAAGCGTCTCGTTCCTGCGCGGCAGTGACATCGCCCAATCGCGCCTGTGACCACTCGCGACGAGGGGACTCTGCCGCCTCTGGAGACGTCACTCTGCCTGGATTGGGCACCCACGGCGGGAATGCCAGAGGCGGCCCAATCACCGTGCGGTCTCATCGCTCCTACACTTTCCTGGCCCTGGACCCTGGAAGGTAGAGATGGAAGTGGCCGGCGGTGCAAGCATCTCCGTGGGACGCATGGCGAATTGTTTCACCTCCCAGGCGCTGTACATCTTTCAGCTGAGATGGACTACGACGATACAACCGCATGCGAGCCTCAAGTCGTCGGCCCGAGGGTCCTGTGTCTTCGCCGGCCTCCCCCTGCTCCATCCGCCAGACTTCCCCGTTTTCGGCCCCCGTCAGGTCCGCAGGAAGCTCCAGTCACGCGACACGTTTCACTGTAAACGAACGCGAAGTGGCGGGCTAGACAGGGCTGGATCTGCACATGGTCTCGGACAATTTGGACCCTGGAATAAGTATGCGCGTGTTGCCCCTCTCTGCTGCAGTCTGGAGCATCTGCTCCCCGGCAAGCCCGGTGTACGTATTCATTAACGGAATAGTGACATGTTAAGCGATGGCAACGATGTACTGCGACGCTGCTGAAGCGTCGTATCGCACATGGGATTTGGCGGAGCCTATATCGGATGGTTGAAGGTGTCGACAGCGAATAGGAGCTGCATTGGGTTCGGGGAACACGCTTTCGGCTTGCCCGGAGAGATGAAGGCAACAGCTCAAAGGGAAAACCCAAAACAATCCCAGCTTATTCGGCATCGTTGGCGTCACATCGACGAAAGGGACCCAGAGGCCACACAGGCGGAACGAACCACGTGGTAAGGCGAGCCGATGCCAATATTGATCGCTCAAAGCATATCACTTCCCGCAAAGACAGCAGGTAGGATCGTGTCCCAGAAGCCCCAACCCAATTTGACACCCTCCTATAGAAACTGCGAGTGTCGACGGGTATTAGGCGAGCGACCGGCAGCGGCCCCGGGAAAACAACAAGCTTCCCGAGGTCAGTGCCTGGACGCCCAGGCTCGTGAACCCTCGTTGGAGTGAGACGGGGCTCATCTCCTCGAAACCAAACCACCCGAACTTTATTCCCGAAGTCGGGATCCTATACTTGCTTTTTGGACTATTACTGTCTTTGATGCAAGACGAGCGCGTATGGAACAAGTGTGGTGATGAAAGGGCCAAGCCAGCCCGGGGTGCTCCCGCATGGAGAGACGCTCTAGCCATGTCTGGTGTCACGTCGCACAACAGGGGCACACAGAGCTCGCTTATAACCCAGGGCCCTGGGTTATAAAGAAAGGAGGGCGGGGCAGCAGAGGAAACAGACGCAGCGGGTAGATGCAGCATTGCTCAGTCAAGCCATCATAGACGACGGCTCCCGCCTCGAAGAGGCAACGCTGTGTGACCGGGAAGCATGTGACTGACGGGAATGCTGAATGGGGCAACACGAAAAAAGACAAAAGGGGAGGGCGATGGAACCCCCGAGATCGCTTGAGCCTCAATTTTGACTTCGGTTACACACGATTCCAACTGCAATACATACTTCTGGCACCAGCTTGACTGGGTGGTTGCACACCGCCGCGTTGCACTTGGGCGAGTCTTATTGGAGGAACCTTGAGCAGCATTGCTTTGATTGTGATATACAGAATAGTATGAGGACGCCCACGATCTTCATTGTCCCCCTCCCCTTCTTGCCGTGTATTTGTGCGCGTACCAGACAACGATTTGGCTTGAGAAATGCCGTTTGATTCGGAGAGCGCCACCAATAAAGCTCTAAATGGAATCCAGACACCATTCGCGAATTGACAGTTCCGCGACAGAACTGTAACCTGGCGATGGATGGCAACTGTGGGCGGGCCAACCAACTTTGAGAGAGCAAGACACATTGAGCTAGCAGGACCAGAGAAATAATTAAAAAGCAGCTCAATGACGAAGTGACCCTGTGTGCTAGACCGTGCCTAGCCTTTTTGTTTTGTTTACTGGAACGCCATCCCTTGACCGCCGTTTGTGAAAAAAGAGAAGAGTCGTGAGTTCTGTGCACGCCGGTGCCAATCTAGAATTATGATGCCTCGATCGCCCGCCAACTCCGGATCCAAGGCCAGATAAAAGAGACAAACAGGGCTATACGTAAAAAGCACGGGGAAACAGTCTACTTCTGGGAGCATCCGAGAGCGACATAGGGCTGGTTCCGCGTGTGGTTGCTGTTGCGGAGGATGGTGCCATTTTGTTGGAGTGTTATGATCGAGGTTCGTGTAGGGATCGTCAGATTGGCCGGAGTGCTGGAAAGCTTAAAAGACCTGTGTGTAACTTCGGAAGGGTCCAGACACCATCTGGGAAAAGCTGCGTGCGTGGCTAGGTAGTCCTTCGTGGCAGGCAGGACGGCTGATGGTGTGAAGCCCTGCATCCCCGCTAATGCAGCTTGATATGCCAGAACTTGATAGTGGTTCCTCTCCAGCAGAGACCAGTCGATAGTTCGCAGATTCCGACAGAGTGCCGATGGAGGGTATCATTGAAAATCATCATCGCTAGGAAGTCAAAAGTCGAAATGTCGTCTCCTGTTGACCCGCGGCCCGACGATGGCCTCAAGTCCCAGCACATTCAAAATCATCTGACCCGTCTGAAGTGAGCTTCCTGGGATCAGGCTTGGCATTCCTTCTCCAAAAGCCTGGTCGGATTCGCTCCGATTGCTTCGGCAGACCGGTTGCTTCCCCGCAGCTCTCAGACCCGCGCAGCCGGAAGCCGTCGTGAGGCCAGTATCGGGTGTGTCTGGTTTCCAGGTTGGTCAGATCTGCAGAAGTCATGATGTCAGCTCATTTGTTTGCAGGAATGAGGTGTGTTTGGTGTTTTTCTAATATTTATTTCTTTTTTTCTTTTCTTTCTTTCTAAGAGGCAGTGGGCAGATTCGAAATTGCTTGGGAACACGGCGAGTTCCATTGGGACCAGGCCCCAGCAGAGGGTTGAATCCAGGCTGGGCTGAAACAACGCTTCTGTGCATGGGGCCGTCGTGGCGTGGCTTGCCAGATCTGCGCTGCAGAAGCACAAGCGGCACATACACACCAAGGATCTAGGCCATCCTGGGGAGCTAGGGGAGGCACTCACATCTGGCTCGCAGGAGCAGGTAGCCAGCCCGTTTGGCGCCCCAGCGCAAGATATACCAAAGAGGAAACCCCAAGGCGCCCGCTTGTGTGCCCCCACGCCGGCTTGGTCTGTATTGGATTTTGGGTGGGAGGGTTCCGGTCCAGCCAGCCCCCAACCAGGACACATCTGTGGGACATGTCATTGTCGCCGCGGCCGTCGTTGTCCGTCTTTTAGGCGCCCTGGGTACAAGGGCGGCACGTGTGGAGCTTGCAATATCGACACTCGAAAATGATGTAGAAGGGGCCGGAGTGGCAGAGGTTGCAGTGCCACACAATCAGCGTGCTGTCCGATTTAATAACCTGGAAAGAGTGCGCGCAGTTGCTCTGGATAGCCATCGCGAGAGGAGGGGTTTGGTGTAAGGCGTCAAACAGCCTGCGAACCTCCCGCCCAGGCAATAGGCTGGTTGGAAGAGGTCGGCAGAGAACGCTTGGTCGAGGATGAGGTGGGTCCTCCACGCGCAAAGGAGGGAGGCGATGGAGCAGTGAAATAGTGAGTCTGACGGGCGGTGACGCGCTGGGGCCAGGGCAGATCACAGTTGCACTGGGTCCGCCGCGTGCTTGGACAGGGAAAGCCTGACTACTTTCTGTATCCCAGTCCAAGCTGTTGCTCTGAGAAGGGTGACCCCGGGCAGTACCTCTTTGACGGCAGGAGAGAGGGGATTTGCGATGGAAGGGGTATTTTTGGTGCGCGCCAGCCAGTGGGATCCCCACGCTGTGTATCTGAGGAGTCAAGGTTTGGCTTTGGGCAACAGAGCTCCCAGCCAGAAAGTATCTTGTTGGAGAATGATATCGCCGCTGTGGCCTCGGGCTCCGGCGCTGCTCAGTGTAAAATGTTGCAAGAGCACCGGGCTAGTCTCAGGAGCTACAAACAACGCTATCAAAGTCGGCAGGGAACCTTGGGCTGGGAGTGACGCGAACGGTTTCCCTGAAGCTGGGACCTGTTTGACCTGTTTGCCTCCAAGGCTTCAAGGACGGGAGATTGTGACTGTAGGGCTGCAATGTTTCCACGGGTAGGATGAGCGAGGCGAACACGGGGCTTTGATGTGTGTGCGTGACGCCGACGATGTTCCGTTGATGCAGACTGGCCTTGCCTGTTGTGCAAAGCAAAGTGTCTATGGTGCTGGAGTAGATCTTGGTAACAGAGGTCGTGATCCTGCTTATCTTGGTCGCACGTGCAAGATCGTTATATATGTATGTATATATATATATGTAGATATATATCGTGGGGGCTTTTCACTTGCTTGAGAACTCGTGAGAACAATTTGTTGTGGCCCATCCACTTGTGGGTGGGCCGATGACATGATATTTATCCTCTGGCCTCGAGGATCATGGCACCGGCATAATGACGACCACACCCGATTGCCGAGAGCAGTCTGCCTAGGACATGTCTCTGTTAATTTACGACAGGGGAACAAGAGCCGGAATAGGGACTGCGAATGAGGACTGGCTGTTAAGAAAAGCAGGATAGGATAAGGCTTAGGCTTAGGGCGGGCAAGCCCTGAGCAACACGGGGTGACATGTAAAAGGGAACACAAGTACGGTGGGGATTCTGCCAGAGCGGCTTGCGCTTGATTGTGATTCGGGTTGGGTACAGACAGCATGGCGCGGAAGCAAGCGTTAGGAGGGATTGGATGGAGGGACGGCAACGGCGTTCGAATTGACCGATCCACGTACTCCTTGGGTACCGGTACATTCGTGTCCGAAGATATGGCAGCTTGTGATGATGGCTCGCTCCTTGGCCGATCAGATCGCCCAGGCACCTTGTTATGCGAGCCCAGGGTCTGTTTCTGGCCTGCCTGCTGGTCCTAGGGCTAAAAGCAGGCCCCGTTAATAATGGTAAATGACATAGCTCGAGTTCTGGCTCCAGGGTCGAGCTTCATCCAAGCCTGCCGAAAAAAGCCCAAGGTTTGGGGGGGGCAGACAGGTTTACCCTATCCCAACACCCCATCGACTCGTTTGAGCAGCACCTGTCAGATGCAGGGACCCACTCGATGGGGGTTGCACAAAAGATCACTCTTCGCGGCGTTAAAAACACAGGGTCGGCACTCGACAGCCAGTGATGCTTCAGACCTGCCCTCAAACTCGGGCATGTCTGCTGAAGTCGAGGCTGAGGCTAAGGTTTGCCGCCATGTGGATGGGCCTGGCTGGACCTGCAGCTACTGAACCTTAGAAGCCGCTGGCGAGCGACCGGATGTGAATAGAATCTCTGCCGGTTCTCCGCTTCGGTTCAAGATGGGACGGCCCCTGTTCCTTGCTCTCGAGTTACCACGGTTCTGGACGTTGTGGCTCGGCTGTCCCTTCTAGCCAGGGACAGAGACCGAGAAAAGACTGGAGGGTATAGCAGGCGTGGTAAGGGGCTTCAGACGGGTTCTGGGTCTCGAGTGTTTCGCCTCGAGGACCGGGGTTAGGCGTGCTGGCGTGCTGGCGTGCTGGCGTGCTGGGCACCGAATGATGAAGACTGCCAGTGCCAGCCAAGAGGCTCGCTTCCGTGACAGCCTCCACGACTCCCGTTTACAGAGCTGAGGCACGTCCAGCAGGATGTGGTTCGGGACGCAGCCGAAGCGGCTCAGACCGGGTGGGCTCTTCCACGAGCAGCAGGTGAGATTGCATTCCCTCCCGTCACAAGCGAGGCTCGATGCACATGAGGCCGGCGGTCCAGGTTTTGAGGAGCTGGGATTCCACGGCCGAGATCCCCGGGAGCAGATCTTGACCCTCGATCTCCCCAGCTCTGCCGGGGGAGGCTGGGCCCGCCGCCCCGTACGCCGTTTGGCCTGGACACGTGTGGCCATGGACATGATCTGGCGTATGACGTGGGCGCTTTCTGGTGTTGTTGCGAGGAACGAGCGTGCCTCAAGGCGAGCCCGCATGATCGGGCTGGCATAGTCGTCAGAACATGTTGACGATACGATGGGGTTGTCGCCTAGGCATCTCGCAGAGGGATGTGGGCGGACGGAGGCACAGAGAGGCTCGCCCCGTGAGCGTGTGCACGCGAGTTGACTCCCTGTGCGACCTGCCCCGCATGTCGCAACGGCCGATTCCGCTTCCCAGGTGGTCAACAGTTGCAGGTGGGCAGGTGGGTCCTGCAGCTTTTGGACGTGCCCTACACCACCCCCCCCCCCAGGTCCCCCGGGTACTTGGTACTTGGATACCTAGGTAGGTAGTGGGTACGTACTGTGTGTGCATCTGGCCAGGGCGTCGACGGCCGTGTCAATCGGCCGCCCCTTCTTGCAGTTTGCTGAGGCTGTAGACCAGGCTACCGACCACCACACGACACAGATCCGTTCTGTTCTACAACATTTGAATTTTCGGTTCGCTTTGGGATCGCGACCAATGCTTTTGTGTCGTTGACGAATACGGCGACGGACCCGTCCAGGACCACGATGGGGAGTCAAATCTGACATGGTCACTCAAGCCTGCCGCCCCTTCCAGTCCCCGTTGCAACGAAATTCTAGCCTGCTGACGTATTGTTCAGGTCCCTGAGCTCTTCTGTCGGTGGCTACTATGCGCAGGAGCCCTGATCTCACGCCAATGCTTCACTCTCGAATTACCATCGCCGAACTCGATCAGGTCCTACCCACCGCCTTGGACACCCCCCGGCAGCAACACCAATCCGGTCAACCCTGCAGGCCGGCGCCGACGCCTTGATACGTAGCGCGTACGAGAGCTCCTTCCAGCTCTTCCGCGGTGCTGCTGGATTCCAGAGTCCCATTTCACATCTCAGAACCCACCAGAACCGAATATCAAAGGGCACTGGAATCTCCAGGTCGATTTCCGGTTGGACCTGCTCGGAACTAGGACCCGGTAGCCCCACTTGTTCGTGTTAAGGAAGACGGTGCTTGACGTCTCGGCCCAGAGAAAGCGCCGACTTCAAATCGCGCGACTGTGCAACGACTGATAGATCTCGTTCCGGCTACATGAGCAATGTGTTCAAGAGGTTGCGGGTCACACATGACTGACATGGGTCGTGTTCCGCTGCTGAGTCCTTGGGTCCCCTCGGATGTGAGGTTCTGGCCACGATAATCGCCCCCAGAAGCGATGTCGTTATGCGCACAGCAGCCAGGTTGGCCAGCACCTCGATGACTGCTGCCTGGTGCCACTGGAACACTGCATTTTCCTACCGTCCCCAAATTTCATGCTGTATCATGTGGAAACTTTGCAGCAAAAGAGATTCACTTGCTTGGGTGAGGGGACGGTTCGATGTGATGGCTGACCTAGCCCGGCATAAATTTATCGGCCCCAGTCTTCCAGTACTTCATTTCCGGTCGACCACAGACTCGCAGAGATCACAAACTCCCTACTCCGAGCCACCTACCTGTTTGCTGTGCGCCGAAGACACGGTAGAGCCTGGTCAAATCTCCACAAAAGTCTCCCCACAGCCAGGTGTGCTGTCAGTCTGTCTCGAGGGTTCATTCTGCGCTCAGCCGGCCTGCCCAAGGAAATGCTGGCCCGAGGAACCGGGATTTGGGACGAGACGTGAAATTCTTCACCCCGTGCGGCCGAGCTATTTCAAGGAAACGGTACCTGGTACTACTTGCTGGTGACACGAATCGACCGCAGTGAAAATCTACCAGGTTGCGGTCTTGCCTGCATACTCGCTTGTCTTGAAAGTGGGTACCAGATCTGGTTCCTATTCCGGTCGCAATTGGTTGAATTCTGCTGGACTGCTGACTGTTGCAGGATGCGCCTTACCGAGTCGTCGCATGCAATCGATTTCCTGCCCTACGTACGCTCTTGCTGCAGCCCGGCTAACAGACAGCACGATGCCTCTCTCAATAGCCTCTGCGCAATTTGAAACTGTCAGTCGGAACTCGATCGTGACTTGGCTTGGTTTCTCTCCACCTCCACGCACACATCAGTCCATACCTCTTCCGGATCGCTGAACAATCGCATGATGCCAGCGGTCATCGCTGGCTCGTGGCACAAAGGTAACAATGCCTCGCCCAAATGCCGCTAGCCATGCAGGCGTCTGAAAGAAGCCGGCCCTGCAGCACTCAAGATGCTGCAAAGACCGTTTCGTGGCTGCCATTCGCCGAGACCAAGAACCGTGAAGGTTCAATAGACTTTGCCGTGAAGTCTGATCAATTTAGTGAACAAATTGAGCTTCAGGAAGGAAGTTTACCACTCAGCGTCCTGGGTGAGAGCATATCGGTCACAAGAGACATTCGTGAATACCTGCTTGCGGGTACGGTACCCTGGCGCCCCGAGGATCTACGACTAAGGTATAACTGGCAAGAAACTTCGTCTTGGGATGATGGGCCCCATCTCGGCGGTGTGCTACGTTTGCGGCAGAGGTAGCATTAGTAATTTGCTATGTTGATGTCAGGGAACTTCCGCAGTCATCTCCTCAGGCAGGCGAAGCAGGAATGCTCTCGGCAGGTGGGGGACACAGCATCCACAATTGTACGCATCTCGCCCGCCGCGCCAGCCCGCGCGCGGGACTGGGCTTCGAATCAAGAAGTCTGGCACGCCTTGGGAAATCGCACCGTAAGCCGCTTACCGGTGGGAGCGTACTACTCAGCACACTGAACTGCCAACAATATGAATTATGATAAATCTCTTTGGGGGCCCCGGAACAGCCTCAACCTGCCGCTAGCCGACCTCACGTCTGGAGATCGAGGCGCCGCCCTCAACGGCGGAGAGGTGCCCACCCTTTCCTCACCGGTCGCCGGATCGTTGTTAGAGTACACCACCTTTTCTGATCATTCCATGCTATCCTGTTGCTAGTGTATAACAGTTGATATACCACTCACAGGCTGTTTCAAGCATCCTTCGGATAATCACGGCTGGACAATTACAGCACGCTTGAAAGGCTTGGAGAGACTTCCTCGTGGTCCACCAGGGCCGACTTCTTTGTTGAGGAATCGCATGACGCCCGCCGAAACGACGGGGTACGGTTGATCTTGGGGCCCACTTGGCAGCGGGAGGCGGGGATCGGGGGAGTCACATCTATTTCCAAAATCTGACGATGAACTGTGCAACACCGCGGACCGGCCCTCAGAAAACACCTGAAACGGTCAGATTTTAGCCCTTCCGGTTCGATGACTACGACTAGGCCCCGGTCGCGCCCAAAAATGGTGCGAGAAGGCCGTTCTGATCGTCCAGAAAATGTGACAGTCACAAGGCTCGTCTACAAAGGCGTCATGGTTCAAATACTTCTTGACCGGTCTTCATATCAGTGCACATTTGGGGGCATGCTTACGACGGATCCTGCGTCAGTCACATGAATTCGAGATAACGTCCATGTCCAGTCTTGGAGAAGAACCCCTGCTGCCGCCCCTGTGCCGACAAAGTGACAGTCATGGGGTCCCCGGCAAGATTCTGCGCCCGTCTGAATGGCCAACGGCTGCCAATGATCACTTGACCGAAGTGCCTGCCGTCCTCGCCCTGCAGCGACCACACAGCAAAAGTGGCCCGCATTGCTGCCCACACCTGATGATGTGTACACACGACGATCAGGGCAAGTGGCGCCGAGTCACACAGAATTATGGCTGACGAGACTATCAGACGCGGTGTGGGTGATGCTGGAGCCTCTGTCATTTGCGCAGGGCTTCGAAAGCCGCGATTCTCGCACTTGGGCGATACCCGAGGCAGCCCAGCCAGTGCCTCCTGCCTGCCTACCGGCAGGGACTCATGGCCAAAGCCTGCTCGCCCAGCAAGACGAGCCCAAAAAAAAAAAATCTGTTCTATTGCTTTGGCGGATTGTAACACCGCCGTAATGTCATTATTTGGTAGATGGCGCAGGCTAGGTAGACCGGCTGGATAAAAATCGGGTGCGGCCATCTATTCCTGCTTCCAAAATAAGCCCCAAAACGTCGCCGCGCGCCCCATTCGATTGCATCTCCCGCATCGACTGTCACTGCCGCTGAGCCCCAGAATGGCGGAACTTGGTACGCCCAGGGACCAGGCGGCGAACAAGGTCATCGGGCCTCGTCATGGTTTTCGTGGGGGGACGATTCCAGAAGCCCGTGGCCTGACGACCGCCTGGTTAACGCTTGGTTCTCTGGTCCTCCACATCTCGGCTCGGGAGGATCTGAGCAATTTCTTGCAACCACCACCTCTCGGTTTAACCACCCGTCCCAGACTTGAGGCGACCCTCACCCCAGGTCACGCTCGTGTTGAGCCCGGGAGATCACATACCCGTGATGAGATTGGTTGGGAGCGGGGAGGAAAATCTCACCACCACGTCCTACATTCTACTCCATCAGGAATCATAGACTCCTTCCTGACTTCATAAGTTCATCTGATAAGGACATCGCGCTCTACGCGACCGAGGCATTCATCTTGGGAAAGTTTGACAAGTGGCCGCCTTCCATTTGTGATCATTGTATTTGATACGTCACATTCTGGGCCCCAATTTTGCACTGGTATCGGTCTGTCATCGACGTTCCCGGGAGAGCAGAAGGATCGAGGCAGGGAGGCAGCACAAGGGGACAGGGAAGAAGGCGTCATCTCGTCATCTGATTGGGTAACAATGGTAGCGGCGAGGGAGACAGGGAGGGCGATGATGCTCCGCAGACAAACTCAATGGACGGAGTGAGGGGAGGGAGGGGATGGGAGACGGGAAGGCTTCCGAGACACCATATATGTGCCGTGGTATAGTGTGGATGTGGTAATGAACCATGCTGGCACCGCGGAATCTCGTCATGATCAGCTCGACAGGCATTGCCAAAAGGACCGCCGGCAGGTCGACATTCTCGTCGTGCATGGTTCAAGAAAGGGGATCCGCCGTCGAGGTCAAGGACATCTCGATTCTTTCTATAGATGACGCTGTTCTATCAATCATCTTGCGAAGGCAACTGTCGCAGCCTCGCTGCTCAAGTCAGACAAGAAAGCATTCCTGCTACGAGAGCAGAGGGATGGAAGTATAGCCGTGAAAGACGTTGTTCGAATGTTTCTGATCTGTGCAGTCAATTGCATCACACAGCATCAGCAGTTGGGGTCTCCGAGGTAGATTCCTCCCCTTCAGTGTCCTGAGCTGCGGCGGCAGCTGGAACCACTTGTGCAAGCTCCTCAGTTGCTGCTGGTCCAGGTAATGTAGCGGGCACTGGGGCCTCCTTTTCCGCCTTCGGGCGTTCGGGCGCTTTCCTCATCTCCAGGACATCGCCCGCATCTGGCGATTCCTGGCCCTCTACATGTTGCTTCTCAGACCAAGAGAATGCGTCCGATAGGTTGACAGCCACAAAACTCTTAGGAAGCTTGACGGTGTGGAACTTGGCACGCAATGTCTCGATGACCTGCTTCCAGTCGCAATGTGGTGTGAGGGTCCTCCTCTGCGCGCAGCTGATGCAGTGCTTGCTATCGAGCTGGACGTCTAGTGGATCATATACGTGACATCCCGGGCTGATGGCGATGCGGATGCTGTAATTAAAGGTGGGATAGCCCTCGCCTGTGGCCGCGCCTTGGGGCTGATTGGTCTCGGACTCGTAGAGCTCGAAGCAGATCTGGGAGAGGTAGTCCAGTTCCGGAATGGTGCTCCTCTTGATCTTGGTCTCGATGCCACCTTCCAGGATGCAGTTGAGGAGGGTATAGATGTGGGACTCTTTCGTGAAGTAGAAGAAGCACTTCGCGTCATCCGAGGCTTGCATCTCTTCCAGGTCGGACACGATTTCTCGTAGTAGAGGGAGGGACGTCAGCAAGCCAATCTCGAGCTGTGAGTGTCACAATCAGCACTACTACCCTCTTCCACACGGGACAAGGAACCACGTACCTTTTCGCTGTCAGAAATTCCGTACTCCTGAGGGCAGATGAAGTCGAACAGTACTTTGGCAAGCTGGTACAGCTCCCGGAGCAGCTCGAAGCGGTCATCGGTCTTCGCCTTGGTTTGGCTTTCGGGCGAGCCCCTTTGAAGACCGAAGTATTTTTCTGCATCCCCCACAATGTCCGCCTTTCTCATGCTGCTACCCATGGACGACCTCCTGAACAACCGCCTGACCCTGTGGTCATCTCTTTCGCTATCTCTCCCAGGGGCCTTTTCCCCATTCCTGCCCTCTTCAGGCGATCTGGCGGGCTGCTGTGGTGGTTGGGTCGACTTGCCGTCCGAGTCTGGTGCGACAACTCCATGTTTGCGGAACTCCTCAACCAGTTCCTTAGACGGTCTGAATACCCATTCTAAGAACTGACGGTTGTGAAGCGCGTCAAATTTCATCGTGTCGTACAACTCCGAGATCTTGCTCGGGTCAACCTTTTCCCCATCGCAGAACTCTGTGAACAGCTTCTCCCAACGTTCACGGAACAGCTCGGCATCTTCACCACAACACCATCGAGCTTGAATCTCGTTGACCGCTGTGACTTGGGATAACGAAGACGCCATTGAGTGAACGGACCCGGAAGATCCCTCACCGGCCTTGAGCTTCTCGGAACTGCCTGGGTTGGAGACCGCGTTGAGCGAGTTTACGGCCCCACTGCGCAGTTTGCTAAAGTTGAAGTGCATGACCCGACGATGGAAGTTCATCAGTTGGACAACACGGGTCTGCACCTCTGCCGGTTCGGGCATGTTCTCTGGCCAGGCAAACTGTGGCGGCCGCTCATTACCCTTGCGTAGGAGACCCTTCAGCTTCTTCTTGACCTTGTCCATTTCGTCCTTCGCAGCATTGGAGTCATCCAAAAGGTCCTTCCGAATCTGGATGAAATCCTCTGGAAGGTCTGTGCGGTCCAAAAAGGCAGACGACCAGATCTGGGCACTCGTTGTCACTCTTCTCTCTGAGCTGCTGAAGACATGTATCTCATCGAGGACATCACGATTGAGGATAGCCAGGTCATTGCGCATGTTTTCGCCAAGTTCTTGGGCTTGGTAACGGGCCGAGTGCGTGGGCTCACCTCCCCATTTTACGATGAGCTGCAGCTTATCGAGAACGAGGCCGTTCTCTGCGGCTGTGATCTTGGACATTGTGACCCCTGACAAAGAATCGTGGCGCTTTGGAGGGAAGCGTGGCTTATGCTCGGTTCCAGAAAGCTCATTTCCTGAGTTTGAAGCTTCGGGCGCGTCCTCGGTAGTCTGTGAGCTCGGGTCCCCGGGAGACACTTGCTTCTCATCGACTGGAGCCATCTCGTCGGTTTTCTTCTTGCGGAACATTGGCTTGATCTGGACTTTGGTCCCCGGCCAGCTGCTCTTCTTTACCAGGACATTTCTCAGTGCCCTGAGCTTGTCGCGATCCTCACCGCCAGCCTTCATTGCCTTCTCGACGGCTTCGAGGACGCTCGCCAATGCTGGCTCACCGATGAGCAGAACTTCTTCCTGGTGACCCCTGAGCAGTTCGATGAACGGGTCGGTGTGGAACGTGAACTTGAACTTCTGCTTCGGCGTGCGATCGGCATGTCGAATGACCGAAACCATACCTTTGAGCTTCCAGGAGTGCTTGGGCGGCGGCGGCGGCGGCGTATGCACATCCTTTTCTTCTAGATCCTGCAGATTTGGAGTGACCGGCACAGTCGTCGGCGCTGAAGAGGGAATGCTGCGAATAACAGGCTCAGACAGAGGCAGCAGAGGGCTGGTGGCACCACTCCCAGCCTTGGACGCGGTGACGGCGTCTGGTTTTGGAACATTATCTGGGTTGGGCGAATTCGCAGCTCTGATATCTTGCGTCGACTTTGGTCCTTGATTGCCAGTGGCTGATTTCTGGTTCGGCAGCATCCCGGTCAGAGGGGTCTCCTTGGAGCCCTTGTCCTGGCCGCCGAAAGTAGCGGCCCTGGACATTGGATCGACATCTGATATCGCAGGAGACGGCATGGGCGGTGTCATTGCGCCCCGCCGTATTCGTTCCTTGATGAATATTTCCTTCATGATATTTGCACATCGATCGTAGTAGTCGTCGTTATCTTTAACGAAGCTCCACCCATTGACGTCGATGACATAGCTCTTTCCATCTGCCCGCAACAGATCAAAACCACAAACACGCTGACCAAAGGTCTTCGCAATCCTACTTGCAACACTCTTTTCCAGGTCGGTGAGATGAGCCACGTAGCGGACCTCTTTGCCGTGCGTATTGCGGCGGACGACGCCATCGACAACTGGCGACTTCCGGGTCTCCGCGTGACAATAGTTTGGGCCGACTGTGTAGGCCTTCACATCTTCTGCGTTCTCAACTTTCATAAACTTTTCGTACAGAAAGCTCTCACCCGGCTGAGTGATGCAGCGCGGGACCTTGAGGTCCGGGACAAACTCGGAGCTTTTGTTACCGATCTTCCTGAACAACTTCCTCGCGCCTCCGGGATAGTCGGGATCGTCGTTGGGGAAGTAGACGATGATGTTGTGGTCCTCGCCGCTCACAGGCTTTTCAACGAAGGGCTTCTTAAGAAGTGCGCCATCGACGCTAAGTATGTCACCGTCATCAAGCAGCTCTACCTTTCGAGGCAACTTCATCTTGTCTGGGTCCGTTGGGGTCGGCTCCAGCGAGATTCCGGTAACATCTTCGATGTGCTTCGCTAGTTCTGGGGTCAGGAGACGAGAGCCCCCGTCACGGTTCACCTCCAAGCGTTTTGGGGTCGGAACATCGATCTTGTCTAGAAGATGGAGGCACAGACGTCGGTCCCACAGGACCTGCTGCATGGGCACGTCATTGACACAGAATGGCTTCCGTGCCTTGACATATGCGATTGCCTTTTCCAGAGGGAAACCGTCAGAATAGAATGAGATCAAGTAGTCACTGTGTTCCTCACGGTTAGCAAAGCTCAACTTTGAGGGAGCCAGACGTCATAGTCATAGACCACAGGACAGCAGATACATACCAGACGGGCCAGTTCTCGATATCTGTTGATATTACATTAGCGAGTGAGACCAAGTGGGACGTGGCAAGTCCTCACCTTCGTCTAGGATGACTTTGTCTCCGAAGATCTTAACATCAAATTCCCGGTTCGCTAGGAGACGGTTCAAGATATTTCTGCTGGGCTTGCTCCTGGCCTTGACGTCCAGGGCACACACGCCGATGAGGCCCAGAGGCGCGGGTTTCGCTGTTGGGTCTTGTCAGCTTCGGTTACCTCGCATGAGTTGTGCTGAAGTGTTGACCAACCCTCTTCCTTCTCCCTGTGATGAGGAGTCCTGTCGCTACTTGGACTGTGGCTGCTAGCCGCGGTACTACCGCTGAGTCTTCGCTTAGCTCTACTTCTTTCTCTAATCGGTTGAGGCCTAGGGGCACCACCAGAAGGGTCAGAGCGAGGTGGTTGCGGGTGGTTCCTTTTCGGGGCCTCGGCGAGATGTTGGTGTTGGTCTCGGGGGGCGAGGTTCCCTCCAGAGTTTCCCTGGCTGCCAGTAGTAACGGTGACATTAGATACGCCGGTATCTCCTTGTTTGCCAGAGGAAGAAGCAATGATACCGGACACGGAGCGGTGAGTGCCGGCGGAGCCATTGTCGGAACCAGTAGCCGATGCTGCTGAGCTTGGTATACCACGAGCGGAGGCCATGGAGTAGATAGAGGAGATACTCATGCGCTTCAGTTCCTTGTCAGCCTCGGAGAAGGAAGACCGCGAAGAAGGCATGGCGGGGTCAGGCAGCTTGTGATCGCCAACGTAGTCGGCGGAAGTGCCAGGGTTCAAGCGAGGAGTCTCCGAGTCCTGGTCGTCACTGGCGGCGACGACGTCTCGCAAGGAACTGGAGCTGCGAAGAGAGCTGGTCTCGGCCGTGCGGGACCTTACGGAAGCGGCATCGTCGTTCACCGTGTCGGAAGCCTGAGGATCGCGGCTGCTCTGAGCCACAGACGGACGCGGGCTCCTTGCGGGCCGGGCTGGGGGCGGCATGGAGAGACTCGAGGCGATCTCTGTGGCCCCAGGTTCGGCAGCATTGCCTCCTTGGTCGGCGGACGGGTTGCTCTTGACAGAAGAGACAGGAGACTTTGGCGAGGGGGCCAGGCCAGTGGAGGATGTGGGCTGTTGCTCGCCTGTTGGGTCGGTTTCTGGAGTAGCCTGGCCGGGAGGGTGGCCCTGTGGCGGTGGCGGTTGATCCATGACTGAGCTACCGTCTCACGTAGTTTGACCCGGCAACACTCTCTCTCGTCTTTCCTCCGGCGCAGGGTTTGACAGCCTGGCTGCAAGCTGCAGGACTAAGATGCAGTCTAGTGTAATGCGTTTTGGATGCAGTGAGCGAGGTGCGTCGAGGCCGGTCAAGGTCGAGGGGCGAGGCAAAGTTGGGTGGAGTGGAGTGGGCACCAGGTTTTGAACGGAGCCACAGCAGCAAGCAAGGTCTGCCTCACAAAGGAGCACTTGAGCAACAGCTAGCGGCCTCGACCCGAGTCGTGGTTACTACCTAGGTATGCTGGGCACAAGCAGCAGCGCTCCGGGGGGTTAGTCCAGGCCTTGGCGTCAAAATAGCAATCCCTTTTGTGTAATCTATCAGAACAACGCCGTATCGTGCCCCAAGGCAGAGCCGTTTATCACGAGCCTCGATGTGGGGGCTCTACTCAGTATTGTCGACAGCAGTGCTGACTCCCAAGTACCCAGGTACCGAGCCAGAGTGCCTGGGTACTTAAGTAGGTACCTTACCCAGGTATGTATGTACTACCCTAATCTAAGGGCCTCACTCTCTTGCAAGCTGCAGCGAGTAGGTCAGTTGACGATGAATGCAAGCAAGTCCCAATGGGCAGCTGTCTTCTCACCAGGTGTCACCTTTCCGTTTCGTCTTTCCCCGACAAACAATTCAAACAAGAATGGAGAGGATGGCTGGATGTTGCGGCACCTGCACTAGTGTTAAGAAGATGGCAGGTCCAGCCGCTACCGTCTTTCGTCCTCATGACTTGCGCAAGGGCGGTCAGTCCCAGCACTGGCGCTGCAGATGCGGCGAACCGGAGGGGCTTAGTTGGTATCTATGTGTTCAGCCTCGGGCGCCTGCTCGGCTGTGTGGGGGCTCCCACATGTAAGCTACCTAAGTACTTAAGTAGGTACCTAGTAGTACCTAGGTTCCAAGGTTCTTAGGTTCCTAGGTTGACATGGATCACAACGATGTATTATCAAGTGACAGGAGCCTACCCATAGAGGACAAGCGCTACGAATTGTCACGGCGACCTTGCTGTGTCTATCCCTTGAACTCCATGCGGTGCAGTTCCCAACTCTCCGAGCGGCCATAGCAGTTGGTCAGACAAAACATGTCCGAACCACCGCTGTAGGTGTTCCGTGGCTGGGTCGCCATGCCCATCGGTATGTGCAAGGATGGGAGCGCTTAAGCATAAGTTGGTCCTTGGGCCCAAGGGCTTGTTGTGTGGTGTATACTCATCAACGCTGTCTTGGATTCTGTCTATCAGGTGGGATGCTTAAGTAATTACAAGCAACCGGTCAGCGGGCCAAGGGCCAACTCAAAGCGCAGCACAGCGTGAATACACAAAGCAGCAATTTGTTGATCACAAAGGGCTTTTTTGTGTTTTAGGCGGCCCACAAGACCACTTATAGTGAGACAAGTTTATTGTAGTTGCAATCTCTACGCAGAAAGATTTCTAACTCCGTAAACTCCAACCAAGCATGCATGTCGCTTGGCTTGAATCAGGCCATTCCTTCAAACACAGCATTTGGGAATATCTAATCGAGACACCCCCCCATACATCATCTGAACTACCTACTTAGGTCACCTTCCAAATTATGCAAGTTCTTCTATTACCTCACTAACTGGGTATTAGTCAGTGTTCTTTGAGAAAAAAATCTCCAGCTACCAAATCATGTTACTGACTGCACAATTTAGGACCAAATAGAATGCACCAGCCGTTCCGTAAAGGCCACAGACTGTGGTGGGGATAGCTTCAATCATGATAATGAGCACTGCTTATACCGTGTAACCAAATGTCCGCTGTGCTAGGGTGGGGCTCCTCAGCACTGTACTGTGCTGCTGTGGGGAGAAGTACCGGGGTACGTACCTGCTGGGGTGGGCGATAAGATAAGATAGCGGTCCAAATTTCTGCGATTGCATTGCCAAACTGCAATAGTTTCGATTCGATACAACATGATCAGGCACTCGGTGGTGATCGATTGATTAGAAGGGCTCGTTCAAGATGCCTCACTCTGAGCAGAAAGATGCTCCCCTTGTCAAACGCCAGAGAGTCGGCGCCCCAGCCAAAACTGCCTCTCACCCGCCAAAAGGATCCAGAATTTTTGCGCCGTTCAGGGTGAGCTGCTGCGACACGCCTCAATGCTTTGCTCTCGACTGCTGTCAAAGTTGGACCGCTAACAATGCTGCCGAATAGACCGTGGGCCTAGTCTCTCCTACCACTGTTCCTTTCACTTCGATACCCCTGGGGAAAACGACATTCCAAGTAACCACCTCCGTGGGCCGATCTCTTCAGACGTACGACCTCAAGCGCGGTCTCAACCTCGTCTTCATCACTCGCCCCCAGGCTCCTGCCGATATAACAGCCACCTATGCATGGAAAGAGAAGGTCTTTGCCGCATGGGGCGACTCGCGCAATGGAGGCCCTCAAGGGTTCTGGGTCTTTCAGCGGGGCAAGAAGGTCGCAGAACTGGCGCTGCCCAGCGACCTTGACCAGCCTATACGGCAGATCCTCATCTTCGGTTCTTGGATAGTGGCGTGCTGCTCGACGAGAATCGAGGCATGGAAGACTTCCACCTACGAGCACTACACAACTCTGCACACCGTTGCGTCCAAGACAGGGGACAATGAGCTGACTGGTGGCGTTTGCAACATGCCAACCTACTTGAACAAGATATTCGTGGGCCGTCGGGATGGCTGGGTCGAAATCTGGAACATTAGCACGGGGAAATTGGTCTACACTATTCTGCCCCCGTCGCCAAAGTGTGGCGCTGTCGCCTGCCTGGAGCCTACACCAGCCCTGTCGCTGCTCGCCATTGCCTATTCGAACGGCCCTCTGATCATCCACGATGTTCTCGTGGACAAGAGAATAGTACAGCTCATGGCAGGCACGGAGGAGGCACCAGTTTCGACAATCTCGTTTCGGACGGATGGCCAGGGCGCAGGACACGACGGCCGCAAAGACGGTGTGATGGCGACTGCAACGACGAAAAATGGCGACATTACGTTCTGGGACCTGAACAAAGGTGGACGGGTCATGGGTGTTCTTCGCAGCGCCCACAACCCACCAGCAGCGGAGGGTCCCACGATTGGCGGTGGAGTAAGCAAGGTCGAGTTCCTTCCCGGCCAACCCGTCATCGTCACCAGTGGCCTGGACAACTCCTTGAAATCGTGGATTTTCGACGAGTCTCCGTTCACTCCCATACCGCGCATCCTGCATTCCCGAAGCGGACATTCTGGGCCTGTAACGTGTCTCGAATTCCTGCCATCCGACTTCGACGGCTCCGAGGCTGGCAACAAGTGGCTATTGAGTGCTGGAAAGGACCGAAGTCTCTGGGGATGGAGTTTACGTCGCGACGGCCAGAGTACCGAGCTGAGCCAAGGAGCCATCAGGAAAAAGGCAAAGAAGATTGGCATCCTATCCCAGTCTGCACTCAGCCACGGACCGACAACCACCCTTGATGACCTGAAAGCACCTGAAATCACATGCATATCGTCATCGCTCAACCGCGACGGTGGCATGGGAGCCATCCCCGGCAAACATCAAATCTGGCAAAAAGGAAACGTTCAGAAGAAGAACGACGCTGAGATCAGCGGGATGACTGGCTGGGAAAGCGTAGTCACTGGTCACAAGGACGATCCTTATGCGCGAACTTGGTTCTGGGGTCGGAAGAGGGCTGGTCGGTGGGCATTCCAGACAGGCGATGGTATGAACGTCTCCACAGTTGCCATAAGTCACTGCGGCACTTTCGCGCTGGTGGGCTCAGAGGGCGGCAGTATCGACATGTTCAACTTGCAGTCAGGTGTGCACCGACAGCGCTTCCCCTCGCGTCTGACCCCGGCGCAAGCCAGGCAACTTCGGATCCACCAGTCAAAACAGGCGGATTCTGTCGAGGAGTTCCAAGCTCGATCAAGCTTCAACTTCACCCCGGGAAGTGGCAAGCACACCAAGCCAGTGACCGGCATCGTCGTCGATTCGATGAATAAGCTTGTCATATCATGCTCCTTGGACGGTACGGTCAAGTTCTGGGACTTCCTCACGGGCAATTTGCGGGAGCAAATCGATTGGGCTCCCATGACAAAAGTAACAGGCTGCCGGTATCACGCGGCGAACGACCTCATCGCCTTTTCCTGCGACGATAATTCCATTCGCGTGGTGGATATTGAAACTAAAAAGACCATCAGAGAATTCTGGGGCTGCAACGGTGCTATCAACGACTTCTGCTTCTCCAACGACGGGCGCTGGGTTGTCGCAGCGTCACAAGATTGCGTCTTGCGAATTTGGGACCTCCCTACAAGCCATCTCATCGATGCCTTCAGGTTTGAGACACCATGCACGGCTCTGGCCTTCTCAGGGACCGGAGAGTACCTAGCCGTGTCGAACGCAGACCAGTTGGGGGTGAACATCTTCACGAACAAAGCCGTGTTCAAACACATTCCGACGAGACAGATATCGGAAAGTGAGATTGGCCAGATCTCAGGTCCTACAACCTCAGGTGAAGGCGGTCAAGGCTTGCTGGAGGCCGCATTCGAGGAGGACACCGCAGAGGATGAGGGAGACGGCGTGGCAGCTCCAAGTCTGGACCAGCTAAGCGCGGACATGATGACGTTGAGTCTGGTGCCCAAGAGTAGGTGGCAGACTCTTCTACACCTCGACCTGATCAAGAAGCGCAACAAGCCGACAGAGGCACCCAAGGCACCCGAGAAGGCACCCTTCTTCCTGCCGTCGGCCTCTGGCGACAAGGCTCAAAATCGTGATGCCCCTGCCAATGCGAAGGAAGAGGACGAATCCAAATCGAGAATAACGAAGCTCGACTGGAGCCGGTCGTCGCAGGCAACGTTCTCGGCGAGGCTCCGCGATGGCGCTGTGGGCGGTAATTATGACGACTTCATCGAGCACATGAAATCACTGTCGCCCTCAGCTGCCGATCTCGAGCTCAGGTCGCTTTCGATTGGTGACGCCGGTGACAGCGAGGAGAACGAGCTGCTCCACTTTATCCGCGCGGTGACGGCTAGGCTAGTAGCCAGACGAGACTACGAGCTGACGCAGGCTTGGATGACAGTATTCCTCAGACTTCATTTTGATGTCACCATGGAGAGCGAGGTCCTGCTCAGGGAGCTGAAGAGGTGGAAGAGTCATCAGGAGAAGGAGAAGGACAGGCTTGATAACCTTGTGGGCTACTGTGGTGGTGTCGTTGGTTTTATTCGGAGTCCCAGGACATAGTAGATACCGGGTTATTAATTAGATGGATCTGATCCTCCACTCATCCGTCCCTATTTCTTGCGGCTATAGTCCATTGCCATGTGAATGATTCTCTGTCCTCGAGGGCCGTGTATAGGTTGATGCTATCGACGAGGGAATCATCCTAGGCATAGTCCAATCTCGAATTCATGCTAATTCTAGAGAGATTTACATCAACTAAGTGTAACTATTAAAACATAATAGGTATATAGTATAAATACTATCTAGGTAAGTATTAAGTTAAGTAAGTTAGTAATTATTTAGGTTACTTAGATATTTAAGTAGGTAGATAGGTAATAAAGTATTTATTTTATATTTAATAATAATCTTTCTACTATTTAACTTTATTAATTAAAGTTATTATTTATTATACTATATATATTAAATTTATTAATATAATATAATAAACTTTAAAATATTTTTAATATAAATATAATATAATATATAAACTTTTAATATAAATATATATAATATAATAAGTTAAAATATAAAGAGTAAATTAAAAGTAAGAGAGATATATAAAGAAATATTTAAAGAAATATTTAAAGAAATATTTAAAGAAATATTTAAAGAAATATTTAAAAAATAAAGAAAGAAATAAAAAAAAAGAAAGAAAAAGTAGGAAAAAGGAAAAAAGGAAATATTTAAAGAAATATTTAAAGAAATATTTAAAGAAATATTTAAAAAAATATTTAAAGAAATAAAGAAAGAAATAAAGAAAGGAATAAAGAAAGAAATAAAGAAAGAAATAAAGAAAGAAATAAATAAATAAATAAGTAAATAAATAAATAAATAATTTTTTTCTTTCTTTTTTTCTTTTTTTTATTTTATTTTATTATTTAATTAACTTTTCTCTTTTTTTTCCTTTCTTTCTCTCCTTTTATTACTCTCTTCCCTCTACTCTCCCCCTTTTATTTACACTTAAACTTATTATATTATATACACTAAGCTCCTTAATATAATATAATAAGTTTAAAAATACTCTTAATATAATAGAGTGTAGTAAGCTTATTTATACTTACTATATTATATTATTATATTAAATATAATAAATAGTAACTTTATTATTAATAATACTATTAATAATATATTATTATAATAAAAGCTAGTAGCTTTTAACTTAACTTTAAATATACTTTATATAATAAACTATAATAAATATTATAATATATAATTAAAAGCTATATTAGAGTAGAGTTAAAATAATAATATGTGTGTAAATGATATAGTAGTGGATCTTAGCCGGAATGTATAAATTAGCACCAACTCTTGAAGTCACTTATCGTGGCTATTCTAGAGCCCGGAACTAGTTAGAGTGGAATCTTAGCTCTGTCTGACTGCAGTACTTGACAATTTCCTCAGTCTTAACACATCCCTCACCAGACAGTGTAATGGGATGCTTGTTCTAGAGACTACATATGAATTTTAATAATAGAGATTAAGTGAATACATGTGAGCCCGGGTGATTACTAACTATTATTCAATGGTCACTCACTTTTAAGTAAGTATTATTATTAATAGGATATATACATATATTTATAGGAGTAATTATAGTTTATTAGGGTAGTATATTCTATCTAAGTTCTAAAGGTACTTTTATAAAAAGTAAGAGTCCTAACTATATACCTTTTAAAATATACTTATTTTATAATACTTATAATTTTTCTTTAAAAAATAAATAAAATAATAATTTCTAACTTATTTTAATTATTACTTTAAATTATAAAAATTAATTAAATATTAATTATTTTAATTTATTTTAATTACTATTTTAAAATAAATTAATAAAATTATAATTTAAATTATATTTATATAATACTTATATAAGTAAAGTATTATATTAATAATACTTATAATTAATTAAGTTTAAATCTCTTTATTATTAAATAATATTATATTAAAAATTATAATAATTATTTTTAATTATTAATTCTTTTAAATAAGTTTCTTTTATAATAATACTTAATAATTTTTATTATTAAAGTTATTAGAATTATTAATATTAACTTATTTTTATTAATATTTTAAAACTTTTATTTTCTTTTTAAACTTATTATTTAATATATTAATATATAATTTTTGTAATTATTATAATTTTAAACTTTATAACCTTTAAAGCTTTAAATTTTATAATAACCTTTATAACTTTAAGTTATATAACCTTTATAATTATTATTTTAAAAAGTTTTTAAATTATTATTATCTTTATATTTTACTTTTAATCTTTATAAAAGTTAATAATAAATTTATTATTAAACTTCTTTTATTTTTAATTACTTTATATTTTATTATTTTAAATTTTTATATATTACCTTTAAAACTTTATAAACTTTATAAACTTTATAAACTTTATTTATTATTTTCCTTTATTTTATATTATTTAAAAACTATTAATTAAAACCTTTTATTTATTTTCTTTTATTTTCTCTTTATAATATTTATAAAAGAATTTTAATAAAGGAATAATTAAATAATATAATCTATAATACTTTAAATATTAATTATTTTCTATTAACTTTAATTATACCTACCTTTTATAATTTTATTAATAATAATAATTATATTCTTTATAATTTTATTTATTTTTATTATATTTTTATTTTCTTTATTATCAATAGTAATTATCTTATTTTTATATATATTAATATCTCTTATAATTTTATTAAAATATTTATTATTAAACTTTAATATAATATTAATAATAATTATTATCTTTTATTATATTTATTACTCTTCTTTTAATACCTAATATTATACCTTTATATTTAAATAATAAAATAAACCTTTAACTTTAATTTTAATAGCTTTATAATATATACTTTAATAATACTTTTATATATAAAGCTTATATATATTTATTATCTTTTAAAATAAGAAAGTATATATTTAATTTAATATTTTAATTTATTTAATAATTCTTTTATAACTTTTAATATAATAATTATAAAATAATTAAATATATTTTATTTCTTTAAATTTATTATTATAAAAATTATAATAATATAATATTTTAAATAATAGTTTATTTAATTTATATTTAAATTATATAAATTAATAATAAAACTTTTAATATAAAAATATCCTTTTATATTTTTATATTATAATAAAGGAAAATTATTAATTTTAATATTATAAATTATTAAAATTTTATAAATTATAATTATTATTTTATAATTAAAGTAAAGTTTATTAATTTAAACTTTTACCTTTTCTTTTAACTATTTAAATTAATAATATTTTTAAAATATATTTTAATCTTACTCTTTATAATTTTACTTTATTATATTATTTAATTATATAGTTATATTTAATTTATATTAAAGTTTCCTCCTTTTAAACTTTCTTTTATATTATTTTAATATTCTTTTATATAATCCTTATTATTATTATTATTAAAAGAATAATTAAGTTTTATTAAATAATAATAATATTATTATTAAAAGTTTTTATATAATATTTATAATATTATTTTTAACTTTAATAATATTAATACTTTTATTATTTTATAAATATTTATAATTATTTTAATTATTTATTATATTATAATTATTATAATAAATATTAATTATATATTTTAATTATTAATTTATTTTATTAAATATATTATTATTTAAATATTTAATATTTTATAATATATAAATATTTTATTAATAAATTAATAAAATATATAATATAAAATATAAATTAAATTTTAAAAATATATTAAAATATAAGTTATAAAATAAAACTTAATAACTATTATTATTAAATATAAGTAAGTTAATAATATAATTAAATTATAAGTAAAAATATTTAAAAATATATAAAATATTACTTTTAATTATAATTATAATATTTAATTATAATAATTATAATTATAATAATAAATATAATAATAATAATTTTAAATTAAAATAATTATAATAATAATATTTTTATAAGGATTAAAATAAGATTTAATATATTATAATAGTAAAAGTAAAAGATTTATAATATAATATTAAGGAAAAGTTTTAAAGATTATAGTAATAATAATTAGAAATAAATAGTTATTAACTTATTATACTTTCTTTATTAAATAAAAAATAATTAACTTTAAGTTTTTTACTAATTTATTTATATAAATATAAAGCTTATTATTATTAATTAATTTTATAAAGTTAAGTTTAATTTTCTTTTATAAATATATATTAAGTTATTTTTTATTAATTTATTTTACTTTAATAATTTTTATACTTTATATAATTATTATAAAATATAATATTTATTATAAAATATTTCTTTTATAGTTTTAAGTTTTATAAAATATTTATATAAGTTATATAAATTTATATAAATAATAAATAAAATATTTAATAATAATAATTATTATATAATTATTTTTAATATTATTATTAATAAAATTTTAATATTTATATTATTTATTATTTTATATATTTTATTTATTAATATACTTTAAATAACCTTTTATATTTTATTAAAATTAATAAAAATATTTTATTTAAAATAAACCTTTTATTATTACTTATATAAGTTTTATTTTTAAAAATAATAATATAATTTAATTATAAAATTAAGTTTTATTATTAATAAATAATTTATTTATAAATATAAAAGTTTTATTATATTAAAGTTTAATAATATATATTTTATATTTCTTATAATATATTTTATTTATTATAATAATTATTTATTTAATTATTTATAATACTTCTTTTAAAGTTTTATACTTATATAATAATAAATAAATTATATAATATTTTTAATTAGTAAATAAAGTTATATATACTTTTAAACTTTTATTTTAAGTATTATTAAAAGTATTATCTACTATTTTATTAATAATTATATTTTTATTTTTTTATTCTTTTATTTAATTTTAATAAAATTAAATATATTTATAATTAAATAAATATTATTAAAGTTAAATAATTATTTAAATATTAAATTAATTTTTAATTTTATATAAAGCTTTATAACTTTAAGTTCTTTTTTATTATTTAAAAATTTATTTATTATTAATATTAAAATATTATTTATTT